TGAGAGATTTCCATCAGACAAATTGCATCATGTCCGGCTGCGCAGTATTTCGGGCTCTTAGGCTGGCGCGGTCGCATGTATCACCTTCCACGGTTGAGGCTGCATCCACCGAGCGTTGCTACTCGACCTATTCATAGCGATGTGCATCGAGTGTTGCATATCACAGCTTTGCATCGCGTGCCCTCTAGCTCCGATCGTAGGTTTTTCGAGCTCATCTGTTGGTGGACTTTGGCAAAGCTTGACGAGTGCTTTAAAACATTGACTTGCATCCCTTGTCTTCACCGATCTTGCTGCAGGATGTGGCCACTTCATTGGGCGCCTTGGGAGAAGGGATGACGAGCCTGGCTGCCGCGAGACTTTTGGGCCACTGTAGCGCTTACGACCAGCTGAAGCATTGCGAGTTTGTGGAGCGTGCATATGTGGAGCAAGGCCGCTGACATCCCAGTGAGACGACCCATAGCGACCTGTCCTGCCACCCTCCCGTCTCAGTAGAAAGCCGTAATTGACACTTCAGATTTCAGAATCGCTGATGGGACTGTGATCGTCTTTGAAGCTTCTTGCCCGAGGTGTCTTGTCAGTTCCGGAGACACAAACCATCGAAGTCCGTCTGTCGTCGCACGCGAGCGGCGTGAGCGACGTTGACCGCCTACAGTCAGGTGTTGGGAAGGCCTCGCCGTGAGTAGCACCACGGACGATCACTTCATTTTTTCCCCCGACTTTCGACGGATTAGCCGTGTTCCAGAGCTTCAGAAACGTTTTCGACGTCATCGCACTGGAGCTGCTATTTGGATCAGATCATTCAATGTCAGCTGCAGTCTGATAGCCTACTCACATTAGTGAGGTAGTGCCCGCCCAGCCTGGCCAGCGGCATGAGTGTGCAAGGACCACGGGTGCTAGTGTGCGCACCGTGTGCCTAGGCCAGCGTCATGTCTGATCTGTCCAACGACAAGAGTAGCCAATCCTGAAGATGCTTTTCAAGCAGCTTACCTTCCGGATGTTACGCTTGTTTATTGAGGTTGACGAAAGCAAGTGCAGTTGCAGTGATACTGGTGCTCAGAGCCAGGAACAGCGCAAGGCGCACACCAAGGTCGGAACTCTGTCCAAGCGACCCCGGTCGAGGACGTGAATAGCCTTAGGCCGCAAAGCCATCACTTGGCTGAAGCTTTGCATCCTAATAAGTTGATGGGCGGGTTCTTCGCCAACAACAAGGCAGAGACGGCTATCCCTCGGGCCCAGTGACTTGGCAGGGTTCTCGCTGGGCTGGCCGGCAAGTTGGAGTGCTGGATGGGATGCGACACTGCGGATTAGCCATTTTCCTGCAGGTGACATTACAAGACCTCGCCTAGCCGAGTTGTAAAGCACGCACTGTGCTCGCGGCGCGGTGCTAGCCATGACCTGCAGCCTGTGAGGCGGCCTGGGGACTCAAGGGACCAAGGGACCAGTGTTCGCCATTCATCTCATTGACCGTTTGCCGCACTAAAACCGGAGAGCAGCGAATAGCTGCGACCTTCGCAGCTCGTAACGCTTGTACCAGAGCTGGCCCATTTGTTGCGGCTCATTAGTGACGTCGGATGGCGAGCGATTCTGCATCGAGAACTGCCACTGTCTCGAGAGGAATGAGGCACGCTGGTTGGGAGTCAGCAGGGCGGCCTGGACGAGCGTCAATCCTTCACCCCAGGCAAACGATCGGGTTGCCGAATAAGGCAAATTAGGAAGCGACGACAACCACCGCTACAATTCAGCCTCTCAGGCACTGGACCGGATAAAAGCTCGCTAGATCGCTTTTGTGGTCGAGGCTGGCCTTTCTTCTGTAGCTGTCCTCTTGATTGTCCCTGTCCCCTTGAGCATGCCACATGGGTGCAGTTTGCTGAGGCTCTGAAGCTTTTCTTAGCAGCTTACTTATTGGAAGACACGGCCGGATGTGATACAGTCCGAGCTGCAACAGTGCCGTCGAGGAGATGCTGCGCGCTCTGGAGCCTCGTGCATCAGGCCTCGCTTACCAAAGATTTAGAAAGCTAATACCAGACGAAGCTTGGGGTGGTAACAGGTCAAGGATGGAAGCACCAGTGATCAAGAAGACCCTGGCGCCGAGCACTGTGCGCCACAAAAGAGACGGCACGATGTGCAGCAGCCAGTTGCAGCACAGCTAGGCTAAGAAGAGACCGGCGCCGTGGTGAGCTGATCAATCAACTGCTGGCCAGGTTGGGTGTGTGCCGAGGGTGTCCGGTTCCCGCATGCACTGCGGACACCAAGGATTCAGTGTGCGTCGATTAGGGTGGCATCTTTTGTGGTAGCGGTAGTCATAGTGACGGACAGCTTGCTTGAGCATTGTGCGGAACCGACTGGTGGGCGAGGATCAGGTTGGCGACCGAGGTTGTCAGATAGAAAGTTGTTGACGTGTGCAGGGGAGAAGGACAGGGCCCATGAAGGCATCCTGCTGTCGTGGATGCCCCAAAGGGGGAGCAGGCCAAAGCCGCTGCTGAAGATGTGTGGATGCGAACGACACATCTGTGCGCACACCAAGATATATTGCTAGATTGCCGTGATTCGAAAGCAAGCACCGCGGCGGTGGCCGACAAGCCCGAGGTGTGTTTTAAAATTCTCGTCTCTGGCAAGGTCAAGTGCTGCTGCTTCACCGTATGGTCTGACAGGGCCAAAAGCAGAGGCAGGAAGAGGGTCTTTTCATGGCAATAAGGTTGGAATTGATGTGCTGGGCCGCTGGTTGCGACCGGGATGGAGGGATCTTCCAGGCTCGCGAGGCCGTCTGCATGAGAGCGAAACTCTGAGTGGGTTTTTTTTGTTCTCTTTGGGCGGCAACGTTGCAGACAAGGTAGGTAAACTGTACTCCGTGCAGCACATGCTAAAGAAAACGTTGACTGCAAGTGAAAGAGCATACGAGCAACTTATTCTTATTGTCGCTCGTATCCAGGTTTTGGCGTATTCCTTTGCTGATGGTCGGCCGATGAGCTTGTCGGCCTGTGCCTGTGGCGTTTGGGTGCATTTCTGTGCAGGACAGCGAGCAGAGCAGTGCAAAGCAGAGCAGTGAAGAGCACAAATGCGTGCGTGATGTGCAGTTTGCAGTATGCAGTTTGCAGTTTGTGTGGTTCGAGGCTGGCAGTTCTCGGTGCGTCATCCGTTGTTTGATCTCCTCTAGTTGCCTGACATTGCTAGGAAGCGTGCGTCGGGAATTTTTATCGATGGACAGGCTATGGGTTGGTTGTCTGCCCATCTGGTAGCTGGTAGACTAATATCTGTTTCTCATATTGCTGAGTTGGCCAGTTGCGATGAAGCAGACCGTCTTTCCCGTCCTGACTCCTGTTGCAATGCACTCACTCACTCACTCAGCTTAACCACCTGCCACCTGGGCAGTCAACCAGTCAGTCGGTCAGTCGAGGGAAGGAATGAAGGAAGGAGTCTCCATGTCGAGAGGTCCATCGATCCATCCATGCCCCTGCCCTTGCCCTGTCTTGTCGTGTCCTGCTGACCTTTTTGAGAGAGTTATGTAAGCTCAGCCGTGCCCAGGGAGAGAGAAGGCAGGAGGCAGGAAGGCAGGAAGAACAGGAAGGCTCAGGCTCAGGCTCAGGCTCAGGCTCAGGCTCAGGCTCAGGCTCAGGCTCAGGCTCAGGCAGGGCTCGCATCCACCTTCCGAAGTACCTTGTACCTTCCCACGCCAGACAAACCAACCAACCACAGTCTTGTGCCTAGCGCTGAGGCCACAAATGCCCCTGCTCATGCTGCATGCTGCCTCCATGTGAGAATGTACTCAATACTGCGTGCGGTACTTTCCCTTGTTCCGCTGACTGACTGACTAAGTGTGTTGCTCCTGCTCTGGTGTTCACCCACCTCGTGTGTCTCTCTGCCCGTCTGTGGCTACGATATGTTTCTACAGCATCACGTTGGGCCAGCGGAGGGAAACGCTGGCCCGTTGCCTCGACTCGACTCGACTCGACTCACTTCACCTCATGCCTCTTTCTCTGCCTAGTTCCAACCCATCTTTAATCGTGCTCTTATTCGCCCAGGCGGAAGGTCTGTATGACTTGGTCGTCGTCAGGACTGCAGAGGCAAGTGCGGCGTGACTTGCAGGGACCAGGGTACCAGGCCCGCATCTGGGTACGAAAAGCCCCAGGCAATCCCCCAATGGCCAGGTACCGCAGTACCTGAGCCCACACAGTGCCAATCCAGACACCTTGTCCGAGCCCTGGAGGGCCCTGGGCCCTGGGCCCTTGACCATCCCTCCTCTACCCCCCTGGCAATAGGTGATGGGGAACTGAGAGGCACAGAGGCAAGAGAAGGCTGGCCGGGTCCTGCTGGCCTGCAGGAGGTACGTCGACGGTACGCGCTGCCTTTCCAATCTCTCCCAGTGGCTAGGCCCGAGTGCAGGTGCAGGCGCAGTGCGAGGGCAAGTCACCTCTCTTCGTCTTGTCCTGTTTAGTACCAAGGATGCTGCTGGTGCTGCTAGATGCTCTTGTCCTGGCCGTGTCCGTGCTTCTTCTTCACCAATTACCCTCTTCTTCCTCCTCTTGCTCCCTCAACACTACACCTCTCGTCGCCTCGTCTCGCCCAATTGCTCGACCTGTTGCAACACTTGGTTGAGTCTTTCTGTACGAGCTCCCGAGCAATCCCTCCAGTTGCTCTCCTGGATCGCTTCTTCGGAAAGGGACATGAGATCGTAATCACGATTCGTTACTCCTCCCAATCTACTCTCTTCTCCCCTCCTCGCCATCTTCACCCCACCCACCTCGTGTCGCCTCGCCTCACCTCGCCGCCGCCAAATCGCGACTTGACTGCCTTGACTGTCTGCCTTCGCTGCGCCGTTTGCCTGGTATTCGTGGGTTACTTCTGCCAGAGAAGCAAATCCAATCAAGTCAGATTCCAAGCGCAATTCCTCGCTCGCTCGCTCGACGCACACACCTGTGACTTGCAAGCGACACCGCCCTGTTTGCCTTGCGCCAGCCATACTTGCCGAAGCCAACCCAAACACTTTCACTCAAACAAGCACTATGGGCAACGACGCTGGGCCAAAGCTCGAGTCCGCTACCATGTCGACTGCAAACATATCCAACTCTCCTCCCTCCGCCGACCCAGATGTTACTGCTCCCCAGGGCGATGACACTGGTATGCCAAATGTCCACCCCCATGTTGTATTGTGCCATGCAATAATGCTCTCTGCTTCTTGGACCCAACCTCTCCCCACGAATCCCATGCATAAAAAGCCTTATGCGGTCGGCTAATCTGTGAAATCCATACAAATAGAGGCCTCAACTATTACTGTCAACACCAAGACCCCGACTGCCAGTTTCCCTCCTCCAAAGACTGACAAGCCCCGTCCCCATGGATGTACAACTTGCGGCCGCGCCTTTGCTCGGTTGGAGCACCTGAAGAGACACGAAAGGTCCCACACCAAGGAGAAGCCATTCGAATGCCCAGAATGCAAACGGTGCTTCGCCAGGCGTGACCTGCTTCTCCGCCACCAGCAGAAGCTGCACCAGTCCACAGCCCCCTCGGCCCGTCCTCGCAACCGTCGTGAGAGCGCAAGTGGTGTGACTATTGGCCAGAGCCGTGCTCGCAAAAACAGCGTCGCTGGTCCGGTCCAGAGCGCCCCTCCGAACCCGGCCTCGATGAGACCGAGGGCCAATACCATTAGTGTTGTTGATGGCGCTGCCATACAGATGATGGCCGGTGCTGCCAACGGAGGACCAGTTGCCCGGATGCCGCCGACCCACAGTCGTCACGACAGTCTTATCGGCCTGCCTTTCCATTACTCCCACAACCAATTTCCGGGCATGTCTTCGGTTATGGGCCACCGGGGCGTGCAGCACGGACTTCCCAAGCTGGAAACAAACGGCCTGAACTACGACCAGGGCCTTCGCACAGCACCACCTCATGCTATTTTCCGCCACGACTTCATGGACAACCTATTTAGTGCCGCCCCAACAATTGATCCCCAGGCTCTCCATGTGGGCATGGAGTCTCCACAGTCAATCGGTGTCGATCCTCTCTCACCCGTTTTCCATGGCCTGCCGGATTTGTCGTCTCACGCCGCTCCTTTTGGGTTGGAGGACTTCTTGATCACAGATTTTGGGCAGCAGCTGACCTTCAACAATTTGAATGACAATGCTGTCGATGGCTCATCTTCCTCTGCCATCAGCACGGCAAGCCCTGGTGGCATGAGCGACGCTATGATCGATGGTTCCAATAATCCCGCTTCAACAGCGCCGGGTACATCCTCGGCATGGGCACCGGCCATGGTCTCCCCTCAGATGGGAAACCCTTTCAACATCGACTTTCCCAGCCATGTTTTCCCTGACCTCATGACTGGGGCCCCGGTGTCCCCGCATCCAATGCAGCACGGCATGTTGAACGACGCCTATTTCACGCCACCACCCTCGTCGATGAACTCGGGCTCGCCCTCGGTGATGACGGGCCTGAATGCTCAGAACATGAACCAAACGTTGAATTTTGGTCACGGCCCGGAGACGCCGACTTCGATCAATGGTAGTACTCATGGCACCTCACCCGTCTCGACAATAACTGATTCAACAAGAAACGCCATCCTAGGTGCCCTGTCCACAGCCTCGCTGGGCTCGTCTCTCGCCAACCGCAGATCCTCGTTCTCGGTTCATCCCTCGCCTTCATCCGCGCATGCCAAGGGTTCGCCGGACCCCGCCAACAACCTGCCCAGCACGCAGAATCTGCAACGATACGTCGCCGCCTACCTAACTTATTTCCATCCGCATCTACCGTTCCTTCACATCGCGACCTTGTCCTTCGAGATCCCAGCCCGACCGGCAAAGAATGACTTGGGCAGTATTGGTGGATCTGCATGCCTGGTGCTCTCCATGGCTGCAATTGGCGCCTTGTACGAGAAAGAGCATGAGCGCGCTCGAGAACTGTTTGAGATGGCCAAGAAGATGATTCAGACTTACTTGGAGCAGCGAAGGAAAGCTAACGTCCGAAAAGCCGGGTTCCGAGGATCCTCGTCTGAGCAAGACGTACAAGGATCCCAAGACGGTTCGACAGATACTCCTGTGTGGCTCGTTCAATCAATGCTTCTCAACGTCGTCTACGGCCACAGTTGCGGAGACCAGTTGGTGGGTAAGATTGCTGAAACACACTGTGCTGCGCTTGTCAGCTTGGCCCAGGGAGCTGATCTACTGCGTCAACCACAATCCCGTGCCGAGCAAGATATCCAGATGAGTGATGGCTCTGACGAGCATGCAGAATGGTTGAGGTGGAAAGCTGCGGAGGAGCGAAAGCGTACCCTGTACACTATTTTCATCCTTTCCAGTCTGTTGGTATCTGCTTACAATCACTCTCCCGCGCTCACCAACTCGGAGATTTTACTGGAATTGCCGTGCGACGAGGAATTTTTCGAAGCCGAAACAAGTGCGGTTTTCAATGCTCGTGGGGGTGTTAGCGGAGCGAACCACAATCGCGTCACTTTCCATGACGCTTTAGGGGACTTGCTGCGTACAAACGAGAAACAGCGCAGGCTTTCCATGCACAGCGGACACCTGTCTGGGAACATTTTCGGTGCTAGCGACCTCCCACCATCGACGCTCAAGCCCAGCACTTTTGGCTGTCTTATTTTGATCAACGCCCTTCACAACTACATCTGGGAAACGCGGCAGAGGCACCATAGCAACGTCTGGACCAATGAGGAAACGGAAAAGATGCATCGACACATCGAGCCTGCTCTCAAGGCCTGGCACGCAGCATGGTCGAGCAATCCTCACCATTCTGCAAAGCGCCCCAACCCTTCCGGCAAGGGTCCTTTGTCTGCAGATTGCATACCCCTGCTAGATTTGGCTTACGTGCGTCTTTTTGTGAATCTCTCCCGCTCCAAGGGTCAGTTTTGGGAACGTGATTGGGACGGTATGGCGGAAGAACTGGCTCGCGGAAGTGAGATTGTCCAGCACGCCGAACAGCCTTTCTTAGGCCCGGAGCCTGGTGTGACTGACAATCTTGATCATATGGACACTACGGGTGCCGCTGCTGGTTTGCTGGATAATCACTCGGGCCAATCTCCCATGCAGCCGTCCTTGGCTAATCGGACCACATCACGACGGGAGAAGCATTTGCGGAAAGCGGCTTACTTTGCGGCCGACTCTTTGTCAACATCTGACAGATTGGACGTGACATTTGCCGATTTCACTCGGCTGGAACTGCCTCCGCAGTCTGCACTCTGTGCATTTGACTGCGCACAGGTCTTGGCTGAGTGGGTAGCAACACTACAGGATAGGGTTGGTCAATATTTAGGCATTTTGGGTCAAGACGAGGTCGAGCTCTTCCAGGTTCCCGCCATCATGCTTCTGGAAGATGAGGACGTTCAGCTATTACGGAAGATTCAAGATGTCCTCGAGGGCTTGGAAAAGAAGATGGGGATGGAATTTCTCCAAGGCATTGCAGGCGGTTACGCAGTCAAGATATTGAGAGCCACAGCCCACATTATGGCAAAGAGTACTGGGTGGCCTGGTAAGTTGTTCTCACTCTTTATCGTCTCTGGTTGTGTTCACGAATCGAGAATACTAATTTGACTCGCAGTCTCTCGATTGATGATTCAATGTCTCGAAACCCACGCGAATCACATCAAGGCCCGAGCGGAGAGATCAGTCAGACCCGTCGAGTAGATTCTGTGCCACTGCTTCGAAAATTTCTTCCGAAAATTCTGACGGCCCCCATCCGCGTCAAAGGCGTCGCAACTAATCATGCGAAAGCCTACGTACGCTCGTACAACCTGCCTCACGACATCGAACGCTTTGGCTTGGCAATGCACCCCTCCGAACGAGAGCGGAAACGGCGTCCCCTGTTGTTTCCCGGGCACTACGAACGACACGACAGAACTTGATGTCTCCTAATTTTTCAGCTGCAAGAGGCCACACGTGTTTGGATTCACTGTCCATATTTTTTTCGATTTCAAACATGTTCGAGAATCGACACCATATGTTGTTTACCCTGTTAACGAGGACCGACGACTACTTCTCAACCCCTTTTCTGGTGGACGTATACACGAAGTACACTTCTGTTTCGATTACGACTCAACACCGCCACGCACTGAATGACACTGCACATGAACGAATGGGATAAGCAAATGAATTGACTCGCAAGGTCTGGACACGACCTGGGGAGGATTGAAAAAATAAGAAACTTTAAAATGAACCACATGCTTTAAGATATCACCGGCGCAGGCAAGGGGAGGAACAGGAAATATCAAATTTTCAGGACATCGAACAAAGAAAACTACCAGTTGGTAACAAAATCGAGTGGGCATGTTGTTTATTCAAGGAGTACATAGCCAATGCAACGGCTCTGGAGGGAGGAGTGATTTTGAATGGGAGTCCTAGGGACCACGCCGCCAAAAGTTGTGTAAATAGGACTGGGATGGGTACATGGTTCTGGGAGGGAGGCCGGCCTAGCCATGAAACTGACCAAATGCAGACACGCTTTCCTCTGCCGAAGATTCTTGTGAGAGGCACTTGACTTGATGTGACATGTGCTTCGATGATGCGCAATTGCGGAGCTCGTCGGGAGGAGAGCCAGCCCCAATTTACCTTGAATTGGGCTAAAAGCAGCTGACGCCGGTTGGGAAAGTTGCTGCTGACGTGATGGTTGGACGATAGGAGGGATGCGGTTGACAGGATGGGAGCGGAGCCAACGCACACATTGAGTACATGCAAGTCACGAGGAGAACGAATCGCTCTGAGCATTCCCGAGGCGCGAATCGCGACGTTGAATGCAAATATTGCCTTGATCTTATTCGGATGTGGTTGCTGTGCTGCGGCAGGACTACCGCTTGCGCAGTTCACCTGTCTTCTTGGGAGTTTTACAAGGGCCCCGCTTCCATCCCCGCGGCACACAAGTGGCTGGCCCAGCCTCATCAGCTCGGCCAGATGACCAGGTCATCGCTCAACACATAAGTGCAGACGCAGTTGTACAGGTCTGTGTCGCTAGGACCTCTGACGTCCCCTCCCGCGACGATGGTCTTGGCGTGCATCAGCCCCTTCGCGCAGGTCCAGATGGTGTCGTGGGCCAGGTAGGCCACGGTCGTGCCGCCGTTGGCCGTGAACATGACCTCCTGCTGCCAGTATTTGAAGACTAGGACTTGGGCTGTTTCGGGAGGCCGTCAGCGCGTGCTAGTGACCCGGTGGTCTTTGTGGCGGGTCTAGAGGGTTCTTACTTTTGTCTTCACGCTTGTATGATTCTACGGGGCTTGGGCCGCCGGCGAACGAAACGCCCGGTTGGGCACTGGGGAGAGGGAACGGCATGGTAAGTACGTGTTCGGGAGCAGGGAGCAGGGAGCAGGGAGGAGGGAGGGGGGAGGGCGCGGGACTCACTAGACGCAGTTGAAGCCCTGCTGGTTGCACTTGGCGGGAATGTAGTTGGACGGGTAAGTAGCACGCTTGCCAGTACGGACGATTGGGCCCGAGGACGCATCGTTGCCGTCCCGGATTTCGAGATCGGGAGAGCGAGGGTCGTCCCGGGCGAGACGGCGAGCGACGGCTGTGCCGTGACACGGGGGGAGGCCGCCCGGGTCTTTCACGTTAGGATGATATTCCGGGGCACTGGCATCCCGGGCGCTGATGATGCCGTTTTCGGGGGTGGCGGCAGCCTGGGCGCCGGTGGCGATGGCTATAGCCAGAATGCTTAGCTTTAAGAGGAGCATTGCCAGAATTCCTTGTCTTGCTGTTGACTATGACGGTGTTGGTGAATTGAATTGTCTGTCAGTCTGTACATCTTCTCGTTTGTCTGCAGGCGGGGAACACCGCAGCATTTATGCAGATGATGTTCCAGCAAAATTGCTAATGTCAGCCGCAATTCGTATCTTCCAACCCGAGGGAAAACGATGAATACAGATGCTTCATGTTCTAGATGCCCAAGTGCCATTGGAATAGGATGAACTTAGACAAGGTTATTTTTAGCCGGGAAGTATGGAAGCAGACATCACAGGCACTGATACTTTACACCCCTGCTTTAAGTTTTCAGCACGGAAAGAACTAGAACAAAAGAGAAGAAAACAGCACGATACGTTGATTTGGAATGTCGGCAATTGAGGTGTAATATAGCTGAACCTTTCGGCTTGAAAGATTGGCAGAAGGGTGAAGAAAAGTCGTATTCTAGCGGCGGTGAAAAGAAAATCCCTTTATAGGCCCGCCACGATGGAAAGTGATTCAGCAGCAAACACAACTGACAGGTCTGCACCCGCTATGCAAAGGTTTCAATAAAGTTTCAATTACTCATGTTGGGCATGGCCTATATAGTGGTATCGATTACGGACATTTGATCATCACAGGTAGCTTTTTCTGTAGATCATCGTGGCCACATTGAGAATGTCGAGAAGAGGAATCTGTCGACGTATCGGCGCCTGTCACTCTCATGGGTACCGATATTGATGGGATCGAACGTGGCCTCCAATTCACATACGACTACGCGAACCTCCCTGAAGCTGATGAGACAAGAGTAGGGAGCGGCGGAGTCTCTTTCAGTGGCGGCCAAAAGCAGAGAGTGGTAAGTATCCTAGTATGTAATACTCCGTGGCTAATTCTGAGTATTAAGGCTTGTTCTTATTCTTTACATCCTTTGGCGAGGGCAGTCTATTCCAGGGAGGCAGTCTTCATCGTGGATGGTTGCTTTAGCTGGCTGCATAACCGCACTGCCGTTGTTATCTTCGACAACCTATTCGGACAGTGCGGTCTTCTACGCGAGGAATCGATCACTGCCATCGTGGCTACACATTCTAGTAGGATGTTGAGCTGATCCTTGGAGCCTGGTTGGAAATGGTCTCAGAAATCTAGTGTGTCGACGGTGAAATTTGCGCGAAAGGTTGATCACATTACTGTTTTGAGTGATGGCAGAGTGCAATGCAACCAGATTCACACCGATTCTACCGACCCCTCGGTCTGGGGCGTCATTGAAGATGAGACTTTTGCAAACGGAAAGGATGAGGCTTCCAACGCCGCTTCAGTAGTGGATTTTAGCGTCCAGAACAACGCAAAGAAGGCTTCTTCGACCACTCAGCTCGAGACTGATGAAGGTTTGGATATCAAACCAACGGATGACTAGACACTATATGTGTCTTACGCGAAGTTCATCGGAGCGATTTTCTACACGATCTGACTTGTTATCGATTCTTTACGCTAGCCGGTCGACAGTACCTCAGGTCTAGCTACGATTTTGGACCCAGCATGGTACAAATGCCCAATATGAGATGTACGCCGGAGTCTATGCTGTTCTCTTCATCTCCGGTATTGTACGCGCTGCTGCGGCCATCGTATTCTTCCTGATCCTTGTCATTCCCAAGTCGACACAAAACCTACGCATGCTGTTGCTAAAGCATGTTCTAGCAGCACTCTTTACTTCTTCTTGCAAACGGACAGCGGGACGATACTGAACAGGTTTCGTCAGGGCATGACGCAAGTTGACCAGGTACTGCCAGTGGCTACATTCCAAACATGCTTCGCGGCCCTGGGTGTCCTGGCCCAGCTCGGCCTTGTCGCGTCAGGCTCTTGGTATGTGGCTATTGCGTTGTCCTTTGTCTTTGCTGCTCTCTGTGTTCTGCAGAGATGTTACTTGAGTACCTCGCACCAAGTTCGGCATCTTGACCTCGAATGCAAGGCGCCCTTATACACGGCCTTCACGGAGACACTGGCTGGTCTCGCTACCGTGCGTGCATTTATGTGGCAGAACGCCCTCATGTCGAGGCATCTCAAGCTCCTGGACACAAGTCAAAAAGCGTATTACCTAATGCTCTGCCTTCAGAGGTGGCTAAACGTGGTACTGGACTTGTTCGCGGCCGGATTGGCGATACTCTTGGTGGCCGTTGCGCTCGATTTGCCCGGAAGCACGAGCAAGGGGGTAATGGGCCTGCCCGACCATGCTAGACTGAGGTCGTTCATGGTTCGAACACCCCAGGAGACTCGACGCGAAGAAGCCTGTCAGAGCAACCCACCGGGGGGGGGTCGTATTTGAAAATGTAACTGCGGCTTACAGGTGAGTTCTGAAAAACTACGAATCCCTGTTTGTACGTACTGCAAATCAATCTAGGTGATTATAGCCTCACGACGCTTCAAATAGTCCTTTTTCAGAATTGGTCTCCAAAATTTGACTTTTACAATCAGACCCGGGGAAATGGTCTTTTTTTGTGGCCGCACTGAAAGGTGAGTCTCTACCAAAGCATAATACCACCATAATGGCCCATGTAGTGACAGCTTGTACGTCATCTCTGATTCTCGCCCTGCTCTAAATGCTGGAGCTTAAGCAAGGAACTATCCGGGTTGATGGAGTAGACATATGATCCCTGCCCAGGCAGACTATTCGCCGATGCTTCACTATACCTGTCCCAGGATCCTGTTACGCTTTCCGGAACCGTGCGGCAGAACCTCGATCTGGAGTGCAGGCTCGCGCACGACAGCCCAGACCTCGAGACCATGCTGGCTAAGGTGGATGTTTGGAGTGTCGTTTCGGCGCGTGGTGGCCTCGACGCAGACTACTATAGCTCGTTGGGCTTCTCGGCCGGGCAAAAGCAGCTCTCCTGCTTAGCCAGGGCCGCGCTTCACAAATCTAGGGTGATGCTCCTAGATGAAGCGATCAGTGGTGTCGATCAGACAACCGACGAAAAATGCGAGGTTTCATCAGAGAACAATTTAAAGACGCTACTGTCATTGGAGTTTCGCACCGGTTGGACTCGGTTATGGGCTGTGACATCGTCGTGGTGATGAGGAATGGAGAAATTGCTGAGCCCGGGAACCCAAGGGAACTGCTATCGATTGAGTCAAGCTTGTTCAAAGGCTTTATGAGGGCAGGACACATTAGGCGGAATGATATTTTGTAGCACTGTATTGTCCTTCAAAGTATTGCGTACGGCGAGATGATATATTGGAGAAGCTGATGGGGTCTCTTGGTCTCAATTCATGATAATGAATGCCATAGGTAGTCAGGATTCATGCAGCCATCCTCTCCCTTGAAGATCAAGCGTTCCCAGCCTAACAACCTTGGCCGCCGGTCAAGGCCTGGGCGGACAGCCTTCCATAAGTGGTCTGACGGACCCTACCATACATTATTGCCCAATAGTATTATCAAGTCCATGCAAACTTTTGGTGACAAGTGATAATTCTCGTCACCCACAATATATTGGCATGACGGAGGAGGCGGAGACGCTGTTTGGAGGTTCATTCAGAACTCGCACGTCATCTACGCTGTGAATCGCCATTCGAATGTAGAGTTGGTCCCTGGCTACATATACATAAATAGAATGTCATTGAACCAACTGCATGTACACCCTCCACGCCAACCGAGCCACATCCTTGTCCGTCCTCCCACCTCCGAACCTCCGCATGCGCCCGGGAAAATGGATCCAGGCTCTCACTCAAGTTGACAGATCCATAACCCCTTTTACGAACTAGCAACGGCCTGATTTATTCCTCCTCCTGCTTTCTCTACTTGACACTCTCCTGAAGTCCATGGCCTCCCATCGCCGTCTCATTCTCTCATCCAGTGTGACCTTTCTCAGAGCTGAACTACCAATCACATTTCATAACACGCCAACCAGAGCAATGACCAAGCCACCCAAGCCCAAGCTCATACTCTTCGACGAGCTCCCAGAATGGTATCAAGATAACCCGCACATCCACCACGGCTACCGGCCCGTCTCGGGCTCAACAAGGGCCTCCATCGCGAGCTGGCGCCACGTACACAACGAGACCATCAACATCCACACGCACCTCGTGCCGTGCGCAGCCTTCCTCTTGGGCGAGTGGTACGTCCTGCAGCACCTACACGCCCGCTACGCGGCAGTCGCGCTGGCCGACAAACTGGTCTTCGCTGCCTTCTTGCTCGCCGCGGCGGTGTGCCTTGGGCTGTCAGCTGCTTACCACACACTCATCAACCATTCCCAGGCCATGGAGCGCATGTGGCTCCGCCTTGATCTCGTTGGCATCGTCCTGCTCACTGTTGGGGACCTGGTCTCGGGGGTGTACATGGTCTTTTGGTGTGAGCCGTTGCAGCGGTGGATCTACTGGGCCATGGTACGTGTCCTGTGCCGCTTGTGATGCGAGGGAAGCGGCCACCAGTCTCTGGCTGTGACTGACTGGCCGAGTGACTGACGTGCTGTCCGTCCAGATTCTGTCGCTGGGCTCCTTGACTGTCCTCGTCGTGGTCCACCCTAGGTTCCAAGGACCGCGTTGGCGAGGTTTCCGGATCGCCTGCTTCGTCGGCACCGGCATGTCGGGCCTCGCGCCGCTCGCACACGGCCTCTACCTGTTCGGACTGCCGACGATGATGCGACAGTCTGGCATGCCGTATTATCTTGCCGAGGGCGGGCTTCTGTGCCTTGGTGTTTCCGTATATGCGGTGAGTGGGACGCCACGGGTTTCTTTCCTGATTACTCATGAACAAATCCTGTGCTACTTGAACTCTTCTGCTCATGCACCTCTTCTTCATCAAGACCCGATTTCCCGAGTCCGTCTGGCCGGGGAAGTTCGACATCTACGGATCATCGCATCAGATATTCCATCTCCTTGTCGTTCTGGCCACCGTGACGCAATTGGTCGGATTGCTTGCTGCGTTCGATTATAACTATCAGAACCGGGCTTGTCTGCCAATCCGAGTGAATTAGAATTCAAAAGTTCAAGCTGAACGGGATTTCCATCACGTATGATCGGATGTATGACTGACTGACTGATATGTGAGCGTTGTCGCCTTGAAGGGGAGACACGACTGTTGTTCGGAGTTTATGAAGGCTTTCATTTAGAGATTTCATTGGTGCCGACGGTGCAGTGAGCCCCAAGTCTCCGCGACACTTGGAGAGTGATGAGTCCGTGGCTGTTCATTGGTGTCGAGCAAAATCCCTTTCTGTCTACACACTGGTGTCACCAAGACGAAGCGTCGCTTAGGGCAGGTTAAGAATGATTCAAAATCAGCTATGAAAGAAGGCTATGAGGTGTGAAATGAAAACTAACTATGAATAGTAGTCCGGGTAATCCCTCTAACGCGATAGTCCGGAATAAGTCATTTCCAAAGTTGTTTTACCAAGTCGCTATTCTTCCATGACCAGCCGAGTGAAAGCGCAGAATGTAGCCTGGATTTTGGTGATATGCCCTCAGCTTAATCAGAAAGGCGATCAACCAATTTGCATCCAATACGTTGTAAAAATCTGTGCTTAGTCTTCGAGCAGCACCTCTTGCCTCATAAGAAGAATGCTGCACAACAAAGTTGGACTCCTCTTTTCCCCATTCAGTCCCGTCGAGCAGGTGTCATGAATGGCTCACAATCACCGTTGTCACTTTGGACACAACTGTGTGCAGGGAGATCTCAAGAAAACCGACACCGAGCCTGTGGCACCCAGATGGATTAAGCATTGCCAAGCGTCCATTCTGGGCACCCCGGACTGACTTTCATCGTGGTCAATTCCTAGGCATGAGACCCAGACACAAATCGCCCACCCCTCAAAGAGCCTTCTTAGTCCAACCGCCCTCCTCCCAAGGCGCAAACAGCTTGACCTTCCGCTTCTTCTTCTCAGGCGGGCCGTTAGGCTGCGGCTGGCCCTTATTCTGCTCCAGCTGGGCCCTCAACCTGGCTTCGGCAGCCTCGGCAGCTTTGGGCCGGATCTCCTCGCGGCGGCGGCGGCGCAGGTCCTCTCGGGCCCGGGAGAGCTCGGCGCTGACCTCGCCGCCGTGGACGAGGCCCATGATGCGTTTGCGCGCGGCTTCTTGCTGGGTCTTGGTCAGGTTGACCTTGTTGGGGTGGTAGGTGCAGAAGGTTGCGTGGGCTGTTGGGCCGAGGCGGATGATGTTCTCGTACGAGCATGAGCACTATGCCACGGAAGTTGTGGGTCAGTGAACTGTACAATAACTGATTTTTTTGGCATGGGAGGTCGGGGAATCACTCACAACATAGCACCACTCCTGCCCACATTGGCAACGCATGTGGTCACAGCCCTCGGTCTTGGTCACTCCCTGGCCACACTTAGGGCAGATGCTCATGTCTTCCCGTGACAGCAGCTTGGCGGTGGCTTCTTCCTCTTCCAGGCGCTCGATCTGGGCATCGTCCAGATCAAACTCCTCACAAGTCTGGCCCTCATGCCATGGACGCCTGTGCTTGGCGCATGTGGCGGACTTGCAGTGATTGCAAATCATCATCGGGTCCTCGCTCTCGTGTGGCTGGCTACCACCGCATAATGTGTTTGTACAGGAGATGTAGTGGCCTGGGATCTCGGACTGCTGCTTCAGGTACTTGTACCTCTCGTAGACTGCTTGATTAGCGTACTCCTTGACGTCCCGCGGAGAAAGCTTCTGCGGGCAGATCGGGCAGGCGAGTAAGTGGAGGGCTCCGCGCTCGATGATTGCTGTAATGGAAGAGTCGAGGCAGTTCAAACAGGCCTTGTCAGGGTGATCACAGAGCTCCGTGATGGTTTGGCGCTTGGGAAATCTGGATCGGGGGTAGTCCTCGAGGCAGATGGGGCACTCGATTTCTTCCACATCGTCAGGCTCGTCTGGGTGCATGAATGGTCCGTTTTCATAGGTCACTTCGTCGACACGCTCCTGGATCCAAGGAGCTGCACGAGCCTCGTAGTTTTCAGCTGCTTGAGGCAACCGGGAAGGATGCTGAAGGCCAGGGGCATCACTGTCGGGCTGACCATGATCGATTTCGGCAGACTGATTCTGTGGCCCTTCGACGACCTGTCCATCGACATTCAAAGATTCGGTCCTGTCATCCTCATTCGCAGCAATGGTCTCACCCATGTTTGCAGGAGGATCGCTTAATGTGCGACCGGGTCCTGCGAATAGGTCGCGCCGTGCCGAATCATCAAGCCAATTTCGTCGATCCACGTGTCGAGGGTCCACCATTGGATGATGCATCTCATCGTCGTCTTCGTCTTCCTCCATCGAAGCATTCACATCCTCTTCCTCATCCTCATTCTCATTTTCTTCCCATTCACCGTCCACTGTACGACCTCGGCCATATTGGTGATCCAGGTTCAGAGGGTGAGGCTGATGCCAAGGTACTTGGGTAGGAGTGATCTGTTGTCCGCTAAGAGTGCGACCTGGACCGTGGTAGCCTTGTTGACCTGCGAAAAGCGAGCGATTGCGGATAAAATCCATGTCATTCCTGGTCATATCCTGTGTCGTTTGAGGCTGCACTCCAGCGCCAGCTGGGGTTGGTTCGATGGTGAGTGGAAAGTCGCCGCCCTTGGTCATCCAGTCGGTCAACTGTTGGATCTGGTCCTGGGCACCCTCGTCGGCCATCAAGTCCTTGGCAACCTTGTTGAGCTCGAAAAACAGGATGGCGCGGTTGCCTGGGTTGTCGGGAAGTTTGTCGTAATGACGGAGGAGCTGTTGCATCTTGCGATTGTCATGCTGGACAAAACTCAGGCCAAAGACCAGCAGCTGCTTGCCGTCGTTGAAAGACATGACTCCGATGTATCGATGATGAACTTTCTGACAAATGAAGGGAAAAGACACGCTGCATGGATATTGATGTTGTCGACTTCGAAGTTGACAAGCTGCAGGCAGCCGAATAATATTTCGTGTTGAGATTCACGCAAATAGGTGAAGCCTGTGGTGCGTGTGTGTTTGTGTTTGTGTCTGTGTATCGATGGGCTGCAGGGCTGCAGATGGTGGTGGGCTGTTTAGCGTTGTTGCCTAATGTCTGGATTAGGTTACTACAAAGGTACCCAGGTACTGCCTGGCAGTAATGCATGTGGTGAGCTGGAGCACAAGGAGTGAATACAAGAATGGTCTTCGGGGAAGACGAAGACAAAATATTTTTGCCGTTGGCCGTTGGCCGTTGGCCTTTGGTACTGCACGTTCTGCTGTGATAGACTTAAATCTGAAAAGTTGATGTGGAGTGGCCTGACGGACGCGGCCGTTACATCCACACTCATGTTCAAATGTTGATGGAATACAAACCACGCGCAGACAGGAGAACTTCTATAAGTGCCTCGCGCTTGAAGTAAATATCAGCATTCAAGTTGCAAGGAAATGAGCTTGTGGGAGCTCGGAAATGATCCTAAGATGGTTTACACTGTGCGCAGTACCAGTAAAGTCGGTAAGGAATGTCACTTCCGTAGCTAAGATACTTTTGACATCTGCGAGACTTGGGGTAAGGGAAGTACCACCCGAAAGATTACCAGAATACGAATCGTTTGAAACGGTTCAAGGCTTGATGAATCCAGCGATACGTCCAAATGCATCCGTCGCCTTTAGTGCAAACCTGTGGATAGGGACCTACGAGCAAGATGTAGTAAGCATGATGCTTGATCGTAGGTTGGTGGTTTGCTATCTCATAATACTGCCTACGTACCTAGTATTTAGATGAGCACTTGCTTGCGCTCAAACAGATCATGTATTATAGAGGCACGCTAGATTGATTGTTTTCAGTAGACTAGACTGTCTGTGGCTTGGTCAACCTCAACCTTAGTCCAGACAAGCTCGCCGGACCTGATAATTGGGGACTTAGTCCAGGAACCAAGCAACGTCCGCGCGTTTGTTGACTCAACTACGGCGATGCGAAACGACTATCTGAGCTGACGCAGACTTATCCCGAGGTTATTATGTCCTGTAGCCGGCCTCATACTGACATAGGAGTCTCGTGTGGCCTCATATTGATCATCAAGTTGTAATTGGAATATCCAGGTAATAGATAGTTTGGTCTACTGGCTTAATGGAAAGAGCCCATTGGGCTGAGCGTACAAGGCCAAGCACGCCCAACACCCTGGTTTTGGTCTCGTTAGAACGGTATTCTTATTCACAATCAGCTAGTTATCTAGAACGCCGATGTATCCGTGGAATAAATAGGTATTTGGGGGATTTGAAGAGGGATCATTTATTGGAAAGTGTTCTAATGTCCATGTCTACTACGTTAACTTTGGAATAAGGAATACGTATGCCAGGCAGAAGTGGACTACAATATAGTATTAATATACTTTCGACTAGACGATTCTTAACAATCTCATAATCTAGTTACATACGATGATTGCCAAACCGAGGCGCCTTGCTGTTCCGTCGCCTGGACAAGCCTTTTCTCTTCCCTTCGTCGCTGCTTCCACACGAGCATCTTAGATCATGTACTTATAAGTGTAACGTTTCTTGCGTCTATCGAGTGGCAGTTGCACTGCCAGCTTGTCCTGCCGCCTTCGTCGTATGCGTTGCCTTCTTGGCGTCAGATCTCACTGCTATCTGCTGCTGCGACCCCTTCGCTGGGGCATTGCCGTGTCCCGGCTGAGCAACTGTCTTTGCGGCACTGGGGGCCACTATTCGAGCCTGTTGTGGCTGAGCTTTGGCAGCGGCTTGGTCCTGGGGCAGGCCGATTCCCTTCGCCTTGCAGTACTGTTCCAGGAGCTCGATACGGTGCTTCAGCGCCTTGATCTGGCTGTTTGAAAGTATCAGTATGCTGTTCTGAAATTGCGACTTGGGAGCAACGTGTTACTTACGCGTCTTTGTTGTCGGGCTCCTCAAATCCCCATGGCAGTTGTTTGGCTTGCCCAGACTGCTGCTGCTTGTTCGAGCCAGACGATCCAGCCGTCTCTCCCACAGGGCCTGGGTACTGCATAGCGACCTTGGCAACCTCAACAATGCTCTTGTACAGAGGATCCCAGATGACACAGCTGTAGATGCGGTACCGAGCAGGCCAGAGGAAGATGTGCATGTGGAGATAATCGACGCTGTTGTCCGGCCGGAGGTGCAGCGCAAAGTCAAAGTCCTCGAACCGGATCACATTCTCCTCCTCGTACTTGCTCAGCAGCTTGTAGCTCTCGTGGGCCTTGAGCAGGCGATTGACGGGGTGCTGCCAGCCCAGCACCGACGGGCTCAACTTGGGGTTCTTCTTGACCTGCGCGCGGCCGCGGAGGTGCATGCACAGCAGGCCGAGGAAGCGGTCCCAGCGGTGCAGGTCCTCGTACCGGAACTCGGCCGTCGAGATGCAGCTCTTCTCCTGGATCTCCTCGACCTGGTCCAGCAGCTCGGCGCCGCCCTGGTACTCGCCCTGCACGCCCTTCTTGGCGTTGTCAGCCTTGGTCTGCGCGTCCACCCCGTCCTTGTTGCCCAGCGCCTTGACGTCCTCCTTGAACTTCCACACGATCGCCCGCGCCTGCGCGCCGATGATGTTCTTGCGCGTGCGCTTGTTGGGCTCCTTCTCCCACCAGAATTTGAATGTCTTCTTCATGTGCTCGAGGACGTCGGCGTTCTTGGCATGCAAGGAGACGCCGTTGTAAATCGGCTCGCGGCTCAGCGAGCCGTCTCTCTTGGGGTCGTTCCTAGGGATACCCATAATATGAATCATGGACATGCCCGCGTGGCCGTCCCGTTCCTTGCCGTTGGGATTGATGTACTGGACTTGATCGAATCCATCTCGTCTTCCGATGAGCCAGAAACGTTTATCTTCCGCGAGATGGATCTGATGGGCGAGGAAGAAATGCGGCTTTGGGGGGATCCCTTTGGCCTTGACACGGAAGTCTTCAAAACGCTGTTTAACGATGTCCATCTTTCCATCCAGCTTGAGTTTTCCATTGGGGTACAAGGTCGAGTTAGAAAGATACTGCTTGGTTCTTTTTTCTGCATCTTCAGGACTTTGGGCATCTCGTCCGTGTCCAATGTCATCTGGCCTAATATCTTTTGCCATTTTGGTGGATGAGTCCGGAAGCTGGAGGTTTGAAAACTGGAATAATATCGAAGGGATTGAATATGAGGATACTTGGGAGAAATACCAGCACTAAAATTCAATTCAACGCTGTCTCAATGCTGGTGTTTAGATGCATGTCTTTCAAGTAAGTTTCGACGCGACGCGAATTCTATTTATGAAACTGCTGTCCTCGATCAAATGTCTACATCACCTTGTATCAGCTCTCTGGGTGTCAAATCCATCGCTAAAATTGGGTGAAACTGGAATGTTGAGCCTCATGAGTTTGGCGGGCCGCGCCAACGACCAGGTGGATTATTTGGCCAAACCCACAGGATCGAGGCTAGGTTTTAGTACGAACTATACAGTCTAGTTATGGAGACAATCTGAAATGGATAGTAAGCACTAAGCCTTCCCGCGATAGTGGAGTTCTAACATTATTTATGGAATGATCGTCGTCAATTGCCATCCGCATATATTCAGAAACAAATTTCCTGGTATGCAGGACGAGTGAGTATCTCAGCTCGAGATTTATGCAAACCAAGGTTACGTGCGCTTGTGTAATTGGTATAGTCGGAATTGACATCAAAATACAATGCGGCACCTGAAAACCTCAATTCAATGGTGAAGGAATCTATGGTGGGGTTGCAATAGTACAGCGACCTGCTTCAGGCCGTCATGACGTATTAAGCCTGCGAACATAGGCTTCCACTAGAGATGGCCAACCACCTCGAATCAATCCTGTCCCAAGCCAATCCTTCTCCTACGGCCTCGTTCAGTCCCTTCACACGACCGGCTAGGTCACAATAAAGGATACGGTGGGATGTAGACCACAGCGCTACGTTTCGGGCTACGGTGGGTTTCACCATCTGTTGTCCTCGGCCTGCATCCTACTTCTGATGTCTCCAGCAAAGACGGTCGGCATTGAGGGAGACGACAGGAGTAAGATGCCAAGGATGAGCCAAGGTCTTTCCCTGAGTAGGTTGAACGCTCACTCGCCACGAAGAAGCCGTCGGAGATTCTTGCAACACGGGCGGCAGGGATTGAGCACCCATGGACGCTCCTTCAATGTTTGATTTGCCAGCAAACTCATTCTCGGATGCTCTAATCATACACAATGTGCGTCCGGGATACGCAACGATCAATTCAAAAGGAAAGGACCTGGTTATCTCATCTTCTTATCATTATCATAAACCTGTAACCAACCACCACATTTCCCACCACGGACTAACAGATCCATATCGGACGCATGCCAAATGTCCTTCACATGCTACGAGGGGCCTTCATGGACTCACGACCAACCCCAAGTTTGACTGCAATCCACCGACCACCTCCAAATCTAACGGTACAAAGTAAAGCCTTAATGCCCGGTAGACACACTAGCAACGTCGCCCTCCCTCTGCTTCATCGGGGCCGCCTGTGTCGGCAGCGTAGATGCCGCAGCAGCAGAAGACCGTCTCCTCTTGAGCAGCATGAACGCAAAGGCGCCCACGACAGCCAGGGATCCAACGATGGTGCCCACGGCAATGCCGGCGACGGCGCCCTTGCTCAGGCCGCCAGACCCAGACGATGAGGCGGTCGCGGACGTCGGCGTCACGGTCGCGCTGGCCACGGTCTCAGTGGCTGTAGCGTCGCCCGAGTCGAAGTCCGCGGCCGTCACGTTGAAGCAGGGGACCTGGGCTGAGAAATCGGCGGCCTCAACGAGGGTCTGTCGGGATAGACGATGAGGTTAGTCATGACAATTTGGATGCGTGACTGCTGGGAATTGGGGATGGTGTGGCTTACGATGTCGGCGCAGGCGTAGAATGTCTCGTTCTTGCCGCCATTCTCGCCCTCATAGTCGGCCCAGTACGCCAGCTGAATTGTGGCGTTCGTGCCCGCGGTGGCGGTGCTGGGGAGCGAGGCGATCTTGTAGCACTGGTGGCCTGGCTCGACCTCTGTGATGTTTTGGACGATCTGCTCAGTGAAATCACTCTGGGTGGTGGGCTCTATATGAGATTGTCAGTTTACAAGACACTACCAACGTGAGCGGATGCGAAGGGAGTATTTGGACGGACCATTGTCAAAGGCGATGTAGAACGCAACCTTGTAGGCATCATCGGCAATCGACAAGGCTACCTGACCCTGGCCTAGTAGAGTGTGTCAGTAAAGGATAGACGTGATTATCTCGAACGGGCACATACTGAGAGGGAACTCTGTCCGGTTCGTGACACCTTCGGCAGAGCCACAAGGGCCGCTGTTATCGTTGGAAGCACTCCATGGTCTGTCATCGGGCCAGAGGAAAGCAACAGGGCCCATGACGGTGCCCTCGGCGCTCGCGCCGTGGACTTCAGCTCTGGCGCTCATGGCGAGCGAGGCAACAGTCGCAAGGGTGGTTGTGAAACGCATATTGAAGACCACTGAGTCGCAGGGACTTGAGCTTGGATGGTGACGGACCACACGAGGATTGACACAATGGTAGCCTTTTCGATCAGTCGTCTGAGTTGGAGAGCTGGAAGATATTCAGGTTGCAAGGCTGCCTGAGGCGAATGGGTGTCCTGGTTGATAAGTATTCGGTGGGCGGCAAGGGCTGCTGTCGGCGCTCGATTGCAAGGTGAGTGACCCAAGGAAGCTACGGCACGAGTTGAGGATGGACATGTGGTGGCGGGTGGGGAACAGGCCCAGGAAGAATCTAACGGACGTTGGAAGGCAGGATCAAATGGAACTGGTCGAGCCCTGACCAACAACCCGTCGGACACGAGTTGGCTAGACCAGTCAATGGGGCGATCTATCTGTTAATGGCCAAGCCAAGCTCCGTCTTGGGTGGATCCTACTGAGTGTATGCAAGTCAAGGGCCAAGGGTATCTGGCCCACCGCATGTGAGTGGCTGTTGATGGAGTGGAGGTGGGAGGATGCCTTTCGAGCCTTGACAGGCGTGACCCGTCAGACACCATACCGACATCGCTTTCCGCGGATTCGGTGTTGTGGCCTGCCAAGTCGGACGTTATCACCTCCTCCATCGATAGTTACAGCAGGCAAATCTTGGACCTTGGCGTCTTGTCACTTACTCAGACGGCACTCTTGTAACAGGCGGGTGTTTGCCGACTGCCTAGACAGAGAAAAGTACAATACGCGTGTCCATTTTGCGGATCACATCTCCTTGTTCGCGTCGAGTATAGTTTCAAGATGGGTGCAGTGTAGGGATCTCACCTCGGCTGAGAATAGAGCCACAATACGGTGTGTCTGTGAGCGATCGGTTTGTAAGGCAGCCGATGAGAAGATGGGTGGAATCATGTGGGTTACAGGTGGGCAGTCATTGCTTGCATATGAATGGATCGCGGACAGTAATAAACGGGTCCGGGGATTCGTGCCGAGCACATTTGAGTCTCTGACCACCATTGGATGGCTACCCAACCAAGTGTGACAACAATTTTTCAAAGTCTCCGCTTTAGCCTGTTGAAAGGTTTGACTCCGGTCACATCAGACAAATCGTTCGTGGGTTTTTCGGCGGTCAGGACGAAAGAAGCCCTTTAAGTCTATCCACTCTCACTCCTCAAGAAAAGAGATATTCCATGTGATCGTGACTGGAATCGGTGGCAAGTGACCATATGGAGAGCAGTCTCCGGATGTTTGACACAGGTGTGGATCAGCAACAGGGGACAAACAAGTTTACCTTTCAGCTTTTTCTCCCTCTTCTTATCTGATCGCGCTAGTCACATCTAGTGTCCGAGCTCGATGCACACAAGTGGAGACCAGAACTTTGATCTAATCTTATCAGATCATCCGATGGTGGCATCGTCGCCCTCGTTCTGCCCAATCGGCGTCGTTTCGGTCTATGCTTTCGCTGCAAGAGCGCCTTTGGACCTTGGCCGTTCTTAGCGAGCAGGGCTCGGATCCGAGCTGCAGCCTATTCTTCTTCAGAACTGCCATGTCTATCCATCAGCAGTCAACTTGGCGAGACTCAATATTGGCAGATATGCTAACTATTCCCGGAAGTTGTGGCCGCAACTCTCGCGAATTCGTCCATATATGGGTGGAGTACGTGGAAGAGTCCACCACGGATATACGTAACTTGGCCGAGCTCACTCTCCTCTGTAGGACAGGCTCGCTGTCCGGAGTCTTTCTTTTCCGATGAGCCGGTCTGACGGCCCAGATACGTCGAGAAAATCCTGCACCCTGCTCTTGACAGGGCTGTCCAGAACAATTTGCTCGGCAGAGCCCGGATCGACCGATTCGGTGTACGCTCGCGCCAAGTCTTTTCCCCGTGGATCACCAAGGGGCCTGCGTCTCCTCGGTGGGCTGGAATCGTATGCACTGGGTGACCTGTCCCGTCCACATTAAAAAGCCAATTCTCTTTTCACATGTCGGGATCTAGCTTCGATTCACTCCTTTCCACGCATCTTCAGTTGTGTGTTCACTAGCCAACCATCCAACATCAGTCACAATTTGTCGCCTCTTAGCTGAAAGTCCGCCAAAATGGTCGCCCTCAGATGGATCATCAGCGCAGCTCTCGCAGCCTCTACCACACTGGCGGCAGCGAGTGACTTCGCCCCTGCCGGAGTATTCATCCACCCCATCCTCGCAAAACGTCAGAACGAGTCAGCCGGCTCCCCATCGTACAACTGTCACGACAATTGCGGTTAGTGATGCCACCATCACCCTGCGCCTCCTTTCATACACCTGCCACTGACACAAGCAATCCAGGCCAAGCAATCATTGAAGTTCGCAATTGCAATGCCACTATCTGCGACGACGAGATCTTCAAGACGAACTACGAAAACTGCCTCCAGTGCGCCGGTCCCGACAACGAGGACATCTGGCAGTACTACGGCAACTCCATCGAGACCGCCGCCGCCTCGTGCGGCCTGGACACGGAGCCGCTCTCCGGCGAACAGGACGCTGTCGGCACTGCTATCGAGGCTAGCAACAGCACCTCGGCCTGCGAGGCTGCTGCGGCTGGTGCTGCGTCGTCCTCCGCATCTGCCTCGGCCACTGGTGCCTCTGCCTCTGCCTCTGCTTCCGCCTCCGCTTCCGGTTCTGCGTCGGCCACTGAGTCTGCGTCTGCATCTGGTACTGCCTCTTCTGTAAGTTTTGGTCTCGCTTCCCAGTGCCCGGTATCCTGGATATAAGAGAAACTGTTGAGACTGATGTCGGGGTTTTCTCTCTTTAGGCTGCGAACGCGGCGCCCACCGCCGTTGCCGACTTTGCTGCTTACGGCGCCGTCGCTGTCGGTGCTCTGTACGCGTTTGGACTTTGATTTGCGGCTTGAGTCATGATTCTGTATGGTATACTTATAATATCCTTCTCCCGCTGTATGTAATAATTCGCGGCTGTCCCTTTCTCTGACAAATATCATGTGATGGGCACCGACGCATCTGAATTGGAACCTCATCCAGGCTTTTGCTCAATCCAAGTTCCACGCATGAAATGTGTGCAAAAATGAATTCCGTTCATGCTGTCTTTGCAGCTGAAGCAGCACCACATTTGGTAATTACGCGTCAGGGGATACGCGACAGACTACATTGAATGGGTAGATCGGCCCATAGTATCGTGCTTGCCCAGACTTGGCATCGCTCTCTTAGGACAGACCCCAAACCTTGAAGATATCGGAGACTGATGCGGGCGGCCAATCAGAGATGTGGAACGACGTGAACGGTGACTGACGACATACACAGGTCTTCTAGATCATGAGATGTTAAGAATAAGGTGAACATGTGCTTCGTGATGTACTAGTATCTGGTATATACAAGAGGTATTCTAACGTCATCTCATCGGTATCATCGTAAACCCAAAGGCCCACCGACCCCCACCTCCGCACCCACCGAAACGCCATTTATATATTAATACAAAATTGCCCACACGCATATGTACCCACGCTAATGCCCCGTTCGGCCCTCGGGGTCCTCAACCATGATCTCCGGGGCAGTATTGTTGTTATTAAGCCCATCAGTGTCAGAAACGACGACCACAGGCGAATCGGCAGAGGCTGAGTTGCTCCTCTGACGCATTTGCGAGTCTCCCTCCTCATTGCCGGTAGCCTCCTCATCGGCATTTTTCTTGTTGCGCTTGAAAAGCCTGCCGACGCGGCTGAAAAAACGACCCAGGAAGCGGTAAGCAACAACCACGGGGTATCCCACAACATTCGCGATGCGGCCGAACCACGCGTCGGGGAAGAGGCGCACTACGACAGCCCAAGGCATGCAAAGCAGGGCTAGGACAATAGAGACGGCCCACTGCGGCCCATTGAGCCCGCCCTCATTGACAGAGAAGACACGGCCGCCGACGAAGATGATGGCGACCTGGAGGCCGACCATGAGGATGTTGATGACGATGAAGAATTGATTGCGGTGCAGGCCTTCGAAGATGTTGAAGCGGTTGTCGAGGCGGCGGTTGTTGAACTCGTTGAAGATCTGCATCCAGACGAAGGTGTTGAAGACCACCGTGCGCAGCTCGCTGTCGCTGTACGACGGGAAGATGCGCGACCCGCCAAAGTACAGTGTGAACGTCACCGCCAGCTGGAAGATGGCCTGCCCGATGATCATCTTCCACATGTTGGTCGTGATCAGCGGCGCCTTCTTGCCCTGCGGCGGCCGGTTGAGGATCTTCTCCGTCGGCGGGTCCGTGGCTAGTGCCAGGGCTGCGAAGGTGTCCATGATCAGGTTCACCCACAGGAGCTGCACGGCTGTGAGGACGGATCGCATCTCTGGGTCTGAGACAGCTGAGACAAAGGCCAAGAGGACGGCTGTGATGTTGACGGTGATTTGGAACTAGATTTTGTTAGTCAGTTTGAACAATTGAGGTGATAGTCAGGTCGGTGAGGACATACCTGAAGGAACTTCTGGACCGCGTCATTCACAGCACGTCCCCACTTGAGAGCCATGATGATAGACGAGAAGTTATCGTCCATCAGCACGATCGCTGATGCCTCCTTAGCGACCTCTGTTCCAGAGATGCCCATGGAGAAACCAACATCAGCAGCCTTGAGTGCGGGCGCATCGTTGGTGCCGTCACCGGTCACAGCAACGGTCTCGCCGAGACGCTTCAGCCGGGTTACCAGGATCCTCTTGTCCTCGGGCGAAGATCGAGCAAGCACCTGCAGCTTCGGCAGGGTGCGATCCATGTCTTCATCGCTGAGGGTCCTGAAGACGGGGCCTTCCATGACGACACCACCCTCGGTCAGTATGCCACACTCCATAGCGATCGCGCGGGCGGTCACTGCATTGTCGCCAGTGACCATGCGAATGACCACACCGGCGTGCTGGGCCTTCTTGACCGACTCGGGGACACCGGGACGCACGGGGTCTTGGATACCGACGACACCAAGGAAGACGAGGTCCTTCAGCACGGACGCAAACTCGACCGAGCCGTCCTGCATGTTTGCGCGCAGGGGTGGCCACTGCTGATAGTCGCAGTATACGATGCCGATGGTGCGGAGGGACTGGCGCGCATAGCTGTCGATGGTTTTCAGGAGCTCGTCCTTGTCGGACTGGCCCATGCCGGAGACGGAGAGGTCTGTGATGTCGGCCTTGGAAGAGCAGTACCCCAGCAGGATCTCGGAGGCGCCCTTGACTAGCAGCCGGTACCCGCCGTCGCGCAACTTGATGACCGCGCCCATGCACTTCTTGCCCGAGTCAAAGGGGAACATCTGTACCACCTGCTCGTTGGCGCGGACCTGAGGAAGCGATTGCATGCCCAGATGGTCCTTGGCCAGCTGCAGGAGGGCTGTCTCGGTCTTGGACCCGATGAACGCAAATTGGCCTTGGTCCTCACCCTCGAACGCTGTTGAGTTGACGGCAACGGACTGGACAATTGCCTCCTTAGCTGCTGGAGATAGCTTGGACGCCCATTGGGAGACGGTCACGCTTGAGCTGTCGCTTCCGGCCTTGGAGAAGCTGGTGGATCCGAACGTGCCGGCGACGACAGTCATTTTGTTGGTGGTCAATGTGCCAGTCTTGTCGGAACATACCGTCGTGGCGTTTCCCATGGTCTCGCAAGCGCGCAGGACTCGCACAAGATTGTTCTCCTTGAGCATACGAGTGGTTGCGAAAGCTAGAGCGAGTGTCACGGCCAATGGGAGACCCTCTGGAACAGCCACGACGATGATTGTGATGGCGACAATCAAGATATCCTAGTGAAATTTGTCAGCTTCCAGTAGAAGTACTGCCCAGCTGTAAGTCAAACTCACCATAAAGGTTGATGCCTTCGTCGGGCCGTCACGGTTGTCGTTGGGCAGGTTGGCCAGGAAGCGGATCAGAAGGACGAAGAACAATAAGAGAGCAGCGCTTCCGCCGAGCTTAGCAATAGCACCAGCCAGACCCTCGAGCTTCTTCTGGAGGGGAGTGGCCTCAACCTCAGTCCGGACGGACATCATAATCTTGCCGAAGCTGGAATAGGGGCCGACCGAGGTGCAGACGAATGTGCCCATGCCCTCGAGGACCTTGGCTCCAGAAATGATGAAGGGGTCCAGATCACCAGACTTTGCCTTCTCGCCGTTTTCGAGCATCCTGAAAACCTGTTCGCCGGGAGTCTTCTTCAGGGCGTCAGACTCTCCGGTGGCTGAGGACTCATCACACTTTAGATCGTGGCCGCTAATGAAAATACCGTCCACAGGAATAAGGTCGCCAGGTTCAAGGTTGACGACGTCTCCGACTAGGAGGTCATGTACGTTGATGATGACCGCTTTGCCGCTGCGAATGACCTTGATCTCTCGGTCTTCCTTCTTTTCGTTGAGTCGCACGAAGGCCTTTTCCTTCTGCCAGTCATTAATCGAGCCGACACCGACGACGATAATAATGGCAACACAGATAGCGACACCCTCGATCCAGTCCACGGCCGGTGGGGCGCCTTCCGGGTGGTCGACGCCGAATGTCTCGTACAACCCGAGGGCGAGGGAGATAACAGCGGCGACAGTCAGGAGGATCAGGACCTTATCGTTGTAGGCGTTCCACATGAGTTTCCACAGGGGTGTTGCCTTTTTGGGCGGGAGAACATTCCGGCCGTATACTCTAGTCCGGTCGACAAAAGCCTCTCCACCGGGTGTTGATGAGGTTTCTGCCTTAGATTCGGTCCCGTCAACCGCCTCCTGGAAGGCAATCTTCCTCCGCACACTGGTCTCATCGATACTCAGGCCAGCGTCAAGATCCGTCTGAAGACCCCTGGCTATTCCCTTGAGTCCACCAAGTGCCCTGTAAGCAGAAAGAGACTTTGGGTTAAGCAGCTTGTTGAGCTGGCCCGGGCTGAAGGCGAAAGGATTGTCGTCGACTTTGAAATCGCCCTCGGTGCCGGGGTCCGGGCGGAGGGCTTCCTCCCTGTCGACGACATGAGTGGTGACGCTGGTGGATCGGCTTCTGTTGTTTGGGGTGAGGAAGGGGTCTTCTGAACCTGCTGGCGTCAGGAAGGGGTTTGATGTGGTAGAAACTCCTGAGGGAGAGACTCCAAGCGTACTAGCACCAGAGTCCTTGCGAACACGTGTGTTCACCGAAAGTGATGGCGGCGCCAGGGTGTTGCTGTTATTGTTGTTGCTCGCCATGGCTGGTGAGGGAGTCTGCGCAGAAGCTATGCTTCAGTTGTCATTTGCATGTATGTAAGGTATGAATGTGTGTATATCCGCTTGTATTTAGGCCGGGGGTGATGGTGAGGCAGTCGATATAAGAGGGGTAAATAGCGAGGACTTTCGGGCACACCTAGCCCTCGGTCAAGAAAGTGTGGGTAATCTGTATAAACCAAGGTGTGTGTGGTATATGCGTAGTGTATTTACTGTTACACAAAGGTTGATAGACATTCGGAGAGCTGATGTGGCTGGAGGGGAGCTGGGGTATATAAAAGGTGTGAGAGGGAGACTGAGCTGTATCTAGGGGCTTTGCACTATGGCAAGTGGATGGATGGCAGGATGAAGGTAGGTGAATATGGGATCGGTATGAGATGTGTGTACAAAAGGCAATGAATGAGCCAAACCGAACCAACTGGGGCGGAGTGCGGTCTGCCTGGCCATGGGCGGGGCAAATGTCTTGGAAATACTTTGAGGTACAAAGTACAAAGATTGAAGGCTCATATCAACGGGACATTGCGCTTGCTCTCGATTCCATGGCCCCCCCAGCTCCCTCCCCGACTCCCCAGCCCTTTAGGCAATGTGTAGAAAAGCGAGAGACCAGAGGCAGAGCGAGGGCGGGTGTGACGCTGCAGGTTCGAAGTGGCAGGTCAGACCCGTGCCTAGAGCCCCAGCAAGCTTGGCCGGAGATTCGCAGTGAGGCTGTGCAGCTGCAGGCCGGCCAGAACCAGCCAGATGGGCACGATGAGGAGGCCTGCCGAGCTGCCGAGCCGCCAACCAGCGCCGGCTCGAGACGGAGCACCTTATAAGTGAGTTTGGCCCTGACCAGCCAAGCCCTCTTTCCCCTCCAAGCTTCCTTTTCTCTTGCTACCGAGCCCGCCTGGCCGTGTGTCCATGTGTTGCTCTGGTCCCTGCTATACCTGATTCTAATTCTTGCTTCCCTTACCGCCTGGCTGCCGCTATCCTGATCTGCGTCGCGTGTCTGCCATGATACAAGCGAAACGCTCTCTGTGCTTCTCTCCATCACTTACTTTTGGGACATATCGTTACTCCTCTTTCGGCTCACGGCAACTCGAGACGACCCTTGAGCTGACATCTGTTAGGTAAGCCACCCCACTCAGGGTAGTCTAGGTATTGTATGTACATGATATGTCACCTAGTCACATCTACAGTAGTTTGCTAGTCTGCACTCACTCCCGTAGTCTAAGATCCTAGATCCTACTGTTTCTCCCATGACCTAGTCTATCGTGGCTGCCACGCTTGCATTACTCAGACAGTATGCCCCGTGCAAAGTGAGCGAGTGCACGCCAGCTCAGAACGAGGACAACAACATTGAGCCAACCAACAATATCTTACCAGACAGGGACTCTGGGCCGTCGGTGGCCAACTCGATGGCTGGCCGGATTCGCTTTCATACGGTCATTTGACAGGCCGGAGAGAGAGAGATGCGTTGTTTTTTGAAGAGCCATAAAACAAACTTCATCCCTCCTTGCACGCCAAGGAGCCTGTAGTGCAGAGAGGGAGGCTGTGCTCTGAAAATCCCCATCCGCCAAGTCACTGGGCAGGTAACGATCCGCCGCCCATCGCTGCCATGTGGGCGGGTCTTGGGTCTTGTTTGCCGCGAGCGAAATGCATCTTGCGCGAATGCCATGTTTGACAAAGCTCTTGTCCTCCACCTTGCTGCACCAAGCTGCACCACAACGCACATGCACACATCGGCAAAACTTAACAAATCTCACCTTCTACCCTGGATTGCCGCCCGTTCTGCTAGAGATCGGGCACTATTACCTTTTAGGCCCTTGGCTTAACGAAACATCACCCACAGGCTGATGGTATTTCATCGTGCATCAGCGGCCGAATTGCGTCATTTGGAGCATTCCACGCCAATGAGAATTGCGATGTACATGGACGACTTTAAAGTTGTTTATTGGTGTTGGCTACTTTGCTACCCTACCCACAGACGTACACCTACACCTCCTCACCGCGACTCCCTTCTTGGCGAGTTCAGTAAACTCATGATGACTCGGCATAGATTGCTTCAATGCATTGTGATAATCCAAATGACTAGCGTTATATAGAGGAACAGTCTCCAGGAACAACTTCATTCCGCTCAACCTTCTCACACGTCTTACCTACCCACGTGCAGGAACCTGTATCAAAGGCGCAAGATAAAGACAGAAAAGAAGTCAGTCAAGTGTAGAATTGCACCAGCCCGGCCACGGTGCCGATTGTATGGTAAGCTAGGCACGTCGGTTCAAAGATGCGACGAGCTCGCAGATCATCACAAGTGCCTCGGAACTGCCTGCCAGTCTGCCAGAGAGCTCTTAAGTCTGTGCTTGGGAGTTGAGGAACCGTGCCAATGTCTCATCTCCGAGCCAATTCTACCAGACTCCTGGGCAAAGACTTTTACACAAGTCACTGCTTCCTGGCACAGTTTCAGATATGCTCGCCCGCCGCGTTGGGACGGCGGGCGATCATCCAATGCCCCAAAAATGTTTCAATACTGTTTGCGTGCCCTTCCCTCTCGCCCGATGGGTGGCCAAGCCAGAAACAAATTCCATTAGCGAGCATTAAATTGGTATCTTTTGCCGGAGCTCTCTAGTGAACACCGCTGCCTACCACTGCGTTTGCCAAGTAAGGCTGAGCACCTGGGCTGGAGAGTTTTCCTGATTGTTGTTTCCCCGATCCGTACCCTCGCTCGCGGCAGTCAAGTATCGCTCTCCCGGGGGAGCGGGAAGCTTTCGTCCCTTGGCGGAGCGAATGAGAGCCAAGCCGAGCCTAGGTGCGGCGTCTCGGTCTCGGGGGCGAACCCACGGGAAGCCATCACGAACTCTCTAATTACCCACGGCACAACACCAACCAGCTGTGACCAGAGCAGGAACGTGGTGCGATGACCGGGGCCGAGACTGCGGCTGTGCAGTCTCATCTTGTACACACGAGACTTTTGCGCCGATCTCACGGTCGTGATCGTCTCCATATGTTATTGATATCACCTGAATAAGATAATGCGATCCCTTGACACGGCGGCGGGTCTGAGACTCCCGGATATTTCTCCGACGATGTGATCAGTCTGCCTTGGCTTGGCTAGACCATGTCCCATAAACTTGATCAGACCAAGGCGTTTTTGATGGGATCATATCGGCATCGAAATATTCTCCGAACTGCGTGCCAGTTGCGCAGAGTGTTCCTGGCGCAGCAAGACATGGGATGCGTGCATACGCACAAACTCGGCTATGCCCACGGATGTGGTTGCTCAAAGTTAAGGGTGCTTATGGTCTCAAAGGTACTGATAAGCTATGAGCTACACACAAGAGCTAGCCAAGTTGATCATACGCTACAATTCCATTCGAGATGTTGATGTTATTCAACCTGGTTCACGATGCTTTGACGTCGAGAGTTACATGCACCTAGCTTCAGAAACACTCAATTACTGTCCATCGGCCACTGGTAGTTGTTGAACATGACCTTCATAATCTGATTCTATGCAAGACGCAATTTCATATATCCGCAAAAGCTACCAACGCGAAAAGGTTCTCGGGTCAGAAGTTAGCCGTTGTCGCACAGGCTGTGAAGTCTTGGCGGCTCACAAGTGTGCACCATTGACACTCGCTTCAACTCCTCATTAGCCCCTTACCTGCCTAGATAGGTCAGGTAGAGCCTCACCGCTCACCAGAACCCGAAAACTCAGTCATCACTAGTGCAAATCTCGTCGTCACAATCTCACGCAAAAGTAGCTCTGGCGCGTCCTTCGAAAGGGCACAGCCACGGGGTCGCAGCTGCTGCGATTCAGCTACAACCGAGTTGGCCTTCCGTCGCCACGTTCATGCCTAGCACGACTAAGTGCAAAACTTAGCAGCCGTCTTGAAAGACGCGTCGCGTATTCGTTATGCTAGTAATTCCAGCCACCTATATGATGCAATTCACCGCGTATGCGCACAGGTCAGTCACTCAGTCAGGACTTGCTCGCTGGTTTCATGGGCCCCTCGGATGCGTTCATCTGGCGAGAGGCAAAAGTCGCACTGCGGCCGTTTGCCAAGAGATACCGGGCTGCTTCGCCACTTTTGTATCAAAGACAATCCTGCTGAGGTTTTCCGTGGTGTTCCGCGATCTGAGATCTACCTTTGAGACATGCCTCGGGGGTTGCTGGGGGTTCAAAGTGGACGCGGTCCGGGGAACAGAAGGCTGCGAAGGCTGAGTGTGCTGTCGTGTTCGTACAGTTGTCATGCTTTCAACCATGGACCCGATGACGAGCTCAAAGTTTTCACTTCAGCTCCTCATCGATAGGTTGGCTTGGAAATGGAATACAGAAATCATCTCCGAACCAGGTGCTTATGGATGACTATGATTGTGACGAGATTTGACGTCTTACGAGTGACACACTTGTATGCCATGGTATGATAAGCAGACTCAATGCCTTTTTACCGCGAATTTGTTGGATTTGAGCAGGAGATAGGAAGTCTGAGCGTGACCCGGAACATGATCTTTTTAACTTGAACATTACAGAAAAATCGAGTAACTTCACTTCATACACGGCAAGCATAACGTGTCACTGTTTTCAGCATTGCCTTTTGCAGAGTTTGCCCCCACAATGCCTCGCTAAAAGATCATCAACACTTCCAGCGCCTTAATTACAAGTTGGCGTGTTAATGATGGTCACTGTTTAGTGTAGCAGACATTGTTCAGATCTAAACTCAAGACTACAATTGTGATGCTGCGTGATGCCAAATGGCCACACCAACACCTTACGGTCATCACTTGCGGCCATTCACCTTTTCGTCACACTGGTTGCATATCCTAGATCTCATGTGTGTCATTTATTTCCAAGAAACCATTTGGTGAGTCCAGCTGGCTCATGCCCGTGTTCCAAACGCATGACATTGGTAGTCCTGGTGACTGTCAGAGGCCTCAGTGGCGGATCCAGGAGGTGGCACGTATTCAGAGATTATAGTCACACGTACCCATCTGAGGCTGAGGCAGTGATGCGTAGAGTATAAACCTGTCAGTGCTCAACATGGTTGATGCTGCCCCAGAAGGCGGTGTCTAGCTCTCGTAAAGTGTATAGTGTTGTAGAGCAGACCATCCAATGCTTCTTCTGGAGGCGAGCGTCACGGGTACCCACGTACCGCTGGGGTTAGTCATCATGGGAGGCCCACGGAGTAAGTGGTCCGGTCTGCAGCGGCCCGCACGCAGTCGTGCCAGCCACTGCAAATCTGCCCGCCCGCCCTTGAAAAGCGTATGCGCACGGGCCACAAATCCTTATTTGTGCAGACGTGTTTTGTGTCGGCATCAATCAACCATCCTCGTCTGTCCGCGACACCCACAGCCTGCCAATCCTCACTTCAAGCAGCCCCAGACCCAGGGAGACGGTCCATACCCATCCCCATCAGATAAGATGGCGAATCCATCCCAGCAGGGGTTCTTTGTTCCCGATCTGCTGGCAACCCTGCCCAACACCATCGCCTCCATCATTGACCAACGCGTCAATGCCATCGTCGACCAGCGATTCCAGGACATCGAGCAGCGCCTTGACAATGTCGAGGCTGTCCTCAGAGCCGAGGGCCGCCTGGCTCCACCCCGCCAGAGCCCGCTGCGCGCCCAAGTCCAGCATCATCAGCAGCAACACCACCAACCTCAATTCCAACCAAACGTGAACCCTCCTCCACCTCCTCAGCCCCAGAGCCACCACAATCAGAATGTCGTCGACAATACCGACCCCGTCCTGGCCCTTGCCAGTGCCAACCAGGCTGCCGCCATGACAGCCCACCCTGCGCCGCCTGTCCCGCAGCAGCAACAACACCAACAGCAACAACAGCAGCAACAACAACAGCAGCAGCAGCAACAGCAGCAGCAACAGCAACAGCAGCAACAAACACCACAGATGGCGCCGCCGCCCTCGGCTGTCCTACACGCCATGCCCCCCATCGTGGCAATGGAGATCCCTCCCGAGGGCTTCCCCATCTCCAGCCGAGCCACAATGCAGCTCGAGCTCGACCAGTTCACCATCCCGCGCGGCTACTCGATGCGCATGAGCGGTACACGCGACATGGGCAAGGGAAAGCGCAAGATCCGCTGGATCTGCTTCCGCGCGGGCGAGGCGCGCTACAGCGAGGCCTCCAAGGCCGCCGGCATGCCCGAGCGCAGCTCCAAGAAGTGCAACTGCCCCTTCAAGTTCGAGTGCGTCGAGACCTTCCGCGACTCCAACATGTGGGTCGTCCACCACCACATCACCCCCGGCACCACAACCCACAACCACCCGCCCTCGGACCCTAGCGAGGACCCGCGCAGCCGGAAGCTGCCCCCCGCCGTCGCTTCCGAGGTCGACGGCTGGCTGAGGCAGGGCTGGCAGGTCAGCAAGATCATGACCGAGCTTAAGAACCGGGGTTTCAAGAATGTTCTCAGCCGGGACCTGTATAACCGCCGACAGCAGCTGAAGCGCGAGGACGAGAACGGCGACGCGTAGTGATGAACTGTTGGGATACCCAAGTGATTCAAGGATATAGGAGTGGTGGTGTTACATTCTTCTTTGTGTTCTACCAGAGGACAGGTTTGACGATTCCTGGGAGTTGCTGGCGCCTTCTTATCTTTCTCCACTGGGTTGACGTATACCCGTCCCAAGTCGAATTTTCAGAAGTCGAGCCTGTCGTGGCAGTCAATGGACCGTCACGACAGAGAGACTTCCGCATCTACTAGAGTAAGAAAGGGCTCGGGTTACTTCCCTAGACTACGCCGTTATGATCACGTAGGCATGCTATGCTGGCTTTGGATTAGTTCAACTTCTTGCGCTGCTAATCTTCTAACCCACCGCTTTTCTAATCCACAACATCATTCTCTGTCACTCGAGCCATGCCTGCTTGTGCCTGCGATGTCGTGCATCTGTTAGTGAGATCCGAATATTGGCCTCGATCATTGTGCCGCTCCAGACTGGTTTCATTATCACAACTGTCCATGCCCCAGCCTTGTAGCTGAACATGTTCCCTTGCCGCTTCTATTTGATTCACTGCCATCCGAGCAACGGCGAATGATATTATCCGCCTTGACCTCTCACCTTTCTGCTGTCCCTGGCCATGTAACTCAGTGCCACACTCAAAACGTGTGGATGCAACTATTTTTCTCTGTAGCTTAACATTTTCCGTCCCCGGATTACTAAACATGCACCCTGGGCTTGACAGCCTTGACGTGATGGATCTGCCTCGTAAAGCATGGACAAGCCATTCAGATGCACACGAAGTTGCTGGTTCATGTCAGCTTGTGCACACCAGCGGTCATAGCGGAGTGGAATCGTACCAGCTTCCCCAACAGTCGGGCTCCTAACCTTACTTGAACAGGACAACCTGCAAAGGTGTGCAACCGCACGAGTATTGCTGAGAGGAATACTGCTGACGGAAGTATAGGAAGGATAGTTTGTTCGGAGACGATGGTGAAATCGAACGTGTCAACAAGATGAGACCCTAGACGAGAATCGTCGGCCATATATATGTTGGAAGTGACGTTCAGGACTATTCTCTGCTTCTGTATATATAAACAGTGCTCCCCTGGAGCCCTGTTTCCTCGGCTTCTTTCCTCCCTAATCAATCCAATCGCTGCTATGACTCAACAATTCACACTAGTTTCAGTAGCGGATACTCGATGCAGGCCGAAAGTGTGTGTCAAATCAAAAACTGAACGCGATCAAGTTGCAGCGAGGGAGTATGTCGGCGGAAACTGGTCGGGTAAGCCGGCCCAAGGGAGAACGAGGTTTCCTATCGTTATCTGAGGTTCCGAGATGCTTATTCCTTTATTCCAGTAAGCCCAATAGACGTTCAATAGTCCATGTTCCCCCCGTCCAACTCGCCTGTCCTTGCCTGAAATGCACTTATGAAACTTGTCTGCTAAACTCTTGCGCTGCATGCAGCCACAGATTGTCAAATCAAGAGCGCCCGTCAGACCGAGTTAGAGACCACCCATAGAACTGTGCACCACACTCTACTCAATCTTCTGCGGCTTCGAGCCACATCTCTCGCAGAAGCATGACCGAGATATTTCAATACTGGCTGCCCAGTAAGCGGAGGTTTTGAGGGTCATAGCCGCCATGCTACACCAAATCAGCTTTGGAAGGAAGTTGTCGATGCCAAAACCATGGGCGATAACTGAAAGTCAGACGCGCAAAAATGGGGATGGTAGTGAGCCCCCCATAGCATGCTAAGTGGATTCGCTGGCGTGCGAGTGGCACCTCCTTGCCCTGGGCTGGAAGGGCGGGTGCGCCGTCATCACTGAACGCGGCGTCGGGCGGCGATGTCGCCGCTTGCATAATCGCTCTGTCCCTGGCGATGGCTGCATAGGTCCAAGATCCTGAATGAGAAGCGCAGTACCAGACGCCCGCCCAGAATGTGTAAACTCCAAATGTACTCACGGTCCTTGGGGGCCCAATGTAGAACCGACGGAGATAGTGGTGCCACAGAGCATCCAAGGGAATGCCTGCGGTCGCGAGAAGGCGCATACTCCTTTGTATGTCCTGGGCCGTTGGGAAAAATTGCGATTGTCGAACCCGGGCGCATCTTGAACATTCGGATGTATGAACTTCAGAAGGAGACATGGCGAGTCCGTGCTGCCAACTGCTCTCGAGAGCTGTAGACAGAGATGAGACACGTGTCGTGATTGCAGGGCAGAGGCGTCCCGCTCGTAATGATATTGGTACCAATTTGTTGTTCGAAACTCTGAAGACGTGAGGGTGTAATGACTATCGACACGCATCGTCGATTAGAGATGCATGCGATGTAATGGGAATGCGCTCATTTTTCGGCTCTCAGTAGACGGTTCTGTATAGGTGGTCCCAGTAGAGGAGTAGTATCGATCATTCAAATCAGTTAGAAATTGTTCGATCAGGAAACGTGGTATCATAGACGCATTGTGGTCAGGTGTGCCACTGACGAAAGTCTGAGACAACACAGCCGACATCTGAGATGCATTTGGCATTCTGAACAGCTGCGGGCTCGGCCATGTGATAAAACAGTACTTTGACGGTCACTGCTCTTTAGAGATGTTAGCTAAGGAAAGGGGTGCGCTGTTGAATGAAAAAAATAAAATGGACAAATTGATGCTGGGTGTAGTGATCATTCAGATGCGACAAGGAATCCGCTGCCGCGGCACTCATCCTGAATACCGATAGAGCAAGGCAGCCCTATTCCACGTGCTAGCCAAGGCATTGATTTTCTCTGCAACTGCAAATTGGATCTATGTGATTAGTTATGACTTGGAACAGCTTCGTGGCGCGGACGAGTCTGAAGTACCGCATTAGTCGACGTCTTGACACAGCAGCATCTAATTGTTTCAAGCGGACTACTTCTTGAGACTTTTGCATCAATGAATCCTCGATATTGATAAAGCCGCACCGCGGCTGTCTCGCTTTCATATTGTGGGCAATCACTTCAAGTTACGCAGTGACTTCCGCACCTAGTTCCTGTTCCCGCCACGTAGCCAATTCCGCAGCCTTCTGCTTCTCTCCCCACTCGACAAACCACGTCTCTAGGTCATTCATGAAGCCTCTGGCTAAAGATTCTCTGTGAACAGCGTCCTCAAGCAGAAACTCAATTAGGTCACGCATATATCTCTCAGACTGTTCCCGTTCCCCACGGGCCCTGCACGCCCGGGCAAGCCAGCTAAGGGCGTCGGCCTTCAGAAGACCTTGCGGTCCGCGCCGCACGAGATCTTCGAACACTGCCACAATTTCCTTGTTGAAATAGGGGTCTCGTCCGTTCGCCCGATCCTTGTAAGTGAGGTACATCGAGTACATTTGCAATGTGTGAGTAGTGCGTCGGCTGTTAGGCACCTTCAGCGGGCGCTCCAATTCTTCTTAAAAGTTGTATGGAACAAGGCAGACGTGAACACTTACTGGTACTCTCCGTATATGACCGCATTGTTGTTCAGAGTAAGTTCAATAATATTTCCAAGATTCGATGGCATTGCATTAAAGCCCGCGAATTCGCCGTGAGCGATCCACGAGGCAATGGCATGGGTGCTCCTCGGGCGGTCCATTAAAACATCCCATGACTGACAATTGACCCGCCAGGCCTCCATCACCAGCTGGTGAAGGTCATTCTCATCCACGTGGGTGAGCATTGTGAGTAGTTGGCGGAGTGGGTGGTTGCCGGGCAATCCCTTGTCCTGGGTAGCAAATACTGCAGCATACTTGATGAGATGTTTGACCACAATCAAAAGCTGGTCAGTCTCGGGTCTTTCGAGGTGGCCCCCGAAAGTGAAGTATGACAGAGACATGAAGAGCACTTGTAACATATTGACAGGCTGCCGTTCGATCAAATTCGTCAAAATAACAGGTGCCCGGCGCATGAGGACCAGAGCGTCGTTCAGTCTCTTCTGTTCTAAGGCGTACCTGACGCCGTGAGCTAGAGCGTTCCATTCTCCATTCGCGGGACGCTCCTCTCGCAAGGTATCGAGCTGTTCTCCCGATGTAACGATACCTTTCCACTGGCCGTGGATATAAGTGCGGACTTGGAAAAATACAGCCTCGGGCACGTATACGGAATCTGGAGATCTGACTGCCTTGATTAGCGGAGGTTTGTTGGCTCTGGCCCGACCCTCTTCCCGGCGCCGCAGATATGTTGCTAGACGTTCTTGTGAGACGAGCTGGCCGTTGCGCAAGCGGAGACTGTGGCTTGGAGTTTTAGAGTGTTCAGAAAGTTGAGTGCGGTTGTTTAGTATTTGAATGAGGTTATTGTCTTCGCCGTGTCTCAGACTGATGTTCTTCCTATAACCCCACATTTTGAGTCTTTTCTTGTACATTTTGCTCCTGCGAAAACTTGTCAGCCTTCTCAAGTGCTCCGCGCATACCCGGTGTACGAGCAAGCATGTGGATCATCCGTGGCACTCACGTTGCATCGAAGCCAAAGTCCCTCTTCATAGTATCCATGACCTCCTGAAGAGTGCGACCTTCATCCACGTAAAGCTTCTTGATCATCGGCTGCTGTGTCGCCCACTGAGCTTCGGTCGAGAAGCTTCGCGTCCGCCCCGGATACTGAGTCCTGGCCGCGGGTGCTTGCGTGCCCATTGGCTCACTCGTTGCTAGCTCCATCTTCAAATTAAAATTCTCAGCCTCGCAGTCTGGAAATAAATTGCTAAGTTGCCGGTGTCTTCCTCGGAACGACGTTGGCACACCCAGCTTTGGAGGGTGCGGAAAACTTCTTGACCGTCTCACGTGAGACGCATATGTTTTCAGTGAGTGGGGAAAGGCCTACGATTTGCCACGACTTCGCGCTCCAGTTTACTTTGCCAGCATGTTCGACGCTCAGATGGTGGCCATGGCTCGGCAATAAGTACGCTGGGCGAAGATAGCATGCCAGTATCCTCAGATGCTGCAACTGTTGAGCGTCAGGGAGTACAATCGCGTCTCGAAGCCGTGGTGTTTTTGAGACCACGGTGTAGTGTATATCCCCTTCCAAGACCATGAGTAGACTGCATTGTTGCGGCTAAAACGGATTAGCGCCTTCAACCCTGCCCGCCAAACCTTTACAAGATTCGAGCGCCACTGGTGCATGGCCCATCATCTCGGCAGACGCCTGTGCCGATAGTTGCGTACCATTGCGCGTAAACCTTGAATAGCGGTGCCTCCAGCCAGCCGGCCAACCAGCATGATAAACACGTACGAGCTACCATTTATTTGCATAGGGCTGAGCGATTTTTAAGAATTGTAGTAGTTGTTTCAAAGGCTAGTATCCTCGAGTCACTGCCTTCACAAGTATGGCCACCCAAAGGATCAAAAGGTTTTTGCTGGAGAAATGTCTCGTCGATTGCTGGGGTTAGATTCTTATTCACCTGCGATACCTGCGCTCAATCCTTGAATTCACCTTTCACATCGATGCTTGTCCCCAGCCGGACGATGGGTCATGGCAAGTCAAATCGGCCAGCTCAAAGCACAACCAAAGTCAATATGTTGATGCCGTCTCTGAGCCTCAATTTGTTCTCAAAGACGCACGAACGGATATGGGATATGTTTCTTGTGGCACAAAACGAGAAGCGGAAAATTGACTGAACATTGCTACGGAACATTCAAAACGTTCACAAGAAATCTGTGTGATGTTGAGCCCTCCGAGAGGCCACCATCTGGCACAACGTCCTCCTTAAAACTTAAACTCTTGCCCAACAAGCTTCTCACTTAGCTTCCACAGCCTCTCCGCATCGACCTTGCTCGTCGCCCAGGAATAGACTTCTTCCAAGAACGGATCGGCAACATGGCAATCAGACAGAAATGCGCCATTGTGCTCTTTGATGCTGTTATCGAACGCAGCAAAAACATGGGTCGCTGCGCCCTGATCCAAGGTCTTGAACTTCATATCGGCCATCCCCCACAACCATTTGTTTCCGTATATATTGTCCATTTCAGTGAGGTCTGCGGCAAAGGAAGCCTGGTCATCGAGTCCATGTGCTGCCAGATTCGTGTAGATCGTTCCAGGGCATAGAGAGAAACTGAGGACCCCCTTGGAGCCGAGCCTCTCGGCGAGTGCGAGCGCCGTCAGGGCATTTGCAGTCTTTGACTGACCGTACGCCAGCCATCTCTGGTAATGCTTGCCCTCGTTGAAGTTGTAGTCCGACCAACGGATATGGCCGATGCGATGGACGCCGCTGGAGACGAAGATTACTCGCGGGGCATTTGAGGCGAGTAACTTGTCCATAATGAGGTTGGTGAAGAGGAAATGACTGAGGTGATTGGTCTGGAATTGAGTTTCGAAACCGTCTTCAGTCAGCTTGTAAGGCACGGCCATGATGCCTGCATTGTTGATCAAGATGTCGATTTGAGGCACGTCAGCCCAGGAATTTAGTGTATCGGCAGCTTTGCGAACGTCGGTGAAAGAGAGCAGGTTCAGCGGCAGGGGCTTGACATTGACCGTGGGATGCGAGGCATTGAGCTCATCAATGAGGCCCTGCATCTTGGAGACAGAGCGGCCGGCTAGAATCAAGATGGCTGGTTTTCCTACGGCGACCTGCTTGACGAAGCTCTCGCCGAGGCTACCAGCAGAGGCACCTGTAATAAGAATGATTTTCCCGGCGATCTCAGATGCGTAGTGTGCCACAAGCTCGCTGGCCTTGGTCTCGGAGTTGTAGATTGGTGCCATGCTGACGTTGGCACAAGGGCTTAACAGAATATTAGGGCTGAAAGGGCTGAATCGATAAAGCGATAGCTATTGAGGGATTAGAGGTGCTGCAACGGTGGTAGATTCTGTCATAGACCGGCCAATGGGCAAATCATAGCCTTTGTGTATGAGTAGGGAAGATGTTGGTAGAAAGGGTGCATTCGATTGCAGAAGGAAAGATTGGAGGAAGCAGAATGTTTGCATCTACCCTCACTATAAATACTACAGACAGCAATGAGTGTGGTCTGTACACGGCCCACGGTAAATACACGCGGGGACTGGCGTGGCACCCTTTAGCTTTAGTGAATGCGCGTCTGGATTCCAGGATAATTGTCGCATAACGTAAAAATGGGCTGTATGAGTCTCAGCTATGTGGATTTGGTGCTAGAATGATTCAGTGCTTCTAGATTCGCGGACGAAAATCAAGCCGCTCGGAGACATCACGAATTATGCTTCTCTAGACACCCGGCCCGAGGTTTTGTTGCTCTCGGAGACTTTCAGACCTTAGCTCCAGCCTCGGCCTCTCGGGCGCCTCGAGGCCTCAGTATTTACGGAAAAGTGAAAATTGAAGGGCTTAATCTCCTAATTCCATGCTCACAAGTGTGATATTGGATGCTGCGGCGTTTGCGGTCGCATGTGAAAAAGTATAAGAATTCGTGAAAATCCATGCTGCCAGTCTGAACCAAGCCTTGATGAATGCTGATCATTCCGAACATTACTTGACTTTGAATACTTTCATCAAATTTCCATATTTCCAGCAGCACAATTACTTCACTATGGCCGTGATACTGATTACTGGCGCTAACTCCGGCATTGGCGAGGCGGTAGCCAATCAGCTGGCCAAACAACCCAACCACCACATCATCATTGCTGCACGAAGCCCAGAGGCCGGTTCCAAGGTTGCGGCGGATCTCGTAACCGCGGGTCACTCAGCATCTTCAGTCCAGTTGGATCTTACCTCAGATGATTCCATCACGAAAGCTGTTAAGCAGATCCAAGACGCTCACGGCAAGCTAGACATTCTCGTCAACAATGCCGGCGGCGGTTTTGACCAGGTGCCGGGCCTGACCACGCGCGAAATATTCACTCGGAACTTCGACCTTAACGTCACCGGCACGGCAATTCTCACAGACGCTCTCCTGCCCCTGCTCCGCAAGTCCACGGCGCCTCGGGTGGTTTTCGTCTCGTCACGCCTGGCTTCCATCAGTCTGTCTTGTGACAAGACGTCCTTTTGGTACGAGTACGATGCCAAGGGGTACAGCAGCAGCAAAGCCGCTTTGAATAGGCTTGTCGTCCATTACGCCCGCGTTCTATCTGACGCAAGAGGGCTGGTCAACGCCGTGTGCCCGGGCTTTGTCAAGACGAAGCTTACCGACTTTGCTGACGGGGGAGTTACGCCTGAGCAGGGAGCTAAGAAGATTGTGGAAATGGCCTTGTTGGGTGAGAATGGACCAACTGCAACTTTCACCAGTGAAGACGGTGCATTGACATGGTAGCTATGCAACGCTGACTTTTGTTGGCCGGTGAGGATGACGACACACAGCATCCGGGAGTTGATGATTTACATAGATTCTGCCATTTGAATTAGATTCGTGGGTTCAGAATATGCACGAGGTCCCTGCTCACGATTCATGTATGAAAAAGCTCGTTACAGGGCGTCAGTTGCGTAGACACAAAATCACTATGTAGTAACCCATGAGCCTTGCCCTTCGACGAGAAACCTCTTCCGTGATTGGAGACCAAATTCAGCTCAGTGTTGAGTAGATACTCATCCCTAATCCTTCGTGTTATAATTTGGTGGCGGAACTTGCATGGACTGGGTGACAGCCTGGTACCCTTGCGTGTTGATGCTCTCTCGGGCCTGACGGCCCTTGACCTCGTTGTCTTGTTGAATCAGGGCGCAGCATGGACACCAGAACGATGTGCAACAGTCGCCACAGCCGCTTCCCTCAATTCCAAACTGTTCTCGGATCTCGCCCCGTTTCATCGTGTTGAAACTTCGTTGAATTGGTTAGTCTCCCAGTTCAACAGAATGGAGCGGAAAATTCGTATGGCCTTACATCCAGCCGCTCGCAGTCAAGCTTTGAATACCACAAAATAACATGCAATCGCCGTTCAGGTTTTCAGGGACGGTGCTAGGATCCCTCATGCGATGAGACGTCCGTCCGAAGACTTGTTATCAATGTTAGCGGTAGAGACTTAGTCACATCACTTTGTATAAATAAGGTGACCCACGTATGCAAGGCAGGAACGTTGCTAGTAGACAAGAGCTGGAGGGTGAACAGTCCATGAGGCTGTTCTCCCACTCCTTGCTGCCCTGTGAGGATGCCATTTTTTGGGGCTAGATTTTGGTCGTGCTGGAAGTTGATAGTTCGACAGTCTCTAATACTGAGAACGCTGGTAGCAGAATAAGAACAACGGAAGTCGATGATTGAAGGAGTGACATGAAGGAAAATATGAGTTTAGAAAAGGATAGCTATTGAAACATGGGAAACAATGCCCGACTGTAGCACATCTGCATATATATATACACTAGTAGCTAAGTACAGCGGTTCCTCATCAACGATCAAATTTTGCCTCGTCGTGGGGTAAGTATGGACCAGATCTCCACCTTGAAGGGCGGCCTCGACTCGCCTGAAGCCAAAATTGAATTGCCTATGACTGCAATCTGAGAATACTTGCTGGTCGCTATGATACTGCGCCGAACAGGCTGTGACTACAGAGCTGGGAGGTCCCGGGCCCCATGGTGTGGGAGAGCGGCTCTGTGTGAATAACAAGGCTATTCCTATTAGAGTGTGAGCTCGCCGGCGAACATCAATCACAGATCCACTCATGAGGTATCCATCGTCGTTCTGCATGTAGCAATGTTCGGGAATAAACGCCGTGGAAGTCGTATCACCCTACCCTGAGCGCCGTAGGCAGAATTGATGTATCCGGAAATGCAGGTGCTGAAATACGGAAATCAAGGACAGGGGTATGCAAAATCGGCGCTCAAAACAAGAGGAGCCAATGGTTTCGCATGTTGGAGCATAGTGGAGATCTACTTTGGATTTGGTGCGCAACTCTGCCAAGATGGGAGTATTTTGTGGAATCCTAGACCCATGTTCCCGTAAATACAAACTATAAAGACGCAGCTGCATCACCCGGCTCCCTTGATGCGGTGAATTTCCGTATCCCATCTCATCCCACAGATTCACTTTGCCTTGCTTCCCATGGACCCAGGCCCGCCAGAAATGTCCCAAGATGAAGATGCTCAGCCCCATGGGTCTCGAAATCGCTCCAGGCGATCCCACCACAAGTCTCGCAATGGATGCGGAAATTGCAAGAAACGAAGAATCAAGGTTAGCACATAGGTCTCCCATATTGGTCAACACTGGGCTGAGCTCGGACTTCGGAACTAAGCCAGACTTGGTTCTAGTGTGACGAAGGAAAACCGGAATGTAGCAACTGTGGTGCCTTTGGTGTGAATTGCGACTACGTGGCTGGCGCGGCCACAATCCGAGAGGCTGCTCTGGAGCGTCGTCTTTTTCTCAACACTCGTGGGGGCTCTCGACCACGTGGAAAGCGTGGCCGGCCGAGAACACGCTGGGAAGTTGAGCCCGCGGTGTCAGATGAGCCTGCATCGCAAATTCAGCTTGCAACGCCCCCGGGCAGTGGCTCCAACTCTGTCTCTCCCTGTCCTGCGCCTGACTCTTCCTCCAGGCCAGAGCAGGTGCTGGTGCGCCCTGACGAGCCCGAGCTGCCCCAGTATGCCGATGAATTGCGGCTGCTTCATCACTACCTTGAGCTAGAATTCAAGGGCTCCGCTGACCAGCCGCCCACCTTCGACGCCCTCCGTCTTCAGGCTCCTACGCTAGGATTTGCATATCCATTCGTCCTTCACATGGTCTACGAGTTCGCCGCGTTGTCTTTTGCACGCGTACAACCGCCTGAGAAAAAACAGCATTACCAGGCGCTGGCTTCTCATTACTCAACGCTTGGGCTACATAAAGTAACTGAGATGCTGCCCCAGATTGACGCACAGAACTGCCATGCCGTCTATACCGCTGCTGTTTTTGCCTGCATTAACACCTTTGCTCGAGGGCCTCAACCTGGTGATTATCTTCTTTTCAGCGAGCATGGATCTCCGCAATGGCTTCCTCTACTAAGGGGGGTCCGGACGTTGGTTGATATGATCGGAGTACACACGGTTGCCAGCCGGCCGCAGGGCGACAGGCCTGTGGACTCCTCTCCAAAAGCGACCGAACCGGCAATGACTGCTTTCTCCCTTCGGTGTACCCGGCTCGACTGGATCAGTCAATTTGAACGTCTCAGGGAAATGACACACACATCGCCAAGTGTAGCAGATGCCGCGGTGAACGCAAAAGCTCTCGAGCAACTTCGCATGTGCTACTGGGCGACTTACGGCGGAGAGAACGGCGAGTATCAAGGTGACGCGAACCATCAAAATTTCTTCATTTGGCCATACCAGCTTGAGGATGAATTCACGGACGCTCTACAAGGTAGAGACCAAACGGCCTTGGTGATTCTGGCTCATTTTGCAGTGTTGCTCAGAGTATTCGGATTTTCCATCTGGTTTCTGCAAGGATGGAGTGAGCATCTCATCGACGGTGCTCAAAGATTCATCGATGATTATCATCGAGTCTGGCTGGAATGGCCGATCGAGCAGACGGCAAGGATGGACCGAGAGAGAACAGAGGCGCAGAAGTGAAGATCAATCCACCAGGAACACATAAAAGAGAGGTAATGGCCTGTCTCTGAACAATTTGACACGTATTTCAATAGCGCATGTTAGATAATTCTGCTTGCAAAACAAACTCTATTCTTGTACTGTCCACCGCCTTGTTTCCATACCGCCACATTCCGCGTGTACCTTTTGATTTGGTGAGCCATGTACGCACAGCGCACCGCCCAAAAGTGCTTAAAATTTTGCTTTGAGCGGTATTGGACTAGAACGCATGATGAGATGCGTGATGTGGGAATTGTGCCCCGGTAGGACAGGGCGAGTAGATTGTGTACCGTACTTCTGTGTGGATACAATTTGCATGGTTTGGACGCTGTCACCCCAATCTCACGAAGCCGAAAGAAGCGATTTTCCGTATGCGTATCTGTCAAAGGCCCTAAGCCTCCCTCCGTCCATGGCCGGCCCCACTTTATCCTACACGGATGTAGGCCCCGATTTTGGGTCGTCTTGGCCCTTGGTCTAGCCGTTATTCTTATTAATCCCACCATGCAAGATACAGCGACGACACTCCAACCCCCCCCCCCCCAAACCTCTTTCTTTTCTCTCCATCTTGCCTACAGTTGGGAGTATACTGGTGTGAACACCCTCATTTGGCGGAAGGGTTACCGGCTTATGAAATGCTGATCGGCTGTCTCAGCGGGAGAGTCTTGTAAGGTTAAGCTTAGCCTGCCAATGTTGGCCAGCGTCCAGTAGGACTCTAATCAATGGTCCAACCTCGATTGAATACTCTCTTAATATTCAAATCATACCTATGTGACTAAAAGGATAGTTATTCAACCTAGGATATTGACAGACACAATGCAGAGCTGCCGTGAAACGGCAATAAATGATTCGGAAAGCCGGGTTATGGATTCCGAGGACGGCAGCACGATAACTTTTGGGCACCGGCATATGTACGTGGCGAGGGCAAAGCGATAGGTGCGACCCAGCACGGAAGGTAGCTCGAGAGGAGCGCGAAACACTTGATTCTGTGTTGCATCACGGTTGGTTCGCGCCCGGAAACATGTTCGTCAAAGACGAAGGAGCTAGTGACACCACTAAAGGACTCGACAATGAGTGTATCTGCTTCGAATGGAAACTTCTACTGACAACAAACTTTCTTGCATCGTTGTGCCCGTAGGTGTGCGCGGGATCCGCGAATGTGGTACCTAGCACAAGACCGAAGTATGCGGATGCGACCGCTGTGGTCCTTGCTGAGGAGGTCCTGGCTCTCGTTCCGCACGCATCATCTGGCGAGAACGCTGAGTGTGGCGAGTATCCTTCAAGGTGGTACGCAAAACCCCCTGTAGCATTCCCGTATTTAAGCAGTATTAATAGAATAGACAACGCTCAGTCGGCCCCAAACGAGACCAAATTAGGTGGTGACGAAGTGCGGTTGCACGATGGACAACCCATAGAAAGACACTGGCTGTCCCCTGTAGACCCTCGGCGGACACCACAGGACTATCAAGCAATGCAGCAAGGCAGTGGCAACTGGATTCTTAAAGGTGAACAACTCCAAATAAAGAGAATTATTTTGTTGGAATAGCGGAGTTGGAGTGATACGTGTTGCCGTTAAACAAAGGTGCGTAAAGGGGTTACTTGTTTCAATCTTTCGTGTTTCTCTGGTCAGCGAGTCATGTTAACATGGCTTTGCCGTGGTCATGCTCAGCTACAGTCTTGATAACGATGTTTCAAGCTGGCGGAAACGTTCGACTTGGGCCCACACTGCAGTATCCTGGAGTAGAGCATCATGGAGATAGAGAAGCTCCTGCAATATCTGACATGAGTTACAAGACGAATCACTCAATGCGTCATATACCAATGATTGGTGCGACTTTCTTGTTGCAGTCTGAAGTGTACTCCACGTTACACTACTCTAGGTACCTCAGCAAAGAGGATGCGTACTACGTACCTAGGTAGAAAAGGCACTCCGGAGCCATCTTGGAACTTTTCGACGACCCATCACGACTTTTGGCACGCCATGCTTTATCTCTACATAGTGCAGGTAGGTGGCAGAAAGGTTGCATTGGTGAAGCGATAAATTCTCGTAGATCAGAGAGCCATTCTGGGCGTGATTGTCGACGCTGTACTTGGGTGTCAGACCATTGGTGCGATGGTTTTCTCCATAATTGTTCCGCGAATATATTGCTACGGAGTACCTTCTCCTTCGCCAACGCCCTTGGCGGTCTTGATCTTGGCGAAGTTCGTCGACTCCTTACGTGATTGTGTATAAAGGAGCATTTTTGGGGGCTACTTCCATTTTTCTGAATACTGCTGAACTCTAGCGTATATTGAACATCAGAGATCGTGCCCATTGCCCTCTGCATATCTGTACATTCATCCATCATCAGCCGGGTCCGAATTCTTCGACGTTCTCAAGTGCTGTTCCAGGAACTAAATATTCTCGTCAACCGTCTCCATCACTCGTTCGATCACAATGAGGACTGCCACCGCCACTGCTGTATTGAGCTTCTCGGCCTTAGCATCTGCCCATGGATTTGTTCAACAGATCTGGTTAGGCGAGAACCTTGTTGATGCCTGGAACCCCTACAAGGACCCGCAGAAAGCGGGAGTTAACAAGATCACCCGCAAGTTCAAGGACAATGGACCCGTGACAGACGGCCTGTTTACTGTAAGCAATGGGTTAAACCCAGACGGTGTCGTGGCCCCTGGCTGACTGAAGATGAAGACCGACGCGATTACATGCAACATCGGCATCGACGGTGAGAACAATGTGCCAGCGAACACAACAGCCGAGGTTGCTGCAGGCAGCACAGTCAAGTTTATGTGGACTGAGTGGAAGAGCGACCATCCTGGTCCCGGTATGCGTGCCTGCTTTTCTTCGTACCGATTCTAAATGCTGATGGCAAATCCAGTCATGACATATCTAGCGAGCTGTGATGGCTCGTGCAACAAGTTTTCGGGAAGCACCGGCAATGTCTGGGTCAAAATTGACCAGGCTGGTTACGACGCGTCCGAGTCCATTCCCTGGGCTAGCAAGAGGTTGCCGGAGCAGAACAGCACATGGACTGTGACGCTGCCATCATCTATCGCTTCCGGTGAATATCTTCTGAGGTGTGTTTGACATCGGCATCTGCTTTGTCCGATTCAGGCTTATCCACATGCATGATAGCTAACAGCCATCTTATACAGACATGAAATTCTCGGGCTGCAACGGACAAACACAAACGGTTCGCTAGCTCAATTCTATCCTAACTGCCACCAAATCACTGTCACTGGCAGCGGCACAACCAAATTACCGGATGGAATTGCTTTGCCGGGTGCTTACCAGCCAGATGACACCACTTCTGTATGTATTTCTCCGATCTCGTGTTCTTCCCTGTGCTGATAACAGCGCGTCTAGATCTTCTTGGAGTACCGTGATATCTCAGCCACTAATCCATACACCCCTCCTGGTGGTCCCGTCTGGAGTGATGATGGCTGGGCAAGCTAAAAGACAAGACCGGAATTTGAAAAAGCTTTCGTGATGGAGATCAGTTGTTTCAATGTACATAGTCATTGCGTGGTTGTATATGACTGCTTTTTGCAAATATTCCTACGAACTTGGTTATCTCTCTTGCAGCATGCAGAGCTGCTATAACGTTCAACCTCTGGATAGCCGTTAACCCACATGGCCATTTTAATAATTCGTAACCTCATAGCACGGCAGCGTAATGTCATAGTGAGTGGGATTTGATTTGTTTTACCCCTTCTAGTGTCTTAGCATTTCTTAGTAATTTGGTGGACCTATATTAAACTACACATGTATGCATTACACCCATCTCATGGGCATCAGGAGCAGATCTAAATTCATAGCTACATTCAGAATGTCTTCAGCGGGTGAAAAGCCATCGGTACCCTGGGTAATCTGGATAGACCTAAACCAAGAATCTACCCTGAAGACTACCAGAAGTACATATCCAAATACGGTATATTTTCGTATCACGGTTTTCAGAAGACTGTGGTGGCATAAGTTGGATTATCAAGTTCTGGGGCGATGCCAAAAGTATGAGCGTAGGAGGTACTGAGTACCTGGCTGGTCACCCTGGCTCTGTGAGGCCCAGAAAATGGCAGCCCTGCTAGACCGAATCGGGCTTCCACGACGGCGAATTCTCGAGTAAGTATGTAATTATCGCGGCAACACATAGCTGGGTGAGACAAAATTTTCTCAAGCAAATCTATTCTCTCAGGTAATGCCTTTTCAAGGTCTGTTGGACTGGTTCAGGTGTCCGGACACGCCGAAACGGGTCATGGGCATCGGTAGGAAGCCGAGCACTGGCCACCATGGGGCCGGAGTCCCTGATATTGAATACGCTTACGGATATTTGCTGTTTTTGGCCAACGAGCTGAGAAGGGCTATCAACAGACGTCTCACTATATAGGTTCTGATTATGCCCGCCTAATCATTTGGTTTTGTAAACAACATCTCGTTCGACTGCTTCGGTATGTTTAAAGCTCAAGATGTCTAATTCCTCACTCGCTTCCCTGTGCTCTTCGGGTAATATCCCGAGCCCAACGCTTTTTGGCGCCGAGATCATTTCACTCTCCAGCAACCTGGTCTCCAACTACAGCACCTATGTTCCGGAGGCATACAACTACAATCATCCCTCGGTTAACGTCGAGAACGTCGATTACTGCAATATCACTGTCACATACACTCATCTTGGCCAGAACGACAAAATCAATGTCGAAGCCTGGCTCCCCTTGGAATGGAATGAAAGACTGATGGCGGTGGGCGGAGGTGGTCTAGTCGCCGGCCGTTTCGTCCTGTCATATTTCTTCATGTCTGGAGCGATTGGTCAAGGTTATGCGGCGGTAACCACTGATGCTGGCACTTCGACTTTCCCAACAGCTGGCATGACTGAATTTTTGCTCGGGCCTGGCAACATGGACTGGAATGCAATACAAAACTTCGGCTCCAGAGCCTTAAATGACGAGGTATCATCTCCCCCACCGATTGTCTGAAAGGTCCGCCTATGTGTACTGACATCCACAGTCAATCATCGCCAAGGATTTGGTTGCGAGCTTTTACGGCCGCAAGCCTAAGTACTCGTACTGGAGCGGTTGCTCCCAAGGTGGTCGACAGGGGCTCATGCTAGCCCAGCGTTACCCGACAGCATACGACGGCATCGTGGCTTCCGCGCCGGCCATCAACATCCCCTTGTTCACACCCAGCTTGTACTGGCCACAGCTGGTCATGAATTTGCACGGCGAATATCCACGCATCTGCGAGGTCAGGGCGCTCACAGCTGCCGCTATAGCATATTGCGATTCAAAAGACGGTGTCACAGACGGAATAATCTCTGACACGGACGGTTGCGATTTCGACCCGTTCTCTATGGTAGGTGAGTCCTTCAACTGCTCAGACACAGGTTCGCGCATGCAGATTAGCCATGGCGCCGCCCTTGTTGCGAACGCAACGTGGGCTGGGCCGATATCTGCTGACGGGACACGACTGTGGTACGGCATGGAGAAAGGAGCTCCCCTTGATATCGCCAATACTGAATGCAGCAGCAACGGGACTTGCGCCGGTATGGTCGGTAACGCAGGAGAGGGGTGGCTAGCATACAGCGCCGTCAAGGACCCCTACTTCGATTCGTCGAATTTGACCTTGGACGCATACTCCTGGTTGATGCACACCAGTGAGACGGAATGGAAGTCCCTGTGGAGCACGAACGAGCCGGATCTGTCCGCCTACCGCAACATAGGCGGCAAGATACTGACTTACCATGGACTTGTAAGTTCCATGTTGTGCCTACCGATGTTCAATAGATAGTAAGCACCAGTCAATGGGCTAACGTGTCTTCTCCCAGGCCGACCAGAACATCCCGCCCAAAGGCACAAGAGACTACTATGAGTCTGTTGCTAAGGTCCTTCCCGAAGTCAACGACTTCTTCCGCGTCTTCGAGGTCCCCGGGCTTGAGCATTGTTCTGGAGGCAGCGGCGGGCAGCCGACCACTATCTTCGACCAGATGCGTGCCTGGGTTGAGAACGGAACTGTACCCGAGACGCTCCCTGTCAGCTTCACGAACGCGAAGAACGAGACCTATAACCGCATCGTGTGTCCCCTCCCTCTAAAGACTACCTTCAACGCCACGTGTGGCGACGGCACCAAAGCGGAATGCTTTCACTGCGCGAAGGAGTAGATGGTGCAATTGTGTCAGTAATATTGCATAGACACAAGGGCATATTTGACTTCATTCAATGATATTTCTCTTCGTTTCTTTACGGACTTACCCTCTTATTCGATTCTTACCGTCTATTTACTACGCTGGTGTAAATTGGTCGAGCAGTGTCTAAGTACATATTCTATTTTCGAAATCAAATTCCTATTTCAGACCACACTTTAGTATCGATCCTCTTGTCATGTCTTCTATGTGATTGTAAATCGTTGAAACGCCAGGGTCTGTTGACAACATCACATTAGTTTCTAGATACCGCTTGATGTTGTCCATTCGAGGTGCAGGAGGCTATGGTTATTTTCACGTTCGTAGGAACCTAGTATTCGAAAAGTGTTATTGAGAACTTTCATGGCGAGATCTTTCAGGATGCTTTAAACTCCGATTTGAGGTCAAGTAATTATTTTGCACTCTCACGGAAGTGAGAATCATTTGGCTACGACATTATTTTGAAACACTTTTGAAATTCAACATAAGCAGAACCGAGTGGTTCGTCAATCCTTCTTTGTTTTCCGGTTACGTAAAGCAACAACATGCGAATTGTGACCGGATACCTTTCATGAAGTGCAAGATAGAGCACGCATAAGCCTGAACTAGTTTATAATAGTATATCGAACTTTGTTTTTGACATTGACTTCCGTAGCTCAAATTTCCAGAATCGAAAAGGTTCATATTCAGTTCAACTCATGAGCTGATTTAATAGCCTTGGACTTCCCCGTGTCCAAGATGACAGCCGGATCCTCGGGGTCACCTTTACGAGATACCTCATTGCCCCGCTTTGTCGTGATGGTTGCTCTATGTTGTGGTCAGCTCTCAATGTAAAGGCCATTCATCCTTGATGATTTGAGACTTACTCATCCTCTTTCACGTCAAGCACTTTGCCCGTGGGGTTGCCACTACCCCAATTCCAGCTGACTTTCTCGCCCTTTTTGGGTCCATTCTTAGATGACTTCTTTCCACCCGAGTCATCGTCTCCATCCTCTTCTTCTTCCTCCTCGCCATTCTCCTCGCCACCCTCATCGTCCTCCTCTTTCTGATCAGCCTCACCTTCGCCATTCCTCTTCGATGCAGCTCCCTGACGGGTCTCTCTCTTCTTATTCGCTCCATTCTGCTGACCAGATTTCTTCCGCTTATCGCCGGCTTTCTTCTCAGCTTCCTCAGCATCTTGTTCTTCCTCCTCTCCGTTCTCCTCCTGCTCTTCTTGTGCGTCGTCCTCTTCCTCTTCTCCCTTCTTCTTGGAGCCAGACTTGCTCCCATTCTTGCCAGTAGACTCGCTTTTGCCCTGTGCCTTGAGCGGGTCATGACCCCAATTCTTCAGGCTGATATATGACTTGGTCTTCTTGGCGTCCTCTGGATCCTTTTCCTCAAGGCTTCCAGACTCCTGAGCCAAGTGCCGCTTGCAGTATGAAGCAACCTTCCGCATGTGCTGAATCTGCTCCTCAGTATACTTCTCCGGGTCCTTCTTAGGGTTGGCTTTCAGAATCTCGATGATCTTCTCGCCGGAATCCTGGCCGACGGACTTGCCATCCCCACCATCTTTGCGCCACCCAGCCTCGCTGGATTCATCGGATTTGAGCCATTTCTCCAGCTCAGAGGGCGTCATGTTGACGTATTCATTGAATTCAGCGATGACATCTTTATCGTCCTTAACCATTTTGGCGGTGTTTGTCTCAAATTTGGTGAGTTCGTAACTTCAGCTTGAGTCGATTCAGCTTTCGATAGGGGGCGCTGTCTTTAGAAGTCAAGGTCATGCCGGGGCAAGCTTAAAGAGTGAAGCACCAAGGAGGAATCTGTCCGTTTTTGAAGCAACTAGAAGCTCCAGTGCCGGCCCACTGTGCTTGTGGAACTGTCTGTGCTGTGTCGTCATGGAGATTTCTTAGAAGTCGTGTCGTCATACCAAGTTGAGGCTTCTAATACCCTTGTATGCTGCAATAGCGCAGCCTTTGTTGAGCAGGCAAGGGGACTCTGATCTTTGGTCTGGAGCTAGTCAGGCACGAATTTAGTGTGGTTTGCTTTTGACAGCACTCGAGCTTTTACGTCATGTGAAAGAGCTTCTACAATTGGCGAATGTCAACGTCGATTCAATATGGGGAGCTGCCACAATGCCGATCTAGTCGACTCATTTCAGCTGATGTCCGCACTACACAAGCTCTAATTGCGGCAAAGACACCTGTGCCTGATGCGGCTAGCCCACTACATTGTTCCCTGCCGCATTCATCGAAGCTGTGCTGTGCTGGAAAGGAACACACTGGGTTGCTCAGACTGTTGCGTGCATGCAGCCTGCCCGCCAGTTGGAATCTCTGGCCATAAGAATTAAATCCACGTTCAGAGGGTGGGGGTTGCATTCAATTCCTCTTTAGCCAAGTCCTGCCTGCTGAAGTACCAAGCACATTAAAAAACGGCTGCTCTAGGGCCTGATGCAACGTACAACACGCATATCGAATTGAACTCAGCGTGTTCACGGGGATTTTGCAGAGTATGCCGAGTCTGATTCAAGATGACTTTTACAAACGCCAATCTATTCCGACGAGAATGACTAAAAGCCTCCTTGAGCGATCGTCTGAGGTAGTATGGGGCTTGTATTGTCGTGCTCAGTCTCCATACTTATCATTTTGCCTCACGACCGATCAACTTTGGACATAGCTGTCTTCAGTGATTCTCACCATCATTCTTCGGTGCCCCCAGTTAGCCCATGACCGTTCCTCCCACGGGTTGCTGGGATCGACTACCTGGAAGTCAAAATGGCGGAATAGCTATACCACCGCGTCTCAACATTAGCTGTGTGTCTAGATCAAATGACTATGGAAGAACGTACCTCAAAAATCACTTTGTAAAGCTCTGAGAGCGCAATGACTTTACCCGAACATTGGTATCGTCCAACCCCAAATGCCATCTCCGCAGTGCGCTCCATCTCGACTTTCTTCTCTACACTACACTCGAGGAAGCGCTCGGGACGGAAGAGGGCCGCGTCGTCCCCGAATGCATCTTTTCTCTGCAGCATTGCAATCCAGTTTACGTACACGGTAGTCTTCCCGGGTACAAATAGACCTTCGATGGTGTCACCCTCAGGTGGTATTACTTTAGGGTGTCCTAAAGTTCCAGCTGGGCGGAGGCGAAGCCCTTCGTAAACGACAGCCTGTTCAAGAACACAAACGCTGCTTTAGAAGTGGGACGTGGCAATCCCAGATCAGAATATCACTTACGGATAGATAAGGCAGCTTCTTTGCTTGTGCGATTGTGATGGGGGATGAGACATTGCCGTCACTGACAGCCCGCCGAATTATTTGTTTTAGGCTCTGATATACGCGTGGCGTCGTCATGGTGTACATCAGAATACCTCTCAAAGATGACGCTGTGGTATCTCCACCGGCGAACAGAAAGGCGATGCCCTGCCTGTAACACTCTTCCAACTCGAGACCGTTACGCATGAAAGATCCCTTAATTCATTAGATACCGTGCTTTTGAAACCAATCAAGAAATGCATAGAGAGAAAAGGCAACCGAGGTTCTTACCAGGATGTCTTGCTTATCAACTGCGCTTTTCTGAAAACGCTCTTCCACAATTTCCTTGGCGACTCTGCATTCTCTATTATTATTCAATAAGCAACAGATTCAGATATATCAACACACCCTTGTAACTTTCCGATGCCTACTTTGTCCGTGGCCCTTGGCTGGAGAAATGACAGCAACCGAGATTGTATCACGGCACGCAACCATGGAAGATCGGAGATCAAGGACAGCAAAGCTATCACTTGGTCACTGAGTTTAGCAAGGTCGTAAAGATCATCCGCATCCATGAAACCGATCTCTTTGCCAAAGAACAATGATGTGAAAACATCCGATGTGAAGAACCTGATCAATGGGGCAAGGTCCATGATCCGGTGCTGTTCTATGGTAGTAAGGTGATTGCTTCGGATTATTCCCAGCAGCCGGCCAATCTGGGCATCGATTCCAGATTCCAAGTCAACACCGTCCTTTCCAGCCATAGCATACGCCGTCTTGGCCTTTACCTTGTCGTGCAGGGTCACATCCAGGGTGGTGAAGATGTTGTCCTTGCCATTATCGAATCGAAAGCCCAAATTCCAGGGATCTCTCACATACGGGGGCCGTGACAAACGTCGCACTACCTCGGGATCATCTGTTGCGACTGCATTAGGGCCGATGCGAACTAGTGAGCCGTAACGAGCCAGATCTCTACTATTCGGCGCAGTTGCACCGCTCACGGCATTTCTGACCAGCCACGAAGATCCAAGCCAGGACAACGCTGGCCCGGGAATGTGACGGAGGCGCCACCATGTGTGGAATGATAATAAATATAGGGCAAATACTAGAGCACCAAGTGCCAAGATCAGTATGTTTGGCTGTTCTAGATGGGTCAGAGCGGTTCTGCCGAGCATTTTGCGTGACGATTTGGTGGCTCGTGTTGGGAATTGTAAATATGCCAAAATGCATATCCAAAATAGTTTTCTTCGAAATTGAGAATGTCTTGGGACATTAAGCCTACCGGAATTTAGGGAATTTAAGAGCGGTTAATTATTACTAAACCCCTCTCGAAACTAAGGGACGAATCTGCGATCGGTCGTAGCTCTTGTGGGACCCGTGACGCAATTTTATGTACGATAAAGCAATGTGACAGCGGCCCAGAGGCAGCAGCATAATGACCGTTACAATTCACTGGTGTTTCTCCAGACGATCATGCTAGACTTATGCAGAGTGAACTCCAACGGCCAGTCACATATCCACACTTCATAAAGGAGGATCGAAAATCAGGATCGCCATCGCGTCCTTGCATCGTAATCGACAGAAAGAAGCTATGTAGAGTCTTCATGATTGTTTCTTCCACATCATCACGGGACTGCCCGAGCCGCGCGTGTTACTGCAGCAATGCTCCTATAGTCGCTGAAGCTCGCGGCCAATGTGCACCCCCGGTTCAACCGAAGGTAAACAAACAGGGATATTTAAAGGGAAGGCGACTTCGCCGCGGTTCAGACTAACCTATATGCTGCAGATCAATACCTGCATCCATCCACATTCAAGCAAGCGCATAATGTCGCTCAGCCGCCTTTGCCTCGGGAGGTCATTTAAGGTTTGAGTAGTGTGCCCTTTTACCCCGTGGGGAAGCTGTTGATGCCGAGGCCACGACCTGAGACGACGGCTATCCCCTCACTTCACTTCATAGCCCTTGCGTGGCAAACATGGATCCGACGCTAGGTAATGGACAAAGTGTATCATCCGTTCCAAGGCAGATGAGGGGTACTATAGGCTACTTAGGCATGTAACCGTGAAAGTGAAGCAAGGTTTAGCATTAGAGAAGCCTTTTCTGTCCTCGCTGTTCTGAGGTGACCGACTGTTCTTTTCCCAGGAACAAGTTTCATATCAACCAACCCTCTGTATAACTCCATGGAATAAGATGGCGCCCACAGCTTTCTCTCCAGGGAATTTCCAAGACCTCTTTAGACCTTATAGCCCTCTTGTCACGGTTGCGTTGCCGGTGACGGCAGCCTTGGCCCTACACGCCGCAGTTCAGATCAGGGAGCCGTACGCTCACCATTCTGTGATCTTTCTTGGCCTTGTCTTATTCGGAACACATTCTTTCATCAAACATGCCTGGCAAGTGGACAATATGGCCGCCACGGCGACTGTCGCGGGCATGCTTTGCCTCTTTGCTGCCGTGATGGCAGCCTCCATAACCATTTACCGGGTCTTTTTCCATCCATTGAGGCACATCCCGGGTCCTGTATCCTGCAAGATTTCCATGTGGACCTGGGTTCACGCCGATTGGAATGGCAAGCGAGCAGATATTATCCGCGAGCTGCACGAAAAGTATGGCAGCGTCGTCAGAATTGGTCCTCGCGAAGTCTCATGTACCAATCCGGCTGCAATTCCTTTGATCTACGGCCCGACAGGCCCCTCCAGTACATTTGTTCGAGGTCCATGGTACACAGCGCAGAGCACGATGCCAGATGTACATTCGTTGCAGAACGAGCCAACCCTACCAGAACACAGCCGTCGTCGACGGGACTGGGATCCGGCCTTTTCAATCAAAGCATTGGCTGGCTACAAGGGAAACATACAACGCAATGCGGAAACACTGTTGGATCAAGTCGCTAGACTATCGCGCGAGGGGTTGGTCGACATAAGAGAGTGTATGATGTGGTTTGGATTCGACGTGATGGGCGAGCTTGGCTTCGGCAGGTCATTTGGCACTTTGGAGGCCGCGAAGACATCTGCGTTAGTACATCTGGTTGAGTTGGGTGTGCGAAGTAGTAAGCAGTGCCACTCCCCTATCTGATCCATCTTTCTTTCGCGTCTATTGCGCAAAAAGAGTCAAGCCAAATCACTGACAAACCTTGCCCACAGTCAACTCGATAGGGAACGTACCCTACGTGGCACATGTGATGCGTTTCTTCCCAAGTCCCATTCAGAAATTCGAGGCGTGGCTATCAGAGGCTCTCGAATGGCGGATGAGCCACCAGGGGGAGAAAGAATTCGTCGGCGCAGATGTTTTTGCCTATTTGCTCGGGGAACAGGGCAAACAACGTCGCAAATTGGACCGGCGAGAGCTGCAGCAGGACTGCATGCTCATGGTCGTCGCGGGTTCCGACACGACGTCCAACTCCATGACCTTCTGCCTTTACGAACTGGCCCGGCACCCCGACATCGTAGCCAGGCTGCGGGAGGAGCTTGATCCACTGGTCTCCGGGCCTCTCCAGCCGCAAGACTTTGACAGCTTGCGTGACAATGCGCCGCTGCTCAACGCGTGCATCAACGAGACTCTCCGCCTTTGGCCGCCAGTCCCGTCGGGACTGCAGCGGACCACGACAACATCCTTGACCTTGCCTGATGATGCCCGAGGCAGTCAAGGCAGGATCGTCTTGCCGCCTGGCACTGTCGCCTCGACACATACCTGGACAATACACCGCGACCAAAAGAACTTTTGGGACGCAAATAGCTTCATTCCCGACCGCTGGATGGAGACCAATGAAGGTGTAGCGGCACACAACGCCAAAGCCTGGGCGCCGTTCGGTTTCGGGTCAACGTCGTGCATTGGGAAGAACTTAGCCTACATGGAAATGAGGGCAGTCTTGGCCCAGTTTATCGTCAGATTCAACTTTGCCATTACCCCAGCAGATGATAGGGAATTCCTAGAGTCAGTTCGGGATCAATTTGTCGTGTCTGCTGGGGCTATGAAGCTCCAAATTGCGCCTCGAAAGCAAGAGTCGTGATCTTCAGAATCAGCTCGGAGGATACATGTTCGTCTTCAAAGCAAGATTACTAGCAGTGCTGGACGTTGGACGGTGCTCAAGCAGAAGTGAATACTGAAGCTCGTCAGTCCGCAGGAACACGACGTGAACGTGGCACAATACCGTTATATCAGAGTTACGAGAATGAATTGATCGGAAGCCAGTATGGATATTGAAAGAGAGATGGCTACATCGTGGGTAGAGTCTGATAAAAGATGGGCTTCGTGACAAATCCACAGCCGAAAATGGGTTTGATCGTTCACTTGCCTGCTGATTGCTGAAGGAAACAAATTGTCAACTAATTGCTGCTGATGATGGAATGCTGTACCTACCATGACTTCCGACATTATTCATTACTATCTCTGCTAGACCTTGCTCCGCGGCCGCTGACTCCTGCTTAACATACCCAGTTCGTCCAGACTCGGGCATATCGCTCTACCCAAGTACTCAGCTGGCATGATCTTCAGTATAACTCTTTTGAAAATTTTCTAACGGTCGTTGTCAGGTTCAAATGCGGATCCTTCCATGGTTTGTTCCGTGGCTCAACCGTCCCTGCGCTGTCGCCAAACCGTAATACAAAGCATTTGTCTAATCATGGGTAACATGTTCTCGATATCTCATACCTTTCGTCTCAGTGGCCCCTGACTGTTTTGAATCATGTCTACAATCTTGGAGCGCTGTTGTTCACAGTCGAGCGTCTCACCTGCATCCAATGGCTTGGGGAGTCCAGACAAGGTGCTTCATCCGACCTGCCAGGCTTGATCCGGCACACTGTGGCGCGTGTATGCCCTGCACTATTGCACAAGTGGTTTGATGGCACACCTTTCAGATCCACCGTAAGCCACAGGATGACCGCCTTTGTGGGCGGGTAGTCCCCCGAGCGTCCGGGTTACTTAGAAGGGTTACTACCTTGCGAACAAAAGCCGGGGTAGTGTGGGGGAACATGCGGAGGTATCACCTAAAAGGCATTGATAGTCCCAATCAGTCGGTGCCATTTATTATGGGACTAATGACCACGAGCCCGACCCTGCCTTGGTATTGACGTTGCGGGGTGATGGGTTTGACTCTGGGGTAAAAATGGGGAAATGGCGTCGAGGTCTTAAAAGGGTATTTCCGCCCCAAGGAACTGGTTCAGCGGAAAATGTCTCGTCTCTGATTATCTTGTTTACTTCAGATTCCTCTAACTACCCAGGCCTCCCTGGCATAAAACCCTTTCTCCTCCAAGATCTGTTTCATCGCGGGAGACGCCAGCATGTCGAACCAGGTTGACACCAAGGAAGGACATCCGTCAACGTTCGCCCACCTCGAGGATGGCCCACGGACCGATACCGGGAAAGATGCCGAGGAACGTGCGCTGCTCCGGAAGATCGATATGCGACTGGTCCCTTGCGTTTGGATTATGTACCTGATGAGCTACGTAAGTGCTTCCAGACACGACTTTCTGTTGCTCACTAGTTGTCTGATCTCATTTTCTTGATCTCCTTGCTGACTAGTGAGTATTACAGCTCGATCGAAGCAACATCGGCAATGCTTACACCGTAAGTCTCGGTCCACCCCATTTGGGAAAATCGACGCTTTATAAGAAAGGCAGAAGAGTCTGATACAGTGCATATATCCAGGGAGGCATGGGCGACGAGCTGGGGATGACCAGCACCGACTATTCTATCTCTCTTCTGGTATTCTTTATTAGCTATGTGCTCTTCGAAACACCATCCAATATGATCCTGACGAGAGTCCGGCCTAGCATCTACATGCCAGTGCGTCCTCCTCCCTTTCGTATTATCAACTCATCAGGCCATTGACTTCCCAAACCAGACGCTCATGTTTCTTTGGGGCGGTCTCTCGATGTGTATGGCTGCAGCCCATAGCTGGCAAGTGGTAGCAGGTCTTCGCTTCCTTCTTGGGGTCCTAGAGGCCAGTTTCGCACCAGGAGTACTCTTCCTGCTCTCAGCATGGTACAAGAAAGGCGAGCTCGGCCGTCGCTATAGTGTCTATTACACAGCTGTAGCACTGTCCGGCATGTTTGGCGGCCTCATCGCCGGCGGGCTCCTGCAAACTTTGGATGGCGCACATGGAATAAGTGGCTGGAGGTGGCTTTTCATCGTCGAAGGGGCAGGGACGTGCTTGGTATCGGTAGCTGCGCTGTTTGCCCTGCCCGATTTCCCGTCGACAACTCGTTGGCTCACGCCTAATGAACGCGCTCTGGCCAGCAGACGTCTTGCCAGAGACTCCCTTGGCGATACCCAAGATGGCGAGACAATCCATCACAAGGTTGCCCTGAAGATGGCACTCACAGACTGGAGAACATGGGCTTTCGTCCTCACTTACATGGCCACAACAGGCGCCCAGACGATACAATATTTTATCCCTGAGCTTGTGAAGGTATAGTCAACCGACCGCATGTATTCCCCTCGACGGCCTCAGCTGATTCTTAATCCGATCGTTATTGTAGTCGATGGGATACACAGGGTTCGAAGTACAGTACTACACCGCGCCAATCTACGTCTGTGCCTTCGTGGCCATCCTTGCTTTCTGTTTTTCCTCCGACTTCTTCAAGGAACGCGCGTTCCATCTAGCAGCCGCCTCGGCACTGGCTATTGTTTGCTTCGCCGTTCTCATCGGCGTTTTGAACAACACAGGACGATATGTCCTTTTGTGTTTTGGTGTTGCAGGTGTCTATGCTGCATGTGAGTGACAGAAATGTCCTTTTCTTTTTCCAGACTACATATTTGCAGAGTCACGCTGACCCACTACAAGGCCCTCTTGTTAGCATATATGTCTCGAACTCTAGTGAGCTTCTCCATCATTCACATCCGTCACAGGCTCCAATTTGGCTACTAACAAAGCTTGACGCGAAGTTCCTCATCCTTCTGAAAAACGCGCCATTGTTCAAGCAACAGTCAACGCCCTTGGAAATAGCGCCTCGATTTGTGAGACTGTCCTTACCCGTAGACACAAAGTTTCTGACCACTTCTGAACTAACATCTCGTAGATGGCTCATTCCTCTTCCCAAGTAAGGACAATAACCATAACCGTCTGGGCTTCAGCGTTACGATGGTTTTCATGGTTATCGCTCTAATTATGGCATTCGTACTACGATATTTGCTCGCCAAATTCCCTTACCCAGAGCTTGTCGTACATGGACATGGAGCTGCACCAGCAAAAGATGATAAAGAAGTGGATTAAGGGTTTTATTGAGCCCATCCAGCTTAGAACTGCGGGCCTCATTAAATTATATACAATATTCTACAGCGATACAAGCCGATTTGCTTGAGCAGGCTGCAAAATTGCTTCGCTAAGCCCCTCGCATCTACAAGAAGATGGTCCTCAGCATCAAGGCTTCCACGTGAGCCACGAGAACAAATCCTCATGAAATTGCTCGGGATCCTCCAGGTGTGGCGCATGACCCTGATCAGGGTAGTGAATGAACGTGCAGTTCGGAATCTTTGCTGCTGTTTGAGGTCCAAGCACAGAGTAGTTTCCCAGCTTCGCCGCGACATCGGCGGGCGACCACTGTTTGCCCACCGCGGTGTTGTCCTTGTCTCCGACAATCAGCAAGGTGCGCGGATAGATCTTGTCGAAGGAATGGGCGATCGGCTGCGTGAGCACCATGTCAACAACCCGGGCCTGGTTAATGAGGAAGTTGTGGCGCTCGCTGCCGTAGTAGATGTTGGCGGACATGGTTACCCACTCGTCATATGACGAATCCCAGTTACCGACGTAGTAGGTTGCGTTTTCGTACGCCTTGATGGAGTCCCAGGTCGTGGAGTTCTCGGCCTGCCAGTTGTACTGCAGGCTGGGGTACGGAACGCCAACTTCCAGCCAGTCTTCTAGACCCATTGGATCAACGAGAACCAGCTGTCACACGTATGAGCATTTGTATTTGGGACAGATATTCAGATCACTCACCTCAGTAACATTGCTTGGGTACATCATGGAGTACCTGGCAGCCAGCATGCCGCCCAGAGAGTGGCCAATGACCGTCACCTCGTATATGTCTAGGGCATTAAGCAAGCTGCTTGTGCTGGAGGCGAATTGCTGAAGGCTGAATTGGTAGTTCTCGGGCTTGCTAGACTTGCAGAAGCCGATCTGGTCGACTGCGATGACGCGGTATCCATGAGCTGTCAGCTCGTTGATGGTCTGAATCCATGTCGGGCCACAAAAGTTCTTCCTGCTTCATGTTAGAAATTGTCATGACAGAAGGTAGTCCATTGAAAAGTTCTGACCCGTGGAACACAACAGCAACCTGTCCGTTGGACGTCACATTTGCTCGTGGAGGCACATCCATGAAGGCCATCTGAAGCTCTTGGAACTGGCTCTCGAAGTTGTACACGTGCACGGGATACGGGTACGTATAGTTGGATCCATTGAGATCGAATGGCTGTGGTCTTGTGTCGATCGAACCCTCTGTCTGGCCAATAGACCCAGTGCCTTGCGCCTTTGAGGCGAGAAGCCCGAGGGCCAGGGAAAACAGAGCCGCAATTCGCATCGTGGGGGTGTGAAGGAGTGCCGCACGTATTGGACTCTGCCTGCTAGCTGAGGACACTAGAAGATGATGCACATGTAGTGTAACTTCTCCATGTACGATAGCTTGAGGTGACAGTCCCCATATACCTCTCAGAGGCAAGAGAGGGGATACAATCTTTATCGGCCCGCGACCCCTTGTCGTTCAGTGCGGGCGAGTTCCTGCATTTCGGAGCTGCTCTAGCTGGGTTAGCTATGGCACGAGGACGGCCGCATAACCGGAAGCATCCCCACAAATATCTGATTGTACCTTAAAGAATCAGTGCCCTGGAAGTAACCCGACGTGATGGATCAGATCGGATGGCTTCGGCTCGCTTGCAAAGTCCTGCCTGAGGATTCAGTTGAGAACTTGAGTTGGCCAGGGTGTTACACCGCGGAAGGTCTCGCTGGGGCCGCGCTGATCCTGCCCGATTTGCTTTGTACTGTGGACTGTTGGGAATTGTGATTGCATGGGGCTGCGATCCGTTCGTGGGTTACTCGTCGTGTACAACGATGAAGTAGCCCACTTGGGCTGTTGAAAACCGATGGAAAATTGATGTCTCCAGAAGGCCGGGGGGAGGAGTGCTCATTAATTGGCTGGCTTCAGCAGAGGGTCCATATTCAGTGCTTCCTAGTAAAGGAAGCGATATGCAGTTGGTTCCTCAAAAAAGTTCAGCTGATTAGAACAGTAGTGGGTCTGTTGAATTCCTAGTCAGCTCGTGCAAACCTTTTAAAGTCCGTAGCCCGAGGCAATGTGGTCACAGAATCCTGCAAGCCTCAAATGCATGCTGCATCAGTGCATAATTCTGCTGCCAGCAAATGCCGGCAGAAGCAAGTCAACAATCAAGTGTGTACTGAACAATGGCAGGTCGATATGATCTGCGCTTTTTGTTGCGGTCTTAGCATATTTGATATATCACATGTCGCATTACAATTTCCGGACACAGTGGGGCTTTCTTACTGTCTAAACTCTTCATGACCATCTGTCCTTTTAGCAGACTCCATTCTCTCGTAACAAAAACCGGAGGCTATCTCTCGGCACGCACCGACTTGAAACCTTCCACAGACATCAGCTCGCCCGCACATGTGCCAAGCAAAGTTTCTGTTACCATCATACAATGGACAGCGTCATGATATTTGATCTCGGATCGATGTTGATAGATTTCTCGAATCTGAGAGTACTCGTGTGGGGTGTTGATCTCCCGTTGAACCACGTTGAATATTTCCGAGTCTTGTTGCAGGTCGACCGTCTTTCTGACTACGCAGCGTTGCTCAGAATTGCAAACCTCTTGATACAAACCATTCCAGAAAGCTTAGTACACTTTCCCTGAGACACAGAACAGATATGATAAGCCTGTCAACAACAGAGGCCTCCCCGATTTGCAGAACAGCTAGATGATTTCGCTCCCCATTGCGTACAGGGCCGAATCGTTCTACAGCTTGGGCAATATCGGAAGCCCAGCCGAGCAGCGACAAGGGTCCGCCAGGACTTTTCGACCATGTGGAGCACCGACCCATTCTGCTGGGCCATGTATCCCTCTCTCGCAGCTGGGCCACTCTTGCGTCTTGCAGCAAGGGGGTTCTCGTGATTCTACGTGCTTACACCGTCTCAAGGAATGCATCCCTTCAGCTCTGCTAACCCCAATGAGAATCATATTTGACGCCTCTTGGCGCCACTCCCGTCTATTGTCCCTGATCTCCAGGGGTAGTGCAAAACTCAAAACCTTCAGTGGTCCCAAATCGTCCGCAAAGAAATACTATGATCTGAAGGGACTATCTCGGGTTCCAGACCGGACCTAAGCTGTAGATCAATATCTGGCGTCCTGATTCCACAGCCGAAATCGCAGGCTTTCACATAATATATTGACCTCTTGCCCATGGCCATTCGGCGGCCATGAACTAGTCTTATCTACCCTTGCGTGAGTCTGCTCGATCTCTAGCAGCTTTGCTCTTTGGAGTTCCAATGGCTGCTGGAAACGTCCCCGGCGAGAGCAACGCGCCTGTGGTACAGATACCCTGCATTATCTTCTTCGTCATCACCCCTTTTATCATTGCTGCTCGATTCTGGTCCCGACACAACTCGACGTCGTCTATTGGCTGGGATGACTGGTGTTGCCTTCTGTCCTGGGTATGACCCTTGGACCTGTCCATTTGTACTCATGACTGATGAAGGCCTCAGATTTTCTGCCAGCTCGTGTCAGGTCTTATGCTTGGCTCTTGCGCCTATGGATTCGGTCAACATATTTACAATTTATCCCCTGATAATAGGCTCATGGCTTTGAAGGTGCGTACACTGGCGATCTTCGATCCGGTCCCCGACGTCGGCCTCGAACCGCGCTGACCGCAGAAACTCACCATTTCAGCTGTTCTACATCGCACAAATCTTCTACAAGCTTACCATGAATTTGACCAAGATATCAATTCTGCTTCTATACATGCGGATCTTCGAAGTATTTGTCTGGTTCCGATGGGTCGGCCGCACCCTTATTGGCATAGTGACCGCTTACATGATCGCGGCATTCTTCGCGGCGGTGTTCCAGTGTACCCCAGTGCAAAGAGCATGGGATAAATCCGTTCCGGGAACTTGCATTAGTATCGAGAAGAATTGGTACGCCAATGCGGGCTTCTCCATTGCCACAGATGCAATTATTCTGTTGCTTCCCATAAAGCCGGTACTGTCTCTCAAACTTCCCGTTGGTGAGAAGATTGCGGTGTTGGGTGTATTCGTTCTCGGCGCGTTGTAAGTGCTCCTTCAACTACGCTCATCAAGACCAGAATAGCAAGGCTAATCAAGAATTGGAATCTCAGTGTTACATTGACCAGCATTCTCCGCATGCAAACACTGAAGTTCTCGTCGACGAGCTCGGACATTACATGTATAGTGCCACAAGCTCACCTTCCTCTGACGTCCTTATACTGATGGTACTTAGATGACATTGCATCGTCCATGTGGACTATCATCGAAGACAACACAGCCATCATCTGCGCTTGTCTTCCGATGTGTAAGAGGTCCCTAGCGGTTGTCTTCCCCTGCTTGGCTTTCCGGGGCCACCAAACTTTAAAAGGCAACGAGCCGTCTCAACCTTCTATTGGAAGCCGCATCAGGTGGACTCAATTTTTTGACGGGACAGCGGGCAAGAAGATCCAGGCAGCCCTGGCGCTTGATGCTCGCCAGGTTAAAACGCACTCAGAAGTGCACACAGGCAGTTACCCGAGCGAAGAGTTCATCATGTCCCCTATGCATGGCAATGAGGCGAATGAGTCACCGGGCTCACAAGAAGCGGGTGCCATTCGTAAAGTTACTAGATATGAGGTCTCTTACGAAGATGCGCCAATGCCGCGTACCAATTAGTACATACACGATGTTCATCACATATTCACTCACGCATACACATGTTCTGTACATGAGCTTACTGATGCTTCTATTCGAGACGAGTTCACAAGCCCAGGCCTTCTACTCACGTCATGTGTCTCAGGCGAGACTGCAGTCATGGAAACCGTGGAACGCGAAATGCAATCTTCTTGTACTGGAATGAGAAACTTGTCTAGCTCTTCAGCCCCTTTACGCCTGCCGTGACGCCAAAATTGCGCTGAATGAACAAAGGGAAAAACAGCCCACCACGGCTCATAACCACATGCACGGATCTATGACTGGTTGCGCCCCAATCGGGCCGTACAGAATGCTGTACTCGTCCTCGTATGTAAGCGCATGGGTGTTGTAGTCATACGGGTCCAACTCGCTCCAAGCATGCCTCTTGAGCGCAATAGTCCAGCTCCAGCTGCTCTCCCAAATGCCGACGAAGCGGGTCGCCCGGAGCATGATGTCCAGGTCGACGAGCGCCATCTGGTCCCACGTGAGCGTGTCGAGGATCATGACGTCGGCCTCGTCGAGGATGTCCCACTTCTGCAACACCTGCACGCCGGTGGTGTGCGTTTCGTTGACGCGGATCTGAAGGTCCGACAGGTCCGCCTTAAGCCGGTCCACGTCGCTCGCCGTCCCCGTCGCCACGTATATGGCACCCAGCTGGTAGCGCTCGAGCTGCTCGCGGACGTTCTGGCTCTGCGTCGCGAATGACGTCCAAGATTCGAGCTGTGCATCTGCCTCCGTTCGGATGTGAGCGCCCAGGAAGGCACCCTTGGACGGGCTCGCCGGGGTCTCATGGATGTCAAGCTTCTTGTACAGGTTGTACAACGCGCGGGCCGACAGCTCGCGGATGTGCGTGGGGAATCGCGCGATGTGGCCGAAGGCGCTTCGAAACTCGTCGCCGTCGTATCGCACGGGCCACGAGAAGGCGACGTCGTCGAAACTCATGCGGATGGGGTGCTCCTTGGTCGGCTGGGGCAGGTTGTTCTGCTGGATGATTCCCTCGACGTGCTGATCGAGTGCAGGCCTCCACAATGAAGCGTCGATTAGGACGTTGCTGTTCTCCACCGGGATGAGCCTCTTTGGCTGGACAACGTGGATCTCACTCTTGGGCGGGATGTTGTACATCGGGTCATCTTCGTCGACTATCCGCAGCTGAGGGCAGTCTTCGGCCATGGTCTTGAAGAAGTGGTCGCTGTCGAACATGTATGAGATCGGAATGTCAGTATCCCAGCCAAAGCTGTTCTCCATCTTCTCGAATGCTTCTCTAGCGTGAAGGACAGGCCTGATGAGGATTGCTACGAGCCATTGGGTTAGTAAAGGGTACTCTTTAAAGAGGACTTCGGAGTCTCCCTACCTCCAGCTTCAATGGCAAACCTTGCGCAGCCAAGCAAGTTGATCTTGAGGTTGCCAATGCCACCTGCGAGCCTGTTACATTCGACTATTCTGTCGTCGCGCCATTTGGCCTCGCCGCAGAGCTTGCGCACAGGTGCTGGGTCATATTCGTCCACATAGATGTCGTTGGCCAACGCCTCGTTCACAAATTGCTTCCGCGTCTTCCAGTCACCCTTCTGCCCCGGGTAAGCCAAATCGCTGAGATGTGAGCGTATGGTGTCGAGATCCGGACGTGAACCACTCGTAATGAACAGAAATATGACTATCGATAATACCAATGCGACTATATATCGTTTGGATAAGAGGTTGAACCTGTTCGGTGGGAGATACATGATGGCGGCGTGTCACTGAGATGCCATGTCGGTTGGGATACAGGTGCAAAAGAGAATGTCCGAGAGTTTGAGGATCCAAGGGGGGTCTGTGCCGCCGCGTCAGTTGGTGGCGTACACCGGGCAAGGGGTAGCTGAACCTTAGTCGCTATCCCGGTAACGGTCGGCGGCTATGCAAAGTATGTGGAGCGGCTGGGACCTCGACGCGTGTACCTGGGGATGCCAGCCTCTTCTACTTTTGGAGAAAGCTTATCTGTCCTCTGGTAAGAAATGTTATCAGCGTTGGGCGTGAGACGAAATGACGGTAGATTGATGTGTCTTACTTCTGAGACAGACCATGCATGCAAGGGAGCGACATTGCTCGCTGGAGTGGGACAAAGAGGTCTGAGAAGACCAAAGCTGGGGCCTAGACTGTACTAGACGCCTCTACTACTGCTGTTGCTATTGCCATGGCCACGTTCAATCACATGCAAGGAGTACCTGATTATGACAGTCCATGATTAAGCGCTCTGAAACATCTGCGCCTGTACGATTGTGCGGCGCTGCAGTCACAGAATGTATATTCCGATCAGCAGACGTGACTCGCCATCCCACAGAAATAAGCCAATTGTGGTTTCGCAGCTTCTAAATTCTCCAGTCTCTGACCTGTCACCGGGAATAAGGCTGATGGCGGAACCGATTCCGTTAGCCATGAATCGTGCTGGTGTCACATCATCACTCTCTACATATTGTGAGTGTGCTGCATCAAGATATTAGAAACATTTTAATTCTTTGAAAAAATTCTCGAGCCCTTCTCGAGTACTCCTGGAATTGTAGGTCTCGCTCACTAGAACGTGAGCAAGAACATCATGAGAAATAATTGGTTTGGTCCATTCCTTGCTTGCATTGACAACCAGCAATTGAGCGACCCTGTCTGAAGACACAGGATCTTGTGTTGAACCAGGTCGTGTCTGCATAGCAATACTGCTGAACGCGGGATTCACGCACCGGCGATGTGTGGCAGGATTTTCCGCTGAAATGCTCTCACACCAACTCACCAACTCTGCTGTCCCTCTCGCGTCTCCCTGACACCCACTTTCCACTGGCCGCCGACCATGAACACTGGATGGGTCGGACTATCGCGGGACCAACACCACATAGACCTGCAAGTCAGCCACCGCAAGACCGACCGAACCTACCTCGCCAGACTCATCCACCATGCTCCTCCCAACGCACGCCTTCCCCTCCAAGCAGGATCGAAGGGCATCAGATGGACCCGGTGCCACCTCCAGATGACTTGCGCGCGGCTTGACCCACGACCTTTCTCCGGCCCCGGCTAGCAGCGGTCACCACTCTTATTACCACCATCTTGTGGTTGTTGGCCGGTTCGGCACGGATGGAATATGGCGGGCACACACACGAAGTCGGCGGAAGTTCTTCTCTCCAAGAATATCGGATATCGGATGTCGGTGTCGTCGCCATGGGTGTCACCGTCGAAATGGAACCTAAGTAAACACTGTAGTCAGCTGAAACAAAAGAGGAGGAGAGGGGGGGCGAGGAGGGCAGGAACGGGGAAGGGAGACTCACTGATATTTTTGCTAATATGGCCAAAGGAAATTGGTCGGAGTGGGAGAGAAGAACAAGGTTTGCGCGCTTACTGGCGCGCTGTGTGTGTATGTGCCCGCAATTCGTCTTCGGCTGATGGTGGTGGTGGATTTACGCCGCTGTTCTCGCCAGAGACGGAGGATCGTGAGCCCCGCGCGCCCAGCCCTCCAGAGACGGTTCACCAAGATCCCTTGATGCCCTTCTCCCCTGCTTGAAAAGGCCAGAGCTTGCAGGTCAGAGCTGGCTTCAGAGGGGGCGAGGTCGTCGGCCGGTTCGCGGCTCCCAACCCACAAGCTTTCTGTGTTGTTAGTCCGTTGACAGCCCTAGATGGTTTACCTCAGTGCTCATGGCCCGCCTCGCGCCCATTTATGGGCATACCCTACGTTACCTTCCTCCACCTGGCTCACATCTCTCACCACAAGGCCACCCGTCGTCCTTTGACTTAGGCGAAGGTCTATCTTTATGGGTTAGCACTGTTCGTCGAGTTGCGTGGCAGGAGGCTGTGTGCTCACCTCAATTCCTTGATTCAAAGCACAAGACAAGGCGTCTTCCATTATCCCAAAGACAAATGCCCTCCAAGGCCTGAATATGTCAGCTGTAGAACACAAACGTTGCGGATCTGAACACACTTACCTGAGGCATCGATGCCAGTGATGAACATGGTATTGAGGTAACAGATAGATGGAGATGATGAACGCAGTGCAACAGACTATTGTGACGCTCCAAGCCACCACACTCGTTACGAAAGCCTATGTTCCGGCACAGCCTGTAAAGCTGGTCAGAGATAACTGGCTTCAGAGCAAGGTCTGTTCGCTTCGTGGGTTGTCGCTAAGACGCCAGATGATGCGCCTTTCAGCTGGTGGCGTGGACGCGAGTAGATTGATGAATTAGACATTAATTGAGCAGCTCCAGCAGTAAGCCTTCTGCAGGAAAGGAATCGGGGCGCTGACGGCACAAGATAGTTGTACAAAATGGTGCACAGGTAAGAAATAGGAAACTCGTAAAATCCAGAGAGACCCATCGCCGATCTCCTTCCTCCAGACAAGAAGAAACAAAAGGCATTTCTGAATCAAAAGAGAAATCTATCGTCGCAACACCTGGCCGAAAAAAAATCCTTTGTCAATGACAAATGGTGCAAGAGAACTGAATGTACAGAGCCCGCCTCGCTTTTTCTCTCGTACTCTCATAGAATATTATCCTCGGCTAGGGAAGACGATCTGAAATTCGCAAATCCATGTGGTATCAGAATCAAAGGTTTGCAATCGCTCAGCGAGCTTAGTTGACTGCGATCTGTGGCACCGGCGCAAGAGAGCCCATGCTCGTGGCAGATGGAAGAGACGTTGAGGTGGACGAAGCCGCAGGTAGGTTCTGCAGCATCTCTGCCAGGTTAGGCAGGGGGCCAGTCTCTCCAGCTTCAGCAATACCAGGCCGGTTGCGGGAGAACATGGCTATGGGGCGTCGCGATCCAGGAGTATCGCCGACGTCTTCTGCTCCAGTTGTGCGGCGGCACTTGGCTGGGTCCTCCTCAGGAGAGTCGTCCTCTGAATCCCTGCTGCGCTTTCCGATGCTCATCTTGGACATCATGGAATTGAGACTACCTGCAGGAGCTGCTGATGCGGGGGTCTCACTGACAAGGTCCTTGGTTGGCGCTGCAACTTGCATGGTGTTATTGCTGTCTCTGCCAGATGAAGGCTGGCCTGCCTCGTAGGCATTGCTGATGGGCTGCTGAGTCTCTCGCTCCGATGGCGGCTCGCCTGTAGTAATAGCTGCAGCAGATGGCTCACTGTCTTGATTGCCGTCACTCACATTTGGACCGGATGGGAGGTCGTCCACAGTGCCAGCGATCTCAAAAGGCGGCGAGGCATTGCCAACCTCGTCATCATCCATCGCCCAGCCGTTGGGGAGGAGATCATCGTCATCCGCATCAGCCGCGGCCGCGGTAGGACCGCCCGTGCCATCATTGCCATTGGGTATCTCGGGGGTGACTGGATCATCATCATCGAGTTTGCCAAAAATAAGGTCACAATATCGGCCCCAGTCGGCTTCCAGGGCCCGGCGCATGAACGCGTTGATGTAGTCGCGCTTGACCTTGGGACGCTTCGTCCAGTCGCCCGGCAGGAAGCCTTCGAAATTTTTCTCGAACTTCATGAAGCCTGTGATGCTGTGCGGCGTCTTCCTAGACAAGAGGCGCTTCTTGGACTTCTTTCTTGCGTCTGCAAGGTCCTTGAGCGCTGCTTTCACCCCGTATGCGTCCTTGGCTGGCATCCACTTCATAGGGCCGCCTTTCAGAGCGCTGAACTTGGCTCGTGCCTTTTTCAAAGCGCTGGTGAGGTCGTTGTCATCGTCTTCGTCGTCTTCGGCAGGGGTGGCTGGCGCTGGCACAGAAGCGGGTGGGGATGCTGGTACGGGTGCTAGTGCGGTTGCTGGGTCCGAGGCTGGTTCCGGTGCGGGTGCAGGATTTGGGTTGTTTAGATTAGAGTAAGCGGCCTGGTCGTACTCGAAAGGAAAGGGGATTTTGTTCTGTATGGGATCGATTGCAACAGGCACGGCTGACTGTTGGCGGGGCGGCTCGAGGTTAGCCTGAGGCGGGCTGGGCTGGGGTACGGTCGACAGATGAGTGCCCTCCTCCTGTTGGTTTGTAAGAGGCTCTGTTGATGATGGAGCTGCTATTTGTGGGACCTCCAGCGTTCCGTTGGCTTTCGCTGGGCTAAGTTGCGACGTATTTGCAAACTGGTTTGTCTCCTTGAAGTCCGCTGTCGCCTCCGCAGGTCCAGTATTTACCTCTGGGGTGATGTTAGGCACTGTAATGGGCTGATGAGCCACTTCTGTGTTAATATTAGTGCTGTAGATGGTAAGTTACGGGCTATGCTTTACCTGGTACAATGGGTGGAATGGTAGACTCCGGCCGAGGGAGCTGTGGCTGAGCTTCGGAAAGCTGGGGCGCAACGGACGGATGAGGGTAATCGGAAGACTGAGGAAAACAAGGAACTTGAGAGAAGCCAGATTGTTGTGGGAATCCAGACGGCTGAGGAAAACCAGAAGGCTGAGCAACATCAGAAGGCTGCCTAAAACCAGGGGCTCCAGGATACTGGGATTGCTGAGGATATTCAGACGGCTGAGAAATAACAGGAGTCTGAGGGACAACAAAAGGCTGAGGATCCAATACCTTGGGAGCCCAAGGGTGACCACCAAAAGCCTGGAGAGCAGATACTTCAGAAGCGGAGTGCTGGGGAGTGCATGGAATGACCTGGGCATCTGGCTGAAGGTCGGGAACCTGCGTAAATTGGGTCTCAGGAACAGTCGCTGGTCGAATAGCCCAAGGATGACTAAAAAAAGCCTGGAAAGCGGACATCTCAGAAGCGGACATCTGGGTAGTGTACTGAGGCTGGTAGACATATTTCTGTGAAAGGGGTTGGTAGCTCTGCAGCTCATGGACTGGCTCATGCGCGCTCGCCGGAGGAAGGTCCTAGGTTTCACCGGTCGGAGCATGCTGGCAGATAGAGAGTTGAAGAGCGTCGTCAGAGGGCATATCAAGTAGAGGCTGGCCGAGTACGAGGGGTTCGGGAGAAGTGGCATCAGAAGGAGCACCGCCGGTGCGAGGCGCAGGGTTCGAGGGGGCAACAGGGCCAGGAGGCGCGCCGCTCGATCCAGTGGTAGAGTTCGGGGGCTGCGCATTTCCTCCTTGATGCGGTCCGTTGTTGTTATTGTCATTGTTGTTGTTGACAGTGTCGCCGCCGTCATTGCCATTGCCGTGTCCGCCGCGGCCACATCGACCGCAACAGCAGTGCTGGCGAGAGATAGTCTCGATGATACTATTCAGGCGGGCGATTTCCTGGTTCTTGTTCACAATCTCGTCGTCTTTCTTCACGATCTCATCGTTCTTCTTGATGATCTCGTCATTCTTGGACGCGATCTCGTCGTGCTGCCTATTGATGACCTCTTGCTTCCTCTCGATCACCGTGTCACGTTGCCAGACGAGCGAGCATCTGCGGTCAACCTCAGACTTGAGGTTGCGGACCTCCTCGACTAGCGTTTCGTAGGCGGCATTGAGGTTCTTCTGGCCAAACTCGTGCATCTTGGCCAGCTTGGTCTGGGTCTTGATCTGCTGGTCCTTTTCAGCGATGATCGCGTCCTTCTTGTTCAGGGACTCGAAGAGGTCGAAAATAGTGTGCCTGGCGTTCTGGTAGCACTCGCGGACGGCATTGAGCTCCTGAGTGAGGCGGTACATGACGGTGTTGCTGCCCGCTGATTCTTTGGCCCTGCTCTGATCGCGCTGAGCCTTGAGCTTGACGATCGTCTCCCGGTGCTGCTCAGCCTCGTCCCGCCAGATGGCGACCTGCTCTCGGGCAGCATTCATCTCATCACGCAGGTAATCCTTAGTCCCCTTGAGGACTTTGTTGTCGGTCTGCATGGCGAGTTCCTCTTTCTCCAGGTTCTTGATCGCGTTCTTCAGATGGCAGATCTCGGCCAGCTCCAGGTCTTTCTCTCTTAGCTGAGCCTTGAGGCTCTTGATCTTGCTATTCATCCGTTGCATACTAGTATGAGTTGCGGCGGGCTCTTTGATATTGTTGTCGGGGGGGATTAGTTCACCGCGTTTGCGGAACCACTGCGAGACGGGCAGAGGACGGCGGCTGACGTCGACTTTCGAAGGTTCGGCGTATAGAATCAGGGAGAGCCAGGAAAGGGGGACATTGGCGCAGATGCTGATGAACATGGTCAAAACAAACATCATTGCCGCGGACTCGGATATATCGATATTCATTGCGTCGTGGTAGTCGGCTACGGCCTTGCAGAAACAGGTGATGGCCACAGCGAACGTGACGGCGCTGACGTGGTGGGGCTCGGTCACGAGGTAGGGCGTGAGAATGGCCGCGAGAAGGGCAAAGAGGAATCGGTACATCTTGGGCGATTGTCTTGTATCGTCAGATGTTGGGAGTAGAGAGGTGGTCGAAGTGAGAAGATAGATTGTTAAGGGAGGTGGGTAAAGAGCACTACCTAGGTATGTGCCTAAGTGAATGGAGATACTAAGCGCCAAACAAATATGAAGACGCTCAAGCAGGAGTAGTAAAATCAGAGTTGAGAACGGTTTGATCGTATTGCAATTGGCAAAGAATCAATCAAAAATCGCCGACGGGCAAGAGTTCTCTTTCTGTCGTTGTTGTGGAAGGGAAGAAGGGAGGTTTCGAAAAACACAATCGAGTTGGGAGAGCTTCAAATACAAGCTGTGCCAGGGCGGCTCCACTGGCAATGCTGCAGCTTGCACAGATCAGATAGATCTAATCGCTATTCACTAGATGACAGAAGTGAATTGCAGGCAGCTCAGAGCTCGAAGTGTTTGGAGGCACATGGGATGGAAAACGAAATGTTATGTGTAGGATGCAACCAGGTCTGGATTTGAATGTCGAAGTCTGCATCAACACTGAACTAAGACCCACTGTGGAAATTGAGAACAAGCTTGATGAGCAATGAATGGTATTGTGTATCTCATAGATTTACAAGACTAGGCTAAGCGGAGGCCTGTTTGAGAGCCTGCCAATGGCGATGGTGGTGGCCAGCGATCTACGTGTATCTCTACTCCTAGACTGACTTTTTCGATACTCAAGAGAAATTACTCCAGCTTGTCCCTGTGTATACGCCCATATTTGAGAGCGCTGGTAGGAACGCCAGATTCTCTATTGGTGTGGTCATCGAACCTTCCTGGGTTGAATGTTTGTCTCGACCATGCCACTTCACTATGGTAACGCAAGCATCGTGTAGCGTATTTGCCTCTGAAATAACGGAATTGGCCAAAAAGAAAACACCACAGTCTCGTGCTAAGGTAATTCTATAGAGACCATGTCTGCATGGGAACCGTATTTATGTACCCAGATGCCAACAAGCTCAGGATAGTCAATAGGGCAGAGCAGTCATTGTGTGTGCAGGCAGCAGTGGTTGTGTGGACCTTGCCAAAATGGGGTATATCCTCGAAATTCCAAACGTCACTCATCACATGTCTTATGAATCTCCCACCAATCTCTGGAGCTTGTTCAACGAGTTTCGATCTGGCTCCAACTACTTCAGAGCATTCGAATGTTGAGACTGGGGACAAAGCCATGGTTGAAACTCATGAGGAATGCGTAGCGTATCTTCAATTTTGTCAAGCAAAACTGGGCAGTATAAAAGGACATCTGCCAGAGCAAGAGAAGGATGGCTAGCTAGGTGCACCAAACGGTATTTAACATAGGAACGCCGTGAGTGGCTCAATAAATAAAGAGTAGGTTTCCGCCTAGTTTCCAGGGATAATATTAGTAGAGGACTCCTGTTGTTGGCTACCTAAATATCTTTCTAATACCTGCTTTTCCCATGTCTGGCCTCCAGTGTACAAACAACGAACGAACGTATGGTTTGACTGAAGAGGTATTGATGCTGCATCTGAATAGGCGGCTGATATTCGGGATGTTCATTTAGATCTGGTTATCTTCACTGTGCAGGCTGGCATCTACCATTCTTTGGTAGCACTCTTAGGATCTCGTAGTACGCAGGACTTTTAATAGGTTCCTGACATAGGTAGCTAGGCAACGGTACTATTGTTCTCTGTAAGGGCTAGCTAAACAAAGAAGCTTCGAAAGGGTACAGGTCACACGTGTTCTCCAGCTATGCCCATGGCAGCACTCGTCCTACCGATTGTGCCGCCGTTGGTCAGGTCCAAGCGCTCAACGATTGGTAAACAAGCTGTTCTCAAGGCGAGCTCCTGAATGCACGTCACTCGGAGTACTTCTTCGCACAGCATATTGCACAGTGATCCAGGGGCGGCGTCAGCAGAGGCGTGTCACGATGTCAGCCACAGAGTCAGCCATTGACAGGAACAATTACTCTTTATAAGCGACAGTTCCCCCTGAGTGGCATGATTGAAGTTGGGGTTCCATTTGACGTCACTCAAGCTTTAACATCCATCTGAACGGCAAACGGGGCATGATGTTTTGGCGTGGCTTCAGCAAGCAGGAGATCCGGGCATTGCTGCTCAGGCTGAGAAGGGGACGGCTGCTGCTGTCGCAACAAGAGGACCAGCAGAAGCAGCAACAGAAGCAGAAGCCAGAGCCTACCGAGCTGAAGAATAAGCTTGAGCCCTATGGCTGCAGGGGGTTGCTTGTTCTCGGCACCGACTCCCTGCTGGAATGCGACGCTAGCAACGCTAGGCCGGCACTGAGTCAGTGGACTACTAAATCTAGCTCTGCCGGACAACCGTTCATCTCGAGAGATTTGCTGAGACTCGATCACCGCCATGCAGCGTCATATCGGCAGGGATCACGAGAGCAGCTGCTGGCCCAGCAGCTCGGCAGCCCCCAGCGCCCAACGCCACTAAGCTGGGGCCGATCCACCTCCAACATCGAAGGCCCGTCCCTCACAACCGGTGCATTGATACGCCCAGCTGCTTGCTGCTCTTTTTTCGACTCCCACGATGAGGCCCATTCCACCTCTCACCGGTGCCAATCGCTCGTCTCGACCTCCTCGATGGCCCAATTGAAAAGCCTGCCATAGATCTCGAGCCTGTCTCCCCCGAATCAACCACATATCGAGCTCGACGCCGCCTGTCTCGTAGCGCGCCGGCGCATCCGTTGCCCGCCATGGCTGCTGCTGCTGCTGCTGCTGCCGAGCCTGCGCTGCCAGTCCAAGAAGAGCAGCCCTCGGGACAACAAAATCAGCCGCAGGAGGAAGAGAAGCAGTCAGACGAGGGGCAAAATGGCAAAGCTTCTCCTCAGTCGCAAGGGTTGGACCCTCCAGAGGACCCTCTGCGCAATGCCCCGACCTTCAAGGACGATTTGGCACCAGAGCGCGGGGAGGAGGATACGCCCCCAGAGACGCCCAAGTCGCCAGGCTTCGTCGAGAAGACAATGCAGAAGCTGGGCCTGAATGACGTCCTCCTCAAGTGCATGTTCAAGTATGTCTTGTCTGCCTTTGCCTTTCCTGCCCAGCGAAGACGAGCCAAAGCTAATCTGTGCCTGTGAACCTTGTAGAGGCTCTGTCGCGCCCGTCATAGGCCTCGCGATATACCAGGCGGAGCCCGTGATGCGCATCCTGACCACACTGGGATACCTCGTAGGCGTAATCACCGTCCTGGCCCTCGCCGTTCTGCCTCGCGGCAAATTCATCCAGAACATGATCCTGAACTGCCTGTCCACCGCAGTGGGATGCGCCATGGCCATGCTGATCTCCTACACAGGTGTCAAGGCCCGCCTCAACACCTCCGACCTGCGCGAGATGGCTGCCTTTATTCAGGCCAATGGCCGCGCCCCGTACAACTCCAGCCAGAGTGCCGTATGTGGCGTCTGGCTGTTCTTCCAGATCTGGCTGAGCAACGTCATCAGGGCAAAGTATCCCGCCTTCAATGTGCCTGTGATAATCTACAGCATCGTGGTCAACATCTCGTGCACCTTCGGCCCCGAGTTCCCCACTCTCGCCACGGCCGAAGCTTTCATCCAGAGGCTCCTGGCTGCTATTTTTATGGGTCTCGCCATTGCAACGGGCGTTTCCCTTATTGTCTTCCCCATCAGCAGCCGTCAGGTTGTCGCGAAGCAGATGGCAGGCGTCCTTGGCCTATTCAAAAAGTCCGTCGTGCTCGAGAAAGAATACCTCCAGGGCTTGGAGAAGGAGGACATGTTCGCCCTTGAGATCACCGAGACCTCGGCGGGCCGCTCAGAGCCGGAGAGGAAGGCAGGGAAGAAGGATAAGGGCCCCAAACTGACCAAGGAGCAGAAGAATGCCATGGCCTTGAAAGGAACCATTGGGGCCATCAGGGAGCTCATGGGAAAGATTTACGGCGACATGAAGTTCGCGAAGCGTGATATCGCCTGGGGTCACCTAAGCGCAAAGGATTTCGGAGAGATGTTCAATCTGATCCGCATGTGTGTCATCCCAATGACTGGCATTGGTACTATCATGGATATCTTTCAGAGAGTTGGCAGGGAAAGGGGCTGGGACAACAACGGCCCTGGCGACGACGGCGGCGTGTTCCAGCGCTTCGAGCCCATCGGCAAGGAAGAGAGCCAGCGCATCTGGAACGACATCATGAAGCAGTTGCACGAGCCCTTCGAGATCTTGTCCGAGGCCATCACCCAAGGAATCGACCACGCCGGTATCCTGCTCAAGCTATTCCCCCAGCCCAAGGCCCAGAAGAAGGCAGCAGCCCAGAACGCTGGCGGGGATGCCGACGTTGAGGCATCTGGTGGTGAGCTCCGCCCGGGCCAGGTCGGATTCTCCAGCGTCATCAGTGAGAAAATTGAAGTTTTCAACTCTCGCAAGGGCGAGATTCTCCGGCTTTGGGCCAAGGACAAGGGGCTGTGCAGCGATGGGAATTTTGAGAACTGGGCCAAGGACAGCACAAGGTTGTTCGAAAAACGGCGCAACGACCAAGCACAGCTCTACGTGATCTTGTACTTGGAGAAGTTGGTGAGTGTTCCCTAAATTGACATCCCATTCACGGAGACTAATCGCGTCCCCCCCAACCCACAGATGCAAGCCACAGGCGAGGCTGTGCAAGATCTCGTAGCCTTTGCCGAAGCGAAGGTAGAAGACGGGACCATGACCAAGAAGCGGCTGATCTTCCCCAACGGACGTCGCCTGCGCAAGTGGTTCCTCGGCATCTTCAGCAACGAGGACTCGACCGCCGAGGACTCGCCCGACATCATGGAGACAGGTACCAATGTCGTCTACCTTGGCCAGGGCTGGATGAACAAGAAGGACCCGGAGCACCTCCCTGCCAGGAACGCCTGGGAGCGGTTCGGCAACGGCGTGCGCCGCTTCTCGCACTTCTTCGGCTCGCCCGAGTCCGTCTTTGGCTTTCGCGTTGCCTGTGCTACTATGACTATCGGTATTATTGCTTTCCTGGAGAGCTCGCAGCGTTTTTTTATACAGCAGCGGCTTGTGTGGGCCATGATCATTATTGCTATTGGGATGACGCAGAGTAAGAAACCCTTTGATCATTGCATTAAACTAAGTCCATCGTCATTGATGCTGACATTGCCTCAGCGTCTGGCCAATCCACATTTGGCTTCCTCTGCAGAGTAGGTGGGACCTTCATCGCCATGGTCAACTGTTTCATCATCTACTACATCGTCGACTACAAGATACCGGGTATTTTCGTCTTCCTATGGCTTTTCATCTTTATTGAATATTATTTCTTCTTCAAATACCCACAATTTATACCCGCCGCCATGATCTGCATTGTCACCCAGGTACGTCCATTTTCCTGTTCCACAAAAGAAGATATGGTTCAGGTTCCCCCAAGACTGACGCAATTTTATCAGGTCCTCATCCTCGGGTACGAGCTTCAAACCAACCTGCTCGGAGTCACAGCATCAGAGTCCAGCGGACAGCCATACTATCCGCTCTACGAGCTCGCCCCATACCGACTCGCCACCGTCGCAGCGGGTGCCTTCGTTGCCTTTTTCTGGACTGTGTTTCCCAGTCCCTTTACTGACAGGACGTGGCTTCGCAAGGATCTAAGTGCGGTGCTATATCTACTCGCCAACTACTCGAGTGTCGTACATACCACCATGAAGGCGACAATGAGTGGAACAGTTGGCGATATGGAGATTCCAGGGACACCTGCGCACAGCCTGTTCAAAGTTCGGCGAAAGCTGTTTGGAAAATTGACTTTGCTACTCCCCTCCCTGCAAATGCACGCGAATTTCCAGAAGTTCGAGCCCAGTCTTGGGGGCAAGTTTCCTGAGGAGCAGTATCAGGACATCATATTACGATCTACTCGGTTCGTCAACCCCGCCAAACACGCTATACACTTTCTATAATGGCACTTGACTAACCCATGCCGTTCTCTAACAGGATCATGAACTACTGCACTCTCATGTCCTACGTCCTAACCTACCTGGCCCCCAAAGGGCCAGAAGAAAACTCCGACAAGGACTGGATGCATGTTCTCGGCGAGGTGTTTGAGGACGTCTCACCAGTACATAACCAGATTCTGTCCACGCTGACGCTGCTCTCCAATTCCCTTCTCTCGGGCCAGTCTCTCCCACCATACCTGCCCCTCCCCAAGCCCTACGAAATGACAAGGCATCTCCTCAGCATGCCCGCGGAGAATCCAAAGTCGCACCACAAATCCTCTACCAAGGCAGCGCAACATTCCTCCTCATCAGCATCATCAGCGTCCTCCTCATCCTCCACATCAACCCACTCCCACCAAAGACCCGCAACCGGCGAACCCTCCAGCCAGCCCGCCAGCAGCACCAGCCAGCGCGACGAGTACAAGCCGTCGCTCGAGCCTTGGAGCCTGCTGGACGCGCGTAACATGGAGCAGAAGGGCTACACCGAGTTCGCCGTGCTGCAGGTGTGCTCGACGCTCATCATCGGCGACCTCGAGGGCCTCATCGCCACTGTTGCCGAGCTCGTCGGCACCGTCGACTTCAGCTTCCGCGTCGAGCATTCTGACGATAGCTCTGTCAGTGACCTGGGCAGCGTGCGGAGGGTCGGTACTTGGGCTTCGCGGGCTGCTGAGGCGAGGGCTGCTTCGTTGGCTAGTGGCGGGCAGGGAACCAGCGGTGACAGGGGCAAGGGAAAAAGGGATTAAGGGTCCGTCCCGTTCCTTCAGCTGGAGGTCAACTGCCAGTGCCCTTACGGTTATCACATCAGCAAGAAATATGACAGTGTCGCTCCTTTGGGCTGTGCTGTGGATATGTGTCTGGTTGGAAATTTCAGATACCATATGCTGCTGTTTATGCTGCTGTAGGATCCTTAATGAGACTTTGAACCGCGCTTTGGACGGGGTCAACGGCCGAGCACTTAGTTATGAATGCTCAATAGTAACATATAGTGTAAATATCGAATTGTAAAACAAATAATCATGTTCTGAATAATAGATCTATACTGGAGAATGTCTGCGTAATATTGGACCATACCCTTGATTTACAGTGACAAGAACAAGAGCACCAACGAGGCAAATCACCGGGATTGAAGGCTTGGTTGATAGTGGTCTGTTTTTATGAAATCGAACAGTGCAAGCTAAAGTCCTTGCACGTGCGTTTCAGGGCATAGGTTAAGGGGAACACAATACTGAGAACTCTACGGAAGAAATGACTCTTCCTAAACCAGGGTACTCATGTATATAGAGGGTAAGGAGACAAGTTAACAGACATCTTTCTTGTGTCCAAGGACTTCTGACATCTGCAGTATTCCAGCCGGATCCAGGGGTTAATGGAGGAGAAGGACTCCCGCCACCACCGCCCCTCTCGACCGTCAAGTCTGTTCGACTACTTGCCTTCGAAGTGGGCACCGATGCCGATAAGATCATTCTTCATGCGCTCTTCCTTATTCCCATTATATTCATGATCCACTCGTGGTTTCTGGCCCTTTGGACGAGCCCGTGTGCCAGTTGAGCCGTGTTGGGCAGTGGTACTAGCATGGTCGTTGGTGTAGGTGTGGCTAGGGTTGCTATGTATGTTTAGATTAGCATCAATCGGTGTAATGTCTAGGTAGGAAAGATGGGTAGAATCCGATGAAATGGTTTGTTGACTTACGCAGTGCATGCCGTAGCAGAGGATGTATAGTAGGTGTAAGGCATGTTGGGCCGCGCTAGGGAGCAGGCTGTCTGATCTGAATGCTGGCAAGGTGGGCTTTGTGAAGAGGGCGCGGAGATCAGGTCTTGGAGTACCGGACAGGGCAACAGTGAGGATTCTTAAGGCTTGTGAGCATCAAATGCTCGACGGACAGGTGATATGGCAGTGACCAGCCTTTCAGTTATGATGGTGCCAGGCTTGGGTGTGATTGTGGTCTCTCAAGGTAGGTGTCAAGTTAAACAGGACGTAGGAAAGGCGCCATGAAAGGTAGGGAAACAATGAGTATTTGTACTCGAGGATGAGGAAAGGTATTCAGGGCAGAGAGAGCCCAGCTCGATCCAACCTGATCGTCCGCCGTTGCTGGACTGCAAGTTGCCATGCATGTGCGTTTCGTTTCCGAGTGTCACCGCCCTGCTAGACTGGGATGGGGTCCTCAACTCAGGTGCCATTGGATAGTCTTCTTTTGTAATTTGTCTTTTTGTAAGCTTTCTTTCCCGCATGTCCCACCCGATTTTCTCGAGACAGAATGGACCTCTCTCTGGAAGACAGTAGCAAGGGGGAAATGGGCCAGCCAACTCAAACCCTATTGGGCAGTCTCGTTTTGTAAGTCATTTAGGTGCTTCTCATGCATCTGTCACCGCGTAACCTCGAGAGAGAGAGAGCATGGATCACTGTGGCAGATGGGTCGATTTGCCCTCTTGGTTGCGATGTTATTGGATGGTCTCTTTTTGTATTGAGGCTGAAGGATGCCTACGGGCTAGTAGATCGCCGCCCCTGTCTTGCTCGCACGTCCGTGATCGGATTGCATTGCAGTCATTGGCTCTTCTCCTTTTGTTGCATGGGTCGGCCACTTAAGATTCAGAGATATGCAGCTGCAGGCAGATGGCAGCTCCTGAGTGGCTAGTCTCTTTTTGGCATCCCACCACCAAGCACTTATGACGAGTCCGGCTGTTACACGGTAGTCCTGCAAGGCGACGTGTTGTTTTGCCTTATACGGTGGTTCGCAAAAAGTCTTCAGCGTGTCAGCTCGAGTGCTGCCGTTGTGCGAGTACATAAAGGCAGCCGACCTCATCGAAATGGGGCCGGCAAGACAGCAACTCTCAACCTCCTTCACCATTCCTGGAAATCTTTTGGCCATTGGTCACTATGAGTCTCGTAGAAAGTTACTTGGATCTTCCTTATGAGCAAAGATGGGATCGTCTCAAACCAGCCATCGTGAAGATTTATCTAGAAGAACGAGCCACCCTTGCGGAGCTCTCCGAGCGGATGGCCAGTGATCTTGGTTTCAAGGCGGAGTATGTTAACCCCCGTTCCCTGGAATGTATCTGCACTATCCAGCTTGATATCTTTTTCTTTTTCTTGAGACCTTTCATGGCACTGCTTGGGTTGAATATCGCACTAACAGGAGCAATAGAATTCATCAGTATCGGTATCAATTCAAGAAATGGGGCATCAAGAAGCGTACCACAACCGTTGAGAAAGAAGCCGTGATAACAGCCTTGGGGAAAAGACGTCGACAGCATGGGGTTGGCACATCGAATGTTCAACTTGAGCAGGGTAATTGGCCCAAATCCGTCGACAAGAAGCAGCTCAAGCGACATATCAACGACTCAATTCGCAAAGAGAAACCAGTATCCCTTCGGCCTGGCATGTAAGTCATCTGTCGCAATTTCTCAGTGCTTGCATCTGGCAGCGTCTTACTTTGTCCAGATTTCTCAGTCGGAACTTGCCATATTCTGCGCTTGTTCGAAAGCTCGGAGGCCATGCTCACGACAATCCATCTCCCTTGAGTGGTGGTCCTCAAACTCCAGCATACCTCTCAGTCTCCAGTCCCCAGAATCAGAACGTTAATGGCAGCCCGCAGGAGGGTATGTCGCCGACAACGCAGTTAGTGCATAGAAAGGTTCTCATCGATAGAGCACAGCTATTGCTCGACGGTAGGGAATTCGAATTAATGAAGCAGATGAGTAGCGACGAAAGAAGGTGCGCAATGAGTGATCACCCAAACAGCACAATAGTATTCATCGCTGATTTGCAATTCTCTAGAATCACTGCCAACTGGCTACATGATTTCTGGATGTTCGCTTTCGTGACTACCAAATACTGGGGAAAGGGACCCCAAGAGTGGACGTTGCCACTGATTGAAGCCAAAACGCTGGCTGGAATTGCCCGCGATTTGCCTCCAGATCATCCGAGTGGATCGCGGGAGCTCGACCATGCTCGGTCCCCGTCAATGGCCACTGCCGTCATTAGCCCTCCGACACAATTGTGTAACTGGTCGATTCACTACTTAGAACGGATGAAATACGAGGCTATCCGTTCCTGGCCCAGCGACCCGGCAGAGCACAAAGAACAAGACATAGAGGATGAATCTACTTGGCAAGAATGGAGCCCGAACTATGGGCGAGATCTAACCAGCACGATCACTCAAGGTCTCCAGACAAATGAGTTTACGAAATGCCAAACCGAAGATTTGCCGTTGGCAGTAGATTCTATTGTCAACACATTATCTGGGTCCACTAAAGATGCAAAGGTCGAGGCCATCGGATTTGCCATCATGAGCCGCAATATCGGCGCCTTCTTCGACCTTCTAGATGACGAGGACGTGAATTGGGAAGCTCTTCGCGAAATCTCTCCATTTCATCTAGCAGCAAAGTTTTTGGACGGTTCAAAGGCATGTTGTGGAATGATGTCTGCACTGGTCGAACGGTTAGAGGATGTCAACTCGATCGGTGTCAGTTACACGGACCATTCAGGCCTGACTGTATTGGACGCCCTGTTCATCTCTATACTGCGCTCACACACTTCAGTCGAAGCTTCGGTGCTGGGGGCCACATTTGCCACCACCGGATTGTTCTCTGAGGGTTCTGATGTTGATATTTGCGGGAGATGGGACGCCGATTCACCATGCATCCGCCTGCTTCGCGCGACTGGAGAAGCGTTTATACCGCATGAGTGGAAACACATTTTTTGCCATACTTCATCACAGACAGTTTGTCATTGCATTACTTCAATATTCATGAGAAACTGGGGTCCCAACATCAATACGGCCAGCGGTTTGTTCCAGAGACGCTGTCAATGTGGTTTAGAGCTCAAACTTGGGCCGCTCCACGCCTTTGTGTTCGTGGCCTTCCATTTGGCGAATAGTGGCATGCCAGGAGAAACACTTTTTGGCATGCTCGCTTGTTTGGTTTGTCTCATAACATTAAAGGCCGATCCATGTTTGTCTGCTCAGATCTCGATTGAAGCTGTTCTCGGACTTGGAGAGACAGAGAAGTGTCAGCATCGATCATTCAATGCGGCCGACCTTGCTTCGGCTGTGCCAGGAGATGTCGTAAGCAAGTGGACACCCGAGGTGCAGTTGGGTTGGGAAGCCATCAAAGAACTTCTGAAGTACCGCGTGACGCGAGCCCGAAACTCAGATGTTGATACCACGAACGGGCTTTCCGTCTCGTCCAGGACTCCACGCGGAGTCACACACGATTACGAGCATTGCATTGACGAGTATGATGATGATATATCGGAACCCGAAGATGATTCTTGTCGGCATGGTATTCATGAGAGCGAAAGAGCGGATAACACACGGCTTGTGGAGTGCGGAGATCAACGTCTGGGCACGATTTGGGCTGCCATCCAAGTCGAATTGTTGACGTACCGAAGACTCGAGGTGGGAGATACTTGGCTGTCTTCCATGTTTGACATGCGGAATGTTGTCGAAGGACTGCGAGCAACCGACGATTCGGTTCTTATGCGCATGGTGGATTGTCGCGGGAAGGACGCTTTCCAACGCTTTTCACGCTGCGGTCTGTTCTTGGAGGCGAGAGATCCCGGATGTGCCAGGAGAGAAGAAGCGTGCGCTTCTTACTTTGCCAATCTAGATGATTGGATGCGAACTAACTTCATACAAGCTAGGACTAGTTTCTGGGATATGCTTTGACGGAAATTTCCAAGTTTTCATCTAATGCATATCAAATCTGTCAGTCAAAATGGCATCCCTGACATGTTGGCGCATCTGCGTATTTACAGGATAATACAAAGCTTGACTTGAATACATATCGCACATGGTAGTCGCTACGCCGAAGCAACCATCCAAGAGGTTACCAGACTCCACAAAGTGTACCGAAAAAAAGTTGCGTGTATGTTTCTTTCGAGATACACAATGTGTAGCACCAAGAGGCATGCCTGTTGAGTCGACCCCAGGCCCAACAATGTTCACGGCTACTCACTCCGTTTCGTTCATCAAATGAAGAATTGTACTCTCTGCACAAGCGTCGCCTGATTTACACACACACTTGGAATAGATTGCCATCAAGATTTCTGAAATCTTTCCTCCTCCGGCTCCAGAGAAGATTGTTACAGTGCGCGAAACACCCTCAGCGTGGACTTCTGTGCCGGAATTTCAATGCCGAAGGGTCCAGCCGAAGCAATTGAAATTGTACCTTTACCCCATGCAGTGTATTGCGAGCTTCTCTATGTTCAAGCTTAGGTGGAACCTTACATCGCGCGCCTGCTGCACTTGTTTTGCTTCATTGTCATTAGCGTCAAATTCGAAATGATCAAGTACTAGCTATACCCAGAAAGAAATGAGAAATCTAATACTCTGGTCGAAGACCACGCCGACAGGACATACATGTAAACCTGGCAGGGCCAGGGGCAGCTATATAGTCTATATTAAACGGACAGAAGGGAATCATGAGGCACGGTCGTCATCCTGGCAGGGCTGGGTTCAGCGGCGTAGCCTCACCGATTTGCAGAACACATATAAGCTTGAGGTTCAACAGGAAGTCAAAGTAGCAACTGCGGTTCACCACGAATACCGGTCTACTGTGAGTTGCCCATCAATACATAGCAACCGCTTTCTTTACTTTGAGGGAACATTATATACCTGTTACCAGGGGAGTCAATATAATTGTGGAGCCTGAATCCTCATGATGTTTATGAAAGTTGTGTTATCTGGGAACTTACACGCGGTTAAATTGACCTGCTATGTGGAGTTTCTCGGACATAACAGCTCTCAGACACATACAGCTAAATGAAAATTTCCCAAGTTCCTAAAATCGGGATTACATGCACAGCCTTCTCGCTCTAGGTCCTATTCCTCTTCGTCACATAGACAAGCCAACTATGAGGGACCTGAGCGAACAACATCTCGCACTGCCACTCTTTCTCGGGGTGGACAAGCTGCAGGTCGTAGTCACGGATTATTGTAGCCGTGATCTTCAACACCTCAATGCGAGCGAGATGTTGCCCAGGACACGACATAAACCCAGCCCCGAACGGCATGAAGCACCTCTCTAGCCCGGCCGCATCGTCGCCCAGCCACCGTTCGGGCTTGAACTTGTCCACGTCGTCGCCCCAGAGAGCATGCGAACGATGCAGGACCCACTGAGAGCCTGAAAGAGTGATGCCTTCGGGGAACCAGCGCCCACCGATCTCGATACTTCCTTCTGGTGCTAGGCGTGGTAGCGGCATGAGAATGGGTGTGTGAATGCGGAGTGCCTCCTTGATGCAAGCTTGTAGGTATGGTAGCTCCCGGACTTCAGAAAACGGCAATACGCGGTCGCTGTTCCGAATTTGATTAACTTCGGCCCTGGCCCTCTCGAGCGTCCCGGGGTTTCGGAGAAAATGGTAAAAAAACAGACTGCAGCAGGCAGGAAGTGGTATCCGACCCAGCGCCGACGACATTCGTAGCCTGCGCCATGATCTCGCGCGTGGTAGCCTTGCCAGGGTTGTCATCCATATACTTCAGCCAGTGACTGAGCATATCAAAGTTTTCGACTGGCCGAGCCATGCGGTCCTTTACGGCTGCAAAGGCTGTCTCACCCAGCCAAGCTGCTGGCGTCAGACTCAGCCAGGTCATGATGGGGTTGACTGCGATGTAATGCAGCTCGCGGAGGTGGGACGCCCAGGTCACCATCTCCTGAAAGAAAGAAATTTGTGGCAATGGCGTTGTTCAGATCCTTGCCTTGCTTCAAGAATCCAAACGGCTTGCTACAAAGCACCTCGCCCACGACGTCGAAAGCGGTATATGTGAAGAATTTGTCTAGATCCATAGGCTCATTGCGCTGCTCGTAGCGGTCCATGTGGTCTAGCAGCTGGGAAATGGTGTCTGATATGACGTCCTCGGAGCGTAGAATGCTGCTTTGCAGGAAGCCAGCAGCGAACGTTTTGGAGCGCTCCAACTTTCGCCTCGGATCTGGTTCGGACATGGGGTTTTGGAATCGCCAGTCTGGGTAGGTGGCGAACTCATAAAAGGTGCCCTTACGCAAAGGCTGAAGGTACAACTTCTTGACAGTATCGACATGGCAAACGCTGACCTCCCAGGGAGATATACGCACAAATGCGCCTTCACGGACTTTCGTTAGCATCAAGTCATAGAGCGCTGTACTAGTAGCCTTCTCACAAGGCCGAGAGCTACTCACCGTACTTTTCATGCAGATCAGCGAGCTCGCTGGCTCCTCTTCCTTGAATCAAGGTTTTGATAAGCCATAATCTTGAAAACGAGGCCAAGAAAGGACCAGGAATATTAGATATGGGCGACAAGTAGCGATACCAGATGCAGCTGCCCAGGAACCAGGCAAAGACCAAGCCAGCAAAGCTGGACAGAACTCTTGAGGCTGAGAATGAAAGAACCCCGCTGCTGCCGACAGTGGCAAGAGTCGTACCATTGAGGTTTCCATAAAATTTGGACACTTGATACAGACTCCAGTCCTTGAAACTGTCGCCATCACCCAAGTTAGGGAAGAAGAGACCCATATTGGAGGTCCTTCGTGTTGAGCGATGCTCAAAGCTCGCTACTTATTTGAGCTTCAGAGATGGTCAGGAAGAAATCAAGAAGAATCGGAATAGAGATGCAGATTAACAGGTTCGGTGATAGACCACTCACAGGGTATGCAGGATTGTGACTGGGGCCCGGTGAAAATCCACACTGCAAAGAAGTAAGCGAGCCCTCACTTCAGATGCACACGAGAACCAATCATGATCAAGAAGATAGCTCGCAACGATGCACATTGACGTTCATATGAGTCCAGCATTCCACTAGCAACCAACAGTCAGGGGCCTATCACGAAAAGAGTAATCAAATCGCTCGCTTGTGGGTACGTCGATACTCCCGCGCAGGGATCTTGTAAACCTTTGGGGAATACCACAGCAATTATCAAGGCGATCGAAAAGCAAGTGAGTCAAGGCCAGACGCCAGACGACCTGTTGGATGCTTACATGTCGTCTGGTTGAAATAGAGGTTTCGCAGAGCCAACTGTCAAACGGTGGGCCATAATAGACAACGATGGCACAGGATGCGAACGTCAGGCCCACATGCGGATAACTAGGCGGATAACTAGCTTAGGAAGTTGCAGACTGAGGCGTTCCACTCACTATACCACAGCGGAGTGCTAAAATCGTTATACCAATTTCCAGGGAGTAAACCCTGTTATAATGTCCACATTACAACACCCGAGCCGCCGCCTTTATCTTCACTTCATTCTATACACCCTTTAATTATGATCATGTCCGGTTTTGATGAGCTGAATTTTGCGATATGCAACCTCGAGTCCAATGCCCTTTTGATAGAAATGTCCCGGGGCACTGGCCGAGATACAATCGGAAATACTGAAGTAATGTGAAGTCCAAAGACAGGCAAGATATTGTACATCATTCAGGCACACAGATCTGCGTTGCTTTTCAAATGTCTCACTTCTCAATCGTGATGGTCTCCTTGGGCAGTGTAACGGCGACTTTACTGCAGGTGACCCATTCCCTGTTGGGCTTCTCAGTATGCTCCTCGAGTACCGGGTTCGATACCCGAATAGCTCTAGCACCACGACTGAGCATGTCATCACGGAAGTCGCCCATCATCTTCTCGAACTCGGGTCCTCTAGCCTGAGTGTCTCTGATGCGAGTGATTGTCCGCCCAAGAGTCACACCATCCTGCATGGCATTTATTCCAGCCTCTCCTCGGACTAGAGAGACCCAATTCATTAGTCCAGTCTCGCATACGAAAAATTGTCAGGAACTTTCAGAGGGGGGGGGGGGGGAAGAACTCACAAGGCGTCATAGAATGCGCTGCGTCCCCTATAAGCATGACCCGCTTAGCTGGCAACTGGTCTGCACTTAGTTTCACGCTCTGCAGCACAATGCCCGGCCTCTTGTATCTCTCAACAAGTGTCTTGTCGACTAGGACGCGCAGATGGTCAGGATAGTCCTTCACCTTCTCCCTGACAAAGGCAGCCAACTCCTCCCTACTCGCGTTGATAGTCCAATAAGGATTCTCATCCGTGGCCTTTGCCGCCTCCGCATCGACCCAGTGTAGGATGAAGTACCAGTAACCCATCTTTCCGTCTGGTGAGACCTTGTTCAGCGCAGCGAACAGCGAGGCAGGCCCATCGTCGAGCACGACGTATGCCGAATGCGCGAGCTCCAACTGACGAGCGAAATCGTCACCAGTCAGCTCGATCTCGCCGACGATGGATCCAATGGGCAGAGGCTTCATGACGTCCTGCCCGTGAAGTATGTGCTTGCGGATAGCGCTCCGGCTGCCCTCCGCTCCGACCAAAATGTCACCTGTGGCAGACGTTCCATTCTCAAAGTGGACAGTGATTCTCTCATCCTCCACCACCTTCACGGCGCGCCTGTCGTACTGCACGGGGATATTCGTTCGCAGCCAGTCGCGCAGCCTCTGCCTGTTGGCACGCACGATCTTGCCCTTATCATCGTCCTCCACACCGATGCGCATGTCGGGCTTCTTAACGTGGTAAAAGACGAACTGCGCAGGCAGGTGATCCAGGGGCGCGATGTGGTTGGTACACTCTATCGGACCAATGTCTTCAGGCATATGCTCCTTGAGGTCTGCCAGGACGGGCCCGTGAAGGGCAATGGCCCAGCCCTGGGCTCTGGCATCAGCGGACTCGTCGCGCTCGAAGATCTCGTAGGATACACCGTTCTTGCGCAGGATTTGTGCCAGAGTCAGGCCGCTCAGCCCTGCTCCCACGATGAGGACATGAGGGTAAGGTTTGGAAGCCATGATAGATGCGAGGTTGGGTAGGAGGTGCTGCTTGTTGTGTCGGATGATTAACTCATTAGAAACATTGGTGACATAGAGGGAGGCGCCATATTTATATGCCTTCTTCAATGGCAAACTCTGGCTCAAACAGGTAGATATCTATCCTTGGCCGTTCATAGTGTGGATCTTGTCCAGGTGCCGCTGAGTACTTGTGCGGCCCAATTAATCTGGGCTCGAAAGTCCGAGTGGTCGTCCGATAGACTTTGGGCTCCCGTTGCCCCTTTGTGCGCCCGATGTAGCAGTCAAATCTCATTTTGCTGGCTGTTATTGGTACCAAATGCAGGAAGAGGTCAGGGATACGCTGCAGTGGAAGGTTGCTTTCGAGACGTCAGTGCATGTGGAGTCCCGTCCCGTCCGCATTGTGGGGTCTCCAGACTAAGCTGTTTTGAGTCATGAACAGCAACGTCAACAATCATTATGGACCTCGTCGTTCGCACTTTCATCTGTCGGATTTGTCGCGTACATCTATCTGCTCTTCTCTTCCCTCTTCATGTCGAAGTCAACCCTAACCCTAGTACTCAGTACAACCAAACTTAGAAGCTTAGCGCCATGAATCCGTGATCTACAGCATCGTCTATTGGATATACATCTACTTTCTGCTCATTCGTGTCAAGATCCAAGTCGGATCCGTCCTCTTCGACGCGTCCAGGAGCCATTTTTGGTATCATACTTTTCACATCTTGCAGCCATCTTGTTCAACAAGTTCACACGAGACCTCTTCTGGCTGTTTGAGACTGGGGTTTGCCAACAGTCGCTGCGGTCTATCCCTAGTGAACTTCCTCGGAATAGGAGCCTTGTCGTCGTGGCTGTCAACCCTGTATTTCGCAATCATCAAATGTGCTAGAAATGAATGGCGCACTTTGTTCAGTCTGTGGTGCGAGTTCAATCTTGCTATTCCTACTATGAGCCTTACATTCGGTTCCGTACTGAAGTGCAATCTGGCATCCCGGGCTCTCTTTAGGCCTCGAGTTGCAACTGGCATCTCGCCTTGTCCAGACCGACTTCTTGCATTACTTCGTCTCTGACAATATTCAGATTCCAATATTCGCCGGGCTTGTGCCAACCGAACTGCGAACGTTTATCATCATCCCAGCCTTCGATGTGTCCATGAAATTTGCGATATGGGGCTGCGAGTTTACTGTCAAACCTTGAGCTGTCAAACCTTGAGCTGTCAAACCTTGAGCTGTCAAACCTTGAGAAGTGTTTCCTCTTCAATCCTGACAGTATATCAAGCGATTGTGTCTTATGGGCCGGGAGGCGGATGAGATGATCAACGGTGCCCTTCAATTTTACATTAAGCAGGCGTATCATTGAGCGAATAGAAAATCATCATCCTAAGAAACGAGATCCCGGACAGGCTAGGCAACATGCCCACAAGACTTTCACGACACGGAGAAATACAATGAAAACAGACCTGGTTCTCTAGCTCGTTGGGATGGTCTAGGAATACGATTGCGTAGAAGCAGTTCACAACTACAGCCTATGATCGACAAAACTCGTCTATCATAGACGAGCAAATGACAATCGAGCCACAGCGAATGCTTCTGAACGTAACTGGGTATTTGGCCACCGCTGAACGAGCCCTTATACCCACCTCTTTTGGAAGTGAAGTGAACAAGAATATTATCAATGCCCTTCATTACTTCCTGACCTGGGCTCACCGGACACACCGCTATCCGTTTCCGAGCGACAGGCACAGTCTCGTCGCGATCCTGCACAACTTTCTTAGAGTACTGTTGCAATTCAGGGTCACTGCTGTTCAATTCTCAGACTACACGGCCGGACAGTTGGGTCTCAGTTCATTTCCGATGTCGAATGGCACGATCACTGTGGCAAACAGTGGCCGGTCCAGCTCATGGCTAGCCATACAGCCTTGGGCGAGATGGCTCCAATGTTTGCAAATCTTCTATTGAAGTCAGTCCAGTCCTATGAGAACCAGGATCAGCAAATTGCTGCCCCCATCCACCCGGGGGGATTTCCATCAATGGATCCGGTCCTTGCCATTTCAACGGCTACTCGTTTCGAACCATATATATATGTATATTGGCGTATTGAGTTTATATATTCAGACATGAAACAACGGCATCAAGCCGCTGTCAAAGTCCGAGATCGATCTCAATTATTCAGTAAAATATCTTCGCTTACGAGAAACAGCTTTTTGTCTTATCCAATCAGATTCATGTGCTGGGTAAATCACGGACGAGTGCTGGAGCATCCAAGGAAACCTCCACAGGAGTATACCGGATATCACGCTTGTGGTTGGTGAAAGGGGTAAGCCGCCCTTTTCTTTGGGGAGCAACTATACAATCACATTGATCGATGAAAATGAACAATTTGGATCCGTGGAGTAGAGACAGAAAGAGTTTTAACTTGAAAACTGACGTTTTAATCGATTAGATCACTTGCCTCCCAACATTTTGATGTTCCAAATGAGACGCTTCAGGGAGTAATATCAGACTTCCAAGACAGAAAAGCTTTCCGGGTAATACAGCCCTCACAACACGGAACTCGCATTCCAAAGGCTTTGTAATATTGACGAAGAGCATGGAGACTACCAAAATGAATCTATCGTTGGAAGGGACCTCCAGGCTCTTAGCTCCTAAAATTTGGACCAGACAATGCTCACTACATTCTGACTACATTCTGCACAAAGCACCGCTGTACTTCATCGACGCAGTAACACGAGAAGTCTCAGCTGATTCGACACACACAGGCGCTAATAATAGAATACTTTTGCTTTTATCGATAACACCCATCACAAACATCACGAACTAGCTGTCAAAATAGACCAATCCGAAACTACGGCTCGGATATTCTTATTCGTGTGGCTTAGGGATGTCAAAGAATATTGTAATAGAGAATTGTCACAAAAAGCATGCAGAAGGATAAACAGGTTGGGGTTGACACCGGTACAAAGCACCAAGGTTGGATTGAGCCCTTGGAGAGATAACCTGCAGATACTATATGCTCACCACCGCCACTGGGGAATATGCATCCCAAAATAGAAATGGAACCCAGTACGGGAGGATTGCAATGTGTGACGTCCAGTTCCAAACACTCGACATAACATTGTTGAGTATACCCCCAATCCTTCCAGGAGTTCAGAGCTTTTCACAAGTGCACTGCTCCTTCACCGGGCCCCCTTCTGCCTCTGGTTTCCACTCAACCTCAGTCGATGAGAGTCGTCCATGAGGATCAGCTACTGAAAGAACAGTTTCACGGCCAGCTGACATTGCGTCAAAGGGAATACGAGAAATGACAAGTCACCATCTCATAATAGCCTACCCAAATGGCCATATCAAACACGACGAAGTTCACGAGACTCAACTAGTAAACAGCATCAACAATCACCTACGTAGCCTACCAGACAATCTCAGAAGCTGAAAGACCAACAAAAACCGCGGCCCAGATCACAAGCACTGACTGCCTGGCACATGCCTGAACCCTCAGCCGCACGCAGAAATGGCAAATAGTCCACGTAACCAAGAACTCAAGCGCATGACAACCTCCCTAAACCACACGCCAGCAAGAGCAATAGAGTTCAGACATACCGTCATCCCGGGGCTCGTCGTCCATAATGCTCCCCATTTAAGACACAAGCCTCAAACGCAAACGGAGATCGATCGGGGGCTTACCAGGAAACACACAGCACAAGAGGACAGAAAACACGAGGAAATCTTCGAAACACGAACCGAACACGCATGCATATTGAACCAAATCTCCCCATACTTCCGGTTCATTATACCCATGCCAAAAGGCCATCGACGATTCCAGACCACGAGAATAGAGTTCACCGTAGTCCGAGTTGTCGGGACCACTCTGACATAGGGCATCATAATCCACGGCGACGGCCACGCCCGTGCGAGCAATCCAGGCTCGGGACAATGCAGAGCACATGTGTCTGCTCGTCTTCCGTCCTTGGAAGTAATGTTGCGTGCATGGCCTTACCCAGTTCCATCAGCATAAAGCCTCAAGGACTGGACCTGGTCAAGCATCAAAGGTCAGGCTTTGCTGCTAAGCGCGCTTGACCTCTCTTCCACTGCCTCGCGCTCGCTTTTCTATGGCAGGGGTGGCCATGGGACACTGGTTACGGTGTAAGTTCGGGAAAAACAACAACTCTAGGGCAGCCCGGATACGTAAGACAGGCGCGCCCCGGCGGCCTGGCGCACGCGCTGATAGACTTCCGCGGCACGGCATGAAGCGTGCCAGACAGGCGCTAGCAAGTTCTTTGGGTGAGCCGCCAACCCGCGGCAGCAATACTTCAATCTCACGCCTGAACGGCCAGCCCCCTTGCCCAAGATCCCAAACCGAGCCGGGCGCATGTTTCTGCTTGACGGCTGGACTACGGTATAATAAGGACCTGCCATCCCTCTTCCGTCAATCCGTCGTCATCAACAAGATGCGCTGACTTTCAGACGAGGCTAGTAGCCTCATCCGGGAATAGGACGCATTCGAGAAGTTTTCTGGCTTATTTTCCTCCCGGTACAAGCAGGCGGCTGCTTGGCCGGGCTGCTGTTGACAGCTAGGTCGATCAGACGTCCCAATAATCAAGTGCCGACGCTTGGGAAGACCGGTGCAATTCCGTCGGATGCGAAATTGAAGACTCTACCGTGGATACCAGGACAGTAGCTGGCATATGAGCATGCGCGACACGGTTGAGCATCCGAGCTTTGAATGGACCATCGGTCCTGAGCTTCGCGGACTCTATTCAGCATAATGGACATTCTCTCTGAATCACATGTAATGGATCACGCTTGTGCCCAACATACTCATGGATCAATTGAAAGGCACCGAGTCGTCTGATGTGGGCAAGAGACACAGCCATCGGTTGACCGTAACAGTCGTTGGAAGCGGCATCCGCGAGAAGATCGACACGGGGCTCTGGGATGTGTACCCGGCGAAAAGCAGGCTAGCCGGGACCCGGAGTGCCGGCGAGCGCATAAACGTACCCTAGCATGTAGGGCGCTGACTGAGGCCTGAAATGGGCGTTTGGGCGGCTGGCCCGTTTGTGAGCCACTTGGTCTCATTTTGCAAACGTGCAACACAGGCCAAAGGCTAGCAACAGCACGGCCTCAGCATAACGACCATTGCTTGCGCCTCATATGGAGTTTTCAATGCTTGGAGAAGAAGTATTGGGTCGCGTTTGCCCCTCTGTGTTGGTAGCGATCGACGACGGGAGCAGCGCTTGCTGCTTTGTTTCAAGGGATCCCCGAAAACCTTATTGAGCCACTGGCGTCGCACCAGCAACGACAGACGGGGACGCCAGAGACCAGTCTGGCCGCCAAGATACTGCGACCGTTGGCTGCTGATGCATCGCCAGGAACCAGTCGATGGAATGTTTGAGACGATTTTTAGTTCCCGGGTTCGGGTTGCGAGCCTTGTACCCAAATCCAGAGAGCGGCCCCCTGCCCGTGATGTCGGTGGCGCTATTGGCGCCATATCTTGCACTCGACTTTCCCCTGGCTGTCAAGGCTGGAACAGCGCAGAACAGCGGGCAGGCTCGCAGGGCGGCGGTGAAGTGCCACCAATTCGGCGAAGTGCCCGACGAGGAGTGGGGACCGGGAAAGCTTGAGTTCGGCAGTGCAGGTGATCTTGTTCGGATGAGATCTGTGATCGTCCCTGCCAGAGGACGCCGTGGCTTGCTACATGCTGTAGTGTGCTGTGCCCAAATAGCACGGGATCTAGGAGACGAGACGCCGCTACACTGGCATCGCGGCGTTGAGAGCTCATGAGACGGATATAGGGCTTTGGTCTCCGATCAACGGTTTGCTGTTCGAGCCAGGCTTGGAACAGCCTGACGGTTGCTGCTGACAGCATGACTGTTGACCCCCCATGCCGTCGGAGATTTCTTGCCTGATGCTGTGGAGAAGTTGGGGAAGAATTGGCTGGTGATGATTTGCTGCTCGCCGAAGCATCTTCGGTGACTGTTGCATTGGTTTTCTCAATGCAGACGTGGCAGTCGTACACGATGAATGATAAGAAGCAAATCGATCCATGATTCATGCGCTTTGTTGTGGCGATGGGCAGGCAGTCAGTCACCACTCGACATTCATCGCCCAGTCAGTCTTACCAGTTGACCCTGGGGGCCCTGGTCCGTCGCCATGGGTCTGATCCGATGAGGCGAGCGGGAGGTGTTCTCGAAGGCGGAGAATCATTCGACTCATCAGGGTTCTCCCTCGCCGGCCAGGATGAATTGGCAGGGCGGGCTCAATGCGATGTCGCGCTTAGTGAAAGGCGAGACAACCTGACAGCCAATCCTGGAACCGCAATTGGCATTTCGTGGAAGAAAATTCAAGAGGGAAGCCTCAAGAGGAGGAAATTTCTTGCACATGCGCCCGTCGCGTGCATGACTCGAAATAGGGAGATAGTCTGCAGATTGCTGATTCTGCCGCGAGTGCCCTTTTCTTGCCCTGATTTTGGAGAGAATTTTCATTCTCGGTGGAGGGAGGTTGAACAAGGTCTCCCTCCAAGTGTGAAGGATACGGAGGGTGTGAAGATGGAAATGGTGGGGGTTAGGAGTATGGGTGAGGGGTGAGGGTGAGGGTGAGGGGGCAGGCAGTCAAGCCAGCCAGCCCGTGCCGACTGCCGTTTCTGTGTGTGTCTCGTACCGTCAGACCGTCTGGCCGCCCGTGGCTTCCTACTGCAGAACCGAGCCGTCATCAGTCACCGGCCGGCCAACTTCTGCAGCTGCTGCCGTATCCGTGCCAAGAAAAATGAGCCTCTGACGTGACGTGGACAAGGGTCCAGACGGTCTTGGGGGTTCTGGGCTTGGGCTCAGCTCGACCTGGGCAACGTATTGATCAACTACGAACACTGCCTTTGTTCATCCTATCTAGACTATGTCTATGTGTGTATCGTGCCTACTGTAGCAGCATCGGGAATAAGGACTGAGAATCAGGTTTTCTGGGTAAATGTCCCTGGAGCGTGCCCATCTCGACACAGGGAAAAAAAGAGGTCTAGCCCCTTTGCTCGCAAGCCCATTACTAGCTCGCAAGATACCGCATTTCTAGTTGAGACATGGAACCATTGGTTGACAGTTGTAAACGGCTCTTCGGCCGGCTCTACTTGGTCTCGGTCGTTGCACATCCGACACTGGTGATGAGGAGCTGTCGTCAAGTCAACGAAATCGCCTCCCTACTGCGTACCGACAAGTCTCCCGTGCGTTGCCGTTGCTGTCATTTACAGAAAAAACTGTCAGCATTTCTGCACGTCCGCAAATCTGCACATCCACATGCGCGTATCTGCTAGTCGGCCGGCCTGCAGATCCCCGGTCATGAGACCTAAGACCTGGAGACCTGGAGACCCGGGTTCGCAAGCGACAACACGCCACGGTCAGAAAGAGGCTTCCGCCGTGCATCCTCCCGTCCACCACACACACAAAATATTAGGCAGATCTAGACGGATGGTGCTGCCCAAAAACAGGAACGGTGAGAAGAAGGCCTTGCCAAAACCAGAAGCCGCTACACCACTCACAGCTGTGCAGCCGCGCTGATGCTGATGCTGATGGCCTGATGCAAATATTAAGGTAAGGTACCTGCCCAGGTTCACTAGGTTCACGACTTGGCTAGCAGGGATATTGCCGGGTCCAATGCTCAAACGCATCATAGTGCCGGTGTCCAGTCGACGATCATTCATGGCAGACTGGGTGACTGGCTGCAGACTGGCAGCTGGGGCAGCTGGGGCAGTTACCACCACTGCTCCAGCTCGCACCTGCACTCTTTCGCTGTTCTTGAACCTACCTGGCAGTCACAAGTCTGGTAGAGCCTGCAGGCTGGGACTCCGCCCTCAGTTCTCCTCTTGCATGGAGCCCGCTTTATCCCCACATTCTCTCCTCCCAGAGACCCTCACCCTCATCATCACTCTCACCCACCCCCCTCATCCTCACCCATCTCTGCTGTCAATCGACTCTTTACAGACGTCGCCATTGCATATTCTTTCCGCCACTTCCGTGCAGTTGAGGTGGACAATTTGCATGTCCTCGTCATTCTGTACTGCACGCTGCAACCCTGCGGCTGTGGACTGCATAGCCAGAGGCATCTGAGGACGATCTGGGGACTCCCCTACAACCCCACGCGACCCGACTCCTCTCTTCCCTGCGTCAGCAGCAATATAGCACGAGAGTAGCCATAGCACACAGCATTTTCACCTGGTACAGACGGTCCAAACCTTCTCGGCGTCACCCATGCACTGCTGTCTGCCCCATCATCTATGCCTGGACAGAGCACACTCACTCACTCGCTCACTCGCCTCTCGCTCTCCTCGCCTCGTACATTTGCCTTGCGCCTTCAGCATCGCAATAGCTGAACCTTATCGACATACCCGACTCCCTGTAAACCCGAATCGCATCGTCATATCTGCTAGCATTTTGTACACCGTGCAGTGCATCCACACCATTCGTCCTGACTACGCGCCCTGCAGGACAGTACGCGGTACCAGCACGCTGTTGCACGCCGGCATCTCTGTCGACTCGAGCACCCAATCGATTCTGCCTGTGGAGGACGCCGCCGATCTGCCGGTAGCTTAGCAACAAAGTTCCGACCTCGTCAGGCCAACCAACCCAGCAATTCATTCGCCAGACTCTGCAGAAGTCATAGAGGCAGACAAGTTACTGCACTTGCGTTTCGGTTTCACGCAACTCTCCTCGGGTTACAGGCTTACATGCACGTCTGACCGCACGCCCTCAGCTCTGGTCTTCGGCGGGTGAATTCATTGCCATCTATCTGCCTCTGCCTCTGCCTCTCACTCCGTGGCATCATCCCTGGCAAGGGTACACCACATGCGGTATAGCCCCTCCAAGCAAGGTTGTCTGTTACTCCGGCCCAAGCAGCATTAATAGGTACCCGAACAAGGACCTTCAGGCAGACCGACGAGCAATCTCCGTTGCTGTCCTGCCCAGTCGTCTCGTTCGTTCGTTCGCTCGTTCGTCCGTTCGTCAATTGTGCGCTGGCTGCTTGTCATCGGTCATCCAGGCCCCGACGCAGGAGCACAAGATATTGCGAGACACACCCAAAGCAAGGTCACGCCTGCGGCTCCTCCCTCTCCTAGACCCCCCGGAGTGACATCCGCCCTCCTGCACGATTCCACAGGGCGTCCACTCGGCCCCGGTCCCCAGACGCATCGTTTCTCCCACACCCCTGTCTGCTCTGCTGCTGGCCTGACCGTCGACGTCCGCCGTCTGCATCATTATCTCGCCCACGCGACTCGCAACTCAGTCGCTGCCGTACCAGATACTACCCACTTCTCCAAGGGTTGTCTGTTGTACCGCTACCACACACCCCTCGTGCGCCTGCCGTCATCCGAAGCTCTCTGAACCTTTGGCCCTTTGGTCCCGCCCGTCTGCTGTACTCCAATGGTTGTGGTACCTCCCGTGTAAAACATTCTCGGGAGCACATGCGCACACTTCTCAATCTGCGACATACCTCGCTCCCACATATGACAGGTACAAACCGCGATCAGCGTGGTAATTAATTATGGCTTTGTGATTCACAGCCAGGGATCCCGTGAGTTTGGCTTTTTCCTCCTTTCTCGGCCTGCCCTGCCCTGCCTTGCCTCACCTTATGCGCCCTGCTCGTCTTGCCCGTCGCCCTCCCCCATCCATACATGTATACATTCCTGACCGTCATTTTTCCCTCCCCACCGCCCATCGTCAGTCCTCTTTCTGTTTATGCTTCATGCTGTTGGGACTGTGCACCTCGCTACCCGCGTTCGTCCCCCTCGATCGATCCACCGCCTCGGGTTGTCGCAAGCCTCGCCCAGAGTCTAAAGAACTCAGGCGATCCCTTCCTATATCTCACCCCTTGATGCCTCACGCTTGCCAGCGCACCTCTTTGTACCCCTTCACCTTCACCATAGCATTTCCTCTGGAAATTTGGCGAGCCCAACCGTATCGACCCAAACCACCGCTCCCTGTACCTTGGCTTGCTTGTTCGTCGTCATACCTTTGAGTCGCCATTATGTCGACCAGAGCAGATCTAGACATACATAACTTACATTTGGATTCCTCTCGTGCTTCACCAAGTTGGTCCCCTCTGGTTATCCTCTGCGTACAACACCTTCCTTTCTCTCCTGGGACCAAAGAGTTCTAACCAGTCACCCATAATGTCGGTAGCCACAGATAGCATCAGAAGACCTGAACCTTATTATTATTCGTCGCGAGGAGCTGTTTACTACACGCCTCGGAGTTCTGCTGATCGGCGGGCCCGTCGCTCTGCTGCGCCCGCGAACCCGAGCCTCCCGGCACCTCACATCGGGCCCCGCCAACGCCGCCCCCACTCTATACATATCGTCTCATATCCCTCCGGATTCATTCCACAAGAACTTCGACCAAAGACAACGCCTCGAGACATCGAGAGGCAAAGAAAGCGAGAGGAGGAAAAGCGAAAGAAGGAGCAGGAGGACAGGAAGAAACAGGAAGAGAAGCAGAAGAGGCAGCGTGAACAGGAAGAGAAGAAGCGCAAGTTGCGAGAGCAGGAAAAGAGACCGTCTCTTGGCTCATCCTCGGGCGACAAGCGAGTTGGCAGCCTCTTCAGCAAGCTCAAGTCTGCATTTCAGCCCCCAGAGCCGCAAAGCTCCCCTGGAGGTCCTGACGGCACAGCCACGCCAATTTCGCGGCCGCGACCGCAAGCGAGGACTAGAGTGCGACCCGTAAGCTGGTTGAGCGTTACAAGCCGACTGTCCAGAGCGGAGGACACACCAACCGGCGACGACTCGTTGTCACCAACCACCGAACTCTCACTGCAAGCGACGCCGGCGTCTCAAACCCCCGGGCGACGATCCACGACTATACCCCCGACCGAGGACTCCATTCCCGAGCACGAGCAAGAAACAGCTGCGTCGAGCGACCCTGTCACGCCAGACCCTGCGGGAACACAAGATCTGGTGCCTGCACCTACTACTTCCCGATTATCCACTCAATTATCCGCTCCTGCCACTACAACTCCTTCATCATCTACAATGGTCGACGTTCCTCTGAGGGCACCTCGTCTGTCCGCCGGGCCGGGCATCGGCGCTGGACATTCTCGCAGGAACAGCTTCATGTCAGTCAGGTCGGCAAAGAGCACCATGAGCTCCTCAGTTCAGGAGATTCAACAACCTAAGCCCATTGCCTCCGGCAGTGGTCTCTCGTGCACGATCATTTTGGCCGAGCCCAACGTCTTTTTGACAGGGTTTGACCACGATGGTCACACACGACACGAGAGTCACAATTCTACTGCACTCCTACGCGGTAAATTGCAGCTCAACGTCTCCAAAAACACCAAGGTCAAATCTGTCACATTGAAGCTCTTGGGCAAAGCACGGACAGAATGGCCGGAAGGAATCCCCCCTCTCAAGGTCGACATGTACGAGGAGGAGTCTTTAAGAACCCAAGCCCTGACATTTTTCCATGCTATGCATGATGGCTGGGAGACAGAATATGGTAACCAATGCACATACAAGCTCAAGGGCACCCCTATGAACCTGAACCTGAACCGGTCATCACTCAGTCCCGGAGACTCAGCGTCTGTTCTGCAAATCGGTGGCCGACAGCGATCGAACATGTCTGCGAAGGAGTTGAAGCGCCTGTCACTCCGCTCGGTCGAATCGAGGAGTTTCGGTAAAGGCGAATCCCCAGTGGCAAACCAAGTTCAGGCAAAGGGCTTTAAGGTGTTCTTCCCTGGCATGTACGAGTATTCGTTCGAGTTGCCCATTGATCACCACCAGCTGGAGACTATCAAGCTCCAGTACGGCAACGTCAAGTGGGAACTCGAGGCAGCTGTTGAACGTGCTGGTGCCTTCAAACCTAATCTCCACGGCACCAAGGAGGTATCCATCGTTCGTGTCCCTGACCAGATGTCACTAGAGACCTCAGAGCCGATCTCAATATCTCGACAATGGGAAGACCAACTACACTACGATATCATGATATCAGGGAAGTCTTTTCCTATCGGTGCCAAGATTCCCATCGCGTTCAAACTTACTCCACTTGCAAAAGTGCAGGTGCACAAGTTGAAGGTCTTTGTCACCGAGGCGATTGAGTACTGGACAAACGACAGGAAAGTGACGAGGAAAGATCCCGGACGGAAAATCTTGTTACTCGAGAAGACTGCTGGAAAACCTCTCGACAAGCAGTACGAGTCCAGTCAACTACGCATTCTTAGCGGTGGTGAGCTGTCTCCGGATGAGCGAGACGTAGCACGTCAAGCCGCACAGCGGAGGAGGACTCTTGAAGCTCAACGCACACATTCCTCGGCGGCGCCCCTCCCAGAGCCCACAGAGAACTTGCTCGGTGACCTCGACCTGGGCTTGGAGACATATTGGGGCTCAACAGAGATGGAAATGAATGTTCAGATGCCAACATGCGAGATGATGGCTAAGGATAAGTCGCTGCGGCTGCACCCTGACTGCAGTTGGAAGAACGTCAACGTGTACCACTGGATGAAGATTGTGATGCGTATCTCGCGCATTGATCCAGATGACCCGGCTGGTAAACGGAGACGGCACTTCGAGATTAGCATCGACTCGCCATTCACAGTGTTGAATTGTCGCGCCACACAGGCAAACACAGCTTTGCCCGAGTACAACAGCCCAGATACCAGCGGGTTGCGTCACCAGACCTCGTGCGGCTGCCCAGATGCGCAGGTCTTGAACTCGAGCCTCACACCGGACAATTCCAGCGGAAGTCTTGTTGACGCCACACCTGTCAACACTGCTCTGCCCATGCCACCGCAGGCGGCTCATCTGCACACATCGTCACAAGGCATTAATGGGAATTCGAGCTCCGCATCCCCAACAACCGCAACAGCAGGCCCGCCCCCGGCAAGCTCGAACCCCGTGTCGCCGAACCCCTTGCAAAGGATACGCGACCAGGAGTCTAACCCTCGACCAATGCACTTGCTCCGTTATCCTTCATTCGACCCACCACCGTTTGACTATGACCAGGCACCTCCACCGATGCCCACACCCCCACCCAATTACGACATTGTAGTGGGCACTCCCAGCGTCGATGGTCTGGCCGACTACTTTCAACGCTTGTCGCACTACGAAGACCCAACACCAAGCCGAGTCGAGGATGACTACCTGGCCGCAGGCGCCAGCAGCTCGGGCGGCGATGGTACCGATGATATAACACCACCTGCACGCCGCCCAGCGGAAGACGAGGGTGAAGACACGGAGGTTGAGTCTGACTCCGACTCGGGTGACGAGCGAAGACCGGCAAGAACTGTGAGCCGAGCAGGAACAGTCAATGTGGCAAACCCGCGGACGCCAGGAGGGAGGCTCGTACCGAGCAGGAGCTTCGAGATTGAAAGGCCTACAGGCGACTTCGCCCTAAGCATGGCTGGGGTTGTGAGGAGGAATGGAGCGGGTAATGCTTCCTAGGAGGAAGACTTTGCCCTTCTCATTATACTCCTACGACTTATGATACTGGCCAGACGATTTGTTATTTTTACGGAATTGGCGTCACGAGGTTTCTCCTTGAGTAGAGGGAGAGCAAAGCAAGAGACGGAAGGTGAAGATACCACAATTTCCAAATTGGACATCACGTTTTTGGGCGTTAGAATTGTTCGTCGCTCCTTTGGCCTCCTGTGCCTCATGATCAGTTTTCAGACTCCTCCATATCGCGATTGATGGGGTGGAATGAGCACCAACGAAGCGAAAGCGATATTGGAGGCAGTGTATCCCGTGTCGCAAGACCGACGCGGGAGACCACTTTGGGAGGCATGACGCCAACGGCAAATGCCAGTCACGCAGGGGCGTCCGAATGATCAGCTTTCAAGGTACATATGTTTTCAAATAATGTCTACCTCGTGTGCGTCCTCGTATGTACATACACTCGCCTTGGCGAAGATATAAGGAAAAGAATGCGTGTTTGGACCTGGAGGGAGGTGTTTGGGGGAACCATGGAGAGAAGAACGACCTGGGACGGATACGATGATGAGCATTACTAGCGTTCATTCATGGTTTTGGGCATTCGATAGAATTTGGTTGGTCACACCATTTGGGATAGCAATCTTTTTACTTTGTGTATGCTCTGCCTTGCTTTGTGAATGCCTCTGGATATGCCTGGCCATGATTCTTCCGAAGCCTAACGGACTGGATTAACGAAGTTCTCGGAACGATGTCTGCTTGGATTTCGTGAAGATGTCCGCCTGGCACGGGCTGGGTCAAGATGTGTTACGAGGCTCGACGTCTGGCGAAAGCGGCCGGCCTGGGGGTAATCATGTGTCGGTCCCATTTGGAAACATACATCGCGTAGGTGTCGAAGGGCCTGACAGGCTTTTTAGGTCGGTGCCATCCTATTCTAGAAATCGTGCGGGTTGTCATGGTCCAGCTGAGACGTCTCTGAGTGGATGGCTGCTGGCAAGAGTCGGCATGTTGCCGATCGATTTGCTACTTTCGCCTGTACACAGTAGTGCATGTGATACCGCCAAGGGCAAAAATATCATCTTGGTATGCATTACAATCGGGAAATGGTATCACAGACATGAAGCAGTGTTGCTCCCAACAAAGTCCTCTAGCCGTCAGCAGATCCCCCTTCAGCTGCCCGTTCCCTCGGCAGGCCATGATCAAACGGTTTCCTACCATATACAAAATAAACGCCACAATATGAGTGTATCTTCCTGTTCATTAGGTCCTTCTTCACATCGACCAGAAAGCTCAGCACCTCCTCAGAACTCATGCCCAGCACCCGCGTGAATAGTGCAAGCGACATGCTCTGCACACCCTCGAGCAGGTTCTGGCAGCACATGGCGCCGATGAGCTTGTTCTTGTCGCCGCGGGGCCAGGTGTTGAAGGCGCAGGCGGCGTGCTTCTCGACGACGCCCTCGAACCCGACCTCGCGCATGTAGCGGCCCCACTCGAGGTTGCCGCGCAGGTCCTTGCCCATGCGCAGCATCCCCTCATCCATGAGCCGGTTCCACTCGCCCAGCGCCGTGCCGTCCATGGACCCGTCGTCGCACCGCAGCGGCATGCACGGGTCCTGCAGCTCGAAGTAGCCGCCCGGCGCCAGGTTGTCGTAGATGTGCTGCACGATGCTGCGCCCGTCCTTGAAGCACGTCACCATTGCCCGCGCGTGGATGTAGTCGAAGGGCTCGTCGAACCCCCAGTCGGCCTCCTCCGCGTCGCCGATCTCGAAGCTGCAGTTCGAGGGCACCATCGCCGGCTGGATCGGCGACAGGTCGGTGCCGATCACTGTTGACCCCGGGTACTCCTGCGCCATCTCGATCGCCCAGATGCCCGTCCCCGTGCCGACGTCTAGGACCCGCCGTGGGTAGACGAGCGGCGCGATGTGCAGCTTCCCGTCGAGGAAGATCTTGAAGGTGTGGTGCTGCAGGTCGAGGCGCTCCTGCTCGATCTCGTCGTTGGGCAGGAGGTATTCTGGGATCTGGTCAGCAGGCCGCTCTTCTAGCGGGACAGTGGGTGTCTTACTGCCTGAGTTGAAGGCATGATATGTGCGGCCATTTTCCTGGATGAACCTGTAGAGGTTTGGCTCTAGGGATGTCGTCGAGTCTCTGGATGGGAGTCATCAGCACACGTAGAGCCTCAATGTCTGCACCGCCGGTCCCCCTGCTGCATGCTCATCTGCACACATGACCACCAGCTGCTGTGACAGGGTTGCGATACGGACTGAAGCGGGCCGGCCGAGATCTCCTCGGGGGAAGGGCAAGTGGAGAGCACACTTACGCAAACGAGAACCCCAGGCCGGAGTCACGATCCTCTCCCTAACGACAAGGTCAGTCAGTATTGTTGTCTGACGTGATAGAACCCCTGTGGTGGATGGGTCAAGAGGTCTCCAACTTACACCTGAGCCATCCGACACATCGAGAGTGGCGGGCAGATGGTAATTGGGCTGCGTCTCCTCTGCAGCGAGGCCCTCACTGGAGCTGCCGCCCGCATTGGATGACTCGCCGGCGATGTCACCTTGTCCGGCCGGGCCTTGGTGGCCCACGTTGGTGTCCTCCATGGTGCCCTACACTGCCGCGGATGAACCCGAGGGCTGGGCGGAGAGTGCTCTGGAAGCAGTCGCAAAATTCTCCGATTGTCTGGTGAGATCCACTTGCGCAGTATCCGAATCTCACTACGACGTCAGCACGTATGCAGGTACACGAGAGAACCCACTCGTCGCAGTACTAGGGGAGTAAGAACTTTGGCAGAGTGCTCTCTTCACATCCCAAGGACCAGATTATCCTTTGAATGCCATGAAGGCAGAGACACGGTCCCCGGGGAGCGGGCACATGATTAATGCCAACGGGACGAGGGAAGGAAGCTTAGGATGGATGGATGTGGCGGTCGCTCGGCAGTGGGCTCAGCCAAGCCCGACCGAGAACCAAAGCACACGGCAAGTGGGACGAGGTAGTCGTCGTGCTGGCTCTCTCTCTAACCCGTCGGCTGAAAAGAAAAAGGGGTGGGGGCTGAATGATCCAATCCCACAGACCAACTATCGAAAGGCCGTTTTCCCGGTTTGGCCTCTAGGCCCGTTCAGCTAGCTTCGCGGTGGTTTTTTGAGCGCCGGAAGAGCAAGCCATCCCTGGGCGGGCGCCGCTTTGGAAAAGGTTCCTTACCTTGGCGCGGTCACATGTGGGGTGGGACTGGCAACCGGTTTTTGGTTCTGACCGGGCTCGGCTCGGGCCCGAGCTGAGCGGGAGCAGCATCGGAAATGGGCCTGATAGTGCAGGAAATTCAGCCACCAGGCTGATATGCGAAATTGAATGAACTCTTCCCAGCTCACTGAACTGTGAATTATCGATGTAGTTAAGGACATGGACAGGGAGCCACAACATTCAGCTGCGTTCTAATTTTGAACCAGCGCTGTATGCTTCAGCCGCTTCCTTCTGACGGATTAGGCATGAGCAGCAGACGGGGTGTATGGTGCTATGCGCAAACATATCGACCTGCCATTAAATGAACATGGTGATAGAGCCTTCAATGCTTGTAATCGATGTCGAAAGTGATGAGGAAATGGACCAAGTCACAAATTGGGCTGTATATCAAGGCGGCTTATGTACACTGGAGGGAGTCTTGTGGGAGAAAAACGTCGACCTAATCAATCAATACAAGGGGGACCGAAGAGTTGAAAAAAAGGCATTAATAAAAGACGTAAACACGTAGCAAATTTCGTTCTGTCCAAGGACAGTATGATGATGAGCGTAGAAGACTTTGCACGCAGTTATTCAAGAAGTGCATCACGAGTACTCTTGCTAGGTAATATTGAATTAGATGAACTTTTAGAGACTTTCATTCACTCACAATTGTATTAGACTCGAGTCAAGTGACTTGCCCCAAACTTGTAGTAGAATCGAAAACTATTCAATTCTTTGTTACTTACTTGAGCAGGTCTTCCTCGAGATCTGAGGTCTTTGTCAACGACCCGTAACCATCGCTGGGCCTGCATTCCGACTCCGGGTCATCAAAGGGTCCTTAATTTCCACTGACAACTTCTCTATAGAGACGAGCCACCATCATGATGGCGATGCGACGATTTTTGGTTGCGGCTCTACTTTTCGTCGCATTCACTTGCGGGCATCATGAGTATGAAGAACTCAAGACAACAAACGAGAACACTGCCAGTGGTTGGTCCAGTGGCGCAGATCGATCAGCATCGGCCTCCTTCACCAATGCGCAAGGCGTGTCTATCCAAAAAGAAACGGCCAGATTTGTCGGTGTCAACATCTGTGGTTTTGATTTTGGATGGTGAGTAGACACATAATGCTCATCCTGGCCAATGTGGGAACTTACTCACCAACTCTCCTTGTCATATAGCAATCAAAAAGGCTCCTGTGACTTTAGTAAGACCGACGCACCACTGCCCAATGTTCCTCCAACATACAGCAACCCAGACAACCCCCTGAACAACGGCACCGCCCAAATGCTCCATTTCGTCACCGCAGACAAGTTCAACATCTTCCGCCTCCCCGTCTCGTGGCAGTACCTCGTCAACAACGACCTCGGCGGGCCTCTGGATTCGACCAACTTCGGATACTATGACCAGCTGGTTCGCGGGTGCCTCTCGACTGGCGCCTACTGCATGGTCGACCTGCACAACTACGCACGGTGGGATGGAAAAATGATTGGGGAGGACGACGGCCCGACAACCTCACAATTCGCAGACGTATGGAGCCAGATCGCGGCGAGCTACAGGGGCGAGCGCAAGGTGTGGTTTGGGATCATGAACGAGCCGCACGACCTGCCGTCGCTCTCATCGTGGGCCGACGCCGTGCAGGCGGCCATCACGGCAATCAGGCGGGCGGGCGCTGCGACACAGTACATCTCTCTACCGGGCAGGGGCTACCAGTCGCCGGGCTATCTCATCGCTAAGGGCGATGGGGATGTCTTGAAGGAGGTCACCAACCCCGATGGGTCAACTGCGAACCTTGTGTTTGACGTGCACCTCTACCTCGATGCTGAAGGCTCCGGAACGAGCAAGAAATGCGTTACGAGTGGCATCGAGGATCACTGGGCGCCGTTGGCTGATTGGCTGCGGGAGAACAAGAGGCAGGCCATCGTGAGTGAGACCGGGGGAGGCGATACGCCTTCTTGTGAGAAGTATCTCTGTCAGCAGCTGAGGTATCTGGAGTAAGTCAAGTGGTCTCTGGTGCTATTGTGAGTTTTAGACTCGATCTGACTGATCTTGTTTACTCTAGTGACAACTCGGACGTCTTCTTGGGGTATGTGATTTGGGGCGCTGGGGCTTTCAAGTCGTCGTATGAATTGTCTATGACGCCGTCTCTTGAGGGCGATATTTGGGAAGATGTACTGCTACTCACTGAATGTGTTGCACGTTAAAGAATTCAAGGACAAAGCCTACCTCCCAACCATCGAAGGTCACAAGACTTGAAGGGCTCCATGGGTCGGTCACCCTGCGCAGATTTGTGGCTCTTGACGAGCTCGAATAGTCTAATTGCACGTGGCAGCGCGACATATATATGCAAGTGGGCGCAAATCGTACACTGCATAATTTACAGACGAACCATCTTTGGTGTGATGACGTTTGTGAAAGTTCTACATGACCGGTTGTAGTGACACCTGTCATCTGATATTGAATGTGTAGCCCTGATCGACGGGATCCTTGTGCAAGTCAACAGACCCCGGAGAAACTTTGCTCTGTGCGGAACTCAATCCATGCTGAAAGTTACGATTCGACGTTGTGAAGGCTCAAGCGTACTCGATGCTCATCAGACTTTCAGGGCTGTCAATGTAAAATTGCAGGAGTTTGATCCTGCTGGAAAACACACGACTGGCCGGTCCCTTGAAAATGGAGTGCGTTCACACCCCGAACAAGTCTAGCTTGGCCCGGTTCTGCCTCAGACTTAGGCCGACTCAGGGGTGCCTATTTGAAGCGGGTGGATCCTCTACCACTTTACTTGTTTCGAAACGATCACTATGGGGAAAGGGGCAATATCATGCATACAAACAAAGTATTCCGCCGCCGTCCTCAATCTCACACAACCCTGGCTAAGCGCCTGGATGATGCCATGCGACATGTGGAAAAATCGTAGACGAGCCTCATTGAGGACAGCGTCCGAGCCGGTCTACCAAAATTGGTCGCTTTCTCCGGCCAAAAGCGGGTAGATCGGAGTACATGTGTAGTAGATTCGTACCTGGGATATATTGTTTGCTACCCCTGGCGGCTGCCACTTGGTCTCTATATATGACATTCAGCCGTTGTGTGTGGCCTTGCCAGCGACAGTTTTGCTGAGTTTCTTCCCTTGGCTCTTCTCCTTCGTTCACCAACTATCACTCTCTTTTCACAGTCTCTCATTTGAAGCCAGCCTTCGCACAATGCACTTCACTTCTCACGCAGCTTTGGCGCTGGTCGCCGCCAATGGTGCCCACGCCCAGCTCAACCAGCTCGCCGTGGCAGCCGGACTCAAGTATTTCGGTTCTGCTACCGACAACCCCGAGCTCGACGATACCGCTTATGTCGCTATCCTCAGCGACGCCAACGAGTTCGGCCAAATTACACCCGGAAACTCTCAGAAGTGGGACACGATCGAGCCGTCAAATGGGACATTCTCTTTCACCAAGGGTGACGTGATCGCCGACCTTGCCAAGAAGAACTCTCAGGTTCTCCGATGCCACAACCTCGTCTGGTACAACCAGCTACCATCCTGGGTATCCTCTGGCTCGTGGACCAACGAGACCCTCACTCAGGTTCTGGAGGCCCACATCGCCGGCGAGGTCGAGCACTACAAGGGCCAGTGCTACGCCTGGGACGTGGTCAACGAGGCCATCAGCGATAATGGCGACGGCTCCTTCCGTGACAATGTCTTCTACAAGACCATTGGCGAGTACTACCTGCCCATCGCCTTCGCCGCGGCCGCGGCCGCCGACCCGGATGCCAAGCTGTACTACAACGACTACTCCATTGAGTTCTCCGGAGCCAAGACCACTGCGGCCCTCGGCATCGTGGACCTGATCCAGGGCGCCGGCGTCAAGATCGACGGCGTCGGGCTGCAGGGCCACTTCATCGTTGGCAGCACACCATCCGCCAAAGATCTTGCCGGCGTTTTGGAGCAGTTCACTGCTAAAGGCGTTGAGGTCGCCTACACGGAGCTGGACGTGCGCCACTCGTCTGTGCCAGCCGACGACGCTGCGGTTCAGCAGCAGGCAACTGATTACGCGAACGTTGTTAATGCCTGCCTCCAGGTCGAGGGCTGTGTCGGAGTGACCGTCTGGGACTTCTACGACAAGTACTCGTGGGTCCCGTCCACCTTCTCCGGCGCCGGCGAGGCCTGCCTGTACGACGAGAACCTCTCCAAGAAGCCCGCATGGACCGCCGTCTCGTCCGCCCTGGCCGCCGCTGGCACCGGGGGCGTAGCTTCTTCCTCCGCCGTGAGCTCGGTCGCCGCTGTCGCTACCAGCAAGTCGGCCTCCGTCGTGGCGTCCGGCTCTGCGGCCCAGGCTGTTGCCAGCTCCTCTGCGCCTTCGACTGCCCCTGCTGCTGCCGTCACTCAGGTCTCTCCTACTTCTTCTGTTGAGGCTGCTGCTCCCACTTCCACAGGCAAGGTCTGTACCAAGAGGACAAAGACTGTGTATGTCACTGCATCTGTGTAAGATGGGGATGAGCAGGGTTGCCTACTTATGTGGGCAGCGATGGCGAGTGTGTCATCATGTAAGAGCAAGGTGCAAACATTGGGGTTTCTTGTAAATAGCAAATTTTGAATCTGCATGGTATATATATCAGTATGGAAAAGAGACTACAGGCAAATATATTGATGCCGCCTTGAACCGATACTCATCTTCATGTGGCCCTTCTGGACAGACATGAGGAGAACGAGCACATTTTCAACAAGAGACTGTAGATTTGAATGATGTTATCCACCAACACCACCCTTAGTGTTGCACTTTGTGAGCAATGAAGAGGTTTACTGATATTGAATATTTACCTTCTGGGCGGAAATGGTGGGCCTACCCAAGACCTGGCTACCAGCGACATCAGAGTAGAAGGTAAAATATATTTCTTCACACCCCCAAAAATAAGAAATAAACATTACAACCGAAAGCGGGCCATCCCGGTGCACGCAAACAGAGTCACCCTCTTACAATCACCTCCAACAGTTCTTCCCTCAAACATCTACCGCCGCCCAGCGGGCGAGCCCTGCTGAGCAGCAACGATAGCCGCGCTCTGCGACGCCTGCGCAGCTACGTTGGCCTTGCTTAGCTTAGCCACCGCGTCCGCATTCTGCTGCGCCTGGTTGTCCGCCGCGTTGCCAGCTCCTTGGCCTTGGGCACCGGTCTGCTGCGCAGCAGCCGCGCCAGCCGCTTGGGAGTTCCCGGCCCCCGCGGTGTTTGTTGCCTTGGCTTCCCCCGACTTGCCCGACGCACCGGCCTGGGCACCACCGGCTGCCTGTCCCGTTGCTTGTGCCTGTCCCTGTCCTTGTCCGCTGGAGGCTGTGCTCTGAGCGCCGCCCGTTGCCGTTGCCGTCGCCGCGTCGAGCGTGATGCCCAGGGAGGCTTCGAGCTGGGCAAGGATCGATTGTGCCTGGGCGCCGGTCGTTATTGCGCCAGCTTTGATCATTATTCTGTCAGCATGGGCCAGTATTCACGCGGGATGTGCATGATGCAACGTACCTATTCCGGCGGACTCCAGAGCGATAGCCAATTCGGCTTTTTGAGCGGCTAGGATTCCCTGGTGGTATCAGCATTAAGACGGAGAGATTAACAAGTATGAGAAATCACCTTTGATCCGTCGTTGGCAGCCGCGTTGGCCTGCCTCCGGACAACGCCAGCTCGCCCTGCTGGAGTCGCTGCTACTAGTGAGCTGGATGCCGCCAGGAAGAAAAGTGCAGCGTTGGTATACTGCATGATGATAGGGTGAGGCTGGTCGTCTGTTGTATTGAACTTTGTAAGAAAAGGAGTTGAAGAGCGCAGCTAGACGAGTGATTGGTCAGAATGACAACGACCAGGGCGGCCGGTAAGCAGCAGTCGTGGGCCGACACTCACCTCTTGGATGGGATGATCAAGCGAATGGAAGCAGTTGGATCAGAAGGTATGGTTGTACTGATCTCCAATGGTTCACGCCAAGACTGAGGAAATGGCAAGCTTCAAATACCTTTCATCTTGGACATGTCGACTCGATCTCACAGCCTCGGGCTGCCCCTGGGAGGGCTGGAAGCCTGCACTCGTAACAATAATGGAGTTTGATCTTCCACTGAGGTTTTGAAAGAGAGACTTTAGCGTGGCCAATATTAAGGCCGCGTTGCTGTCTAGTCAACCAGTCAGCCGATCGGAGTCGCGAGAATCTTTCGGTGTGCGGCCGTTATTTCGGCCCTAGGCCGTCTTCAGACCCAACCAGCCCCGGGTCCGGCAGCGGTGCTCTAACTCGACCGAAACATTGCGGAACTCAGCTTTGGCTCATTCGCAAGTGGTTTGAAGCTGGCTGGGACATCTGCGACTCCTGGGTTTGTGCAACCCAGCCAGCCGATGCACCAAAAGATGATCACACAATCAAGATGGGCAGAGCTTATATTTCGCGAACTCATTCAGCTACCTTTCAAAAATGGTCTGTTAGCAAAACTTCTTATTATGACCAATCCAATCAAAGGGTAAAGATTCCCACAATAAGTCTTCATCTTTTTGTTCTGTTTTCGCGGCGACCAAATCACAACGACATCACGCATATAAACGCACGATCCCTATTTATCGCATGCAATAGCTGACGCCTCACAACGATATGAAATTCACTCGCAGATCATTCTCATTCCGAGGCGGGCTTGATGGGTACGAGCGGGTACAAGGGAGCACTGGATGGTTTTCTGTACCATGGAGAGGCCGCAAATTGTCATCCGAGCCAAAAGCACGACCGTTTCGTAATCGACGTGCATCAAAATCAGCAGAGTCCGTCATGAAGTTGCTATGAGTCTGACTGCATCGCTCGCGCATTAGCAGCTCAGATTGTATTCATTGGGAGCAATAAATCCATAGGGGATGTTGGTGCTCGCTGCTCGCTGTGGAATATCAGATCGGAAGCGTGCTGAGATGCCCGGCTGGCTGGGCACGAGTATATAGCAGCACCTGCAATCCGCGCTTTGTTGTTCTGGTATTCAACTGCTGTGGATCTGAAGAGAACTCTTCATTGATGCTGTCGTTGTTTCTCTCAGACTTCTCAGCGGCACTGGCACGGACTGCTCGAGGGGATCGGTATGCTTGGTCATACGACAGGGCTTCTCAAAGAACTTTATGGTGGTATTTTTGTAAAACTATTTTGGAGTGCTCTCCATGCTGTCACATCATGGACTCGAGCATAGTTTCAAGATGGGCTATAGAAACAAATAGGCCTTTGAGGTGACAACACATCTCTCAGCCACAACGACGAATTGATGAAAAGCGATTAAATTTGGGACTTTATCACATTGGGACTTTTCCACATCACTTGTGGTGTTTGACGGAAGAAAAGAGTCAAGCAGGACACGCTTGGGATTATATGCTTTAGCAGTTATGCAAATATTCTAAATACATGTCTAGTCTCAGAACATCCTCGTACACAAACTCCCTATCCACAACCTCAATTCTCCTCCCATTCAGTCTCATCCCCAAGCCCGACGTGAGGGTTCTCCTCCAAATATCTCAACACCCTCTCCCTCTGCTGCAGCACCGAAATGAGCGACCCAAGAGTCTTGTGAAGTGACCTGATTGCCGTGCCGACATCACGCAAACCATCTTCATCCTCGCCCTGGCCGTCTTTCCGCAGGTGCAGCCCTACCATTGCAATGAGCAGGGCTTCGATGCCGTCCTTCTTCATCAGTGGAATGAGACCTCGGGATGCCTCGCCATTCTTGAGGAGGTGCTGCCGCAGGAAGGACTTGATCAGGTCGGTTGTCGCGACTGACTCTTCCTCGTAGTCTGGTGTCGACCTTCCTCTAGCTTGAGGCTCGCCGTCACTGAGGTTCGCCGTATGAGCTTGACCAGATGGCTTTGTTGAGGCAGAGGACAGGATTAGAGGGGTGTTTCTCAGCGCCTCGATGTGGAAGGCAAGATCACCATCGTCCTTGTCTTGGTAGAAGATACTTCCAGTGTCGTATTGTAGCTTCAGCTGGATGCGTGTTCTGGTTGTCATCTTGGGGTCGGTCTTAGACGCTGCTCGCTTTACGTTCTCTGAAAGATTAGGGATGTACTGGATTCTTGATTGGGTGACCGATTGTTTGTAGGACAGGATGGAAGATTTTGTATACATAGATAGTTTCTTGAATCTGAGTCCATCAAGATGGCCTCGAGAGTTCTCACTAATGATTCACTATTTAAAGATGAGCTTGTTAGCCTCGACCATCAGGAATGATGTTATTTGCCTGATACAGGACAAAGACAAGTCGCCATATTTTGAAAGGCTTTGTCTCATCGTTTGACTGCCAACGCCAGAGAATGGTGAACAATGGAGAAGCCCCTGGAAACATCCAAGCACAAGACGTCCAATACGAGCTGTCAGAAACGGTAGATATAATCATTTATCCATTAATAGAATCAAACAGGTCACAGTATAGAAAGATTGCTTCTTCGAGATTTGATAGTATTTCCGATCGATGCTATCTCTCTATGCGAACGCCATATCTCCATGCAAGACTCGCAAAAGTGGTATCCAAGTTCACCCGCCCATTATAATGCATTAACACTCCGTGCAGTATGCGACCAACGTAGAAGAGAGATTTGCTCGCTGATGCGCTTCATAAATCAAGGCGATTCAACAAAACCACCGTTCCCAGAAATGCCGCGACGTTAGATCAGGGCCAACAGCACCACCATAGCCACAGCCAGTGCCAAGGGTGAGCACCGTCCCAGATTTGCCGCCGATGTGGATGAGCCCGTGGATGAGCCAGAATTTGCTCCTGAGGCTGCCGCTGGGCTCGTCGATGCCGGCTCGGTTCCTGATGATGAGCCCGTGCTGGCGGAGGGGCTGGCGGACCCGGTTGAGGAAGGGTCTGATGATGAAGAGCCCGTGCCTGGGACCATGGTGCGTGGGGTGGAACATTTGCCGTCGAGAGTCGTGAGGTCTGCCGCGCTGGATATCGCAGCAGGGGTGGATCCGCAGTTTGTGTACTGCTGCATGTGGATGGCGTTGGTTTCGAGATCGAAGACGGCTATCATGTCTTAATCAGTACCGGCTCGGTCAAGGGGTTTGGGATACAGGCTTACCGTAGGCAGAACGCATGAAAGTATCCCCCAGCAGGGTGAACGATTCACTGGGTGTGATGCCCAAAACACAGCTTTCCAGCCCAAAGGAGCCACTAGACTGGCGGATGAACTCATTATAAGGAACCTTAATCTCGACACCGTTGAAGTCGAAGTCAACCGTTCCAGCAAGGTCGGCCAGAGAGCAGTCCACGGGGTAAAACCCACTCTCATCCACACCCGAAGAGCCGAAGTCCGCACCAAGCTGGTCACAGATAGCCTGTGGCAGGAGGGTGAGGGTGGAACCGGTGTCGAGGAAGACGTCCATGGAAGTGTTGGGGTACACTTTCTTGTTGCCGCTCGGGGGAGTGATCGACATGTTGTTCATGGAGACCCAATACCGCGGAACGCCGTCAGGACTGTCGGCGGCTGGGACAATGGGCAGGGTGGCCAGACGACCCGCGAACTTTGAAGTATCCACCCCTCCGAATACGATGACGCCCTCTCCCTCATCTTTGCTACCCAGAGCGACGCTGTATGCTTTCACCTTGGTTTGGTTCTGTCTGGCCAGCTCGTCGACAAAGTTGGGATATCTTGTCGTGAGACCCAGACCATATCCGATGCCCAGGATGCCGGAGAACTGGGACTTGCTTGAGGTCGCTACTCCGAATTGCACGGCGCTCATCGCAGTCGCGGCGCCGGGTAATGCTATGCTGTCCTTGAAATACGTAATATTGGCGGAACCTATACCATAATTCAATGTCTTCGTGGATTGCAAATTGACAGCAGTCGTGGATTTGGTTGTGTCGTAGAAGCCCACGGCGTTGCAGAATTGTTGGTCCGACACGTCCAAGGTTGTGCATGTAGGATTGACCCAAAGCTCAAATGATCCCGTGTCCAGCTGCACATACACCGGTTGGGCTGGCGAGCCAATGTTGAGTTGTGCATAATAGGCGACATCGGAGCGGTTGGATAATTGAACCTCGACTGCTCGTTTTGAAAAGATATTCGTGTTTGTGGAGTGAACGACTTGAAGGTTCACACACGGTTCATCCTCCGCACACTGAGCTAAGGCGCCATAAGAGAAGCTACTTGCCAGAAGCAAAAGCTGTATTATGAAGGAGGATGCCATGAACGGCACCTAAACGTAACAAGAAGGCTACCTCGACAGCGACGGCATGGGTATTCTGAGGCGGTGGTATATTCCAGGGTCGAGGAGAGAGCTGTATCGGCGGTTGGAGGAATGATTGAATGAAATTCCGGTCGAGAGAGTGCCTCCGAATGGGAATGGGTATTTCGAAATGCCGGCAGACCTGAATGCGACCCCTTTCTGCCTGCGTTCTGTGTTCCTCCAATCCGGTCTCAGGGCAGGTGGCTGCCTCAGCAAAGGTTCATGCGATCGTCATAAGCCCCTGCAAAAGAAAAGAAAAGAGAAAAACGATGCGGCCTCCAGGGTCAACAACAAAAGCCGTCAATAGGGGCGTAATGAATACAGCCGCAATGCAATGAGTGATCGAGAAGTCAAAAGAATAACAAACCAGCTGTTCGGGCGAAATGAACGTTGAGGATGGGAAGCGGACAGGGACAAGCCTGGACTCGAGACGAAACAACGAGACGAAAGTCGAGACCTGAGCGGTCGCGGTACAGGACGACTGAGGCGGCTCTGCGAAGCTCAGCGTTAAGGATTCACATAATTGTGGGGGGCTGAATAGTGCCGATCACAGCCCATCCGGGTGTGAAGAATGGAGTACTGCTATAACAGGGGATGAACTGGGGCATGCCAATGCTCCTAACGTCTCACAATTGCGCCCACCCCTAACGGCGCCGAGAGACTGGAAGCACCAAGCCTGTCCGGCACGTAGAGGGACTGTCCCAGAAGAGGGGGGTGGGAGCCGAACACGATTAACGAGCGAGTGAACGAGCGAGTTCAGAAAGGCCGCCAGTCATGTCTCGAGTGAGCGGATGAACTCAATTGCGGCACACTGCAAGCTGCCAAAATAGCAACGCGTCGTCCAGTCTTCGTCCAGTGCTCGCAAGTTCCGAATGGATTTCAAGATTCGTCGCCGCCCCACACACATACCACTCCCAGACAGCTTCATCATCTCTGCAACATGCGACGGTATCTCTAGTTCCGATCTACCAGACAGGAAGAAAGGCGTACTTGGTCACCTCGGCAGCAGCACGTCCTCGTTTTGAGTGACATTGCATGCAAGCTGTCCATGAATATCACATCACCATTGCATCTGCTGATCATGGACGAGCTGATCATGGACGAGAATTTCAAATGTCCCGGAATCCCTCCTGCTTCAGACAGACAGCAGCCAAGGGCCAAGCCAAGAGCCAAGATACAGGGGGCTTACGCACGTTTCCTGTGCAGCCACTGCCGGGCCCTAGACCACCCTCCCAGCGTTGGACCTCTCTCGGGCGACGACGTACTCTCGGTCCCAGCCGACCTTTGGGGTGTTTCAGAATCAGCAGGGGGGCTGAGCTCACCTCCCAAAAAAAGAGGAAGGGCCTCCGGGATGGAGTCTCTTCCACATCCGAGCGCCGTCGGCCATCAACCGATGGACCATTGCCGCAGGCGGGACGAAGCGGCCGTCAGGGAGAACCGGACGAGAGATCAAGTGATCGGCTTTAATGGCGATAGAAGATGGCGTGGTGCTTGGACACTGAAGCAGACATCGATCCCGGGAAAAGGCCTTCCGGCTGAGGGTTCGGGTCAGCCTCACGATTCAGGGGTACGACAGGAGAAGTTGCACAGCAGACACGCTCGATGGCATGAACAGTGGTGACCATTATACTGCAATTCATATATCCCATTAAGACTGCACAAGAACTTCTCAAACTTCTTGAACATCTTGATTTGTTGCAGTTTCAGCCATTGCTCTTATGTCTTACCATATAATCTAACAGCCTTTCATCGCCATGACATTGTCCCGTCGGCGTCGGGTGTTCTAAGTTCGGGTTGCATTATAGTCATCATGTATTAATATTTGGCGGACAAAATTCTTGTGCGGAAGGAGAAATGACTTGTCCTAGTCAGAAGTTATTTGAATAGCTAATCAAATGTCCAATGCAGTGCCTCTCAATTCTGATTGTACTCAATAAAGCGCAAAGCTGCACGTCTTCGCCAAATGCAGACCAGGAATCGCTTCATGATCGGGACCAAATAGTCAAGTTTGGAAGCAAGTATAGCCACTCAGCCTCCATTGAGCTAAAGATAGTGCGGACGTTATCAATACTCAGCCCTCGTAGATTGAGTTCTTCAGTAGTTTGACCTATGAGAGATCAATCGGTCATGAAAACACGATGTGATAAGTAGATCCCAGTGTCGAGTCACAATACCTACCGGAACAACACCGTCACTCTTATTGTTTTTATCTCTTTTTTAAAAAAGAAAAAAGAAAAAGAAAAGGAAAAGAAAAAAAAAAAGTAAAGCGTTAACAAAGAGAAAAAGAAAAAGGCATGGGGGACAGCGAATCGCAACATCACCTTGCGGAGCGGAGCCAAACCCTTTGTGGATTGCTTGGCTCCCCAGGCAGATGAACACAGACTGATATCGTGTGACTTGCCTCTCACCACGCATCTAGCCCCATTGTACCTAGGTAAGTATTTGTCCAGTTTTCGATGCGGAGGATGGGCTTTCCGAGACAAAACTCGTCTGTAACAAAGTAAGCTGGCCCTCATGACTTGTTCTCACATGGCTCTAGGTGCTGCAAATTTGGGATTCGCCCGTGGCTAAATAGTCTGTTCCCCGCAATCATTGAATATAAAGGGTCGCAAGAGCACTACATAGTTACAATGGAGAGCTGATAGTGTACATCTCTCCAAAATAATCAACTTCCTTCGAGCGCCTTCGACCTTCGCATTGGATCACAGCTTCGACCGAGACACGTCCGACTTGGGCAGTCCATAGACAATGGCAATGTTCCTGGCCAGCCTGTCCTCGTTGCTGTGCTGCGCCTTATCCGAGCTCATAGCCCCTCCTCGGTGAAACTTCCCACTCTCTGGTGACAGCCTCCACCGGGAAAATATATCCAGCGCCGGTTGGCTACCGTCACTGTGGGCGTCTGCGTAGAGCAGCAGTCCAATCAGGCCCTCAGCAACCACCCACAGGATGCGCCGTGCGTCCCCAACGAGGTCCACCTGTGACTCGCGGGCGAGGGTCTCCTTCACCGCTTCCCACGAGCCCGCCGGGGACGATCCGGCTGTCTTACCGTCCGCTGGCCCGGGCCAGGCACTTTTTATCTTGGTGAAAAGCACGTCCAGGGCTTCTATCGATTCCTGCCCTCCTTTGGGATGTTTGAGCGCCCGAAGAAAGTCCGTGGCGAGGACGTCAGTGGTTCCCTCCCAGATCGACAGCACGCAGCAATCGCGGTACAGTCTTGCGACGTTGAGGTGCTGGGCCTCCTCGTTATCGAGGTAGCCCACGCCGCCTAGTGCCTCCATACAGGCGTATACGAGGGGAATCGACTTCTTACAGACGTACGCCTTGCAGAGCGGCGTCAGGACTCGCAGAAGCGGCGCGATGTATTCCCGGTCCGGCGTGATAGCCGCCAACGACGGAGGAAGACCCGACCTCCCCGCCTGAGGGTGCTCGTCCAGGCCGAGGATGTATGCAGTGAAGAAGGTGAGCAGCATCAGGCCGTGGTACTCGCCTGTCATGTCAGCCAATGTCTGCATATGCAAGGGGCTCTGCGCCAGCAGGACCCGTTGCCCTCGCCCGGCGCCGACCTGCCTGACTTTGGCGTATGATCTGGCGACGCCAAGAGCACGACCGGCGTAGCCCACGGCAGCTACGGCTGAGTGGACACGTGTGAGTGTGAGCACCGTGCTGATTTCTTTGATGCCGTGCCCTTCCTTTCCCAACAACCATCCTCGCATATCCTCCAGCTCAAGTTCTGCCGTAGGCAGGGACCGAGTTCCAAACTTGTGCTTCAAACGCTGGATCCGGACCCCGTTCAGCTCCACGCCGGCCGTCCCCATGGACCGTCCAGCTCTGGTCTTCGCCGAAGGGTCGTGTCGTCTCATGGGGGCGTAGAAAGCGCTTACACCGTTCTCTGTTCGTGCCAGCAAGACAGTCATGTTCGAGTCGGTTGCGCTCGAGAACCACTTGAATCCGGAAATGGACCAAGGGCCAAGCGGCACGTTCTCTTGCGCATCAGCAAGGCCTGCCTCTGCTGATGGTTTGTACTGGGCGACAGTTTCTGTGAGGGAGACATCGCTCCCGCCAGTCCGCTCAGTCATCCACTGGCCACTCGTCCAGGCCTTCGCCGGATCCCTGGATAGCAGGCGCTCCAACGCTCTCTCGAGCACGCGCCGCTGCAGCGGATCGAGGTCTCGGCGTTCCAACTGCAGCTGCAGCAGCCGCGCCGCGCCATCCTGCATAGCCGAAGGGCACGGGACGTTGGCCGCAGAGCCCTCCCATAGGTGCAGCCTCAGGAACTGGACGACGCGAGCGGAGGGCCCGAGCGACGTGTCGTACCCGGTGGCGACAATGCCCCTCTCGATGCCGAAAGATTGCAAGCTGCGCCAGCCCTCACCGACGACGAGCTCGGACCTCGGTCTGCCGAAGACGTCCCGGCCGTGGCCCGCCAGGTAGGGCGTGTTCTGCTCGGCGTCGGTGACCCAGGAGAAGACCTGGTCGGACAGGACGTCTTCGCCGAGCTGGGCGACTTCGTCTCCTACGCGACTAACTACATGACCTGGGAGGAAGACTGCGCACCCCTTTAGTAAGATGACATGGATGGGTGGTAGTCTCTGCGGAGCTTACGCCTCATGGCTCTTTGGAAACTGGTGTCATCGAAAAACTGATTTGGCAGCACCGGTGGCTCCTGGAAGAAGCCCGAGGTGGAACTGGATGGCTTCATGGTCATCTCTTGCTATTCTGTATCCGGTAGACGGAAGTTGTGGAGATTGTCTTTATGTGACAAGATACTGCGTATTCCTGCGTATCCGGACATGGAGAAATAGGCTTGCACGGAATCGCTTGAACCTCGGCAAAATGAGTCTGGGTCTGTGGCTTGGGAGAGGGGAAGGCGACTTGGACGGGGCGGGGACTGGTCCCGCGGCGGGCCGAATATACAAGTCCGCCAGCTGTAATACTGTTGGTTCAGTTGGAACCCACTCCCCCCTTCGCTTTCGGAGCTGTCAGGTTGGATTAAACTCCATGACCCCTTGTCTTTGCATCCTTCGTATGGCCGGTGGATTATTTCCGTTGTCTTATCTATATGGAAGATCTTCTGTCAGGGCACTTTTTTGTATGCAATACTACCCTTCTGCTCTTGGCAGAACACAAGCCTGGCAGGTGTATGGGGCTTGGCTAAGCGAATCCTTACTGGGCTCAAAATGGCTTTCCATATTTGGATCCTCCGTAGTTGCCAAGGCTCGACGAGTCAACAACAATCTCGAAGTCTGGGCATGATTGTTGATTTCAAAGATCATTCAAAGCATACAGAACGGCGATACCGGATCACGCAAAAGATGGTCCACTTGTTGTTAAGTCCGGATAAACACCAGGCACTCTATCCGCGTATAAGTAAGTACTGTTGCGCAGCATGTAGACAGTGTTGGGTCGTGACAAGCTCTCTGCGAGGAACTCGCCCCCTTCCATTCTTTAGTGTTCTGCTGTATATCGTGTGACAAGATCGATATTGATCATGACGCTCTTTCGCCAGTCCAAGTCTCAGCCTCGGTGGACAGGCATCACGTTCTCGGCTCTCCTTGCCGCAAGCTCTGTCACCAACGCGCATGTCATCCCTCGTCAAATCCAGCCGTCCCAGCTGCTCTCGAGCTATGACTATGTCGTTGTAGGAGGTGGTACGGCCGGCCTGACTGTGGCCGACCGTCTGACTGAAGACCCTGACACTAATGTCCTGGTCCTCGAAGCCGGTGGATGGGGCGACATGGACTTCAACCTCATGGTTAGTTTCACGCGCAGGACAGGGGATGCCTCAGCCACCTACTGGCCTGGCCTCCAGTCTGTGCCACAGCCCAACCTTAATGGCAAGCCCGGCACTGTCATTGTTGCGAGACAAGTTGGAGGCGGCTCTTCTGTGAACGCCATGATCAACATGCGTGGTTCTGCTGAGGATTACGACCGCTGGGGCGCGTTGTTCGGATCTGAAGCTCAGGGAGGCACCGCTGAATGGAGCTGGGATGGCATCTTGCCGTACTTCAAGAAGGTAGGAATAACTTCAATTCAAACAGACACTGGGGAGGGCTAAGCTAATCTTACCATGACAGGGCCTGCACTTTACTGAGCCGCCGCCCGAGCTCACCGACAACTTTGACAGCATCAAATATGATTCTTCCTACTGGGGCGAGACGTCGGATATTTACGCCGGCTGGCCAAGATTCTACTACCCAAGCGTGACTCCCTTGCTGGAGGCATTCAAGGAGCTTGACGGAATTGAGTTCCCTCCGGACAGTGGTGCTGGAAAGGCAGGCGTGTTCTGGTTCCCCACGCTCCAGGACCCTCGTACCGTCACGCGCTCCTATGCTGGTACAGGTCACTATCTCAATGTCAACGCCACTCGACCAAACTACCACCTTTTGACCAAGACGCTGGCTCGGAAGCTGATAGTGGACGAAAACCTGGCTGTCACGGGTGTCGAGTTCCCATCGGCGAATAACACCCTTGTCACCGTCAGCGCAAACAAGGAGGTCATTGTATCTGCTGGTACCGTTCATACTCCTCAGCTATTGCAGCTGAGTGGAATCGGTCCCAAGAACATCCTCGAGGATGGCGGTATTGATGTGCTTGTGGACTTGCCTGGTGTTGGCCAGAACTTCCAGGACCACAGCAGCCTGTCTGAGATGAACATCACGCGTAAGTGTGCCACCGAACTCGGAAAGAAATGATTATCTTGAAGAATTTGCAATCTGACCCATTTATAGTCTCAAAGATAGCAGACATCCACCCCAACCCGAACGACCTCGTGGATGGAAACGAGTTCAAGGACTGGGCTGAGGAAGTGTGGGAAGCCAACAAGACCGGTCAGTGTGATTTCGATCTACTTTGACCCCACCGCACGAATCATGTCGAGACTGACAATGGGTATCTTGTACCCAACAGGCCCCTACACTATTGCACTTAGCAACCTGGCTGGGTGGCTGCCCCTGACTGCCATAACTGACAAGGCCGGTGAGCTCGCCACCAAGCTGGAGCAGCAAGACTATGCCAGCCTGCTCCCAGTCGATGCCGACGCCACCGTGATCGCCGGCTACGAGGCGCAGATGAAGCTTCTGGCCGCGCAGATGCGCTCCAAGGACACTGCCTTCACTCGTGTCCTGCTCCAGCCAGCTCAAGGCGCCCAGGGTCCCGTGGCGATGCAGTCCTTCAGCCGCGGCAGCATCAACATCAACACGACCGACCCATGGAACACCGAGCCCGTCATCGACTACCGCGCTCTGACCAACCCCGTGGAGTTCGACTTCTTTGTTGAGAACATCAAGTTCGTCCGCAACTACAACTTCAAGACCTCCCTAGCGTCCAAGTTCAACCCAGTCGAGTACGCCCCCGGCGCCAACGTGACCTCGGATGCGGACCTCAAGGCCTACATCTCTAGCACCCTGTCGCCGACTGATTACCACCCCGTGGGCACTTCGGCAATGATGCCGCTCGAGCTGGGTGGTGTCGTCGACCAGACACTACGCGTGTATGGAGTCAAGAACCTGAGGGTTGTCGACGCCAGCGTCATGCCCATGGTTCCTAGTGCCAACACATGCCAGCCTACCTATGCTCTGGCTGAGAAGGTGAGTTAGCGATTCGAGCCCTCTCGATCCCTGTTTTTGATCCTTCGTGCTATATCCTTTGATGACGCCTTCCTGCAAATTGGCACACACTAACAACTTGCTACCCCTAGGCTGCGGAAATCATCAAGCAGGGTATTTAAGATGCTTAGATATTGTTCTAAAACTAGCACTATTCTCTGTACCTATTACTACATGCGAGTCTCGTTCCTGATACATACACATATCACAATAGTAAATAAAGAAGCCTAGAGTCGGTATCATTGTCAAGCTTTGTACACAAGACAACTGAGCAGCTAAAGAGAAATGCTGTGACCCATGTCAACATGAAAGAAAAGTAAGCTGAAGACGAATGCACAGCAAGCTTGAGAGAGTAAGTCCTTTTGAATGTAAAATTTATTTGGATCACTATACGATTTCTTCAATGATAATTCCCCACCACTGCTGGTCAGCCAACACGTCATCATGTGAGACTCTAGAAAGGATCACTCATTCGACTTAGCTGTTCACTCGGACAATCTTCTCGGGCACTGTTGAATTAAGAGCCGTGCCCCTAATGGGCGCATTGTCGTAGGACTCAGCACTCACGGGAAGAATTGTCACATGGGTCGTCCAGATATCGATACTTACCTGTGCCAGATGCCATGGATCAGCTACGCCGGCCGCGTTCAACGCGTCTTGCTCGGAGTCGTTGTACGGTGGCATAAACGGGTCTTGTGACACGAAACCGGACCCAACGCTTGGTGGTGATGGGCCCTCGAGCGCCTGCTGAAGGGCATCGAGCAACGGTACCAGATCAGGAAGATGGTTAATCGGCATGTTGGCTGAATTGAGAAGAATGGGGTGCACAACACCATCCAAATACTTCCAGAGTACGTCCTTCTCAGCAGTAATCGGAGACCATTTTTTCCAATTCCATACAAAGCCGGAAAGCATCTTCCCACCGCTGCAAGGGTCTGTTAGTGGGCCTCGTTGCGCCATTCCGAAGTCGGCTATGTAGAAGTCGGGCTGTCCACTTTGCGCGTGCTTGTGATGGACAAATATGTTCTCATCAAGGAGGTCAGCGTGCAACACATCGCAAGTGCCCAAAAAATAGAGTGCACAGACAGCTTGTGTCAAGAGCTTCATGACGAGTGAGCTCGGCATCGCTTGGCCTCTTCGTTTTCAATCTCTGTAAAGCTGGCCCACAATTCCGCCGTTGTAATATCTCATGTATGCTACTCGAGCCCACAGCTGCTTCCCAGCCTCCTGGCCCGCTGGTGAATCAGCAGCCGAGTAAAGATAGGCTACATTGGGCTGTAGACCGCGCTCTGCTGGTTGCTTGATCTTGTTGGTAGAAAATAACCTTTTCCTTGTCCTCGGACTTCTTCATGTATTTATCAAGATGGCGGAGGGTTACCTTTCTTGCACGTAGCTCGCCAGTCTGTGAATGTAAAACCAGCTGTGCCTGCGAGTTCGGTCCACATCCCAGAGTTTTGACGAAGAGGTATTCATCTTGCCCATCCACAAAAAGGTGACCATGTCTGGTCACTTGATTGAGTGAGGACATGCTTGCAAGATCGTTCTGAGCGTCAAGTTGAGTGTGTGATAATTTGAGTCAGAATGTATGGCAGATTGGTCCATATGTTCGACAATTGTAACTGAGGAGCCATGTAAAAAGGAGGGAGCGATAGAGATTTGTTCGTCCTCTACTGACTGCGGGGGATACCTGCTTATCCATGAGACTATCCTTTGGCCACACAGACACTAAGAAAATCAGATGACTAGACTAATATTTCTACTCTATACATTTTAACAAGCTAGCTACTGTTGCATGACCAATAATTGGAACACGGAGCGTCCAAACGTTGTCTTACATATTTTCGCCGTCTCTGACCAAACAATTGCGCCAACGATGGTTTTGAGGACAATGCTTGAGAATCGCTATTCATAGCACAGGCATGGTATAATACTGACTTGTCTGGATCCCAGAGGGCACATTTAAAGCGACTAATGCCTCCGTTAAACCGGGGAGAGATGCCGACTTGTGGCCATGTTCGAGCTGACTGGGCCGAGGGTGTCATGTCTTGGTCTGTCTGCGTACCAGTACTCGCTGTTGGTTTCTCCACGAAGCATAATGTTTTGGAGATCGTCATGGAGATCTCGAGCGCTCGAACTGGCCTCAGCTGGAGTGTTGCTTTTCTGAAGGGATACCACAAGCAGACGGCTTCTCAAGATCTTGACGATCTCACCAATGGCCGTGTCCCCGTCACATGCCGGGTCCCTTTCGATGTAGTCCATACAATTCTGGACGTATGGGCTCACCCGACACTGAAGCCTATTCCCGATCTTTTTCACCACAAAGAATCGATTACCTCCCTTTGAGAATTCACTCGCACGGGATCTGAAACCTTCCAGCTCCTTCGTCCCGTAAAGTAGCCAGATGAGCAATTCGAAAATTATACAACCCATAGACCAAGTCTCTGAATCTGGGGAAAACTCGGCTGTCGATTCTCTGTAACTTCCAAAAACTTCAATTAATGGGATCCCGTCACGTGAAACATCTTCATTCACCCGCACACGGCGGTCTATTATATCAGCCTGCGACATTTTCAAAATTCCTACCTGAGAACCATTTTCAAACCTCAAAATGCTCGCACTGTCGAGACCCTTATGTCGATACCAGACTCTCTGTTTGTGAGCGGTTCCATACTCAAGAAGTATTTTGAGGGCCTCAGCCAATCCTGTCAGCTGCCTGAAAATGTCATTGACGAGACGAGATGTGAGAAGCGGATGTTGATTGTTGTCGTACAAATCGACAAGGCTACCTCCATCAGCCCACTGAGACATGAAGTACGCCCCTTTGCCCTTGAAGTCAATGGTGGCTTGAACCTCCAAGATGTGTGGATGGTGGAGTCGGTTCGTGTACCCTTTCATCAGCATTCCCAAAGCGTCCCATTTCTCTGACTTGAGAGCTTGTATCGCTGTGGTTGCAAGGCTTCCATCAAACTGAAAGACCGTGAGCAGTACTGATACCACATGAACAGATGACGTACTTACTTTTCGAATAGGAGCCTCACAGTGAGACTCGTGGATTGAGACCTCCCACAGATCTTCAGCGCTGTCTTGACTTCTCTCATTTTTAATGAGTGCGAATGGAAGTATTTCATGTGGCTCAAGCTCCATCCTGAGAAATTTTGTGTGGAAAATTGGGACGAGGAACATCCATTGCCTCTGCTCGAATTTCTGGGTCATGACCACTGGCCACTGCAATAGAGACCAGGGAACTTCGGTAGATTTGGTGGTCTGTATAGGTAGGTTGCTGTCGTTGAATCCCGTGAATTTGAATGTGTTCATCGCTTTGCGCAGTTTTGATGATTCAACGCCGCAGATCAGACTGATGGCAAACACCTTTTTGGCTGACATGAGAATGTACTCGATCAGCTCTTCGCCAACATGAGCCCAGTTTTGACCCTCGAAATCCACATCCGGCGCTCCGGTAAACTCCCAAATGATGGACTGTGTTGTAACAAGCTGATCCAGGTGGCCTTCCGGCATGTAGACATGATGCGACCCGGGTGGGAATGTGCTGACCACAAGCGACTCCACAATTTGGTCCCCCAAGGACAAAGCAGCGACAGAAGAAAGGCTACGGTCCATAGTACCGCCAACGACGGCGCTTGAGCTGGTTTCTCGGTCCTGCCTCAGGCGCGGGAGTGAGAATAGTGCAATACGCTGAAGATGATGGCCAAGGTGCCGCCGAAAGTCCTCCAGTGTCACAACCAATTCCACACTTCCGGTCACCTCTGGATTTGGCGCCGCGGCCGCCCACTCGCCCTCGCAGAATGGGCATTCAGCTGGTTGGATGAACTTGATCGGCCGCCGTGACTGCTCAATCACTGCGGGAATTTGTGGAGGCGAAATTTGATCAGCGTGGTTTTTCTTTATGTGATTCTCTAATACCTCGGCCGTGCCCGCTATCTCGCCACATTGGGAGCAGCGCCAGGTACCGCGGTGTACGAGGATCTCGTGGTCGAACCAAGCATGCTGAGACTGAAAGGTGTCCAAACCGCAGCCCGGGAAAGTACACACGTATGGTTCTAGGTCACTAAGAACATGCTTCCTGGTAACGGTCAGCATTCTTCATGTCAGCTTGTGCACGGCTGGCGGGGTCCAGACCTCCATTGCTGTTCTCTGTCTTGTGGCTTGATTTTCACGACTCTGAGGCAGTAAGGACACAGGAATATCAAGTTATTCTGAGCATCGGACGGTAGAGGCGGGAAGGCAATGTCGTCCTCAGGAGACTTGATGATTGTGGTAGCAAGTGATATCAGCGATGGAGCTGGCTCTGTATCGAGGAACGTAGATATGTGACTATGTGCCAAGTTATCGGCGGGCAGCTCGGTTGCCTCTGTTTGAGCTATGATACTCGTATATGTCTGACCAGAAGTGCTGGCAGTTCGCTGTTTGGGATCCTGATTTCTGAATTCGTCCTTGATCTCTTTGCGGTTCTTTGCTGAGTCAGTCTTCGACAATCGATCATTGTGTTCACGGCAATATAAAAAGTATTGCCGTCGCAGAGCGTTCGCCAAACCAAGTCGAGTGACTAGGTCAGCCCTACCCCTTTGCTCTACCAATGGGTAGCGGTCTTTTATGTACATCTCATCGGTCTGGCTGACGAAACTGTCCGTCTTCTCAGCGGCCTTCTGGCGTCTTTGTTTCGGTGCAAAATTGCGTATAAAGATGGAGGTCTTGAATAGGCTATTGATGCTACCCTTGATTGCGGATGTCAACTCGTCAATCTCAGACGCCGAAGACGCGGCTGGAGCCTTCTTGCCGGAAGAGGATGCATACGACGATTCTGATCCACTGGACAAATCGAATTCTCCAAAGTCAAGTTTTAGGTCGATCAGTGGCAAGGCCGTTCTGTTCTCCTGCTTGCCAGAAACAATTTCCAACGCGTCCCGAGTAGAGTCGCAAAGATCGGCAAGAAGCCTTAATATCGCATCACGGATTTGAGGACTATTTCTAAGTCGATATTCTAGAGATAGTCGTGATTCGGGATTGTGAAAAGCTCCAAGATTGCCGGCCCATTGAGTGAACCGTTCATGATGGTTCTGGATCTCACGAAGGTCGATTAAGCCTGATGGGAACTGCCTTTTGGCACCAGCGACTAGAGCAAGCAGTGCTTCTTGGCAAGCAATAGATTTCAATCTGATATCTTCACTACTCGGAGCTGCCATCATCGTGAACGAGGTTGTTGCAGAGCTTGAGCACGTATTAGCCAGAGGATTATCGGCTCCATGAAACGGACAGCAGTGAAAATGGAGCAAGTCACGTACTTGAAAGATCTTGAGCGGGGCAAGATCGATAGATTAGGCACAAGATAATGAGCCGCTGCTCGGCTGACGATCACTGCCCTTCATCTGCAATGCTATGGGGTTTTGTGCTACCAAACCGAGGATTTCACCAATCATCAGCTTGAATGCAGGAGCAATTGACGTGCCGAAAAGACTGATTAGGAACTGACCCCACCTCCTTGTCAGCTTAGCTGCCTGAGAGCCTGCATACATCAGCATAGAGACCGGCCCAGATAGTTTGCTGTCCGGGTTGAAGACTACTCAGTCTGCAATCTTTCTGAGTCAAATCGACCTATTTCATCCATCGCCAATGTATCGACATCACCCAGACGCCTGGTCTTTCAATGTACGATAGCGACCAATTGAACGAGAGACGGCGGCTATGTCGGGCATCGAGGTTGCTGGTATGGTACTCGGAGCCTTCCCTATTATCCTCAACTGTCTAGAATATTACCGCAAAGGCTTTGAGCCTCTCGAAGAATGGTGGCAATTTCGCACTCACTTTATTGCTTTCATCGACGATGTTAGGCATCAAATGATGAAGTACAATGAGAATATGATTAGGCTTTTGGACCCCATCATCACGTCCACCGACACCGACAATTTGGCAGCGCTATTAATGGTCCCCCTAGACCGGAGCCAGCCAGGAGTTGATTTAGAGCAGATCCTGGAGGGGCGTCTGGCCAGCGAGTTGGACAGATTTTTGAGGATCATCAACCGCATGCATGAGCTCATGTTATCATTGAACAAACTTTTACAGATCGAAGATGGAAAGGTCGGCCTACATTTCGCCTTACGCGCCAGAATGTACTGACACTCGAACAGATATCGTGGGTTGACAATGACCAGCAAAGACCTTGGCAGTGGCATTTCAAACGTATACAAATAAGTTTCTCCAAAGGAAAGCACAAGAAGGTCAAGAAACTCGCTGGCCACAACAGGGAGCTAGAGGATATCCTTGGCTACAGCGAACGCATCATCCCGATTGCTGATAGGAGGAAGACATCTGAGCCCGTCACCCGCTTCGAAAAGTTGCGACAACACGCATACGGAATCTACCAGATTTTGGCCAAGCAGTGGAGGTGTCAACGCAGTTGTCGGCACCACACTGCTCATCTCAGATTGCGCGCTGAAGAGATTGCCATAAGCTTGAACGTTCTTTTTCAGACTGGAGGTGTACAACAGTCACCGCAGATGGAATGGATGCAAGAAATCGCCATACGAAGAGACGAGTCTGTGAAACCTCCTAGCTCGATCAACGTAAGCTACGTAAGCCAATCGGACCCGATCACTGCAGTTCAACAGACTGTATTTCAGCAACAGTTCATATCTCACGCCACTCCGGACCTGAAGCATCGGATTATGAAGAAACTGCAAAACAGAATATCAGCCATAAGGAGATCTCCTGTCAAATACAGAAGATCACTATCTGAGCCAGTCAAGAAAACAGGATTTGGCCTCGATACATCAAGATCATCGACTACTTCTTCTACAAGAGCCGAGCGGCCTGTAGATCCAGTAAAGAGTAAAAGTACTCTTATCGGTGCACTTGCTGAGGTTCAGGGTGCCTCCAATCCACTTCCAGAGGACACAGCGGGTTTCGGGCCTATCGATGATATTTGCACATTTTTGACCGAGCAAGATCGGACAGCTGGTACACTCGACGACGACGGCGATTTCCAGAGCTCCTTCGTGCTCTCGAAACTGCCGAAAGAGCAGTTGCAATTTACAGATAAGGCGATGCTGCACTCATTCTGTGAGCTTCTGGACGCACATCATCAAATGAAGATCAACGTTTCGAGGCGAGATCGCTTCGAAATTGCAACGCACGTAGCGTCCGCGCTGTTACAAACTCATCTATCACCTTGGTTGTCACCAAAATGGACCAAAAACGACTTCTACTTCCTTGTAGATATGGAGGCTCAGTCGATATGCAGCAGATACCCCTTAGTGTGCCGCGAATTCGCCGCCACGACCAGCAGCACCGCCCTAGCCGGGGAGGACGCCGAGCAAAACCTCAACTCACAGCAAGAAAGCGAGGAAGAAACACGCGCGCGCCTTTTCACCTTGGGTGTTATGATACTCGAGCTGATGTTCGGCCATGATATCGAGGCCTGCCAGTTCCGGAGCGAGTACTTCGGTGTCGATGGGAGACCCAACGACCAAACGGACATCAGCACAGCAAGGCGCTGGTCGCGCAGGGTGTTGGGCGAGAGCGGCCCTGACATATCGGACGTGGTGAGGCGTTGTCTCGACTGCTCGTTTGGGCCGCAGCCAAGCTTTGCCGACGGGCGCTTCCGCGAGGCTGTCTACGCGGGCGTCATTCTTCCACTGGCTAGCTACACCAAGTTGTGGCCGGAGGTCATGCCTTAATAGTTATAGATCAACAAGGGACAGTTACTTCAGAACTGGTGAGACACGCTGTGCATTTCTTTGACATGCTCAGAGAAATTAATTCAAAAAGATTGATTGATTTTGGTCGAATTGCCAACGAATTGAATGTAAAGGGAAGATCTGATGTCGTCTGCCTCTGGTACCGCCCTCAACGATTGCAGCATTTGTAAGTTGCGTAAAATCTTTAGTAATGCAGAGAACAATCTCAATATCCTCTCATCTGTGGCCCAGTGGCGGGCTCTCGGATGACCCCCTCTGCAACTGCTTCACGATTTGGAATTGAGCAGAATCTCTGAATGAGGGTGTCACAGCCGTTCAGGTCAGCTGTACGTATCAGCCAGACACCCAGGACACGGAACCCGATCTTTCGCCAATACGCCCGCCGCTTCTCACTGTGCAGGAGGCCGTGTGCGTGGGCCTCCCGGTTCCCTTAATGGCCGAGACGAGATTGGCGGTAGTTGCAGTGGTGGGATATCACCGGAGTCATAAATCAGAACATTCTCGTCTTCTTCATCATCAGGATCTACCCCTCGTAGTCTGCTTTGGTGTTCTCCCGTCTGCTCGATCCACTCCTCATCGCTCTCAACAAGTACTGAACGCCACTCACCCCTGCCCCATCTGGTAACGCGGATACCCCTGAACCCCAGCCTATCTCCGTTTACAAGCATGTAGTTACGCAATACGCTGAGGAAATACACAGCGCGATCAACATCCCGACCCCGTACGTCGGCAGTAGTGTTTGCAGGTACTCGATAATTGACATCGAGGCTTAATGACAAGCGATTACGTGGCCCTATGTTAAACATACTCCTAGTAATGGGATAGAGCTCTCGCGGATCCTTAAGGACAGTAAGCATAGGCCCGGATATTCTCATGGGAAAGAGGGGCTTTCATGAAAATGGATCGAGCAAAGAAAGGTCATCTGTACTCACTGTGAGCCCGCGATCGTGCCAGAGTGGTGGCAATTGACGGAAGCCCAAGCTCAAGTGCTCGAGATTAGGCATTTGCGCCAGTGTATCCATTACACCATCTATGTGATCCCAACCATCTGTCCAATTAAATCGTTGAAATCGTTGCCGAGGCCCCTCCATAGTGCGCGGTGTCAGCGCAATTTCGGTCGTGTCACCTCTAGCCCCGATTGTGCCTACTTCAAGGCGAATCCGTCTGAATTGGTTCAACACACGAGTATGATCACGGAAAAACGCCTCCGCAGCTAGCACACCATGGTAAATACCGATATCCACTGGACCTCGCTCTCGCGGGAAGCCGAATGAGAAGAAACTTTGACCATAGAAGTAGGCGCCTGCCTCCTCACGGGATCTTCTAGAGGCGAGGAGCAGACCGAGTCTCTCACCACGAATATCCCGAAGGAGGTCGTCGCTCACGTCGGGCTCGTAGGTGATAGCAGTCGTCCGGTCCGGGAGCGTACCTTCGCTGTATAAGACACTACGTTGGTCAGTGTACGGCCAAACCCGGGGATCCTGGCCATTCTCATCGCGACGAAGTCGGACGCTTGCAATGTGCGTAATTGCGCCTTGCAGATCAACAAAGTAGTGTCTGTACACCATGTGGCGTAATTCTACAGGAAGCTGGAAAAAGTTGGCTCTAACCCTTTGGGGTTCTTCCTCTTGAGCTTCTTCCTCTTGGTCCGCTTGAACGACCTCAGGAAGCGCAGGGCGATCCGCGCAGTCGCAGGATGCACCTGAAGATGCCTCAAAGATTCGAACTTGAGTTACAAGCTGTGAGAACATTCGCAACAGGCCTTGATCGGTCAAGTCCTCTGCAGTGCTGTCAATGTCGCATGGGACGGAATCTGACGGACACATACAAGGGTCGCATCCACAAGGCGCCCTGTGTACACGGAGTCGTGAGGCAGCGGGGGACCTGCGTATCCTATTTTGAATTTCTCGCAGCCTTTCGCTGACACCTTCGACGGTAGGGGTTGCCGTGCCGCGGCAACATGGCTGCGACATGGTGTTGAGGTCACAGAAATGACTTGTTTGGATTGTAATCTGGTAACAACTTCGAGAAACATAAGCCTGGAAGAATCTACGCGGCCCACTTGGATTCTTTGCTGCAAATTGCGCGTGTAGATTAGCAGGTTCAAATTTGATGTTCACGTCAATGAAAGAGGGAACCGTTTGCGGTCGCAAGCCGGCTAGGCGAACAAAGGCGAAAATGTATGGCTATACCAACAGCGAAAGCACCTTCGCAGCAGATTAAATGTAAAGCGTTCTCTCTAATAAGCATCACAATCTAAATTTCCTGAAATGCTACCTACCTAGGTATATGATCTGTCTCACCTGCTGTGAGAAGGGAAGTATATCACACGCCGTTGGACAACGACTTTGGCTCCTCGTCCTCGCTATCGGTGTCATATGAGCTTGAAGCCGGTCGATGATAACTTAATTTACTCGTCCTGATGACTGTTAGCTTCCCCGTAGATTGGTCGATGCTTACCTGAGCTACATGCCAAGGTCCGTCGATGTACCGCGCGTTTTCGGCTTCTTCCCACGTATCGTAAAGACGCGGCAAAGGTGTGCTTTGGTCTTCGCAAGGAATAAAAGGTCGCATGTCCGGTGGGGTGGTAGGAGGCGCTGCTGAGAGAAGCTCGAGTAACCGCTCCAATTTAGGCAAGCTCGAAGGAGGGCCATGGGCCAACCTGCGGAGCTCTGGCTCGATCGATGCTTCCAGGTATTCCCTTAGAGTATGCTGTGAGTCATAATCAGACTGAATTTCCATTAGCTCCCGGGTGTGTTGCCAAACCTGGCGTATGTCGACCACGGCCCCGAAGTTATTACCCGCTCGTAACCTACCGCATGTTGACCATCCGAAGTCTCCTAAGAAAAAGCTAGGACCATCAGGCATGTTGAAGTTCAGGAATACATTATCGGCGTGTAAGTCCCCATGAATCACATAGTATGGATGCATCGAATACATGAATCTCAGGGCTTCCACGAGATCTCGAATCATCTTACAAATCAGAGACGGCGGAGGTGCGGTTCCTCTGGTCAAACAAGCGCTGGAAAAGTCTCCCAAGTTGCCTCCGTTGTAATATCGAAAGTATTTTACTCGATGATAGAGCAACTTTGAATTAGCTGAAACATGTGACGATGGAACATCACCTGCTGAGTAAAGATGAGCGATGTTTGGCTGAACACCATGCAAGCGAGCCTGAGACTGTATAAGAAATAATATGCGCTCAGGGTCATCGCTTTCTCTTTCAAACTCTTCTATGAGGTGTTTGTTTACCTTTCGCACAACCAGATCACCAGTCTGGACGTGAATTACAAGTTGTGCACTGGCCTCCAAGCCGATACCGAGAGTCTTTATGTACAAATATTGGTCCTCTCTGTCGACGAACATGTGAGCGAACCCTAATTTAGGAGTCTCCATGATTGGAAAGGTTATTTGCGACTATTTCCGGGCTCCGGGATGATGTTGTGTGGCCTAATGGTGCGCTGTTCGTAGACGATTGACTTGATCCCAACACCTGTTGTGGAAGAAGTCTTTGCTTGCTCTATCATTTGACCAGCCTGATAGATGGACTGACGAAGAACACACCTTTATAGACTTAATAGACACACAGAGAAAAGGGCCAATCATGGAGACATTATTGTGCAAAACCTAAGAAACAATCACACAAGGTGATTGTGCCGACTGTGTAGGTGAAGCTTACCCAATCTACCAACAAAGAAGTCGGCAGAGCAAACTATTCATGTAAGAAATAATTGTGGACTTGAACAAAAGAGAAGCGGAACGATGGGTTAAATTCCAGTCCAAGTCTGTCAGCTCAGCCGATGAGGCCCTTCTCTATGGAGCACTTTTCGGCAACCTTTCCAAAAGACGCATGACATCCACTGCTTGATTATGGAACATATGTCATTAAAGAATTGCGCTGATTTACTGGCTGCATGCACTTCTTCACATATTCTTTGGGCATCAATTGGACGTCCAACATTAATGCATTATAACCCAAGTCTCAATATTTGAACCTTAAAAGCTTGAGATTGCTTTCGCAGCCAGGCAAAACCACAGCCATAATTCTCGTGATAGTACCCCCAAAAATAGGCGGATGTTCATCCATAAAGTCTTGCCAGTGTAAACATCCACTTAATCTCAGTTTCGGATGTAAAACTTCTATTTCTTTCTTCGGGTCGCTCACACCCCAGTGAAACCTTGACCCGCTACTGCGCAGAAATTTGATCGAATTTGAGAGCTTTGCAACCATAGGACTCACATGGTCCGTAATAATCTCTCCCTGACTGAAGTAGCTAGCTATATCTAGGAGGACGCGCTTCCCCTCTGTGGGTGAAAGAAAAGGAAGCAAACCTTCTGCTACCACCAATGTCGGTCTGTCATTTGGCAGATCTTTCACCCAGCCTGGCTTTGTGACCTGGAGTGCCCGAAGCGTGTAGTCTCCCGGCGGATGAGGGAGCAAGCGAGCTCGCGCCTCGACGACTCGGGGCTGGTCAACGTCGATCCATCGGACGTTGGGCTTTGCGCCCACACGAAGATATCTACAGTCAAGACCGCAGCCCAAATTCAAGACTGTAATAGGCTCACATTTGTGTGAGTCCATGAATTCCTGGAAACAGACAAGGAGTCAACTGTTCTGTGTGGGGCTAAGTTGGGATAAAAAGCGTTGTGGACGAGCTAATCAGAGATTGTCTCATACCTGGCACCAGACATCTAAATGTTTAGTTCGGTTCATGAAATATTGCATGAAGTGAACATCTTCGATAAATTGTTTCGCACTCAAGTCGATTTCGCATCTTCCCAATGTCTCTTTGGAATATGGATCACCAAGGATGGGTTCTGGTAGTTGAGCATCTTGGGATCTCAAGAAGATCATTGTCATCATGGCTTCCTCACCGCCAGTGAGCCTCAATCTCCTTTTAGGTGATTTTGATGTGTCTTGTGACCTCTTCAGAGTCTTCCTGAGACCCCTTATTGCCATTAGTCGTACCCCAGTCTTAACATATGGATCGTTGTGTCGAGGTCATTGAAAAAGAACAAGATTTATAGAACGCAATTCTCGAGGTAGGCACGAAGTTGGGAGAACCATCTTGCTTGACCTTAAATAGCATTCAACGGCGCTTTTGTGAGTCGACACAGACGGTTGATTACCTCAAGCATGTGGAGCGCAGCCCACATTTGTGCGATACAAGCGTACCCTGGCTACCTTGTGGGAATCGCGACCAACGAAACGAACTTACTTTCAGATGCTTGCACATGTTTGGGACTTTTAATTCTCTCTCGCAGGACTCTCCCGATCTGGAAAGCTCGGTCCTCAGAAGGAACTGGTCCTTAGGGCAAAGTGTTTGTCAGACCCGGTTTTTCTGTCACATATCTCAATACAGTCCGAATTCGTGACAACTATACACCTATCAAAAATACCGGTCGAGAATCTATGTGGGAGCCTAAGATCGGGCCGGTCCGCTACAGCTTCCCGCCAGATTTGGCGCGGTAGCCGAGTGGTTGACCGCTCGGCAGGACTTTTAAGATGGATACTGGTTTACCATCACGGATTCATAGCTCCATTGTAGTCCTTGGCCTAGTCACAACAGAACCCTGTCTACCTCGGCGAGCAATTGGCAACCTGGTCACAAGCCCAAGTTGTTCGTCTTTGAAATGCGATGTTTGTCTGTGCAGCACGATCGCGAATTGCAACCCCGTCCTGCAAGATCAGCGTCTGGCGTGTAGTACATCTCATTTCCTGTTCAGGATTGACTCAGCAAGTAGTCTCGAACGCTGCCTATGTCAATGCCTGGCGTTAAATTATAGCTTTGATTCTCTAAAAATTCACGAAATATTCTAATCTACGGCCCTGCAGCATGCGCAGGCAGCAAGCAATTATCAGTCTCAATTCGCCTTTTCCGGAGGCCAATTCGCCGCCATACACCATGTTGGCACTCCCTTTTGTAGTTCTTGACTCAACCCACCTTCTGCCTTCATACTCTCTGTAGGAAAGCTCATCAGCACTTTGACAACCCGAAACCCGAAGTATCCATAAACATCTCTTGCCCTCTCATTACCCGCTACGAGCCACAATGGGACTCCATCTCTTCGAGCCTGGGCTACAAATGGTTCGATAACGGCTCTGACTGCACCCTTATCAGTCCGTTGCGGATCCCTGGCCATCAAACTCAACACCCAAAACTTTCTAAGATCCCCGAAAACCTGCCGCCTTGCCTCCTCGTATTCTTTGACAAATTTTGCGAAAATAGGTCTCTCTCGGGAAAGCTCCTCGATCGACTCTGCACTGCGGTCGGGCCCAATGCTCTCTGGCGGCTCCCAGCATGCGACAGCTGCGAAGTCCGCTGCCTCGACAATAAATGACCCTGCTTCGACCTTCGTCTTTATGCGGCCCATACAGCCCCCATAGAGTTGTGAGGCTGTCACCGGTACTGTGAGTCCGGTCTTTTCAAGCTGGAAGAGTATGTTCAACGGGCCATCTAGGGTAGCACGCGCGGAAATCTCTGCGAGAAGGTGCTGATACTCAGCAGAGGTGCTTGTTGTTATAGGTACGGAGGAATTTGACGGTCCGGCAACAGATATGCTTGGGCCATTGAGAGTTGTTGCTTCCATGGTAGCGGCGGCTCGACTTGCCTACTGGATGAGACTCTTTGTTGCTTGATTTGAGAAATGAGATACCTGGCCAGTATCTACATGTGTCCGAATCATGGATTGCCAGCCTCTTTCATTGTCTTTTGGAGGAAATGAACTCTTGGAGTCTCTTGAGTAGCGCATACGCGCAATTGGAGTGACTCACGATATGCTAATCGTAAGGAGCTATACCCAAATGGGGAGCACATTGACAAGGGTATACTGTACTGCGTTCGCTTTGCGCCTTCGGTAAGCACCCAGCGCTAGGTGCCGATGATCAAAAGCATACACGGAATAATGTGACTTAGCTAGTATGGTAACTACTGGTAGAGCCGAAGGTCCATTGAGCCTGAAGATATATGCACCTTGATGGAGCGTGAATGATGAAATTATACTGAGGAAAGAAGGTAATAGACCTTATCGAGAGTTTGGCACATTTTATGGTTCTAGCACATCGGCTTCCCACTACTTCCGTGATCACTGCGACCAGCGCAAACATTATCATATTCAGGCTCGAGCTTTCCATGCACATGATTCTGTCCTAGAGTACACCCATCTGCATTGGATCGTCGCACACGCAGAACTTATATTAGCTCACACATACTACGATCGGAGTAAAAGCATCAATCGTCAAGATACGACGACTTTAATGAGCTGTATGAGGCAGTGTTCCGCATCTCTTAGTATACTGTGCCATAGTTTCACACTGTAATTGTAGGACAACCAACCACGAATTACTGGCTGCGTTGTCGATGAGACAGTGCGGGCTGTTCGAAAGCTGGCCACAACGAAGGAGACGCGAGTATTACAACTCCATCCCACCGGCTACCAAGTGATTGTGACTACGGGTCCGGTTGCACGGACGGACGTGGTCTTTTGGCATCTTCAAAGTGCGATCCGAACCCCACAGGCTTAAGACAGCTGTCCAATACGATTCGCTCCAGGCTCACTAGTGACATGTTGGCCTTGATGATTGCTGGACCTTGAACAGCCCAGCCTCATTTGCGTAGCATAAATGATGGTTCAGTGCCCAACGCTGCATTGCTCAAGATTAAACTTCGAAATTCTTGGTTAGCGAAGTATCATCGAACATTGTACTTGGTGCAAGGAATGAAGCGAATGATTTGAATTGACACCGAATCCGCCATGATCTTAACACCCGAGGAGAGTGTTGGGAGCTTCGACTTGGTCCCACAATGTGTTGAATTGTGTTTAAGCAGCGTTCATACTGACGTCTTACGCCTGAAGCGGCTTTACCAAATGTAGATTTACATAGGCAGGTTAAGTACAGGTGTCCAGATGCTAAGAGCTGATCCAAGAATGCTCGCGTAGCGTAGCGCAGAAGCAGACCAGAAGAATCAGGCAATGTTGGTGAATGTTCGAGATCTAGTCACGTCGTACAAGCTGGTCATGCAAGACAGCGCCGACGCAGGGCGACGCCAAAGTATCCAGCGAAGTCCACGAAGAATCCCTAAATACAAACCTTCTCACACAAGGGGGGATCTGCTTTGGGTATGTGTCTTGAAATCAAACGACTGTGTGGTAAACACCGGAGAGCCTTTACCGCCTAGAGCAATAGACAGCATATTTTGTGGTGGCATGATGGATTTGTCTTAGTTTTTAAAGTCGATCTGAGGTGTTTGGTGAATTGAGCAAGAAAATCGCCGTTCGGGAAGAGATCACTTTTCCTCGCTGAGGCTGTCTAGCCCCGACGCACAAGCGAAAACTTCTCTTTATAACTGGCGACTGTTCCTGTCTGATGTGATTCACGTAGTTGTTAACATCGTCATCCCTCCACTTCCCAACCACCTTCAAATCGAGCAGCCGACAGACGCGACTTCCTGCGAAAGCCATAATGCGGTTCTCAGCTATCCAGGGCATTGCGCTGGCCCTTGTTGGCCTGGCGAAGGCACAATGCATCTATGATCTTGTTGATGTACCGCGTCTCATCCCAATCCAACCAAGACTCATCTTTCTAATCGTGTATCTCACAGTTTGAGGACCTGCCAAACGCACCAGCTCTCGGCGTCGGCATAGGTTCCAGTCCAATCCCGGACGGCTACTCCAGTCTCAACTGGACCAATTTATACGGCGCCACAACCTCGATTACAGCACAATTTCCCCTTCCGCAGGGCAAGATGCATGTCCACCTCGTCAACTTTACCCACCCCTCTACCGAGGAACTCTGACTAACACCACGTGCTTCCCAGCTTCGCCGTTGCACCCAACTCGCCCACAACCAACCCAGCCGTCATCTCTGCTCCCGCGGGACTCTCGTTCACCCCTGAGTTCATCTTCGCCGGCATATTTCTGAGGAACCTGCTCGGCGGCGCCACGGCCCTGTCGAGTGCCAGCACAATTACCGTTACTGCGAATTTCAGCGACTCGACCACCGCCCAAACCACGTTCAATATCGATCCGCCAGACACTGTCTTTGGGCTGAGCGTCGGCGCCCAGGCGCTGCAGTACTTCAAGTTCCCGTGTGTATGGACTGGAGTCGTAAGCCTGAGCTTCAGTCCGCAGGCTGAGCTTGGAGTGGATACTGGGCTGGGTCTGGCGATCGATAACTTCCAGTACACGGTTCCGCTTGAGCGTGTCTAGGTGCCGTTGCTATATGGGATATGTTGGAAAGCGACCAGGACAACATACCGGGGAGAATAGCCACATCTTGCTATCATCCCCAGCATTTCCGCATAAATCATTGGCGGCGATTGCGAAAGAGCGAGGGGTTTCAATATAGGATTGCATATGCACATGTGCGGCGTGAAGTCATGTTGACTTCTGGCGTGCATGTCTAACTGAATCGGATGTGCGATGCATGCTAGACTCTTGATGTAATTAAATGTGCTTATCGAATTCGAGCTCAACCCAGCGCTCTGTTTTGTTGAAACATCGATAATGAACTTTTGTGTTCGACCATGTCTCAAGGTCGTGCTTCGCCTCATTACTCAAGATGGCGGTTCAGGCCGCGGCATGTCTTGACCCATGACTTGCACATCTGCCTAGCTGTCAGCCCCAGGCGAATTGCTCATCCGCGCGACTGAACGCCCTGAGCCTCTCTCACTCTCACCGCTGCAGGAGTCGCGCAACAATTCATCTCTTTTCCTACATTTCGCAGCTTTGGGATCCACTATCAGAGCTTACTTGAGAGCATACTTTACCGCTTCAAAGCATTCTCACCAAGAGCAGCCTACCAAGAATGGCCCCACCACCACCACCCCCAGCAGACTTCACTTTCGACCCGTCCCTGTCTGCCTACAATGTCCTCATCCATGACTACCTCTCCAAGCTAAATGAGACCGCAACGCCCAAACTGGAGGGTTTAGCCACCGGTGCCGTCGTCTTCAGCACGCACCACCCCGCAGACCAGCACGACCGAGTCCTGCTGATCCAGCGTGCATCGCACGACTCCATGCCCAACAGGTGGGAGATCCCAGGCGGCGCCGTCGACGCGGATGAGACGGTCCTGGGAGGGCTAGCGCGAGAGGTGTGGGAGGAGAGCGGGCTCAAGGTCAGCCGCGTCGCCTCCTCGGTCTCGCCCGGCGAGGGCTTGGCCGCGGGCGCCGTGTTCCGCACCACGCGCGGCAGGTTCGTCTTCAAGCTTACGTTTGTTGTCGATGTGGAGGACTCTTCTGCTGTGATGTTGGACCCGAACGAGCACCAGGATTATGTGTGGGCGACGGAGGAGGAGTGCCGGGCGAAGCGGGTTGAGAGGTCTGCAGAGGGGAAAGGAGCGACGGAGTTGGTGTTCACGACTGCGGCGCAGGAGGAGGCTATTCTGACGGCTTTTGAGGTGCGCAAGCGGGACCGCACAGTGTGAACTGCGTGGTCGAGGTGAAGACCGGGGATCTCTTCGGCAATCATGGTAGATGGTGAGCAGACTCAAACACGGGAATGTGAATTTGGCATCAGGATTTCATAGAAGCATAGAATATCCTGGCCGGGAACATATTCTCAAGGGCTCCTACTTGAAGATACTAGGGATAACGATTAAAGAAGCAAGATGAGCACTGGGACGGCATGTGCAAGGAACTAGTAGTGATGTCCGGCTAACAAGCAGACAAGCAGGCCGGAATCCGCATTGAGAATTCTTTTTATGAGGCAGACACTCGTTACACTCTGACGTTTGTGACATAAGTGCTAAAATCTCCGAAGCACATAAAGGAAATACTGAAGCTATTGGTGTGGCTTGCTGTTGATGCAAAAACAATCTTCAATCAGTATAAACACTGTCGAGCATATAACTAGATATTCCTCGTCTTGCTGAATTCAAAACTATCCCGAATAGTGGCCGATGCTATGTTTCGTGGGTGCAGGAATTTCATGTGGTTCTACCACAGGGAAGTGGGCGCCGACTTACGGTGAGCCCACCTCGCTAAGGAGGCCAATTCATATTCACCAGCCAAAGTAAACCTAGCTTGATTTTACGGCCAATGAAGTTATTTGCCCGCATACTTTTTGTTAAGCTAAAGCATGCGTCGCGGGACAGAAGCGGTGGGCGACCACGACGGCGAGGAACAAAGTGGACTCAGACTTGCTGCTCTCCCAGAGGCATTGACAACATGCTATCGACTCGAAACACGAAGAAAAAGATACGCACTACCAATTGATATCATCAGGTCCCGAAGTCACACTGCCGAGTTCACCGAGTTGTAGTGCAAAAAGGGGGTTTGGTTTACTAACAAGCAGCCAATTCGGCGTGGTTCCCGATACCCGTTTTCCCCCAGCCGCCTCTTTAAATAGAATAACCTTAATCAAGCAGTATACCAGGTGGGTCCATGTTACTTGAGCGGTAGACAATACGAGCGCGGAGGGTCCGCATGGCGATCAATGAGGCTCTCTGAGTAGGGCGCTGCCACGACTGCCAAGCGTACCCCTTGCTGCAGACCCGTATAGTCCCACAGAATAGATGAAATCTTGCATGTTGGAAGCGGTGATGATGAGCCAGCAACTGGTATAAAGGGGAAGGGAACGGTTCATCCAAATTTTCTCAAGCTCTCACTCCTAGCAGCCAGTCGACCAACCAGACCGATTTGAATTAATAGACAACAGAACGATCCGCCAGTCTCACGACCCGTACAAACCATTCAAGATGCAACTCGCCTCCTTCACCACCATTCTGGCCCTCGCCGCCTCGGCCTCCGCCACCACCATCTACGGCACGCTTCAGTTGTGGTACGACGCCAACGCAGCCTGCACCCAGGACACGATCCTCTACCCAGAGGGCCAGAGCCTCGCAATTGGCACTCTCGACAGCTGCGAAGCAGTCACCCCTGGAGTCGACGGTGCTGAATTCCAGCAGTTTGAGGGCATCCCTCAAACCCCTCTGTTCGGCTGTGAGTTACCCAGCACATAGATGCCACTGCTTGCCAGCCACTTGCCGAACACCTCCAAGTGTGAGATTGCTGACGATAGTCTTCTGACTGGACAGTCCAACTATTCTCCGACGCTGAGTGCAAGGACCTGGTGACGGACAAGTCAGGGGAATGCGTCACGGGTATCAAGTCCTACAAGATTGTGCGTCTGTAATTCAACACAGCCCGCGCAGGTCTACAATCAAGGCTACAAGCTGTCCCATGTCAGCACTGCGGGCGAGCCAGCGCATGACGAAAGCCACAAAGGAAGCCCTACGCCCTCTCTTGAAAGTGGCACAGAGTTATCGGAAGTGCGTGTATCCGCCTGACTCGGGCCTCAGCTTCTCTTCAGGCATCCGATTTTGCCGGGAGACGACAATCGGAAGAATCAGAATAGGAAGTGCCTGCCTCTGAGCCAGTCTTCCCCACTTAGTGAAGCAAGACTTCGTGTAAATAGATTCCAAAACGAATCAATTGAAGTGTCAATACGTCCTTGGGTGTGTCAAGCGTCCAACCGCCCACCCCCCAGAATGCGCTGTTAGCTCGGAGAACGGCATGCATCTGACTGCACATACATTGGAAGTCTTTCGTCATGAATATTGTTTCTTTTTTTCAAATATATACTGGTGGCCTCTGCGATTGTATAGTCATCCGTAGCCGAAAAGTTTGGAGGGGGGGGGTCGTCTTGGTGCACTCCACTCAAGAACTTCAGTGAGAGTGTGACCAGGATGTCGTATCTGCCTGGACCGTAGTAGAGGTCTCCCTCACGGGGTTTGATGTGAAATAGCATTCTCAAGTCGCAATAATAAAAGGCCGAAATCAGAATTTACCGGTATTGAATCGATCAAGTGTAACAGTAGATTGGTAAATATATGCGGTTGAAGTCTGATCTGTTCGAGCACAGGTTCGACATATATTAGCATGTGATTCGACGAGGGCCCAAGAAAATCAAGGCTTAGTAGTGGGCGGATGACATGTACTTACATGATAATTGAAGCAGTGATTTGAACAGAGCATAAGATGTGTAATTTGTGCTTGGCATGATGTGTCCTTGGTGCATGCTGCATAACGCTGGTCATGGATGAGTAGTATAAATACGACAGATGATAAAATTTCTGAATCCATCTGCTATTGCAAAGAAGCGAAGCAATAGATTTCATGTAGCTATCACCGATTAGAATGTACCGTCAGTACTAAATGAAGATCGCAGTTGCAGCTTCTCCAATGGGCTGTGGGCTGACTAATCCAAGACGAAAAGGCCATTGAGGGTTGGAGTTGTGTATAGAGAAGCTAACATATGGGTACCTGTGTATTGAATCGATAAGCGGCTAATATTTGTGCCTTGTTGAAGAATCTTTGTACAAAGGGTTCGAAGTCATGCGTCGAGGACTTTGAAAACACAAAGTCAGCCTCTTGAAAGCAAGAATGAAACTGATCGCAAGTCTATATTTTGTCAAGATATTACCAGAAAGTGTAACGTGACAAAATTGTCCCGTTGATCCTGTGCAAGGGCACCATCGGCCAAACACAATACAACTCTCCCCAGTCAGACATCCCCCCTCCCCCTCAATGCTAATCTTCGTCCAATACTACTTCCAACGATTCCGGCCGCCGTAATGTCCTGGTGAGTCGATACTCCTGGGGCGGTCGATAATTTGAGCTTCTCATGGTTTCTATATCATAGCGGTCAGGTGTTGAGGTTCCCTGGTGTCCTCGAAAGAAGCCCGGCGGAGATATTTCGTCAATCCAGCTGGGGATTTCGTAAATATCATATGGGAATTCCAGACTGATTTTGGCCTGGAGAGCGTCCAGTATTCCAAGTCCCGTCCCTCCAATAAGATGAAGACTTTCTTGAAGATCCAGGTCCTGGAATGACGCTGCTGTTAGATGCCGAAACACCTGCCGAACCGCAATATCGAAGAATGGGTGATGCTCTTGCACGGCCATTAGGGTAATACCGCCTCTGACGCTGGTGGAATGTCCTAATACATTGCTCCAGAAGTTGTTGGCCCTGTTCATGTCAATGTCGTCAAACCCGCCTGACATGATCCAATTGCGTACTTCCAACGTACTAAGATATCGGGTATGGGCAATCATCAACGCCAGGTGACCCTCTCTCGTCATGGCGGCCATGCCAATTGGTCCATAGATGCTGTCAAACCCCCGACCGTTTTCGAACCAATCTCTGACAGTTCCATGAATGAATTGATAGGTTGTGCTGTTGTCCGGGAAAGGTCCATTTAGCATGGTCCCACTGTGCTCTGAAGGCACCATCGCTTGAACGAGTCCGAGCGAAACATCTAGAACCTGCTCATGTCTTTGCTCCGCTGTTTTGAGATACTCCGGAGACTCTTTCCATGCTTGGATGGACTCAAAATGTGTTGCATTGAAGCACAACCCGATGTGGATGCATTGCAGATTCCACGGCTCGTACGCAAATAGGAGCACGTATATGAGGAACCTCGTTTGGGCGGCTTTTCCCGGGCTGATGTCTTGGAAAAGCTTGACGTATAAATCCTCTAGCTTTGGTGGCATTTGTTGAAGAAGTTCTTCCAGAAACTTGGCGGATCTTCCTCTGCAGTTGCTCTTGAGATGTGCTGCAACGAGTACTACCCAGAGGAAGATACCCCCCGCCTTTTCCAGTAGTGTGTCTTTCAAAGGCACGAGTGCCGGCTCCTCTTGGCAAGTTGTCGTAATATGTTGAAGAATATCATGCCGATTCTCCTTCTCGGCCGCGATAATCAAAGCCCCAGGTATATTGATCTGACGGTAATAGCGAGAAGATATGCAAAAGTTTAAGAAACCATTGGCCTGGATTGCGGCGCTCGATGAATGAAAAATGAAGCTTTTGACCTTGTAAAGATCGTCCCCTTCACATTCATCTAGCCCATCAACGAAGATAAGAACTGGTCTTGCCGCTAATTGTCCCAGGATATCTCTGACTGTGTTCTGTAATTCTATTTCTTTCCATTCGAATTCTTCTTCGCTTGAGAGCTCGCTGACAAACTTGTTCGCGACTTCGGACAGGAGTCTGTCATCTTGCATGAGCAGTTGGTGGAGAATACACCTGTAGAAGCCCGTAGCGGTTCGATGAAGCGTCTGAAGGGACCGGTCACTGAAAAAGAAAGCTGCTGTCAATGCCGTCGGGTAGAGATCCTTGTTCTGGGCATGCCGAAATGCCCGCCTCATAAGGGTCGATTTGCCACTCCCTGGGTGGCCTTTGATCCACAACACCCCACGGTGTTCCTGCAACTCGGCCCTTGATTCCCAAGCCCGGAACTTCACGTCCTCGAAAAGCCAGTTGCAAGTCCCGTCAGTTTCACTGGGAATACTCGTCATCGGATCCAGCATTCCCTTGAAAGCTAGACTTAGGAGCAGCTCTAATTCACTATCAGCATCAAGATGGCTTATCGGACTGTGCTAGTGGAACTTATTCTTCGCTTACTGCTCGCCGTCTGCTCTAAATGTGGACTGCGGGATAAGCTTCTGTTGCTTGCAACGGAGTGAACTTTGTGAGTATTTAAGGATTTATCGGATACTTTTTGACGTGGTCTAAAGACGAGGGCCGCTTTGCGAATACAACTTAGGTCAGTGAGAGCTATGAGACTGTAAATGAAGGCTGTTTTTCTGATGGCTCTTACACCCCATTTTGGAATGAGGTCCATGACAGGTGTCTGCGTGTGGTGTTCCGAGCTCCGGCCTTGGTTCAGCAGAAGCTGCATCAACCATAAGCTTAAGATGACCATAGAACCTTTTGTAACCATCGTCATTTTCCGAGTCAAATCGTATCATGTTGACATGGTCGGCTGGAATGGCAATCGACTCTGCGTTTCTCTGTCCAGGCACGACGGCTGAAGCATGGGGCACGACCTGTTCAAATTGCTGTCAGGAAGCTACTTAGAATGGAGAACATAGTAGCAGACTCGCCAGAACTGATTTTCCCAGCGCAATCGGTGTGGAGTATTGCTCATATGCGAATTTCGTTTCGAATTCCTGGCTGATGACATTAAACTGGTCTAGCTGTTGTTGAAGCAATTCTGAATCCCTTTTCAGATTTCGGACAATCCGGCTGTCAGCAGGCGCGAAGATCGACGCAATGTTGACAAAGACCTCTCCAATAGAAGCAGCAGAAGACCCTTGGTGAGGCGTGCCCATAAAAATGATGCCGTAAGTCGACGTCCTCACAAGCCGATGGTCTTGGAGAGCCCCTTCGCGAGCGGCATCGGCGTGAATCAAGGCCTGCTGCCAGTCAATGAGAGTACAGATGGATCTAAAATGGGCAACTTTCGCTCTTGACAACAATGCCGCCTAAGCTGTGTGCAATGGAGATGATGGGACGAGTTGCAGGAGTCTGTGGGCTCAAGTATCAGTGCATTGCTTTCGCCAAGTGTACGGGCTTAGTCTGGTATACAGCCAGCCATACCTCTGTCAGCCTCCTATATAGACACAGGTCAGACACCAGCGACAGCGCATGGTCATGGATGTATTGATGGTTTAGCGGGATTTGTCCATGAGTCCGGGCGTCATAGCCCCAGGCCAGGATGCGTGCTTGAGGTAGGCCAGCGGGGAGCAGGTCGCGGGGCCAATAGACATTGTTTGCTGCAGTCCATGATCTTTCGCGATGGCCATTGAGTCCATGGATGAATACAAGACTGGTCAGATTCTGGGTCAGAGCTCTAGCGTCTGCACCTCGTGCGCAGGTGTTGGCTTACTCAACTGCTGCGTTGTGGCCCTCAGCGAGAGTGCTCAGCCCCTGGGGCCAGCGCTCTTCAGTCGGCTTGGGCTTGACAAATGCAGATGCCTTGTGCATCAATGAGCTAAACCTCGACTGTCGGTCTGAAGACATCTTCAGCAACACGAGCAGAGCATCAGATATGGCACGACAAAACAAACTGCTGGGTTAGCATACACCTTTTTTGAGCGGGGATTCTGCCGCACGCGCCTACAATAGAACAGATGAGGGCTGTTTACGATGACAATCGGCGCTTACGCGCTGCCGGCTAGCGAATAAATATGAGCTGTTCAGGCACCGTGACTGGTAACACAACATCTGCACTTCAGGCCTCCAGAGATTGATAGGCGGGCTCAAAATACATCCATTGGGCACCTCAGTCCGCCTAACCAGATGAGGTGGTTGAATGTCGTGATCTAATCCAGCCACTGCGACCTAGGCATACAGCACGGCGGTTTCCTGTAGAAATACATTTCCTGTTTGTTTTTCACAGGCGAACGTACGCCCTCGAATGGTGCATATCATTTCTTGCATGTGCCAGTGCACAAATGGGTGCAAGTGCTTGGACAATTGAGTGCACCAGTCTTGTTCGGCGCCCTGGATGGAGGATCACTTCGAGCACCCTTGCAATCTCTGGTGTAAAGCTGTGACGTCGAACTGCCTGCCGTTGCTGACTAACAGAGGCACCTACAGACAAAGACGCGGTCCAGGGGGGTGGGGGGTTGTTTAGTTTAGCGAGACGCGACTTGAAGGAGCACGCACCCATAATTCCATCTGCCCAAGCCAGGTCCAAATCGTTGCTCAGCCAATCCCTACCCAACCCATGCCTTTGCGCGGGTGATGATTCCAATTTGACGTGACAAAAGATGATGGAGTCGCCTCCAGCATCCTCAGACCACGGCGATGATGCCTTCGACCCCTCCAGGCCCTTCTCAGGCGTCGTCGTCTGCTGCACCAGCATCCCCACCGACCAGCGTGTAAGTCCTGCTCCGCATTGTACGGCTTTATGGACTGCACCATGACCCAAGCTGACTGTCCTGGCCTTGCCCTCGTTCAGTCAACAATAGCAAAGAAAACAGACGAGCTGGGCGGCATCCACAAGTACGACCTGACACCCGACGTCACCCACCTCGTCGTTGGCGAGTACGACACCCCCAAATACAGACATGTCGCCAAAGAACGGCCGGACATCAAGGCCATGGCCGTCGGCTGGGTCGATGCCGTGCGGGATCTCTGGGTCCGGGACGAGCAGATTGACTTCCAGGCCTTGGAGAAGGAGTGGTGCCTGAAAGCATTCGAGACCGGTGGCGGTGCAATAAGCAATACTGGAGACTCTGGTCCCAAAACTACGCTGAACTGCTGCTTGACGGGTTTTGAAGATCGTATGTGGCTGGCCCTAGTGACTGGTCTGATACAGCTAGCTAGCTCAACGAGGCTGACCTGTGTTCACAGAAAACGAGCGCCAACGAATAATCGAGACGATCAAGTCCAACGGCGGCGACTACACGGGCGACCTTAGCAGGCACGTCACGCACCTAATTGTCTTTAAGCCCGAAGGAAAGAAGTACCTGGCTGCTAGAAACTGGGGCCTTCACGTCGTGGCGCTGAAATGGGTGTACGACTGTGTCCAACGCGGCATGATTCTCGACGAGAAACTCTACGACCCTCTGCTTTCCGAGGAGGAACTCGGTCAAGGAGCATGGAACAAACGGGCGAGCGCGAACCGTCGAATATCCCTCGGCAAGCGGCAACGAGAGGCGGCGACAAAGCTGGAGCAAGGGCGACGTAAGCTGAGAAAGACGGCGAGTATGAAGCTGAACAGCCAGAGGGAGAACATGTGGGGGGAGATCTTGGGCCAGCCCTCTATCGACCAGTCCGCCTCCCACCTTGCTGAGGAGCCCACCCAGCCACTTCCGAGCGATTCACTATTACGGTCGAACGCGTCTATATCACGGGTCAGCGAGTCGCTTGACATTGGTCAGTCTCACGCATCCTACGGTGGTCCAGAGAACAAAGGCGACACAATCTTTGCTTCGTGCTGCCTTTACGCTTTTGGATTCCCTCCACGGCAAACCGATGTCCTTGTCAACACGGTATCATCCCTGGGAGGCCTTGTGGTTGGGACTGTGGCGGAGGTTGCAGCTTCGGAGGGAATGATCCGACGCTTTGTAATAGTGCCTCAAAGCGCCGATCAGAAGTCGCTTCCTCTACTATCAGATGGCGTGGATCTCATTACGGAATGCTTTATCGAGAGATGTCTACACAGGAGGGCGCTGTTGGATCCAAAAGACCATGTCATCGGCAGACCATTCCCTGTCTTTCCCATTGAGGGCTTTGAGAAGCTCTCGATATGTACCGCCGGGTTCACCGATGTCGACCTGCTGCAGGTGGATAAATCGATCCGCCAGCTTGGAGCGCGCTTTGAGGAACGTTTCAATGCCGAATGCTCCTTGCTACTATGCGCCTCTCTAGCAGGCGTCCGGAAACAGAAGCTCGACCTTGCCCTACTTTGGAACGTCCCTGTTATTAAGGCGGAATGGCTTTGGGCGTGCATATCACAGGGCAAAAGACTGTCGACCAAGCCATTCGTGTTTTCTGAGCTTAAAGCAAGGACTACGACAGAGAAGAGTGCAGCATCGAAACCATTGAACAGATCGAAGTCGACATCCGACATGTCCAAGAAATTGACTCCAAAGTCCCTGCCAGAGCGCACCGAGAAGCCAGGTAGAGCCAGCCTCCCGGGCCCAGACATGGCGGCCTTTGACCCCACGCCCCTGGTGTCTACAGAGCCTCCTTCATCTCACGGCAAGACGTCAACCAGACGTGATTCCAACGCCGTCACTGAGTTTGAGACCGCTCCGACACATCAGTCGAGGGACAAGCCACTGTCCCAACGGCCCAGCTCGAGAAATGGTCCCCGTCCACTTGGTGAGAAGTCAGCGAGTGAGCTGAACAAGACTTCGGCAAAAGATCCGCACCCTGATGAACCACGCAAGACCCTTGCGCGCGTGCGAAGTGAAGTCTGCGACTCGGAAGCAGGCGACGACGAGGGCCTCGACACACCTATCGACGACAACCCGGCCTTCCAAACAGCCGCGGAGCCAGTGCCAGAGGCTGACGCGGCGGAGCTCGAACAGCGCAGGCTCGAGCGCGAGAGGGCAGAAAAGGCAGAAGCGGAGCGCCTGGCCCTCTCGTCAAAACTGACCTCCCTCCTCGGCGGCGGACCCGCCAACCCCACAGCAGACAGCAACAGCAGCGCCGCCGGCCTCGCCGCCATGGGGAGGGACGACGCGCGGCCCGCCTCCCGGCGCAAGAAGCGCGACGTCATCGGCCGCGCCGTGAGCAACGTCTCGATGGCGTCGACCGGCAGCGCGGACTCGTCCGCGGGGCTGGGGAGGTCCGCCGCGATGATCCACGAGGAGGAGGGCGGTGGTGGCTTGTCGCAGAACGGTGGCGGCGAAGGCGGCGTGCCAACCGCCACACAGATCGAGTACGACGACCCCGAGGCCAAGATCAGCAAGGAGCGGCTCATGAGCAAGATGCTCGGGCGCGGCGCGGGCGGGGCCGGCGTGTCGGCAGCGGGTGCTGGTGCGGACCGCGGCGCCGGCAAGATCAAGCCTGCGCCTGCGCCGCCGGGGCGGGTTGCTGGGGGCAGGAGCATGCGGCCCAGGTGAGGCGTGGGGGCTTTATCTGCTGGCTTGGTCGGGTTGTTGGGTTCTCTTTGATTCCCCTCGTTGCTGCTGGTCATGTCCATGATGATGTCTCTATCTTTTTTAGAAGTGTGCATATATGCATGTGTGTGTTCTAGGAGTTCGGCATAGTTAGCCTGGGTAGTTTTTTATGACTCTTAATGAAGAAGGCATAGTGCAAAAATTGCACACCATACAAGAAAATTTCTGTTCTTGTTCCTGCTGAAGATATCCGCTTTGCTCGGGCGGGAAAGATGGGTGTTGTATCGAGTCGTGAGTTGAGCTGAGCGCTTGGGCCAGTCTATCGATCATCGTTGGCCAAGACATGTCTACATCAAACAGAAAAAGCCTCATGCTCCAGAGTGGTGGGTATTCCTCTTGCCGCCGCTGCTCTTTTAGCTCGCATCGTGCATGACTGTGTGCTGAATGGTCTAGGCTCGGGCAGGGCAACGATCAGGCATGTCGGCGAGGAGTTGGGAGCGTTTCCTCGGAAAAGTGATTACCGTTCTCACACAAGTGCACCAAAAGTTTTTCGAAAGCGATCGAAGTTCAAGATTCGAAACAAATTGGTATGAGACACAATGGGGTATATGTAACGATCAAATACAAGACAGACAATCAAAATGAAACCAGTGGTGGTATCTTCCCTTCCAGTTCTTTCCTTTACATGAAATTCCATCTCTTTTCCCTTATATCCGCTGTACTGTATTCCGTTATGGCTGTCTTCCTTTACACGTCACTATTCGATACAAGTCTCTCCCACGGTATCCATACATTGAATCATTCAGACACGTTTAAGGGTAGCCAGGCACAGCCTGACTGGCCCTACTTCACCTCGACGTTACAACCCAGACGCAGCCTCAGTCAGGACGCCCAGGAGCGATGCCGCAGCGCCGCCAATTCCAACGGCACCGAGGGTCTCGCCCCAGACACGCTTCTTGACCCGGCGCTTGTCGCGTGCCTCGTCACGGTCGCGTTCGCGTTCGCGTTCCCGGTCACGTTCACGATCTGCAACCCGGTCACGCGGACGGTGGTGTGAGGAATGGTGGTCGCGGTCACGATGCTGCCTGTCTCGCTCTCTGTCACGATCTCGCTCTCGCTCGCGGTTGTCACGGTTGTCGCGGTCCCTCTCGCGGTCGCGGTCGCCGCCACGCTCACGATCCCTATCGCGATCTCTGCGGCGCCGCTCACTGTCCTTCTCCCTCTCTGCTCTCCTCCGTTCTCTGCGCTCCTTGCGCTCCCTTTCACTCTCCAGCTCACCGGGAGCAAACTCTCTCGGGCCGTCTTCGTCGAACCTGACGTGGTTCTCGTTACGGTTCTTGAGAATAGGCTTTGGCTGAGTTACGGCTGCCGGAGATGTCTTTTCCACAATGACCGGGTAGACCCTATGGCCCTTGCGGTCTGCCTTCTCTTCGAGCTCTGGTTCCTCTTGTATAGTGGAGTTGGTTGAAGCCCTTCTGTTGCGTCGTCGACGGTGGTCACGAGGAATATACTTGTCCGTCAGCGACCCTGATCGATCGCGGGACCCAGAATCAGTTGTGTCTGACTCGTCCCAGATGATATCCTCAGAATCAGTCTCGCTATCCGTCTCCGAGTGTTGAAGATGCCTCCTTCCGTTTGTGTTGCGTTTCTCTTCGGGGTAATATGCAGTTTGTCTATGTTTGGGGTCTGAGTGGCCCCTGCCTCGACCAGCTCTCAAAGCTGCAGTTTTTCTCGCAAAATCTGCGATCTGGTCTTTGGTCAAGACACCAAGAACGGCAACGAAGTCCGGCCTTGCCTCGTATCGTACACCCGCCTTGGTAAGAACCTCGGTCGACACTAGGCTTCGCTTGATACGAGTCCATTTTGCATCGAGAGGGATTTCATTGCCAACGCTGTCTGGAGCGAGGCGGGAATACCGCTGAGGTCGGGGCGCCGATGTAGGCGGGGGTGGGAAGCCTGGTGCCGAGGTGGGCGGCGCTGAGGAGGGAAAGGGGATTGGTACGACGCCTTGCGTGTTTGGGGACGCATAAGGAGGTGGCGGCGTCATGCTAGAGCCCGTTGGGCTTCCGTACCCCGGTAGTGGTGGGACATAACGTGGCGCGGCGCCCTGAAGAGCCTGCGACTGCGGCGAGGAGCTGAGAGGATGGTCCACCGGAAGGGTGTTGACCGGCGGCGGGAGATATCGTGTACTAGGAGAAGTGCCCGGCGAGACGCCGTAGTTTGTGGGAATCAGCGCCGGTGAGAGACCAAGTCCGCCCATGCGAGCTGAAAGATTGTCGGCTTCATTTCGGTCCAGAGCCATAAGATCCTGGGTGGAGATCAGGGCCAGTTGTTGTGAGTCTGTTGAGCCCGAATCTGAAGATGAATCAGACGAGTACCGCTCGTAGGAGGTTTGCATCGCCATGCTTGTTGGCGGGGGAGGCATTCCATTTTGATGGCTTTGCGGAACGAAGGGGTTATACCCCGATTTGGTGGGTGAACGGCCATCTCCATGAGCAGGCCACTGGTCTGGCTGTGGTCGTTCGAGCTTCACACTGGGCATGAACTTCTCGTTGTCCATGCTGGGCGAGACCATTTCTTTGGGAGACATGGTCTCGCCATGCGAATTTGATGGGTACGAGGCCGGGGTGATCTCCACTGGCGGTGGCAAGGGTGAGGACCCATGCTGCTGCGGTTGGCGAGCCCCGTATGCAGGCGCCTCCGAATATGGCACGTATTGCTGAGCTGCATATGCACCGTTGCCGCGACCTTGCGGCAGCTGCTGGTCTAGAAGCCCACGGACTGAAGGAGGTTTGTCATCCAAGAAACCATTCGAGTCCAGCTCACGTATGTAAGCGCGCAGAACTTCCTGTGAACCCAAGTGTCAGCGGTCAGGCCCAAATCAGAGTTTTCCGCGCCCAAAAGCGCGGTGGCACCACATTGGGGCACTGTTGTGCAACGTTGACACGTCTGAATCGAGGAAGAAAGGAAATGCAGTATGAGACACTGCACGCGTGATGATTCATTGGCATGCCACTCACCTTGTGCTTCCTGAGGACATCGCTGGAAAAGCCCTCTTTGACCAGCTCAGCCCAGAACTGCTGCCACATTTGATCCTCGCTCTCATGAGCGACATCGCCCGAGGCCAACGCCCTGGCCCTGCGTTGGAATAGGCGTGCAGCAACGACATCAACCTTGTCCTTGATCTTGTTCATCTGCTGGTCGTCTGCACGCGCCAGGTCGACAGGCTTGTGCTGCCTTGTGGGATTGTGCAGCTGAACGGTGTCTAGGAATATGTCGATATTGGTCTTTTGGTTCGCCAGCTTGGTCCTTATCAGAGCCACCATATCCCTCTCGCGGTCCTCCATTCGCTTGGCACTACTATTTGCCCTGTCTCTTCGCCCATACTCGGGATTCTCGCAATCGCTGGGGTAAGAGCCATATTTCTCGAGGATTGTATCCAACTGCTTGAGCGTGAAGTCGGTATCCTCGACTATTGGCGTAAGTTGGCGGGCGTAGACCGAGGACTCCTGTCCGTCGCTGTTCAGGAGACTGTCTGGGTCCTCTGCCTCGGCGCGCAAGTGCTTGAGGACCGAGTGCAGAGGACGCACACTTGTCGCGATGTCTGAGAATTCCGGACCAGAGATTTTTGCGCGACGGTAGAGGTTTCGCGCGGTCGCGGCGACGTCAGAAATGTACGAGATCGAAGTGCTGTCTACAATCATTTCGTCGTGGTGGCCGCTGCGCGGCACCGTTCTTGGCAGGCTGCTTGCTTGTATTGTAGGGTCAGCGACCCTTGTAGGCCGATGGTGGTGGTGGTGTTGTTGGTCGAACCAGGCGTGCTGTGGGCTCCTCTGTGTGTACTCGGTGTATGTTGATTGTGTTGTGTTTCGGCGAGGACGTTTAGCAGAGTGGAACAGAGCGCCCTGGGTTGTGGATAAGTGTGGATGGACGAACATGCTGACGGCTATCTAAGCCAGGCGCGAGGATCCGGATCAGGTTGGGTGGGCGGCTATGTAATGGACGGGCGTGATACTGTCATAGCTCGCCCAAGCAGGTGTGGATTGTCGCAGACCAGGCCAGGGCTGGAGAGACCAAGGCAGGGTGTGGGAGTGATGTACCTCAGCTAAGACGTATGTAGGGGTGGGAATCCGACGGCACGGCTCCAACGTGTCTTAGCCCCGGAGGATGTGATCAGAAGGGGACTAAGGTGGCGGAATTGCGGGAGTTGGGTGGCCGTCTGTGTGTGTGCTTGTGTGCGTGCCTGTGTCAAGCTGATAATCCAGGAACAAAAAGCTTGGAATTCAGTCACACAGCCGTCAAGATGAAATACGCGGCGTCGAGTGTGATTGAAGGTTCAGACGATGTTTGGTAAAGACTCAGAGCTCGGCTCGAGGATGAAAAGGGACAAAGAGGGGGGAGAAGACAACGGGGCGAGGATGGCTGTTTACCAGCATAGGTGTGGTGACGAGACCATGAGGAAGGCTAAATATTGGCGAGGCAGCGAGGTCGAAAACACACAAACAAATAGGCATGTGCTCGTACGTATGTATGCACATGTACGTATGTATGTACCGTGTGTGTGGGTAGAAGGGTGGATGAATGGAACGTATATTGAGTTGTGCTACGAGTCGCAAACAAACAACATGGCCCATGTCACTGTACCTGTAACCCAGGCGAGTTCAGCTGGCAGTTGGGATGGGCCGCATTCTCGGAGCGCATATCCACAGCAGACCAAGATAGAGATGGTGTGTAGCAGAATGATGATGGCCCTGGGGGGACACATCCGTCATGGAGGGCTGTTAATCTTGGAAGATTTTCTCCAGCTCGAAACAGATCGTCAGCCAGCACTCTCTCTGGTCTCCAGTCGTCCTCGGAGTGCTGGCTGGGGGGGTGGGGGGAGCTGGGGAGCTGGGGAACTGGGGTACAAGATCCAGCGATTCTCTCCTTGATGTCAGGATGTCAGGATGTGTGGAGTTGTGTGATGACTCTACGGCTGGATTAAGATTGGGAGCGGCATTGGTCAAGTAGCCTGCGTTGTCTTTGATTTGATGCGTCGATAGATGATGCAGCGTGGTGGTTGGTGGTGTTCGTCGGACAGGCTGGGCCGACGCGACTTGGACGCAGCAAGGGACCTTTTCGAAAATCTGCGTAGGCACAGGGAAGCTGCAACCCTCAGGATGACGTCGCATGATTTCATCACTCATGGTTGGCACAGACCATCTTCCCCGGATCCTCCCCAATCAGCCTGGGAGTCTGTGAGGAAGGGGGGAAGGGGGGGTCTCAGCACAGCGAGAGAAAAGCCACGCCCTCCAGCCCTGCCTGGCCCAGCGAACACGCGAAGAACAGCACGAAGGAAAAGAAGCTCCTTCTAGCTTCGAACCTTAGGGGCCCTGCGCCACCGGGCTGTAACAGGATGCTAGCAGGATGCTAACTGGCTTGTCAGGCCAGACTGCACCAGACTGCACCAGCTGCTCCAACCAGCACAGATTGCAACACCCTTCCACCGATGACTTGCAGACATCACTGGCCTCGACCCATCCAACCCGAATCGGCCTCTCCCCACCAACGGAGGTCACGAGCTGATGGACCAACGGAAAACCGAGGTCAGAAATCCTGGCCACAGCCACCATGACCATGCCCTGTGCCCTGTGCCTGTCTACAATCTGCTTCTGCAGACTGCCTCCAAGCAGCTCTGCGACCCTGCTGGGCTCTCTGCTTTGATTCCTGATAATAGTAATCATAATCATATGCCGACCACCACAACACTGACCAGGGCTGGCGGCTGGCCCCGTCCTGGACCCAAATGCCCCGGTCGCCCGCGTCGCAAGTTCATGAAATTCCCGTAATAAATGCATGGCAAGACGGGCAGAAGGGGCAGATCGCAAGGGCAGAAGGGCAACGCATGAACCACATCGGTATTTTTGACCCATATTCCCCATACATGGTGTACTGACCCCATCGATACGGAGGCAACTTCTGGGAAACAAACAGTGGGGATTTCGCCGAAGAGATGCCACTACGGCGGGATGCCCGGAGACAGAGTTCATCGGATCTTGTTGAGCCCAACGGCCTGCTGCAGCAGCCACTGCCGCTGCCGCCTGCGCCCGAGATTTCGGACTTACTTTTGCTTGCCATGACTCCCAACTCCCGTGTCCAGACACGATCTTGAGGTGGACTCTGCATGTCACGAAGAGGGCTGTGAACCAGGCCAGCCAGGTCTAGGTCAGTAAGCCAAGACGATCCACCTCCCGTATTGGAAGGGAAGAAGTGAGGAAAATCTGACCATCCCAACAATCCAGATCAATCCTCTCTCATATTTCCACGGGCAAAGACCGACTCAAAGGGGGAAAATCTCTGACTTGCCATCGCCACCTCGTGATGTTCAATTGCCGTCGAGTTTTTCTTTGTTTTTCCCGTCGTACAATGTATCATTGCAGACCACAGCCATCGAAACAAATGTGCCCATCATCCAATCGCAGAACTGAACTACCCTTGGCACCTCATCGCAGCCATAGCCCCCGCCTACTAAGCACGAACAGCTTGGCCGCGCCCCATTTACGTGCAGACAGCAAGCTGTCAACTGCGCTGGCGTGGAGAAGCCCACGAGCCTGCATGAAGGGCAACCAAACTCCTGCTCGCCTTGTCCTTGCAACACAAAAACAACCCCGAATCTTGCAGCACGCCAGCAAACGTGGCGTTGCTGCACGCCAACGCGCTCGACGACCAACCAGGGAAAAAGTGGATTGTTGCCTTGCTGGCCTAACAACCCTTTCCCGTGCTGCAGTGCATAAGCCTGGAAATCGTGCATACGGGCCCAAACAGCTGACAACCGACAAGCAGGGAAATGGAATGGTGGTAGCCGCAGCCGCAGCCGACTACTGTACCAAGCTGCAGATACTGTAGATGATAGAATTCCTCCCCCGTCCATACAGCTGTCCCTACAGGGCCCACCTGCAGAGGATTGATAACAAAGTGCACATATGGGGCTTGCTCGGCCATGCAAGACGTCGGTCGGGGGCTTTTGATGCTATCTGCGTACTTCCAGCCCATCATGGCAACCAGCTTGAGATGCGATGCAGCAACACTTGTAATCAGACTCGTGGAGAGCCTAGACTAGTCTGCTCTAACGCCCAAGTTTAGGCTTCCGGGCATAGCAAACCTCATCTCACCGAAGGAGTCATCTCGAGCGCACCGCCCAGTGATTTGTCAAGCTCGACGGCAGTCATCATTTTGTCTCGGGCTATACGGCCAAGTTCATAAACTAAGCCATTGCGTCTTTCAGACGTAAGCCATAGTTCTTCGGCACTTCTCAGTCGGCAAATTATGACGAGGATGGATATCGTCATGCCAGAAGCCCTGTCTCGGCTTTGGGCCTGACGCCACAAGCTCTGTTCAAGTGTGATCCAGGTATACCCGCAATACTAATTCAGAATTTCTTCAATGGTGGCAAGTAAACTACGCTTTGAGTGAATTTTAAGACCAACAGCTTTGATATTGCGTAAGCGCGAGAAGCTCATACATGGAAGCAAAGTTTAGCGTAAGTGAATCGAATGATGTTATCACAAGATGGCAATCGTCATCCTTATGGTCATTTTGACCTGTGTCTACTACCTAGCCAATTCATATTCACTGTTACATCAAGGCATTGATAACGCATGAGCATGTGGGCAGATTGTCGTGTTCACAACTAGTCAAAATGGATGAAATATACAATCACTGAAACCAGTGACGTTTGACCATATATCTTGAATTAATTGGGCTCCATATCCAATCCCTCCCCTCCCTCGGCGTCCAACCCATAATTGTAGATAGGTAGCACGCTCCCATATATAACGCGCGGCCACCCTCCATGCCACGTTTGATAATATACACAAAACCACCACCAACAACAATTGGCTAGTAGTTGAGCGGAATCGGGCCCGTCTCCCTCATCTCCGCCACCGAGTTCAACCTCCTAGGCGTGAAATTCCCCACCACGTGAGGAATGTACTCCGGGTAGGCCTCGCCAATCTGCCGCATCTGCGACCACGAGAACTCGCCGTTGACATCATACGCCGGCGTGCCCGCAAAGTCGGTCGTGTTGACCGAATGGTACAGGATAGGCCGCGCCGGGTAGTCCTCCGTGGCCTCGACCTGCGCGGCGACCGTGCCGTTCGGGGAGAACACGGCGGCGGTGCCGACCGCGGGCATGAAGGTCCACGTTTGCCCGGTGATGGCGTAGTATCGCGCCCCCGCCATGCTGTTCTCGGTGCTTTCGAGGGTGGTTGACACGCCGAGGTCGGGCGTCCACGGGAAGGCTGCGATGTGCAGGTTTTCGTTCTGGGCTTGGACGGCGAATGTCATTGGCGGGTGCATGTGCCTGTTTGCCAAGGTGCGTTAGCAACTAATTATTTATCTTTAAGCGTTCTGAGTTGTTTGGTTGAGATTAAAGGCTTACTCCCAGCATTCCAGCAGACCGAGTCGGCCAAATGGGGTCTGGAAGACTTTCAACTCATCCACTGTCCCATCGCTGAACATCGTACGCTCGCCGCCCGAAGGGCGCAGCTTCCTTCGAACCTGGATGACCTGACCCTCTGAGTCGATCAGGGCCTGAGCCATGTAGATGTAGTCGCCCTCCCGCAGCGAGAACCCCAGGGCTACCCAGACCTGGTTCTGTCGAGCAGCTCCGACCAAGCGATTCCATTGTGTGCTATTCACCCTCAGGGACTGATCGGCGTACCATCCCACCGAGATGTTGCCCTCGAGGACTCCTGTAGGATATCTGAATTGGGAACAAGTTTTCAGCCAAACATGCAAATGACACTCAGTACCATGAGCTCCTCACGTACCCTGGAAACCAGAGCTCCGGGAATGCGACCACGTCTGCGCCCTCTGTCGCAGCTTGCTCAATGTATTGAATTCCGAGCTCTACGCTTGCATTCAGATCATGCTTGAGGCCTTTCCAGTCCTGGCTCGGTGGAGGGTACGGGTAGTTGACAGGCGGCGCTCGGACAAGGGCGACTGTCAAGTTGTTGTAGTCAATGGCGGAGGAAAGGAACTCGGCAGCGGCAAAGCCGACAAGGCCAACGAACGGAACTAGATGCATCATGGACTGGTGGTACAGGGCTTGGTCTTGAATGGGCTGGCATCGGCACGAATGAAAGCTTGTATATCTAGCCTGAGTTCTTATACCCCAGCTCTCCATTGCCGGGCATATCTACCGTGAACGCCTGATCGTATCCATCAAAGTCCGAATTTTCCGGACAGATTCGGAAAGAATGAGGCTCAATCTTTGAATTCCATCATTTTCTCACGTAATGTGGTAATCTTGCCAAAAGTCAGAGTCCGCGCAGATGTGCCCAGGGTATGAAGTCCAGCGGTGAGGTTCGTTGAATGGGAGTGATAAGAGCTACGTCTTTGGTTCCACATTTTGACTACAAATTATCGATCGAATATCCGATTAGACCGATATGGCGATTGGATCTGCCCATCGGGATCTGGTGATCCAAAGAGTGGTCTTACCGGGATTTGAAGCCTAGATCACGATCAATGGGAATATGCGTGAATGCACGGCAAATTGAATAGACATAGTCGCTCAGGGTCTAGAACACTCTAATTCTTAATTGAACCACGCTACTCATGTCCTCGAGCGATAATTCTCGTCTTATCTAAAAAGGTTCATGTCCTGGCCAAAAACAAGTGCATGATTTCGAGGTAGGTAATGAATTGACGCTCTTCGTGCACATGACGCATTCCTCCTAGTGCACTCCACAGAGCATGAAGAGAAATTGAATAACATAGACGTATCTAAGAAAGGAACATGAACATACACACGCGAAGAATAAACGATCATGCTCTAAAAAAATTCTCTGGACTTGCTCACTGTCGATGCAACTAGTGATGCGAATCGCATTCACTGCTAATGATCAGCTTCAGGACTTTTGCTTCTGAGGAAGATAAGGCTGAATGTTTTATGGCTTTTGTGAAAATCACCTCATACGCCGAATGTCAATCACCGAGTGAATTGTTGCAATGCCGCACCCGGAACGGGGTCTGGTCAACCGGGGCCTTTGCAAAGCCCATCCTGGACTTTCTGTGGGGGGTGATAAGGGTTTTCTACGGGCAATCTTGGCTTTACACTCGCGCCCTGAATGTTAGAACTGCTACCTATTTGACGCACTATAAGGCTTTCAAGCGGAACTCTCACTAAAAGACACTTGGCAGTCATCAGTGGATCTATGGTCCTGACCACGGTCTGTTGGACGACTACAGCCGGATTTTGCGACCTCGTGAAATACAATGTTCATCATGACGGAGGAAAAAGACATGCCTGTTGTTGAGCCTCTCCGAGTCGTCTTGCCCAAATTCGCTGAGCAGCTACCTGGTTAGTGTCTTGAGAAACATGCTTCTGACTCACAATCTAATCGACCTCACTTTCTGAATCTTAAATTCTGACTACTTAGCCTGACTGTTTGGATATCATGCGAAGTCGGCGGCGACGTGCCCTTCATGGCGGGAACTAATCGTGCCGGCCCTTCCAAGGGCGCACGCACCAGACACCAGTGAACCGTGTGTAACCGCGAGCTTAAATTGTTCGAAAAGTAGAAGCCTGGGAGCTAGCAACGACGCCCCAAAATCTGCCGGGCATTGCCTGTCTATTTTGACAAATTTTTGGAGGAAATGCCGTCTCGTCGCCCTTTCGCCTTCCAGTCTGCCTCCGCGACGAGATGCGATGCGGCTCTGCCGGCCAAGCCCAAGCGCTGACTCGGCTCCGTGAAGCTGGGAGCTCCCGGCTAGCTAGCTTACGTGTGTTGGAATATGATCAGATGTCAGACAAGACAGACTAACACACAGACGGACAACAAACACACATACACATGCCACACCAACTCACATAAGTTCGCACTAAGATTGGTCCAGGTAAGACGGGCTTGACAATAGCTCAAGGCAGACACGCCAGGCGAATTTTCCAACTACTGCCCGCCGTTCCGGGTGGGATTCATCCAGACCACCCCATGTACTTAGTTAGAAATCAAGCTCAAGTACCTGATGATAACGGGCAGCGACCGGGAGGCAATCCAGTCGGTGCCCGTAGCTTGTTGATTTGTGACAGTATGGGGGCAGGCGATGCGGCTCTGCTGCTCCATATCTGGGCAAAATCCTCATGCAACTTGGAACCCCGAAGCTTGGCTCGAGGCTAAGCCAGCCAGCCAGCCAGCCAGCCAGCCAGCCAGCCCCAGCGCTTCCTCCGGGACGAAACGGCGGCAGCTTTCCCAAGCGAGAACGGACAGGGAACTCGGGCGGGGGCGAACGAAAGGGAAAAAGAGTGAAAGGCAAGGAGAAAGAACAAGGCCACCCTGCGCGAAGGAGGAAAACACGGGTCCGCTGCCTGTCTCAATTCATCCGCCTTGTCTACCGTATGCACAGCATGAGGCAAAACCGACAAACGCAAAAACACCCGACATGTCTACGCGCAAGTGACCACGTCCGAGACGAACCTCGAGCCTCCCCGCAACACGAGCGTCCCACATGCACCGAGCCCCCGGAGCATCCCCCAGCCAACCAAAGGGTTGTTGTGCGAGGAAGAACATGTCAGTTGCTCTCTCACCGGTTCGTCCACAAATTCCCTCCAAGCCTCTGCCGTAGAACGTCTGTGTTTGTGCTGTGGTACGCTGTCACGCCGCATAGTGGAGTTGCCATGTTCCTCGTCTGGGACTGGCGACGGCAGGCGACGTCTGTGCGACATCGGGTTTTCCCTGATTAGTGATGCCTCTGCGGACGTGTGGATGAGTCGCTCATGTCTCTTTCTGTGCTTGTGTAGCTCGGTCGCCTTGTCCGGGACCCGGCGAACAAGGCGCATTGTTCTTTCTGCACCTGTCTTGCTTGCTGGGCTGCACGTTGTCCTCCCGCCGGTGGCCTTCCCTGTGCACATGATGGATGGATAATGTCCCGCAAGTAGTACTGGTCGTAGTTGTCTATCAAGACAGTGGTGGGGGTATTGCTTGAATTATTCTGCTCAGATAGATAATAGCCCCATGGCTATTTGGCTCAGACAACTCTTTTTGTACACCGACACATACCCAAGCCGCCGTGGCACTGAAACGCCCACCCTGCCACCAGGTTCCTTTGCAGCCTGTCCTCGCATGCCGCAGCCTTATATGCTGATCCTCTCCAGCGAGTACTGCCCGACATTTTGACTGATAAGCTGTCCAATTTCCCTCTTCCTTCTCCTGGCGACCTCACCGCCAGAGATAACCTTCTCTGCCGAGATTCTCTCCTTGGCCTTCATGCCAAGCGGCAACATGGCACTTTCCTTGCCAGATGCCTTAATGCTCCCGTGGCTTTGTAGCACCACCGCCTTGCCATCAACACGCTTGTGCTTCTGGCCAACTTCAGCCTCGATCTTCTGCACCTGGGCCCCGTACCTGACCGCCTCGGAGAGGAGGCCCCGCAGGTACACGGCTTCCTGCACGCCTTCCAAGGCTGCGCTGACCTCCAGCTTCAGCGAGGCCAGGAAGTCCGCCGAGTCCATGTGGTCTCCCGCCCCCGCCGCCACGATCGCGTCGTTGATAAGCCAGCCGCCCGGCCCCACCGCGTCGATGCACCTGCAGAGCAGGTCTGCGAGGAGGCTGATGCTCCCGTCGGGTGGCGCCTCGAGTTCGTCATCTTCATCGAGGCGTGTAGTGTCCAAGTATCGTGTCGTCCAGCCGTCCTTGACGAGTTCCATGCGTAGCACGTAGATAAGCGATAGAATCTCCTCAGGCTTGTAGCTTCGCCGCAGGGTGCGGATAGTGGAATCGCGAGGACAGCTCCCCAGCTTGCCGAAGGCAACGCTGAGACCTCTTGCCCGGATAGTGGATTGGTCGCCCAGGTAGAACTCTGTAACCTCCAGCTCCTGCTCCAGACGGTCTAGCTCGTGGCCAAATGCGCTCTGATCTGCGTCGAGTGCGCTCTCGTCCGGATCGACATCATCTGACTGCTCCGATTCGAAAGTGAGCAGCTTTGGCGCTATTTTTGTGGGATCTTGCACGAGTTCTAAACTTCGCATAATTAGACGAACAGCCGTGAGAAGCTCGGCGGCCCCTAGTTTTGTTGAGGAGAGGTAGGACAAGAGGAGCTCGAAAGGTGGATCTGCTTGTACCAATACTTGAGGTACTTCTTCGCCGAGGATAAGGTCCACATCGTCAACATCCCTGAGCTCATCCTTGAAGGCTGATTTGATATTGGAGAGGGTGAGGTGACCTGCATCAACTAGACAATTCAGCACATTGCTGTGTGGCAGCTTGCAGATGAGCCTTGTCTGATCAGCGCCCGACTCTGGTGCGTCCTGCCAGTCGAATAGCCTCGTGATCGTATACAGTACCCATCGGCGATCAGCCGTTGGATATCCTGAACGTGTGGTGGGCCAAATCCATTCTGGCAGCTTAGGCTGATCTTGATCCGTTTTTCCGTTGGCCACATCGGCTGGCTTCGTCATGATTCCAAATCTGCTAGCCATCAATTCCTCGAATCCTCCCAGATCATTGGCTTCGAGGAGTGCGTCGGCTTTCTCCACATCCGCAGTGAATTCAGACCAATAGTTGCCGGTGATCGTGCCTGGCAGGTGCTCCGAGAAACTTGAGGATTCGGCGTCCGTCTTTTGCTTCTTCATGAAGTCCCTGTGCCGAGCGATGCCACGACCTATCGAGTCTATCAGAAGCCCCTCTGCTCTTCGCTTTTTGCCTCGTGTCCTGGGCGCTTCAAGCTGTACGGCCACAAGGGATGCGCCAGAGATCGCCACTGCAATCTCTAGTCTCGCAAAATATGCAACCAACGATAGAGACACAGCGCTTGAGCCTTTGTTTGTGTTGTCTAAATCGATGGCTGACGACGCTTGTAATGACTGGAAAATAGGGTTGTAAACATCCAAGGAGTCAGACTTGGCTGCAAGGACCGAAGACTTCGATAGCCGCACAAATGATCTCACGTCCGGGACTTGGAGTTTGCTGTCGACTTTGACAACGCTGGAGGTCAGATCGTACGTGACAAGGCCGTCCTCTTGGAGCTCCATGAGCGACCCAGAGCCAATGTCCAGACGGAGGCTCCCAGGCCCACTTGCGGCCGACAATGATGATGGGATGGGAGATGTGTGTATCTGGACCAGCCGTCCAGTGGCTTGTGTCTCGGAGGCGGAGACTATGCCAAGGATATGGAGATGGCGAGTCTCTGCTTCCTTGCCCGCAACCTTTGTGATGATCACCAACATGTCCACAGTGGATGTATCCTCCTGTGTTTTCTGTAGTAGAGCAGCAAATGCGTCCTTATTCCCTCCGAATACACCTCCAATGACATCGCTTGCGAGAGTGGCTTGAACGAGCTCGACTTGAAGGCGAGCTCCCTTGGGCACGGCAGGCAAGTCCTGTTTCAGAATCTCCGGAGACGTCTGCCATCGTTTCCGCAGATCGTCACCTTGAAGACAAATGACAGTGCCATCCTCCGCGACAGCCACCAGGTCGAATACCGCGTCTGCGCCGTCGGCACTCCCAGGGCTAGTTGCGGTAGCCGTGCTAAGGTGGACGAGCTTTGAGGCGTGGTCCACCTTCTCGGTCAATGTGGTCGAGGTCGTCTCGCCAGAAGCTCCAATGACATCTTTGAATAGAGTGATCTCGGATTTCGGGTTTTGGGTCGAGATATAGGTGTATCGTGTCACGTCCTTGCTCTTTGGAACCCTCGACCTCGTCGAGCATGGCGAGCAGGTGAAGACTGACTGGGGCGGAACGGGGTAGGAAGTGATCAGCCGTGATGATGGAATCTGTAAGAAGTCAGTCAACACTCATGCGGACGATCATAAGACATGCGAAAGGCACTGACATCGTAGAGGTTCAGAGCCTCGCCGTCGATGCCGACTGCCAGCTCGGATCGCTTCCTCTTCTTGGACCCCTGCTGCTGGCCCCAGACGTCGCCAATTTGGTATGCGTTCGCCCCTTCTCGGTGGTTCAAAGGTCGAGGAAGAGTGGTGAGCACATATGGCTTCTGGATGTTGAATGTTGCAGCCATGACGGGCAGGCGATATGGCCTCGGGCGGACTCGGTGACCGTTGAATCGTGGAGTTCAAGAGATGCTCACCAGGTACCATAGTAGAAAAAATTCGAGTGACGAGCAGGGGTGTTGCTCTTATCGAGCTTATCTGAACTTTTTCGGTGGGGCTGGTAGCACCCTCGCACCCTCGCACCCTTCAACTTTTAGTGGGACTCCTGTTCTCAGGCACTAAAGTGGCTCTTACTGCTGAATTGTGTACGTAGGAAAGCTTGGCCAATAAATCCTGCCATTCACACTTTGCTCTCCTTCTGAAGCTTTCTAGTGAGTAGCCTTATGCAGCGCCTTTTGCGTCTTGAGGTTTGATCAAGAAGTTCTCTTTGGAGTAAGGGTAGCTACAAATTAGTGCAATCACGCGCGGCGCCCTCGCTCCAGCACCCTCGCTACACTATGATGGTCAATAAGAGGATCGGCCTCATAGTCCAAGAACCGAAGCAGGTCAGGCGCCCGACCATTGTTCTCACCTCCTGGTGCTGATTCTTCCGCGTTCTCTTCTGCAAGCGCCTCTGGTTCATTTCCATGTGCAACGCTCCCTCTTGGACTCGGTCAGCAGTTTCCAGAGACCCAGTGTGGGAACTGCGAAAAAAAAAAATCAAAAAAATCCAGGTCGTTTTGGCGTGGAACATGGCCTTTTTGAAGTGGTCTTCTGTTTTGTTCCTCGTCTCAAATGCCTTTAAGAGTGTCGGATAGGCAATCTGGGACGCGATGGGACCTAGAGCTTGATAGTGTCATCACCTTCAGCTGGAAGCTGTTCCGGAAGGTCTCCTGAGATGCTGGGCTGGGCATGACAATACTGCCTCTAGCCAAGTACTCCGTACCAAGCCGTCCTCTAGCCAAGCATTATATGTGACTCTGGCCCAAAAGATCATTTCCAAGTCGGTAGAGTCAGCCAGGAGCGCGGATGTCAGTCGTCCTACTTTGTACGAATTGGACGTGATATGAACAACAGCCGCCCACCAAGTCTCAAAACCAAGTTGAAAGGTCATCATGAGTGACAGCTTACACAGGTTGCGAGTAGAGAAGTCGGGCACGTCTCCCTGACGCTATGACTACCATGTGCGGCATTTAGCAGAAATAATATGATGCGCGAGGAAAAGATAAGCTATCCGCTTTTGAGCATTGAACTCCGTTTAATACCAGGCTCACGCAAGAAAGCAGCCAGACACGCCACCGTCTGTTTCCGAAGTTTGCCCGATTGCTACAGTCTTGAGAGTTTCGGAAAGTATCGAGACAAAAATCAGCCCCAAAAAGCTTCCATGCTCTAGCTGATACAGGTATGACTCGTGGCACGTCTACGACTACCTTAGATCTGGGCATTCTTTAGCACCACTAATAAGCCTGTATGCACGATTTTCAGAAGAATACTGAAAGTCACCTAAGAGGCAGACCGTAAAGGGTTTGCAAACTCTAGCGTGGCTTCTTTTACACCAAAGTTTCCGAGTCCACATTACGCCGCGCCATTCAGACATCAAAGACTATATTCCAAAAACTGTGGATAGTCCTTGACAGTCAAAGTCCAAACGCCACGGGATGGCCACAGCTGGTGAGACGGGTCCTATCTTGGACACGGTCCCGTTTTCCGTGCTGATGACCATGAGTGGGTTCATCGCTGTCGCCTGCTACAACAGCATAGAACAATTCTTCCTCATCTTTCGGACTTTTCGACGGCGCAGCGGTCTCTACTTTTGGTCTATGATTGCCGTAAGCTTTGGCATACCCTTCCATGTGCTACCAAACATTCTTCGCTTCTTCGGCACTGTGCCAAACGGCAATCTGGCGATGAGCGCTCTGCTATCCGTCGGATGGTGGCTAATGGTGACCGGTCAGTCGGTGGTGCTTTACTCGCGCCTCAACTTGGTCGTCGCCAGCCGCCGCAAGCTGCAATTTGTGCTGGGCTTGATCGTTATTGTCTTTGTCTTTGTGCAACTTCCCACCACCGCTTTCTTCCTAGCCTGCAACTGGCCAGACGAAGCTATAGCCCTCAGGTTTAGCAATACCTATGGTACGTGATTTCCTGAGTGATATCCACGGACGACGATATGGAAGAACGTTTTGATTGTTTCTAATGCAGGGAAAATGCAGGAAAGTTTGAGAAGACCCAGCTCGTCGTGCTCACGGCCTTGGAGACTTTCATCTCGAGTTCGTACGTTTATGAAGCATCTGACGGCCTGAGGCTTTTGGCTGCCTTGAAGAAAGACCACGTCAAAGCGGTGTTTCGCGAGCTGGTTGCTCTTCTCGTCCTCGTAGTCTCGTTGGACATGACCCTTATAGTCCTCCAATTCACCAACAACTACTTGATTCAAGCGACCTGGAAACCCGTCGTATACAGCGTAAAGCTCAAGGTAGAGACACTGGTGCTGAACAACTTGGTCAATCTTGTCCAGTCACGCTCCTGTTTGTGCCAGGACTTTTTTGAAGAACACTTTACGACTCGAAATACGACTCGAAATCGCAACTGGCCTAGGGTGCAAGAGAGACCTATAACATATCAGAACGTTTCCGAGAAGAGTTTAGCGAGAAAAGGGCCCTATAACGCAACAATATGAGGACCGGAGGAGGAATCACCTAGAAGCTTTACTATTTTCGAGGGGTTTGTCTGCAATATAGTCTGCAGGGGAAGAAGGACACTCCTGTAACGGGCTGAAACATCAGTTCCCAATCACATTGTCACGCCAAAAGTCCACAAGTGAACAAGATATTTAGTTTCACACTCAGCTAGATCATGCATCGTATCGTCCCGGCTCCCTTTATTCGAAAGGCGATCCCGCAGCGATAAAAAATTGGTATGCGAAAGACTACTTTGGTACTAGGTAAGTATATAGACAAGGTTGTCAGGTACTGAAATTTGCGACAGTTTGAACGGTATATAGCTGATTTGAGAACTTGATCTCTTTTCCTCGTAGCGCCAATATTTGTACGAAGCATTTGCCTGGCGCCAACTCTTTTTTACGGACTATATTTAATGAGAAGAGAGGAGACCGAGAGATTGAGTTGTATCGCCGGGAGGAGCCATGCTTCGCAAGCTTGAGAACAGGATGCGAGACGTCTTTAAATTTGAGAACAACAAGAAAAGTGAAAGTAAAATATTCCGTCTAGAACTGGGTAAAACATTCGCGGCCGTGCTGTACCGGGCTGCTCTGGGCAGGCACACCTGGGAACACCTCTGCATGTGACGGAAACAATAAGCACATCGCCTTTGACTGGGGCGTATTGGTCACCTTGCTTCTACAAACACTAGATCTCAACATTAATACAGACCTTGATCTCTTGCACTATATATCGTGCCCGTAATCCTCTAAAAGAAGTTCTGCTCGTTGTGGCGAAGGCACTAGGCGAAGACCTCGCAGTTGTCAAAACACTACGTCAACAAGCTGTGCATCTTCAGGGTGCATAGTAATGGAGATAGAACGCTGATCACGTGATGTCAGTACATTTCAAACGTTGTTCAGCGGCCTTTGAAATGTCGACAGTAAACCCATCTTGAAAAGCGTACGCTGGGTGCCTCCATAGATTTAGCACCCAATTCTGCCACGTACAGAAACACCACAATGCTCAACGCGAGGCAGAACAAATAATTTGGTTCCAGCCCATACGGCCCCTGGTCAGTGAACGGGAACCAGCTTGCATCGTACCATTTATTCGCGATAGAGCCGAACAAGGATACAGCTCCCTCATCCATGGATTTTTTGACGCCCGTCAGGTAGAACAGACGCTCAGAGAAGAACCCAATCATGGGTCCATGGGTTAGATAGAGGGGGAAAGAGATCCTCCCAAGGTCTGCAAAATCTGTCAGCAAAGTGAATCGGGGAAAAGAAGCTGTCGGGGGCAGCGACCAACATTGAGAGAAGCCACCCGCAAGAGCGCGTTTCAGCCAGTGTATTTCCTTGACAGCTAGAAGAAACATCCACGCAGCCCAGAACAACCAGAACCATAGCCAGCTGGGATCGTTGCCGCCGTGAGGGTAAGCCTCTGGAATCAACCACTCAAGGGTCATCCAGCCGCGGCATTTTCCCAGCACCTCGTCCCGTGATGAGTCCACAGGGGACCCAGAAGGCGAGGCCCCGAGGTATAATGCACCAACGAGGACGGCATGGAGAATTAACGCTCGCACAAGGGCATACCTCCCTAACCCCTGCACCAGCCTATCCCAGGGAAGACGCATCTGCACGGCACCTGAAGCAATCAGGTCAAGCTCCGCCGTGACCATCCCTGCAAAAAATGTAGCCATCTGGGCAGCTGGGACCGCGACGATCAGGTACCAAATCATGGCCAGTGTCAGAAAGAGGCGCCTCTTGTGTTGCATCCACGAGAAGGCAAAAAGCCACACAAACAGCGACATGGAGCCGCGCATCTCTACAACAAGGGACCATGTGTGTTGGTTGACGGCGTGATAGCCGCCATCGAAAAAGTAGAGGTATCGCCCTGTCTCCCTCACCCATGCCGCCAGCTGAAGCAACATGCTGTCCTCGCGCTTCATGGCAGACGTCGGGATGCCGGTGAGATACGACACGATCATGACGGCTAGCGTACTCCAGACGACGGGAAGAAAAAGCCTGAAGGGACGGCGGACGATGGACGAGTGGAGCGCTTCGACAAAGTCGGCCTGGCGACCCGCGTGCAGGAGGGAGAGCAGGCGCTTTGGGAGCACGTAGCCAGAGATGGTAAAGAAGAGAGCGACGGAGAAATGCCCGCCCGTCCAGAGCGTCCTGATGATAGGCCAGGCGGCGGGCGTGGTGTTGGGGGCGCCGGAGGGCAAAGTGGCGCCGTAGCAGTAATTGATGCCGTCGTGCGTCCAGACAGTCAGGTGGAAGACGCAGACGAGCAGAGCCGCCCAACCTCGCAGGCCGTCAAGCCAGGCAGTCTTGGGTTGCTCATGGAGGAGTCGGCCGCTTTGCTTTTTGCCGCGGGACAGAATCTCGGGGGTGAAGAAATCCAGAACACATAGTGCGATATGTCGAGCTGTGAGGCCCTTGAGCTGTTCGTTCCAGCTGTGCTGGACCCTATGGGGCTGTGGTGGGGGCGATGGTTGACGAAAGCTGGGCAGCTCTTGGTAGTTTGTTGGTTGCATCGCAGTCTCAAGCTTTACGACGGACGGCGCTGATGCATGGTGAATTGGTCTGGCAACTTGAGGACAAAGAGAAAAGCCGGGACCGTTCTCAAGGCGCTGAATTTGACACGTCGTCCTGGGTCAACGGTACCTTACTCGTGGGTGCCCTTGGCGAGACACGGGCCTACTACAAGGCCTTTAAAGAGTCGCGCTTCATAGTGCTTGTTTTCCGTGTAACGGGTGCCCTCAGAAGTGACTGGTAAGCCAGCGCTCTGAGGAAGAGAATATATTGTGAGGATGGCTGGTTGCATTCGGCGGACAAAGTGGTTGAGTTAGGCAGGGTTCAGTCAGGGCTTGGATTGGAGGGGTTATTATAGACGTGGTCAAAACCGAAGACACGAGGTTGTCAAAGTACGATGAGGCAAGTTCTTAGAGGTATTATGTTATTTGAAGTTCGAAGTCATGGATTGATTTAAAAACAATGTCTTTAACAGCTCACAAGACCGATTGCTAAAATTCAGTGTACATTTAACTGATACTAGACAAGGCCTATAGAAATTCTGGCCTGGCTTGCTTGATCGCAGGTTTGATTCTATACTGGCGAATTTTGGACACCTTGAAAGTTTTGTGCTCATCGGCTATTTTTTTCCCAAAAAATAAATTGACAATGAAAAGCTCGATGACGAGGATGACGCGCCATAGCGGCAAATACGCAGTGTGAATATACTGTTATATCTCAAGGCAGGCTTGCTCGGTGCTCGAAAACGCCAAAAGACAGATTAAGGTAGCGAGCTGCAGCTCTTGGCTCATAGTCTTGCTCTTATGCCGGCTTCAATCCAAGTGCTATGAGCAATACTCTTGGCCTCCTTGGAAAGCACCTCATTGATGACACTCTGCAGCTGCATCACAGCCTGATCACAGATCTGATGATGGAACATAATCCTCCTGCCATCCAGACGGATCCCATGTCTTTTTCCCGCTGCGTTCCAGTCCTTCTCATGGATCCCCAGGGCTTTGAGGTCTACCCAGATCATATTTGTCTCGACCCTCCGGAGCAGACGCCCACCTCTCTCTGTCCAGAGCTGCCCAACCAGCCTAGCAATGTCGTGGCTCCTCGCGAGCGTGCCCACAGTGTCAATACCTCCCGATCCAAAGTTCTCAATCATGGCCTGGCGCGCGGCGGCGGCCAAAACACCAGCCTGCCGCATACCGCCGCCCAAACCCTTCCGTGTTCGCTTCAGCCTTCGAATTGCATCCACCGATCCGAGAACCATTGCACCCATCGGTGCGCCGAGGTTCTTGCTGAAGTCAAGCGTGATGAGATCAGCACACTGCGCAAAGTCGTGCAGCGAGGTCCCGCTGGCAGCGACGGCGTCGAACATCCTCGCACCATCAATGTGGACCGAAACCTCATTCCTCCGTGCCCCTATTGCGTCTTCAGTCAGTAGCTGGTTCTGCGCAGTACAAAATAAGGCTAAGTCCAGGGCGTTGGAGGACGATAGTTACTGAAGATTATACATTGATCGAGTGGGGCTTTAATAATTTTGGAAACACTCACAGTCTTTGAGACGCTGTAGCTCCTCGAGTGGAATTACTGTGCCTGAATTCGTATTCTCGATGCTTACTACACGTGTTGGCGTCTTGTGTACGTCGTAGGCCAGCACGGCGTGCTTCTCCGCGTCCCTCACCGTTAAGTATCTGCCATTGAGCGGGCGTATGGCCTGGATCATGGCACCATTGATGAACGCGGCGCCACCCGCCTCCCAGTGAACAATATCTACATGATCCACAAGTCAGAGATCAAGCAAGTCCGTGAACTAGAAACTGGTCTTGTGGATTCGACATGTTGCCTTGAGCGAGCCAGCAGATGATGGCAGCAGAAACTCACGAGACTGAGCGTCTGTCAAGATGCCATATGGCGGTGCCTCGTTGAGGAGGGTGCGCAATGCGAGCTGATTGGCCATGGTGCCGGTGATCACAAAGGCGGCCGCCTCCTTTCCGCAAATGGCAGCCATCTCGGACTCAAAGTCCGAGGTGGTCTGGTCTTCGCCATAAACATCGTCGTTCAAAGTGGTTCGTCTGATAGCATTGAGCATGCCGATTGAGGGCGTAGTTACGACGTCACCTGGGATATGGTCAGATGCAGTTTCTCTTTATCCCATACTGCCTCTATTTGTCGAAGTCGACATCAAAAGGGTAGTAATCATAATGCTTAGCTTCTATACTTACTCCTGAAATCAAAGGCGGCACCTGTTAGGGTAGGTTGACCCCATACCCCGGCCGCTGCTTCAGTCTCCGTCGCCATGTTTGATTTCAAACGAGAAGGCATCGTTCGGGAAAGGATGCACAGTACTGCGAAGGAATCTGAAGTAGGAGATCGAAATTAACAACTCGACCGGTTGGGATCATGGGCTAGAGGCATTGTCAGGATATTTATCAGATCTGGTTGGCTGATGATATCCAGGCCATGCCCAAGGGGCGCCGCCCAATCAAATTAGCTGGGGCTGCTGAAGCGAATTGTACTTCGAGACCATTTCCGCATTTCCAGTACTTCTGGCCAACCACGCCACGGTATAAAACATGTTGTACTTCCTTGACAGGTTGCAGAGTAAAGACTTGGCGCAGGGTGAGCGCTTCCTGCCGATTCGGACTTTTCAGGTAGCTGAATATGCTCATGCACAAGCGCTGTGAAATATTTTGCCACGGAATCCCTCGTGCCGCGAAAGGTCTGTAGCGGTCATGCGAACATGTTTGTCGAACACTGTGCCAAGCTTATTTTCCACGGACTGTTCCCTTGCCAACCGCCCGACATCTCTGGGGTTCTTACGCGATGGATGAAGGGATGGTTAGGTGACGGGATGGTTAGATCTGACACGCAATACAGGTATTTTCAAGGGGTTCAGAGACGGACAGTTGATTTGCCAGCAAAGCAAGACATCCAGAAGGCTGTTAACGCAAGACTGTTTTACTGATTCAACTTTCCCTAGAATGTGTTGTTGTATGCTACGAATGGTAGGGTTTCACCGCACAAACACAAAGGGCCAGGTTATGATGAACTCGAGTTTAGGTCTTATCACGTCTCTAGTTTTCCTTTCCTCACATCTCGCAGCCAATGAGTGCTCATGAGTATTGATTTACGTTGGAGCTGAAGTTCCACAACAGTGAATCGACGATTTAGCAGACTTCTAGAAGCGCGCCTAACACTCAGTCAGCACCATGAAGGATTCAGGTAGTCCGGGCACTAAAGCCTGCTCCGGCACTACCGAGGCCAGTTGAGCTAACTACCTGATTCAACATGTATGTTTGCTGCCTGATACTAGTAAGTGTGTTGTCAGTTCCCGGATGAGCATCTTGTGCTGCTAGTAAGCAATCCGATTGGATGTCAATGGCAGGGCCGCATTCCTCCCTGTCTGATGGCTGCAGTGTTCGGCAAACGCCCTGCAGCTTCTTCTCTTCTATGCGGACTACCTGCCATATTGGGAATCTGACATACTTCTGCTTCTTGGAGTCCCAGTGGCGTTCGGTCCCGGGGAAATTTGTCCGAGGTCGTGACTATCTGCGTGTGTAATCATTGAAAGCCTTCATGTATTTGTGTCAAGACTATGTCAAGTCCACGGGTATTTCTGGGAGTAACATTGCCACGCTGGCGTGGATGGTTGGGAAAGACTAAGGAGATGCTGAAATAGGCTAGGAGTCTTGGGCCATTGGCGAGTTGATGTGGACAAACGAAGCCAGTCAGATCGATAGCTCCGGACACCAAAATATTACGGTGGTTCTCGTCACCTACTCAATACTTTTCCAATATGCATGAGGGCCAATCGAAAGATTCCGAGTGCATAAGAGGCGGTTGCATTGCTAAGAAGGAGCGACACTGCAGAACGGCGGTTCGGTCGAGAACATCTGCACACCTGGGCGACTCGATCAAGGTTGGAAATGCCAAGGGGGCAAGGCAATGACGAATGATGTAGTTGCGTACCTCCGTGTTTACGGTGCACAACCATATATGTGCCTCGGTGATTACAATACTCGTAAGGTTCGCAAAGAATGTGATAGCATTGCTTGCTGTACACAGGAGTAGCATCAGGGATGATTCTTGCTTCCCACCGTCCTCCCGCAAGAACATCATGGTTGCTAAACTGGACTCCTCTGACAACAGCACTATTGTCATCAGTGCACCCTCAGCTCTTGATGATGGTGCCATTCTTGCTTCGTATGGTCTCGAGAGAGATCTCAGTGGGGTTATTGGTTGGGCTCGAGGCAGCGCACACCACCCTCGACACTGGCCTACTAGTCGGAAGGTCTACGATACGGCTTTGATCATTTTGCTGGAGCTTTACACGTGAGTCTTTCATATGCTAGCCGTCCTGATCCTTGGACTAATTACGAACGAGCAATTTTAGAACAGTCATCAGTACCACAGGAGTGAGTCCACCGTCGTCGGTTTCTTGAGCACCAGGTGGTCCCCTAAGCGAGAACTGCATTAAGTGGTCCTTTGAATCAGTACCGTAGCAGGTTATTGACTAGATTAGGCAGCGGCTGCTGATGCTGCTGGGCCAGAGTGTGGCATGGGCAAGATCACGGCACTGGTTGCCTTCACCTTCATGTGAGTGCTCAGCGACTTTTGCCGTCTTTCAACATCATGGCGCCGCTTTACTCCCTAGCATAACTATATACATATATATAATCAAGCAAGGGCACATCTAATTACCTCTTCACAGGTACCAGCTTGGCCAAGCAATCGGAGGCTATTTCATACCTCCACTCTCAGAGCTTGCGGGCCGGAGATACCCATATCTCGTGTCCTCGGCCGCCTTCAGCATTTTCTGTGCAGTAATACCTGCTGGGAGCTCATCGACACCAGCGACCATCTTTGTCGGGAGATTCATCACAGGCTTCGCATCCGCCGTACCCTCAGTCGTCATCGCAGGTAGCGTTGAGGACCTCTTCGACACGCGGGCTCGGGTGTGGGTTGTTGTCCTCTGGAATGCCGCAACTACGATCGCCCTCTGTATTGGGCCAATCTACGCATCTTACATCATTGCGTCACCTCAGGGCTGGAAGTGGGTCTATTACAGCGCGTCCATCACCACAGGTGTGCTCACATTGGCCCTCGTCGGAGTGAGGGAAAGCCGGCCGAGTGTCTTGCTGAGGCGCAGGGTGGCAAAGCTAGCACAGGAACAGGGTGACAACATTGATGACTTACGATGGAAAAATGCCGACCCGAGGCAGGGAGGCTGGAAGACGTTCGCGCACATAGTGGTCATCAGGCCGGCGTGCATACTGCTCACCGAGCCACTTGTGGCTCTCATTGCCTTCATCTCGGGTATCTCATGGGGTGTCATCTACCTGTTCACGGAGTCCACACGCGGGATTTACCAGTCCATGGGCTTCGACAAGACGACGGCCTCGTTGCCGTTCGTAGCCCTTGCTTGTGGGGTCTGCTTGACGTTCCTTCCACGTCTTTGGGATATGAAAGTCGTCTCTCGTCGTCAAAAGGCCAAAGAGCCGGTCGAGCCGTAAGTCGATACCGATCACACCATTACACTACTGCAGTTCACGAGCAAATATATCTAATTGACCACAGTGAGGATAAAATCATGGGCTTCGCCTTCGCAGCACCGGCCCTGACCATCGGTCTCTTCTGGTTCGCATGGACCGTCCCGCCAGCAGCACCAAGTCTGCCCTGGATCATCCCCACACTCGCCTTGGTGCCCATCGGCTTCGCCGTCAACGAGATCGCATACACACTTAGTGGCTTCTTGGCGGACTCATACCTACTTTACAGCGCTTCCGCGTTTTCTGGCCTTGCCTTCGTCAGAGCCATTCTCTCTGGTGTCATGACGCTCGTGGCGCAGCCCATGTATGGCAACATGAGCGCGAACACTGCGGGTTCCATTTTGGCGAGCATCTCGGTCTTATTTTGCATAGCGCCGTGGGTCTTTTTGCGCTACAGCAAAAGGCTGAGACAGGCGAGTCCTTTTGCGCGGTATAGCGTGGAGATGGATCAAATAACACAGGCCCCTGGGGAGGCAATGTGTGCATTGTAATGTCGAAAACGGCTCAACATTCGTACGGCCACAGCTGCTTCGCCGTCGTTGCATGAAGTTCTAAATGCTGGTCGTCTAGACCACGGTGTTACAGTGAGTTGCATGACAGGCTGCGCCGAGTATATTGGGTATGATAAACCACACTTGAAGCTGTAGACAGTGAGGGATACTAATACAAGTACACTCCAGAGTTGTCTGGCTGGTGGATGCGATATAGACTGCAGTTTCTCGTGATCGAGTGCCAGGCTTCCATTTTCATGAGGGCATTTCATTGTCGTTGATAGTGACAGCTGCTGGCAGGATTAGAGATCAACCTGCATCCTTCTGTGGGCAATAGTCAGTCCCAACATGACATTGTGATGTTTCTGGATGTTTCTGCCACTGACATCCGTACTTGAACTAAAACAGCCATTGAGTTGTCTTCCACAAAGCTCACAATTGTCTGTCTCTGGACATTGTTCAGGCAGGAGACAAGCAACAACGCAAAGCACATTCAGGCATCAGACATCAGGCAGGGGTTGGGGTTGGGGTCAGAGTCCCAAGTAGAGCTTACCCTGGCAGCTGGCAGGGTGTGGGGCAGCTCATTCTTACTGTGATTGGGCTGGAAGTGGACAGGGCGTCATACGTGCAGTAAGTGAGCAGGGAAGTCGCGCGCTGTGCCTGTGAGTGAGTGAGACGCGCTTTCTGAACGCGCCTCTACCAAATCCGACGTCTTTCTCACCTCAACCCACCATCTTTCTGTCAAGCAACCTGATGTGCATCGGCCTTTCCAAAGATCCCTATAGATTGCCTCACATATCTGCACGCAATCAGGCTTTTTTCCACTTCATATGATCTTTTGACTGCCATGCTCTCGTTTTCTCGGTCACCTTAGGCGCTTGCGATGCTGCAGCACGGCTCAGTGCGCACTAGTATTCTCCTATCCCACGTGCCTCGCCGCTGCCGACGACCCAAGGTGACCATCTCAACTCAGCCGATTAGATGGGCTCCGTCATAGTCGAAGCCATGGCGAGCAGCACACTTGCCGCAGAGGCCAAGAAGCTCCACCCCTTCTTCACAGCGCCAAGGGCTCTCCAGCAAGATGCACCTGCCACCGATCCAGACCCCGCCTCTGCCCACGCCAACCCTGTCAATCCCCTTGACGCGGCCGATGCTCTCGAGAAGGACAGTGACATGGAATCACCAGAGAGCAGTGCCCATCAACGTAAACGTCGAAAGCCGGCAGAGGATGTTGACGAGGACCTGGGAGACAACAAGAAGCCCAGACGGGCCAGGAAGAAGGCCAATCCTCAGGCAGTCTCGATAATGAACCACTTTCCTCGAATTGACGACGACGGCCACGCGACGACGGCCGACCAAGCCGCTACACTCCAGAGTGACACCACTTTACAAGCGAATGCGATAAACCCCCTTCACGAACTCCATGCAAATGGGGACCACGACGCAGTCACAACACCGGCGAGGCCCGATCAAGAATCCAAGGGAGACGAGCTCAACAATACACCAAAGAAAGTACTGCGATTCAATCCTTCGACGGGAACCCTTGGGTCTCCGCCAAAGCCGAAGGACCCAAAAGCTACCCTGGAGCAAAAACAACCGGAAGTGGCAGTTGAAGAGAAGAAGGGCTTAAAGCCGAGGGGGAGAAAACGCCTGATCAGGATTGTTAAGATCAGTTACGGTGCGGACGAAGAGTCAAGGCATCGTGTTGGAACCAAGATTGACGGAATCCTGAGCAGTTCAGTGTCTGCTACCGCTAAGCTGAAGAAGCGAATACCCCAAAGGGAAGCGAAGTGCCTACAAGAGGCTAGCACGGAGGCGAAAGGCGAGATTCCGCAGAAAGACACGCACCCATTCTTCACAGGAAAGCCCCAGAAGATGGCAACAAGTTCTGGATCAACAACTGCTACAGGCGTGAAGGCGCAAGAGAAACCTCCGCCCTCACCAAAGCGTCCGAGGATCTTCAGTTCTACGCCCTGCTCCCCAAAGAAGCAGCGGCCTGCAGGTCCTAGCAAACCATTGCCCCAGTTCGGCGTCAGGTCATTGGGCTTGAAGACTCCAGGCGCGCGCTCTCCAGCCTGGCCTTGGAAGGACATGGTTCACGTTAGAGGAGACGATGAAGCCCTCGGCCGTCGAGATCAGGTCACATCATCAAGAACATTTCCTGCTCGGAAGTCCAAGGGCAATACTACTCATGTCCCTCCCCAGGAAATGATACTGGAAAGTTTTGCGGCAACGCTCCGCATACCTCAGGCCCTTGACGCTGTCAAGAATATTGATACAGAAGGCTTCCTCCCGCCGCCACGTGAACTTAGACTTCCACATAAGCATTTCGAAAGCGGACCGCGGCTTGAGAAACGTATTCAACCCGAGCTTAAAAACATCAAGCATGCTGCCCTAGCAGGTCTGCGCACATCACTGGCTACATCTCTCTCAGCTTTTGACAAGTATCAGTGTGAGTCTATGGGTTGGGCGCAGAAGTACGCACCAAAAGCTGCCGTCGAAGTATTGCAACACGGAAAGGAAGTCTTCCTCTTGCGGGATTGGTTACAAGCTCTCAAAGTACAAGCGATAGACACTGGAGATGTGAAGTCAAAGCCGGCAAAGAGCGGACCTCCGAAGAAGAAGCGCAAGAAGAACAAGACCGACGACTTCATTGTCGACAGTGACGAGGAAGCGAATGAAATGGATGAAGTCTCCGACCCGGAGGAAGAGGATTGGTCTCCTGACAGACGGGGAGGCAAGAGGACGGTCATTCGAGCTGGCGACACCCAAGCCAAAGACTCCAAGGGCACATCACGCTTGACAAATACGGTCGTTCTCAGCGGCCCGCACGGTTGTGGCAAGACGGCTGCTGTGTACGCAATTGCAAAGGAGCTGGATTTTGAGGTGTTCGAGATCAACCCAGGAAGCCGTAGAAATGGCAAGGACGTTCTCGACAAGATTGGAGATATGACGCGTAACCATTTGGTCCAGCATCAACAGACGGCGGGGCCCACCACTGAATCCACAATCAATGAGGAAGACGTTGCGGAAGATATCAAGTCGGGGAAACAAGCCACGATGGCTTCGTTCTTCAAACCGAAGCAGGCACCGAAACCTGCTCCAAAGATTAAGAAGCCAGCTCCAAGGGAAGAGGTCGAGAAGCTGGAAGCGAAGAAATCACCCAAGAATCAGAAGCAGTCGCTGATACTTCTAGACGAAATTGATGTCTTGTATGAGGAGGACAAAAACTTTTGGAGCGCTGTTTTCGGACTCATTGCACAGTCGAAGCGGCCTTTCATTTTGACCTGCAATGATGAGAAGCTTGTTCCCTTCCAAGCTCTGAGTCTTCATGGGATATTCCGCTTCAGCGCCCCGCCAACGGATCTGGCCATCGATCGCTTGCTCATGATAGCCGCCTGCGAAGGTCATGCTTTGCGACGGAGTGCAATTTCCGCCTTGTTCGAGTCCCGCCAACAGGATCTGCGTGCATCCTTGACGGAACTGAACTATTGGTGTCAGATTGCTGTGGGTGACCGACGCAGCGGAGTCGATTGGTACTATCCACGCTACCCAAAGGGGTGTGATATCGATGAGGAAGGGAACGTGATTCGGGTTGTCAGCCAGGATACGTACCTTGAGGGTATGGGATGGCTCGCACATGACATCCTCTCCGAGATGGCTGACGCAGCAACGGCTGAGGACGAGCTGCTGCACGAAGCGTGGGACAATTGGCAGATGGACATTGGCGACTGGCAAGACACGTTAAATATGCCTTCTTGGGCTTCCCAGCTAGCAACGTCAAGTCGTCAAGAACGATTGGCCGTTCTGGAAACATACGATGATTTCGTCGACGCAATGGGCGTGGCGGATCTGTGTTCTACCATGGTCCTCGCAGAATCGTACGATGAGGCAGTCGACTGTACGCTGCCTGAAGTCACAGCGAAGGCTCGCGAGGACTACATACTTGGCCGTCAGCTCCTCGACGCGCCAGTCATGTCCACTTACGACCCTATTGGAACCGCGCTGCCTATAGCTCTGAAGAGTATAGCCCGCAGAAATCTAAGTTCGAGCTACCCATCATCAGAACTCGAAGCAGTTGACGAGGCCGGACTTACCTCCAAAATACGCCAGCATACGTGCCAGGCCTCTGATACAGCAGCCCTCACACGCGACGACCTCAGCCTTGCCTTCGACCCTCTGGCCGCATCCGAAAAGAGCAATACAGCGTCAACCTCCCTCGAAGCCTCCATCTTTGACAACGCGTTGTCACCCATTGTCGAGGATGTGGCACCGTACGTCCGGAGCATCGTGGCGTTCGACAACGAGCTCCAGAAACAGCGCCTCAAGATGAGCAACCTGCTAAGCAAGGGCGGAACCAAGAGGATGCGCAACACGCGGGCGTCGCACGCGGCCCTTGAAGGCGGCTCCAGGACCCACACGCGTCCTGAGCGATGGTTCAAGGCGGACTTGAATGGGGTTTTCGTGATGAGGACTGCCGGCGAGGGATGGGCTGAGGCCCTAAAGGAGCTCACGGCCGAGGGATCCGAGGCAGGGGATTCGACGTCGAGCCGTGCCCAGGGGAGGGGGCGGAATGTCGTACCTGATGATGATGACTCGAGCGACGAGCTTGGGAAAAGTCCTTGCCGCGGTTTCGATGGCTGTGCCCTAGACTGAGAAATGTGATGGTCGGTACATCGACAGCACATTTCAATTTTGAGCGGCCAAGAAAACAATGGGAATGGCACGCGAAGGCAAGCGGCATGAATCAATACGGATCATGTCGCGGCTGTCATGGACCTGGACCTCGATAAGGGTGCATGGTAGGGATAAGATGACTCTCTCTGAAAGGCTCGGTCCGGCCATGGAGGCATGCGAATGGCGTTCTGGCAGATGACGATTTGCTGGGCTGTTCCATCGGGGCGCTTTTTGCATTGCTATTTGGGGTTAGTGGCATATCATCGCATCACAGGACGTAAATTTGGGGATTTTGGTAGCTGCAGGTGAACATATAGGCATTTGCTTGCTTAGGGTGAAATATGAAATAATCAAGAATCCAAGAAGTTTCTAGAAAAAGCAAAATAAGGCCGCTCCATATGTTGTTTTGGTTTGCCTCGGAACGCCGGCACGCTCGAACCCTCAGATGTTCCCAACCCAGCAGAAGTATATAATCGCTTTGCCGCCACCGTCGTATTTCAGACCCAGGTATCACTCTCATCCATTCATCCAGTCATGTACCCCATATTCCCAACAAGCAAAGCCTGAGAAGTCGCAGCAGAACGCTCGTGTGTCCCGTCCCGGGTCTGAGAAGGTAACAAAATGTACTTCCCCTTCACCGGTAAATCCGCCCCTCCCTCTCAACAGTCAGCCTGTTCCCCGGCGGCGCCGTCCGGTTCACGATAAACTCCGTCTCGCCCCGTGACGGGATCACAATCACGTCGCGCTCAACATAGTGCCTTCTCCGCTCCACATCCAGCTCCCGCCTGCCCCCCGTCGAGATGACCACCGGCGCCGCGGCGTCGTTGCGCGCATAGCTGACCACGGACGGCACGCTCGGCGCCGGGGGAGGCGGTGGAGGCGGCGCCGCCGAGGTGTACTGCTCGACGCGGCGCTGCGTCGTGGCGCGCTGCTGTGTTGGGGGCGGAGGTGGTGGTGGAGGGGGGCCCGCGCCCTCGGCGTACCGGTCGCGCCACTCGCGTGGGTCGTAGTCGTCGTAGCGGTCCCGGTCCCGGTCCCGGTCCCGGGGTGGTGGGTCGTCTGCCCTCCGCCGGCGCTCTTCCTGGTATGCTGCGCCCGCTGCCGCGGCGGCGGGCAGTGCCAGGCGGCGGGCTTCCATGCGGTCGAGCTCCTTGCCGCTCGGGCGGCCGTTGCGCTCCCTGTTCTCGAGGTACCGCCTGCGCCGCTCGCGGCTCCTGTCGCGGTCGTTGTCGCCGCCGCCTTCCCCGCGGCCGTTGCCCCTATCGCCGCCACCACCACCACGCCGCCCGTCACGCCTCTCATCGTCCCTACTCCCGCTCCCACTACCACCTTCACCGCGGTCGTCCCCCCGCCGCGGCTCCCCCGTGATGGCAGCCTTGACGTCCTTGGCCTTGTCCTTGACTTTCTCGCGCTTGCCCTTCTCCTTGTCCTCGCACTCCCAGTCCTCCTTGTCGCCGTAGGTGATGCCCTTGGGCCAGAACCTGTGCGCGGCGAGCGTGGCGGCCCCGATGGCGCCCAGCATCACCAGCGACGTCTTGGCGATGTTCTCGGCCTTCTCGCTGTTCGTGCTCGCCGACGTGTCCAGGATGTGCGACAATGGGCCGCGGTGCCGCGACGACGATGTCGTTGTCGTGCGGCGGGAGCGCGTGGACCGCGAGGGGGAGCGTGAGTATGAGCGGGACCGGGACCGGGATGAGTATGAGGATGTTGAGTACACGCCATCTGTGTAGGCGCTGCGGCCGCGGGAGTGGGACCGCGCCCGCGAGGTTGTCCTCCCCCGCGAGGGCGAGCGGGATGGCGATGGGGTGCGGGATGGAGAGCGGTAGCGAGGCATGGTGGGCTGAGGGAAACGGAAACAGAAATGGGATATCGACGAGGGTGAGTGAGGTTAGACTTGATCGCCAGGAACGGTGAAGAAGCGGTGTGCCTGGTCCGCGGTCCCGGATGAGATGTGTCTCAGCCTTATGAGAATGTGGGCTCCTTCGGTGGAAGCAGTCCGGATGGGGCAGCAAGAGACTCGGGAGGGGTCAATGACATAGCTGACACACAAGAGATAAGCACGGGAAATGTGCTTCACAGCAGGAAAGGAGAGGGAAAAAAGCAAAAGCAAAGCAAAGCAAAGCAGGAAAGATAGCAGAGAGATAGATGGATAAGAGGGCCAGATGCGGTCGGAAACACCAGCTGTTTTGCTGGTCCCGGCCCAATGGTGCAGGGCACACCCTGCGACGAGGGCGCCCGTCAAAAGGCAAGCTTTCCCCTAGCTTCCGTTTTGTGCGCGGCGGGCCGTGGCGAATGGATGGACGGCGAGTCAACCAACGATCGTGGACAGTCAGACGAGATGAGTGGAGAAGAGAGGGAAAGCTTGTGGCCAGGAGTGGGAGGGGAGACGAGGACGAGGTCGAAATGGAAAAAGGGCTGACTGGCCGTGGAACACAGACTGACCTGACCTCACTTACCTTTGTCTTCCCTCACCTGTGCCTGTGCCTATGCCCATGGGACACCCATACCAACCGACCGCGCCACACCTCATTTCCTTTTCCCTCTGTCTTTCCTTGAATCCTGCGAAAGTGGCTTAATGCGGTGTGGTGAGATGGGATGGGCCTGGGGTTGAAACGAAACAGGGATGACGATGGATGTGGATGGGGGTGGGCGGCCGGTGAGGTCACCTCTCTCTCCAGCTTTCCAGCTTTCCCACTCAGCTCGATCCAAGCCATGGGCCGACGGGCCGACACGGCACCGAGGGAGCCCATCGATCTAGACTGTAACGACGTCTAATCTAGGCACACTCGAACTAATCTCTTAACCAACCATCCATGATCGAGGAATGGCACTCATCAGGCGAAGAAAACGACTCCTAAGCGAAAGATGACGCAGATCGCCAGGCACACACAAACCCCCACACCCGTAGCCTCGGGACTACTCTCGCACTGCGGCCGTCACACCCCTGAGCCGCGCCACCGATCCATCCTGCATGCAGCGGCACACAAGCTCAGACAAGACGGAGGCCGCAGCTGACGAGGCCAGCTTGCAGACGTCAGCGTGAATCCTGCCTTGCTCAGCTGCAACACAAGCATTTGCCAGGACTTGGCAACCAGCTTTTCCTTCCCGCCCGCTAGAGCGCCGAGCAAGAGCAGCAAGCTGCCAGGTTCTCTTCTCGCTGTGCCTGATAATGGAGCACTGAAGAAGCATGTCTTGGGCGGCCAGCTCGCCAGTGCTGTACGATTCATATGAGCAACAGTTATTTGGGAAGAGCCTGCTTAGACTGTGTGCAGTCCTGAGATATGCCTACCACTACAAACATGGGCACCGAGCTGATGCATTGCCGGTTAAAGCTCATTCTCATACCATTTCCCCCAGGAATTGGTACTCTAGGCATCCAATATAAGCAATCACTGCTCGCCAAGACACAGCAATGTGAGACCAGTCCACACCGGGCGACTTGCTTATGGCCGGTGTGTGTGTGCATCTTGGCAGTACTACAACATCACTTCCAATTCATACATATAACTTGTCGGCTTCCGAGTAGTTTATTCATCACAATCTTTCCAATTCCTCATCGTCGTGTCTGGTGCAACATTGGATCTTACCTCCCTTGGCCAAGAGAATCGCTCTCAATCGAATTCCAAATCTGCCTCTCGACTTTAAGATAGTGTCTAGTTGTCGACTATTTGAGTCTCATCATCGGACTTCACGGATTCGATGCAGGGTAATGGCTCCGATTCTACTGGGCCTAGTCCGAAGGGTACAAGCCTAGAGACTCCTCAATGTGCCTGCTGTGATTTTGTACCATCCCCGAACCAAGACTACAAAAATTGGTACGACTACGAGGCGTTTGACTTGGACTACAAGGCGCTAAAGGAATCAGCAGAATGTGGACATTGCGGAGTCTGTGTAGGGATGATCAAATTCCTTAAGGCTCAACTGGAGCCTACCAGGTTCACCTACCACATCGATGAGTTTGGTGATCTGATACCAGCTTTTACATTCAACGACGAGATGGACCCTCCTTCTTACGAATTATTCACGATAAATAACGGATCTGCGGGCGATCTTCGCCTGAAGCGCTCCTACGGGAAACCGCGAATTCCACGAATGCGCGTACCATCGGGGGACACCTCCAGCATAAAAGCATTTGACACTCTGAAACACTGGATATCTCGATGCCAGGCAGAACACACGCACTGCCAGCCCACAGCGGACAAGACGCTGCCACACCGACTCCTCGAAATCAAGAGCATCAACCCCCTAAGCGTCCGAGTCGTGGAAAACTGCACCCTCAGCAAGAACTACGCCTGCCTGAGTCACAGGTGGGCGGACGAGAGGACGAAGTCAGTATCCCTCACGAAAAACAATCTGGATCTCTTCAAGGCAGAGGTGCCGGAGGATAATTTCTACCCCTTGATGAGAGATGCCATTGTAGCGACATTTGAGCTCGACGTCAGGCTCATCTGGATCGACTGCTACTGCATCATTCAGGATGACGAAGAGGACTGGAAGAAAGAGTCAGCTGAAATGGGCTCCATCTACGAGAACGCGTTCTTCACTATTTCTGCTACCTCCTCCAACGGCGGCTGCAGTATGTTCTCCACCATAAGCGAGGAATTCGTGGCATTTCAGGTGGCCGAGATCCAGGGGAAGCCCGTGTACATCCGAAAACAAATCTCACACCCATGCATTGTTGATTATGACAAATACGCAGGAGCGGAACGCCTCCGGGGTCCATCACTCGCGAGGGCATGGATTTTCCAAGAGCGGGTGCTATCCAACAGGTTCATCCATTTCACAAGCGACGAGCTCTTCTGGGAGTGCCGCGAGAGCACCTGGTGCGAGTGCGGATCAATAGAAGAACAATGGAAAGAAGAGCGGGAGGTGCGAACCCGGACACTCGGCGACCAGGTCTGGGACCACATTGCCGAACAGTACAACGACACGCAGCTGACCCTCGAGAAGGACAGGCTCCCGGCGCTCGCGGGCTTAGCCCGCCGCTACGCGGAGCTGCACGGCAAGAAGGCGTACCTGGCGGGCCTGTGGGAAGATGACCTGCCTTCTGCCCTGGCGTGGGAAAAAGTCGCGTGGCACGAGCCCAGGCCGCTCAAGCAGGTCACGCCCACTTGGTCGTGGACTTCGCAGCCTTATGGGAAAGAACTTGTCAGCACTTCAGCCAGACGATCTGGCCGCCTCGTGAAGTACAGAATGAATCCGCCTGACGCTGACGTCTACGCGGGTGCCGAGTCGACGGAGATCACAGTTGAAGCGCCCATGCTGGACCTGACGGTTTATAAACACGAGGACGAAGGGCTGATCGGGAGGCTGGAGAATGGTTTCCTCCGGATATGGGCAGACTTCAAGACCGACCCGGATGACACCACAAAGTACCGCACGGTGCCGGACGGCTCGAGGTGCCTGCTCCTTCTCCTTCTTGGAGATGCTGACAATAATGACTGGGGACACGTATACGGCATCGTGCTGCTGCAGCAGAACAGCGACGCGCATGGTGAGGCCGCGAAATTTGAACGCATCGGATATTTCAATAACTATGACGGCGACTACTGCTACTTGGATGAATCTGGCGAGTTCGCTGAGTATTGCGGGGGCAGCTTCCCACCCTTCGCAGTGCCTGTAGATACATGGCCCGCTGCTCCAGTTCAATGGCTTATGGACAGAGCCGAGACGAGACAGGTCACACTTGTTTAATCTCAACTACCTTGATATGGAGTAGATTGCGTATAATTCGATCAGCGACATGTTGTCTAGTTCCGCATGATAATATCACTCGACTCCAATTGTTTCTAGTAGAGGGAGCTCATCTTAATCATAAGAGAAAAGCTGTGCAATGGTTCTCTATTACCTATGGCCCAGTTCATAAGCTTGAGCCCTCGAGGTATCATGTTTCTACAATTTTCAAAGTCTATCGGAATCTTAGGGGGCAAATGGCTCAGTCCTTCCTGGGGCGTAAAGCGCAGAACGATGTTTTGCTATTCACGCATGGAACCTTGAATGTTAGGTAAACGTACCCGAGAGATATGGGGGACTCAAGCTACAGAATAGAAATAAAACATTATGCCGAACCATGCGTGGTTATCGTCTACAAGGCCCTTGCTAGAGGATTCTCCAAGCTGGCATAATGAGGCTCTTGTGTGTTAATCAGAACTTATACACATGGAGATCTATATCCACAGGAAAGTGCCGAAGATGCTTAAGAGCATTTAACACATCATTAGTGTGCCCAGATTGCGCGGTGACGCCGTCTTCTTCCGATGTGAGCATAGCTTGACACGGTAAGTATAGTGGTCACGGCCAGATATCATTCTCGCCATAGGCTGCTGGTGCATGCGGCATCTGCCCTCACTTCGATAGATATAGAAATCCAATGATAGTGATCTACTACATAGACACCACGGCTTCGCCCATGGCCCGTAGTACGCTACTTTGCCCTTCTTCGCGCAACAGCAAGTTCTCACCAAGACATTCACGGACCACCACAACAATATGACCACCCATACAAAATTTCGCGCGCCGCGGAAAGACAACCCTAAAAGTGAAAGCTAATTTGAAAGAACCTCTTCTATCATTAATGAAATGAATCCTGAGGAAATTTTACATTGATCTACGTAAGTATAGATTTGCGAATAACGAAAGTGATCCTGATCCTGGACCAGCAGAATCAAGGGAAAATAAGTAACGAGGCACACGAATCCACTCCAGATTTCCAACTCTTACACTTTTATGCAGAGCTCTCGGCCAGAAAGTCAAAAAAGAAAAAGAAAAAGTAAAATCCATATGATGCTTGAGGCCCTGAAAAAGCTTCCACTGGCAAATGCAACTCTGGTCATTATCGGCCATGAGAATCACAGACGTCTGGTGCGGTTTCCCTCGGTACCTGTCTGTAAACAACAAGGTGACCACGGCACTCTTTGCAATAGACAACCTGGACAATACCTTCACCGCTGCAACTCCTGCAGCTTGACTGCATCTTGACAGTGCAGTCGGGGCAGGTCTTGGTCCTTGTGGTGTCATGAAAATTTGGGTCGCCGTTGCACCTGGGACAGCGCACTTTTCGCCGATCCATCGTGTGCCTCGAGGTATTAACTTGCTCCTTGGAAGTCTCACCTGATGGTTGAGTCTTTCCTTTACAGCCCAATGTAGAGCTTCCCCGGCCACTGCTTCCACTACTGCTGCCTCTGCTATTCGAATTGGAACCAGCCCCTGTGGAAATATTCTTCTGCAAGGTGGTCGTTAGGATTTTGCTTTTACAAGGCACCGACAATGCAGAGTATCTCACCAAGACATGCTCTTGAATTAGTACAATATGACTGGTGGTTGGTAGCGAGTCCTATAGAACGAGCTGTTTATTTGAGACTTGTCTTATTGTTCTGTAGAAAAGCTCCTACGTTTTCCAGACAAGGTCCAGCTCAATCCTTCGCCTCCCCAGTGGGGCATTTGGTATTCTAAGCGTGATTTGAACAGGAATGGATGTTACAAGATAGTGTTGAACAGTCAGTAGTCGTCAGAGGCGAGTTAGAAAACATAAGCTTTCATGCAGTATGCTGAACAGACATTCAAACATCTTGCAATCGAGAATCATTTTGAATCTTGGTTTATGGGTTTCAGCATCTCCAAGAGCAAGTAGAGATGGTGGAGTGTCATGGATTTAGGCAACCAGAACAGACAGAGCCGGTTTGTCTGAGCATTCAATAGTGGTTGCCTTGGCCGGCTTACCCGCGAGAAGGTGAATCCTTAGATGGATCAATTTGTCATATCCAACCCGCCATTTCATAGAAATATTTGGGTTCCATTTCAAATGCAGTCCAGTTGTTACTCTCATTTTTTGTTTCTCGCAGCGAACGGTTATTGGTTGTTAGCAACGAGTGACTTTCCCTCGAGATTGAGGTACTCTCGGGTTTGCGTCCTTTTTTCCATTCTCTGGCCACACTGTGGGTTTTAGACCGTTCAGCCCCGGATTGGACAAATTTTGACGCCTCCATCTCAATCCCTTTAGATATACCTTTAATCACCGCCAGAATGATCAACAGCACCCCTGCGCCCGATACTCGGCTGCCTGGACTCAGGTAAGTGCAGGATTTACCTCAATTGTTACAAAACCATATTATCTTTCACTAAAATAATGTCAAGTCATCAACCTCAAATGTGTTCCGTTGTTGGAGAACGTTGGGGCCACAAGGCCCGTCCGTGTGTTGCGCGAGCATTTCGTTGCAGTGATCTGCCATCAATGTTGATGCTCATACCCGATGTAGATCAGTCTCCATCGTGAGACTGATGTTCACAAGTGGACTCTCCAAAGAGGTTTAGATATCTAGAAATCGCTGAGCGAACAAGACCGAGGTAAGCCGACTCTGAGAATAGGATCTCGTGGAGAAGGGCGTAGCAAATGGGCGCGGCCATTGCCCTCCGACAAGCCAGAGAAGTCACACCAAGGTGTCCGTCCCACAATTCAGAGACTTGATGGCTGATTCAAAGCGAGCCCTGCTTACTCAAAACACTACGTACAGTTGGCTATGAGCATGTGGCGTCCAGCCAGCGCAGCGGTCAAGATATTGTCTCCAGGTCTTTTAATAAAATGTAATGTTGGAAAGCGACGTCGAAATAGTTGGAGGCACGATGGCTCAATTCTTGGACAGTTGGCAGCAAATTCGTGTTGGTCAGGCAGCAGTGTCGGATTGTAAGGAAGTCTAAGAAAAGCACAGCCTCTTTGTGTGATCCACGCACACTCCTGCGCCGCTCACTAACTTTCATGGGATTAATTACGCGCTGCCACTTGGACGATGCGGGGGACCCAGAAGCGCCGCGCCACAGGCCTTCAATTGCTTATCCTGTCCTGTCAAAAACAACACCACACATTCGAACCTCCATTTTTTCCATGGCAGCACCTACTAAAAGCACTACACGGCCTCAGAGCTCAACGTCAGAGCAGGTACCACCAGGGCCAGTGCGAATACTGGTTCAAACAAGGACGCACCTTGTACCAGGAGACGTGTATGGCGAAAAGATCGAATATATGCGGAACATGATTTGCCAGCACGCGTGGAATAGGAACTACATTCGGAAACCAGACCGTTGGAACTGTTACGGGGCTGATTTTGGCTACCCTGATCGCACATGCTATTTTCTTGTCGACCATGGTATGACCGCAGAACACGGACAGACCCCGGATGAAAACCCACCGGTGCTGTGGTACCGGTGGACGGGAGATTCTCTGTGAGTTGTGTTATCTACATTTCATCCCATATAGCTCATTCATTCTGTGCAGACTCTCACAAATCATGCAGAGTTGCTCTACCCGGAGAACTTCCACCAAAACTCCGCCAAAGACATGAGCGGTACCCATTCACGAAGTTCCCACCCCCGCCGACAACACGCCCTGAGCCACGGCCTATGCGGGAAGTCATTAAAATGCAACTGCGCCTCCAAATGCATATATTCGATGAGGATATTGACCACTTGAAGGAGCACCCGGATGATGTCAGGTGGATCAAGAATCAAGTTGATTCAAGGCTTTGGGACAGGCTTTTGTCACACGGCTTGCCAGAGAATATATTGGATCAGGTCTCGGCTGATCCTCATGAGAACGTAGGAGAAGAGTAACCGAAATGGTCATGATCAGCTCGGCTGGCTTCCCACTTAACCGTTGATCTGTGTTCTAATAGGGGAATAAGCGTTGAGATAGCATGATAAGGTAGGAAGAGGACATAACGAGAGCGGCGAGGAAGAGGGATGAGACAGGCCAGGAGAGCTTTGGGATCAGATGACAGGACTGCATATATAACACTCTCAACCCAGAATCAAGTCAATCCATTCAAGCTCAATAGTCTCCCAGACAGACTTCAGTACACGGCCAAGACCTCTCCGATACGCGACTGGCCCTTCCCATTCAATCCACATTACATAGTGAACCTCCGATCCCGGCGTCTCTTGCTCTAAGGGGTTCGTCCAGAACTTCGAGTAGCTCATTTCGGACAGGACGTGGCCCACGGTGCCTCGTGCGACTTCAACCAGCTCAAAGCTGTCACTCGCCAGTTCCACAATCTCTTCTGGAAGATCCTCGGTGCCTTTGACATCTGTTACGTCGTAATGCGTGGACTCGAAGTCATCTATTTCGCCGATACCCATCACACCTATCGCCCCAGCCCACGCGCTGTTCGCGGTGCGGAGTGAGACAACCACGGTCTCCGCCGAGTGCATTATTCTCAGGACACCATCTCCTTGAAGCCAACCTCTCCTTGTTCTACAGGATATGAAAGGCATGTTTCGCTGCGGCTGGGGCGGGTCATCCTCTGCAGGTAGGGGCACTGGCCACCAGTACTTGGACCCCGGTGCTGCCTTGTGAGTGTAGAAATACTCTGGCAGCCTGCCTGATCGTACAGTCTCATCCATAGTGAAGTCTTTGTCCCCGGCCGTTAGGTGGCGAGCCCACCCAGCTTGTTCGACCTCAAGTGCATCGGAGGGCTCCCGATACTTCAGCCACGTGTGTCTGATCTCCTCACCCGGACTGTCAAGCACCTCACGGCAGCTCCATTGGACGAGCGGATACACCTCATCACCTCCTCCAGTATTTAGCGGATAGTAACCCTTATGCTCAAATGCGAACTGGTCAGCTATATTCCACGACCACTGTCGCACTTGCCCTTTATAGCTTGCCCAGCTCCAACTAGGAATACAAGCACTAGGGTCGTGTTCATTATCCCGGAATTCGTAGAAAGCCTCGGGTTGCCAAAGAAGGGCTACGTGGAAGAAGCCCTCAGGCAAACCGGAAATCAGACCGCCCTGAAGGCCTCGGCTTAAGACGGAGGCAATCCCAGCAAACGCGTTGAGAGCATCGCCGTTGTACGTCAGCTCCCTCGCGTTATAGCTGTCTACCAGCTCACCTATGCTTCTTGGAATGGGGACGACGGTCCCCAGCGCATCCTGGTAGGTTGACAAGTAATGACTCGACGTCGGGACGTCCGTTTCGTGACGGTCCTCGAACCAGATCGCCGATGCGCATCGCCACTCTACAGTCTGCTCGCCGACGGTCAGAGACCGGCGGGAGAAGATCTCTTCCTGATAAGTCCACGCTCGTGTCTTCCAGACGCTCCCAGACTGCTGCTCTATCGTCTCCACCGCACGGAGATGTGGCTCCAGATGGCAAATGTTCTGTGGTGCGTTGCGAGGCGCAGAAAACCCCTTGAGCCCCGGCAGCCCACTGGATGCGCCAGATCCCAAGCCGGCGATGATTGTGATGGTAGCATGGGAGTAAATCTGACCCATGTTGTCGAGCTCTGTCTTTTTTGTAGCATAGTCGTCTTGCACGATGCACAGGGCGTCGACCCAGAGGTAGCGCTCGCCCAGGAGCTGGACGGCGCCCATGGCATCCAGTACCACCGGTGCGATGGGGACCTCCAGGTCGACGTTGCCTCCGGTCAGGGCGTTGGGCTGCTGGTTGCGGGCGAGGTTATGTTTGAGAGTCGTGTAGTATGGCTCTCTGCCCCATACATAGCTCAATGCCACATAATTGACGTCCTCGCAAGTCTTTACGAGACACTTATCCAAGACGTCGATCAGCCTCGTCGGCCTGATCCGACTCGATCTCACCCATGGAGGCGATTGACAACGTCCACCGTGGCAGTTGTCGCATTTGTCCTTCCAGGACCGAAGGAGACTGGAGTCCACCCACGACTGGTCAATCAGCCTCGCTTGGGGCCTCTCTGGATGCGCGCTGTCATGCAAGTTGAAGCTGACTGATAGTGATCGTGATTGGATGGCGAAATAGGAAGAGTTGCTGAGGGAAACCCAGTTCAGATGTATTTCAGCGGATGGCTGGACCTCTGTGTTGTTATCGAAAGCCCATTTTATGAGCTGGACATGTTTGAGGCAGTCAGAAGCGAGAATAACCTCATCCCATCGCCCAATTTCTATCTGGCGCTCTTTGGCACCCGTGCTGTCGACCGGGTTCTCAGCCTGTAAGTAGCTGAAGATACGCATGCAGAATTTACATTCTCCCTTGTCCTATTATCCAGGCAGCCAAATTAGTTGGGGTGTTGCAAGAGCCCGGCGGAAGGAACAGACATCGACATCCAACTTACTTGACTTCCGCCCGCATCGAAATTGACCGCTGCTTCAAGATCAGGCATCGTGCCACTGCCTCTTGGCTGGAAAGGCGCTTGATTTCAATGTGTGCGTGTTGTTACCGTCTGGAGTAGAGCGTGTACTGTTCCTTGGCCTTTCCCAAATCTTGCTAGGTCAAGGAACTAGACGCTGGTGGGGAAGGTTCCATTGTTTCGGGGTCCCTTTTGCGCGGCTGTTGCGCGCCTATTATAGTGGGCCTTTAATGAATACCGCACGCTACACTATGTCTCGATTTGGTATATGTGAACTGGAAATAGTATTCAATATTCACAACGGGAATCAATGATTCCAAAGCCTACCAAAAGGCGTTGAACAGACCTTTTTGTCGTCGCTATTGTCCTTGGATACAGATCTGAAGTGGATCAGGGAAAGACCCAGACAAATACCACATGCGCCGCTTGTCTGCGCCCCAAGGCGGAAACCTCTATTGGAGAAAATAATCTTTTTGACAACTTGAGGGCGTCTCAGTCACTTACTCACATTGTTTGTGCTGCCAGGTCCACAGACTCTGCTGGAAGCCCTCATGGTCAAGTTCAAAGCGCCAACTTCCACAATGCTCCAATAGTACACCAGCTGAAGTTCGGATGTCTGTATCGTGGCCACAGAAATTATGAAATGACTAGGAAAAAATAAAGAAGGCGCATTGGGAAGGAAATAAGGTACCTTCTTGTAGGATAACCAACTCTAGGACAACCAACTCTAGGACAACCAACTCTAGGATAACCAACTCCAGGATAACCGGCCATGAGATAAGTAGTCATAGGATAACCAATTATAGGAAAATCTGCCCTCAGCCTCAGTACGCAATCCAAGGGGCGCCGTAATCCTCTGTTTTCAATTTCTCTACAGAAACCCCAGACAACTCTGACACCAAATCCCCACAACCAGTGTGACCCTCAAGGCGGGCGAAGTTCATAGCTCGCAAGCACTGGCGCTCCGAAAAGCCTTCATGGAAAATGCCCGCCCTGACCGCTCTCACGTTCAACTCCCAGAGAAAACGGATCATGTCCAATCGTCCGGCCTCGGCAGCACCTTCCAGGGGCCACCTGCCGTCGACTTTAGATGGCAGGGCGCCGAGGTCCGCCCCGCAGTCCAGCAGGTCCGCCACCGTGTTGCAGCTTCCCGATATGGCAGCAAACTGGAGCGCCGTGGCCCCGCCCTGGGGAGGTGCTTCGTTGTTTGGGTCCGCGCCATTGCTGAGAAGTAGTCGCACCATTTCGGCCTTGCCAATCGCTGCGGCATGCTGGAGTGCGGTACGGATAGTTCGTAAGCGTGGCCGGGCGTTCACGTCGGCGCCGTAATCTAGTAAAATCTTTACAACGTCTTCTCGGCCCGTTTCAACAGCGACCATGAGTGCAGTCATGAGGGGCCCACTCGAGGACTCCGCTCTCACGATACCATTGGGATCGGCGCCAGCCTGAAGGAATTTCTCCATGGCGGCCGCGTTTGTCTCGCAGTCCTCGTCTGTGTCGCAGTCCTCGTCTGTGTCGCAGTCCTCGTCTGTGTCGCAGTCCTCGTCCATCTCGAAGTCCTCGTCGAAGCCCTGTATGGCTAGCCCCAGAGGCGATAATAAGTACGTTTCGTATACGCCATACCGTTCTCCCTTCACTTCTTCAAGTCTCGTGAAGTTGATAGCCTGCGTCTGAAGTAAGGCGTTAAGAGCCTCAGCATTCCCTGCATCGTCGCCCATGAAAGACTTCAAGATAGACGCCCCAATACATTTTGGCAAGGTCTGCCGTCGCCTGTCTTTTTGGAGCAGCAAGAGCAGCATATCTTGTCTGTCAGGCATCGCGGCTTGGAGAACTTCGGCGTCGAATGGGCTAGCACCTATGTCTAGAAGGTATTCAATCAACTCCTCGTGGCCCAATTCGACTGCAGCTTGAAGGCAGTGGTCGAGCGAAACGCTTTCCGGTGACAGGATCTCGAGGATTTTTTTGAAGGATTCCAATGCGTCCTTTTCGATACATGTGCTGATGATAGCTGGAATATGAAAATTGCCTTGTCCGGGATACTCGTGCAGATATTCAACGAACATCGAAGGATCCACATGGGCACAGTCTCCCTCTGTGAGTTGGAAATATGATTCGCAAGCGCCGAAGACGATGAGAGCTCGCATCGCTCGTGAATCAGAATTTCTCAGGGCTCGTTGAAGCGCTCCAGAAAATTCGCTCGGCCCATGCGCCCATGACGACATTTCTCTCCGTGACGTGGCACCTGCTTCCAGAAGCATTTGCAAGATGTCTCGATAGCCCAGATCGACAGCCGTGGCCAAGGCCGCCCCGTTTGGCCGGTGAGCTTCCTTTGAAGTGACTGCTCGATTAAGAAGCTTCTCCATGTAAGTCACATTTCCTGCTTCAGCAGCTGCATTGACTAGGGCTTCAAAACGACCACCTATACACAGATTGTCAAGAGCGCCTGCAGCTTCAAATTTCTGAATCAGATCCTCATCGCCGTACCTTACGGCCTCCGCGATCGGTGTCGTATGGTAAGGTTTTTTAGGACCCGGCAACGGAGGAGGCATGATCATAACCTGGGGATTGAGGTCGGGGCCGTGGCTGAGAATGAAGTCGATAAGAGCGTCACTTTGGGACATAATAGCGGCTGTGAGAACTCGGGACAAGGCAAAACTGACATCGACTCTTTCCATGAAAAATTGCACAATTTGAAGTCTACCGGCTTGTGCGGCATCAACGGTGACATTCTCCAGGTCGCGCTTAAAATCGACAAGACATTTGTTGCAACCAGCTTTATTGCAAAGTGCGATCATGTCTTCAAACAATTTTAATATAACATAGTCGTCATTACCCGTTTTTTGACGAAAGCCTTGCGCCAAGTTGTGGAAAAATTGCTGATGGCACTTCGGGTGTATGTGCAGGGAGAGATGGCAAGCAAATTCCAGAGGTGGACCCCGAGCCACAATAGAAAGCATGCCCTCATCCAGTTGAGCACCCGCGACGATGAGCATATCGCATGCTTTGAGTGCTCCGGATCGGATGTTCATCCATCGGGCATCAATTGGATAGTAATTTCGATGGAGAGGCAAGTTATCCCTGAGCAGTACACCCAGCGCACCTCCCTGTACGCCGAGCCCGGAGCCACCATGAGACTTGTTGACATCGGCGCCTGCGTCAATGAGTAACCGCATGAGTTGCAGAGACGCCAATTTAGTTGCTCGCTCGATCGGGGTATACTTTTGGCCCTGCTGAAGACAGACCGTCTCGTTGACGTCAACGAGGTTGCGATCGAGCAATAGGTTCACAACCCTGGTATCTCCAGCCTCGATGGCTGCCCGGAAGATATTGTCGGTAAGCGTCCTCGAGATATACCGTGGGCATTGTTGTAAGATGTCGACGAGCAGCTTGTTGATGACTAGTCGCTTGAGAAACCTGAGAATGTTCTCCATGGGCACTTCATCGAGACCTGCAAATCCGTTGAGCACGGAGAAAAGCAGCATGCGGGCGAAGTTGGTCTCGAATGCCTGATCTCCAGTCACAATGGCAGTGCTTTGTCCCGGAAGCAGATAATGAAGAAATTGCTTGAAATGCTGCAGTCCGGTAGTTCGCCGTGGCAGGGACCGGTGGTCCGATGGCAAGATGCCCGCAATTGATGTGGACACGAGGTTAGGGGGAATGGAACTCCCGGAGGACCGGCCGAGGACGATTCCCTTGGATTCCAAACGTTTTTCGAGCTGTGCGAATGGCAACTCCTGCCGAAAAGCAGCATCTTGCAACATTCCGTAAAAGAAGGCCATATTGTTCCTCTCTGGTAGTCCCAGTGGTGAAAGCATAGCCGCAACAAAAGACTCTGGAATGGAAGCCGACAACTGGGAGTTCTGCGCCAATGAAGATGATAGAACTTGGAATTGCATAAGATTGAGGTCCAGGGAAGCGGCAGGTGCGTTCAGAGCAGCGAATAACGTTTGCGAGGGGCTCTCAGGAAGGCCATAAGTGCCAGGATAGTCGTAAGTGGTAAATATGGCGCCGAATGAAGCTCCGTCAGGCACTGGAACACTTTGCAGTGGTTGAAGCGTGTCGTCAACACTTAGGAATAGACCCTCATTGTCGGGCTGCGCGGTTTCTCGGGGCGCGAGAGTGTCGTTTGTAACCAGGGCGTGAACGGAATGTGCTTCGTCACGAGGCAGCAGTGAAGGGAAGCCTTGAGGAGGGCCCGGCGCCACAGGAGGTCCTCTTACCCATCTTCTGGCTCGCTTTTTGCTCGCATCTGATTTTTTGAGGATGACTGGCGGTACGGTCTGACCCGGGATGTCACGTAAGATTGTTAGGGACGGCGTGCCTTTGATCGAGAAGTACTGTCGCCATTCATTCTGGGTCGCATACTTGCGAAACCCCCAGCGCTTGAATTGTGCCTCGTATTGCCAAGAGCTGATCGAACGGAAGTCAGCGAGTGAAACGAAGACAGTAAATAATAAGAAGGTACAAGATAAGAGTGGCCCCACCTGGCGTGGAAGCCGTGCCGGTCTCGCATCTCTTCTCGAACATCTTTGAGCGGTTTTCTACCGTACAACTCTGAAATGGTGTCTTTGTGGTGCTCCCACTCCGATGAGGGAATACGCCTTTTCTCCGAACTCATTTTGGAACGTCAAACCGATCGATGCCCCTAGGGACGGTATAATGTATTGTGGATATTTGTTTACTTATTCGCTTTAGGTCCAAGTCTCAAATCGCGTTGGAGAAGGCCGGGGGAGTTGCAGTGACACCTGAAACGCTCTGCAAGCCTTCGTGAATGGAGACTACCTGCTCTTCCAATGTTTGGAAGAACTCCAGTCAGTAGCGGCGTGCACAACTCAAAGCGGGCAAATGTACGCACATATTCGTGGAAATATTGGTATTTCGACCCTACCAACGACTTGTAGGTGTTAAATGTGCTAGGGATTGATCCTCTCGCCGTCTCCAGATCGATTCCCTAGCCCAGGGCTTTTGATTCCACCCGGTCAGTGAATAGGCCTAAAACGTAGCACAACATGATTGACGGGCCAATCGAGGAGGTACTCACTGTGTGAGATTGCCTGGATGGAGCTAATGCTGCGACCTCGGCCGCTCAGTATGTCAAGGATTGGATCACCAAGGTTGCAACAGCAACAAAGACAACTGTCAGGCTGGAGGTCGCCTCGCAAGACAAGACCATGTGGGTCGAGAGAGCTGCTGCAATTCTGGTGTCCGGCATGGGGTGTTCTCAAAGATAGTGTCTTGGTAAATACGTGTTTGGAACGCTTGCCATGATTTAAGACCATGGACGGAGGATCAGGCGAGGCCAAAGTTTTTAAGAAGATTTTCGAGCCATAGTCTGACTCTCATGAGCACGGTCGAGGTGGTATCTGCACCAGATTTTGTCAACGGAGGACCATCAACTGCATGTGGTGTGCATCTATTCCCGTTTGGTAGTACTGCAGAAGACTGCTATATGCAGACAAGGTCCTTAAAGTCTCTGCAGCTTGACAGAATCTGGTCCAGCCTGACCAAAGCTAGCAAGCTGACACGTCACCCCCCCCCCCCTAACAGAATCTGTCACACAACATGAAAAGACAGGCTGTACAAACCTGGGCGGAGGTCAGATGGGGTACATATAAGCGGCTTGACGAGGTCGTAATATGCAGAGGAAAGGAGCAACAGGGCCACATTGGCTGCAGCAAATGAATTCTGTCCACCCCGCCGCTGACTTTTGACAACTCTTGAGGACTCCCTGCGCACATGTTTGGGTACTATACCAGTATCAACAGAAAAAAACAAAGCAATCTCTTGTAGGATCACCAACCATGGGACAACCAGCCATAGGATAACCAGTGATAGGATATTCGGCCGTAGGATGACCCCTCATAAGGAATGCACTTTTCAAAAGGGTTGATCTATGCTGGCCCGGCAGATTCAGCGCAGTGAGAATAAGTTCAATGAATTCTAGAAGTCGGGGCAATCGATGAGATCAGATGGTAGACAGTGACATTGTTTCTACCAGTCTAACGCTGCTGTAATTGCTCCCTTAACATTCATTCTAATCATTTCATGACTTCCTCAGTCTTGCCCGCAATCCTTGGATCTCTAAACCAGCCACCCTCCTTCTCCACCAGTCCACCCGGCGATCCCTGTTCCACGACCCTGCCAGCATCCATGACGACCACTCTGTCAAAGCCCATCACCATCTCGAGCCTATGGCTCACCATGATGACCGTATACCCGTCGAACTCATGCAGAATAATATCATGCATAGTCTTCTCAGTCTCGGAGTCAACACTACTACTGAACTCATCGAGAATCAACAACCCGCCACCGCCCAGGCCACGCAAGCGCCGGCGCAGCACCGCCCTCGCCAGGCTGAAAAGCTGTTTCTGGCCGTGACTGAGCATGTCGTCGGCCACCATCTCAGCAAGCAGACCACCTCGGTCGTAGATAAGACCCCAAAGGCCCACGGCCTCGAGAACAGCCTGGCATTCGTCGTCGCTGGCGGCGGCAGACGGGTCGAGGTTCTTCCTGATGGTCATGCCGTCTGGGAGGAAGGCCGGGTCTTGCGGGAGGGCGATGATGCGCCGGCGGAGTGTTGAGCGATCTATTGTGTTCAGAGGGACATCGTCGATTGTTATCTTGTCCGCGCAGGTCGGGAGCGGGTCTAGCAAGCGGAGGAGTAGGAGGACCAGGGATGACTTTCCGCTGTTCGCGTGATCAAATTAGCATCTGCGTTCTTGAGGATGACTTTGTGTGCAGACAAGTCTCATCAATCACGTTCATGTACTCACCTGCCTGTACGGCCGCATATGGCGACCTTATCGCCAGGTTCAATGGTCAGGTCCAAGTCACGCAGGGCATATTGATCAAGGCCAGCTGAGCTGCTTGAAGAAGTCGGATCGCTTCATGACTGTCAGCAGTTATTCCCAAGAAGTCGTGCAGAGGAGTAAGGCAGAACTCAATTACGTACCCATACGTGGCAGAGACATCGCTTATCACAATCCTCCCCTTCTCCGGCCACGAAGCAGGCGGGACATAATGCTCCCCAGGCAGGTCTTCGGGCGCCGTGTTATCATTAAAAGATTTGAGACGGCCCACAGCCCCGATAGACGTCTCGAGCAGCGTGTACATCTGCACAAGGTTCGCCAGCGTCCTGCCGAAAGTCATGAGCGACACCATGCTGGCGCCGGTGAAGCCGGTGGTGGGGCGCAGCTGCGTCGCGAGGGTGACGACCAGCATGGCGATGACCGCCGTGACCATGCCGAGCACGAACGCCAACCAGCGCTGCACCATGCTCAGCAGATAGGCGGGCCGCTGTGAGGTGTCGAGGAGGGTGTTGTTGAAAGAGATCGACCCCTCTGTCCATCCGAATGCTCTGAGGGTGACTACGCCTTTAATAGTGTCCAGGAAGTGTGTGCTGGGAATGATAGATATTAGCGATTTACTACTGCAAGGAGTGCTTTTACGTGGAATCATACTACAATGGGCTTTTCGCCTCTAGGTCCAGCAGCCGAAGTTGACGCGACGTACGGAGGTAGAACTTCTGCACGCCGTATAGAATGGCTATCACAAAAGGATAGGTGATAACGACATAAGGCGAAGATGTAGCAATCACAATCGCCGCTCCCACTGCATTCCAGAATTCCAGGGACGTGTTGGTCAGCGCATGCGGAAGCTCGCCATCAATGAGCGTCATGTCCTGGGAGAACAGGTTCGTGACAACACCAGTATCGGTGGTGGCGAAGAAACGCAGGGGCGCGGATATGAGTGTCTTCAGAGCCTTCTCGTGTAGATTCGTGCCGGAGTTCCGAATGATGATCAGCATGCCGATGGCTACCTCTACAATCAGAGTTAGCAGAGCCAGACACTGGTATAGGGCATACAATCCGACATAGAAGGATGTTGTCCGTCTGGGGCGATTCGACGTCACGTCCTTGCTCCAAAAGTTCAGCCAGATGCTGGGCACATTGTAGAGTAATCCACATAGCATGCCGAATATAACAAAGCTGGCCAGCCAGAAACCGCCGATGCTTCGGCAGTAGTGTTTGAAGACGGCTCTGTCGCTCATCACCCCAGCCGGCTCCTCTTCATCGGGCTGAGTGGCAGGTGTCGGTATATCGGCGATGCGAGTCCGTTGGATCTCTTCCTGGCTTGGTGATGCGAGCTGCGTGCTTGTGGTACGTTGCTCAATCTCTTGACTGCAGATTTCTCCATCACTCTTGAAAAGGTCATCAAAGCGGCCTTGTTCCACAATCGTGCCATCACTACCCAAGGCAATGATGTGGTTAGCCGACGGAAGGTGTCGGACCGCATGTGTGCAAAGCACGGCCGTAGAATTCCTTTGTTTGAGTATGCCCTCAGGTCCGAAAACACGACGGAAGACGTGCCCCTCCGTGTCAGAGTCCAGGCCGCTGAGGACATCGTCCAGAATGAGCAGGTCACATTGCAGGTATAGTGCTCGTGCCAGTGAGATACGCTGTCTCTGGCCACCGCTAAGTGCGATCCCGCTGCTGCCAATCCTAGTCTGATCACCCTGGGCGAGGAGCTCCAAGTCCCGAAGAAGCATGACTGCCTCCAGCACAGCTGCGTATCTTTCCTCGTTGAAAACTGAGAAGCCGACGATGGTGTCTCTGATAGATGCGTTCGGAAGAAAGGGGACTTGTTCGCAGAATCCAACCCGATGGAACTTGGTATGCATAATTACTCGCCCTTTCACAACAGGCATTTCGCCTAGCAACGCCTTGCAAAACGTTGATTTACCGGATGCGACTGGGCCGACAACAATTGTCAAGCCCAAGGGTATGGAGCAGTTGATGTTCATGAGAGTCATCACGTCCTCGGTCCAGCCGAAGCTCGCATTGCTGATCGTGATTGCTGGCAACTCAGTGTCTTTTCTATCACGCTTCTCAGAGGGAACCACGAGGTTGGCATCTCTGCGGGAGTCCTTTCGTGCGTCTTTCTCAAGAAATGCCTGCACTCTGTCAAGGCAGGCGAATGCCGCAAGCAGCTCCGGCGCCATTTGGAAAAGGTTCGACAAAGGCTCAGAGAGCAATAAAAGGTAGGAAATTGAGGTGAAGATAGTGGTAGCATTCAAACTGCGCGTCGTGACCGCAAACGTGAAGACAGGGCCCAAGAGGACCGGCGTAAAGCCGATGGCCACGGCAACGAGGACGAAGACTCGGAACTGCCCGCCGACCTTCAACTCATCCACGCGCAGCTGCTGGACAGACTCCTCAACGGCGCCCGTCATGCCCGAGATCTTGAGGTGCTTCATATTCCCAATCACATTGGCCGTATGTCCAACGCGCTTCTGTATCCTCTGCATCCACGCCACCTGCCGCGGGCCGATGAACCGCATCATGAGGACCGAGCAAGCGACACAGATGGCGATGACGACGACCGGCGCCGCGAACGCGGCGCCGAGCTGGCGCTGGAGTAGCCAGCAGGCCACGGCAGCTTGGATGGGGCTCGCCCAGAACTCATGTAGCGACATGAGGCCCGTACGGATCCGCTCGATGTCGCTGCTCATCAGTGTTACCGCCGCCGAGTCGTCTGATGCTGATACGGGGGCCTGCGTCGTCTTATGGTATACCGCTGAAACCAAACAACCTCGGACCATGTACAACGCTCTTTCGTGCAGGTACCAATAGAGCGCGGTGGCGATGGGTATACCGGAGTAGATCAAGACGGTTGCCCCGATGAGTCCATAACCACTGTTTACTGTGGAACTTGTCTCGGGCTTCTCGAGGTGAGTCAAGAGAGTCTTGATCAAGAAAGGTTGCGAGAGTCCAAGTGCAACGAGGAATATGCGTGGAGCAACCGGCAGCAGCAGAGGGACGATCAATGCCCGACCAAGAGACTTCGCAAGAGCATTGCTTTTGCCGTTGAGTAGTGTCTCGTCGGTGTGACGAGAAAAAGAAGCTTGCAAGACCTCGGCAGATACAGTCCTGTCGAGGGCGAAGAGATCAGACAGAGTCAAAGCCTTCTTGAAGCCCGACAGGAATAGCGAAGTGAGCCAGAAGAAGGTCCCGAGCCCGTAGAGGCCGCTGGTCTCCTCTGGGCTATGGCTTTTCTGGTCCAATTGATGAAGCCAGCGCTGCTTCTGTGTCGATTCCAGCAGGATCAGAACGGCCTTCCAGACTGTAGTGGCAGTGAACAGTCGCACATAGTGGAGGTTCTGGTGGCTCAGCGCGGACAGCCACAAGGACCGGCTTTGAGCGATGTCGAAAAGAACCGTTAGTAAAAGATATACATTGAGCAGTATCGCTGGCCGGGGCGAGCGGGAGTGGTCCAAGAAGCTCAACGCCACCATACATATCGCTGCAGCGAAGGCTAGAGCAGCAGAGCTGATGAAGATACCATCGACAGCGACGAAATCAACAGTTGCGAGGACTAGGAGACCAAGCTGCAGAGCCGCATAAATCGTAGTTGCGGCCTTCCATTAAACGTCAGCCGGGGCATGATACTCTCAAGGTATGGGAAAGGCCCACAAGCTTAGCATATTGCAAGACGTCCACTCCCGCTACCGATGGACTTCGGGTGAGAAACACACTTCTTGAGATGGCAAGGGCGATGAATATTGCGGATGGCAAAATCGAAAGGACGATCCTCTCGAACGTCAGGGTAAAATCAAAGTCGTCCCGGCAGCCATGAACGCTGGGTCCGAAGGACTTATCGTCTAAGCACGCACTAGATCTCATTCTCAACTGAGTGATTCTTGCTGCAAGGACAACGAATGCTCAGCATAGCGGAGGGGGTGTTTTCTTTTGTGTAAGATTTTGAGAGGCTCGGATGGTTTAATAAGCCGGCGATAGCGTGATCCCCCACATAATGGATTGCCTTGGCAGCTACACATGCAGGTGGGTCCCCGAGAACTATGGAGGAATGCATTTTCGCCAGCCGTGAGTCGCAGGTTAATACTGGCAGAAAACTGAGAAGATACACATTCTGTAAGACCAGCTTCAGACAGGATAGACTTATGTGGGGGCGTTGCTATTTGCGTGAGTGAGGGCTTCGCACCTGGACTCATGTTGCAGCTGAGGCTGGACGGTGCATCGTATGCCCGAGAGTGTGACTAAAATGCCCCCAGTATCAGGAGAGACGTGCCAATTTTGTTTGAAGTCATTCGTACGGATCAAAGAGAACATGCCATTCTCTCTCGCTGCTTCCACGTCTTGATCGGTGAGTCTGCGCCTCAGGTCTTCAAGGAAGGACAACGAGAAGCCGGACTGCATCGCCAAAATGCTTTGAGATAATCGATTTCAGGTCTGTATGCGGTGATTGTCTCATGTAAAACTTGTGAGCAGTCGCATGTGTTTCTTTTTGGATTGAAGCGGATGGACAAGTTGTGGCACGGCACCTTCGACCTCAGGAGTAGTGGGCTCTGGTTGAGCAAATAAATTACATTTGTACTATGTCTAAAATTTGCCTACCGAAGACCTACGCTGATGCGGATGCGGCATGAAGGATCGAAAGCGAAGTCACGACAGCGAGTAGGAAACCGTGTCGGATTTTGTGACTGCGTTGCGGCTGCTTACTGAAAATTCTACCACCGACCAAAGGGGACGTGTCATGAGTGCTAGTGATTCAGTACATTGCAGGCTGATCACTTTGCACTTTTAGAGCGGCCCTCAGGCGCAGACGCTGCTCTTCTACCTCATATACTTGTTTCAGCATTATCTTCCCAATTAGAATTTGTGCGCGCTATGGATCAAGGGGCCTTGTTGTTGTATACATCGCTGATGGTTGGCATGGACGTACAAGTGATGAGCTTAGGCTAAATTACGACACGTTACAGGCTGTTCAAAGGCTCTCACAAAATCAGTTGCGGTTTTTGTTGATCAAATTGTTGCTGAGGCTTTTTGTGCCAGCACTCAAATACTTCTGGTTCATGCCTGAACGGAAGCAAAAGAACGAACAGTGTCTACTATACATTCTTCGAGCGACTTGTACTTCAAACCGAGGACCTCTACACTCTTCCGCACATCCACCTTGTATGCATCGGGTAGTTCTAAAGTTTGTCAGACCAGATAAACCAGAACTTGGGCGAGCACTTATGCTTACCTCCTCCTGACACTGTCTCATCGGGTAGACGTTCTCGATACTCTGGAAAGTTTCGGCGAATGATTCCAATGATCTGGCGGTTTGAACAATAACCGTTTGTGATGAAGAATCGTTGATTGGCGGCCGCGTCTTGCTCGAAAGCTTGCACATGAGCTGCTGCGACGTCTCGGACATCGGCGAAAATTGGATTCTAGACAGCATGTAAGGAACGCCAATTCAGCCGGGGAAAAAAAGACCTATGCCAATCTCACCGTAGTAGGGGGGGTTTCCTTCTTTGCGGCTCCAATCGTGAAGCTGCGGATGAATTGGTTCGAGGTGTTTAAGGAGTCCAAAGATGCCAGGCTCTGCACTGCAGGGCCAAAGACGAGAGGTGGCATAATGGTAGCGAGGGTAAAAGCCGGGGATTCCTCCTTGACAAAGTCCCAAGCTGCCCTCTCTGCGAATGTCTTGCTGGCTGGAACGGACAATCAGGCGAACTGAGTCGGTAAATTTAAGCTATGTAGAATGTAGCTTACCAGAGTAGCCCGCACCAGGATTCTGAAGGGCTTCCTCCATGGTGATCGGGTTCCAGTCTTCCTCGTTATAGGTATGCTCTGGCCAGAGACCCTTGGACAAGTCCATCATCGAACCGAACGATGAGGTAACGACCTGTCTCATCAGTATTGAGGAAGTTGAGTTCTTCAGGGGCGCAGCTCTTACCACGCGCTTGACAGTCGGGGCATTCTTCTTGATAGCGCCAAGAATGCCGGTGGTGCCGTTGATGGCAGGGTCGAGGAGGTCCTTCTTGATGTCCGTCACGTTGAAATGGAAGGGACTAGCTGTGTGAATTACAGCCTCGAAAGGAGGAACCGAGACCACAGCTTCATCAAAAGCATCGGCTTGAGAGACATCCGGGACGATGACAAAGTCAAGTTTGTCTTTACCATAACTGGGATGTGCCTTTCGAATGCCCTCAGCCTTGCTGGTGCTACGGACAGTCGTAACCACAGAATGACTGTATTGGATCAGCTGGAAGAACGAGCAAAAACAGCAGGAAAGGGAGTTCAGGCCAAGTAAGAAGAGATTTGGAAACAAGGCAGAGTACTTACCCCCTCTGCAATAGAGTGTGAAGGATATGTGTGGCAATGAAGCCGCTACCACCGGTAAGAAAGAACTCGTGTCATTGTGGGCGTGATTTATGGAATATGTGTGCCTTTTCCAAAGGACAAGTGGTGTGCCGATAGCAGAAGACGGTTTACATTATCGTACATGCTTGGAGAAAAAGGCAGGAAATTTATACGCGTGCGTCAGAACATGAGGAATTCGGCTGAGGAGGGAGTGCGTCGTGCTGAGGGGCGCACTGCTACGGAGTTAATGGCCGGTCGTCGGTCGTTCTGCGAAGCAAGTCTGGAATGACGCTCATGGCTAGAATCATGAGTCTTGCTGGACGGCATCTCCGAAGCAACTCGTCGGCGGGTCTCGGAAGTTCCAAGGCATTGTGTTATCAAGATAAATACGGGAAAGTTGAGGCTTGGATGCATTTTGCTTACGAGGTAAAATATGGGCCTGGATGCGCCTTGCTTATGAGCTTAAAATGTGGATCCAGATGCATCTTGCTTATGAGGTTAAAATGTGGGTCCAGCCAATAATACCGCAGTCCCCTTTGGTGAGTGTGTGGTCTCCTATCTCCGGCTCCGTAGCGGTTTTGTAGCTCACTGCATTCGTAATACCTCCAGCTGGGGGCTGAGAACTGATGCAATTTTGGAAAGTCAACTGGTAAATTGTAGATAACAAGGCTTGGTGCGACGGAAATGAGCAACATCCAGACTCATCGTAGCGTAGAGCAGTCGCATCAACTCATCGGATGAGGATATTCAATTTGTACGAGCAATCAAAAGGTCCAAAAACAGAGTTTGTGGTAAAAACAGTCTTCTACTGTACAGAACAATCCATTGACTATCAACGAAAGTCCTTGGATCTGCGGCCCACCCACACATTGTGCATCTCACAAAACACACATGAGCTCGCTAGACAACAGGATCCATCAGTCAATTCGGGCCATCTGCCCCCACCACGCGCACCTCTCATTTGCAGCCGGGTCACTTCCAACCGAAATACCCTCTGTGCTCAACACAGTCAAGGTTGCATTTTCACCGTACGTGGAGACGGCTGCAAGACCATCTTCTTGGCTTTCGGGTAAACCCCGGGCCGCGAAGCTGGTGAAGTAGTCCTGCATCACATATGCAACCGTCTGATTATTGCCCCACATCGTCAGCACAGGGAGCCCCGGGTAGGCAACGTCCGGGTTGTAAAAGGTGTACTCGACGTCCTGCGCGTGAAGCCCCGGGAGAACGTTGAACAGGTAGGAAGGATGGCTGTCGTACGCGCTGTTCAGGGCAAAGGCATTGCAGACGAAAGTGCCTTCGGCCATGGTCAGCGCGGCACGTGCAATTTGGTCTCCGTATCCCATTGAGCCGTCAAAGACGGAAGGGTATAGATCGTTGGCGATGTGACTGATTGCGTTCTCGCCAGCTGTAGGAAAGTTGGCGCGAATGAAGTCCAGGTACTCGGCATCGTTGGTGATAGGAGCGGTGAATAAAAGACCCTCATTCGAGTTCTGTCCGACCATAATTTTCACCGAGGCATCGAACCGGCCAAGACTCAGCGCTACCTTCGGGTCTTGCGTGACATAGATTCCATCAACGGATGGTCCGAACCCGTAGCTGCCATACGGTGAGGCAAATATCTGAGCGTCGTTCGCATCCATCAACTGGTCTGTTGGCAGGTCACGAGCCTCCGTCAGGCTACTGACGTTTGCAAATCGCAAAAAGTCTTGTAATCTCTGCTCTTGGGTAGCTGTAGACTGCATGGGAGTCCACCCTGGGGACTGGATGATTGCCTGTTGAAAAGGCGCAGATTTGCGGCCACCGTAGGCTGTGAGATGATGGGCGATGGAGCCACCACCAGCTGACTCGCCCATGACCGTCACACGGTTTTTATCCCCACCAAAGAGATGGATGTGCTCCCGAACCCACTCCAGAGCCAGTCTCTGGTCATGTAGTCCTGCGTTTGCTGTGCCATTGGCTTGGAGGGTTGGTCCTGCAAGGAAGCCAAACGCACCCAGCCGGTAGTTCAACGCCACGTAGACAACACCCTCTGACGAATTCGTCTGGCTCCGACTGAGAAGGCTTCTTGGGTCGTATCCATTCGTCTTGGAACCCACGGCATAGCCACCACCTTGAACGAGGCTTAGTCAAGATATTCACATAGACTTTGCAAATCTGTTCCTTACCGTAAATCCAAACTAGAACAGGAGCACCTTGACCTTGACCTGCCTTTGCAAAAACCGCTTCAGGAACCATCACGTCCAGGAATAGGCAGTCCTCATTCTGCATCGGATCGCGAGACGGCGTGGAGGAGCTGTTCGCAGACTGGCCTGCCCTAGTCGTGGCATTCGGAACAACACCAGATTGGATGTAATCAGGGACCCAGCCGATGGATTCCATCCATGGCGGGTAATTTTGTGGACATATGCGGGATTCAGAGCCGTCTTGGATTACAGATCGGTCGACTGCTGGAGGCTCCGGCGCCCTGAATCGGAGGTCTCCAACAGGAGGGGCGGCATAGCGTATGTTGGAGAAGTTGTAATACCCTTCGGCTTCCTGGGGGGACATTAGCACACTTTCTCAAACAAAGGGAAAGCCAAAGAGTTACATTGAAGGCCGCTGCGCGGTGAAGTGCATATCCTAGGTCGAGCACGGGAAGTGAGGTCGTGGAGTTCTGCGCTGTGACAATGCCCGACAGGACGACGGTCAAAGCAACCGCCCTAAAATATCGTGTAAGGCACATGATGAATTTTGATGTCGAGTTCACACTACTTCTGGATGTCTTTACAATATTTCCGAACGACTTTGAACGCGTTGAGGGACGAAACCTACCTCTTTTAAAGTCATTCTTGGTTATGGCCCTACTCAATATGACCGTGCTGTCTACAATTTACTTGATGAGTTCAAAATGAGTGTACGGCGATGCCGATGCGTAGCCCCTACCAATGTGAACCGTGGACCTCGCCCTGGACCTGGACCTGACCCTCACCGTCACGTTCACAGTCACGAACTTGATGTTTAGGGCGGAGTCCGGAGATAAGAACGGATCCGGCCAAGCCATCTGGTGTCCCATATGTCCAAGGAGTCTTGCATGTATATGGTTCCCACTTAGTTATGCTATCCCTGCGTCCCGTGAAAAAGTAAAAAAGAAAGTCAACAGCCTTCGATCAGCGTCCGAAATATAGCCGCGAGGACTGTACAGTCTTCTCCGCCAGGATGTTGCCGGATACAACTTAACGATGCATTAGTTCGCCATTAACCCGTTCAGGGGCCATGGCACTCCGCAGACGGTCATCATGATGGCTGTGTGCCGCCGCTCTGGTCGGCGCCTAAAATGTCCCAAGCATCGGCATTCCAGTCCTTGTCCACCAGAATGACACAGGTGCCAATGTTCGCAACACAGGGCCCACCATCTGACATAACTTTCGACTGTCTTTTCGTATCTGACACTTTCGCGGATGGGCTGTCATCCGAATTTTCTGGATATGAGCCCAGGACAAACAGTAGCAATTTTCGGTGCCGATTCTCTATGCCTTCTTGCTGCGTGCTAGGCCATGCACCGAGGGGCTCGCGACATGCTCGATTCAATCTCTGGACCTATTCATTTTGAGATAGTGGTTTTACTGTACACTGTGATATATGAGACTCGCTGGAGCCAAACAAGTTAAGCATCCTGATGCCGTGGAAAAATCAAGCGCTTGTCCCCTCGTTGTTCGCGCCAATAGTTGGTAGAATCAAGGAGTGTTTGGCAATCCCGAACAAGCCAGCCCCATTTTCGTAGGAACGGAATGGTGGCTTCCCAAGCCCATGGGTCAGATTGATTGCCCCAAATTACCAAATTAGGCTTCTCGCGATCATTCTCTTCGACATCAACCAAATCAATGTTGAGCTCATCTTCCTCCGCGGTGCCGCAGATGCGAAGGATGCTGTCCCTCACCTCCGGGAGCGGGAATATGTCGATCCACGGATGATGAGACACCGTCCTCTGCAACGCGGTGGGCTGAAGGCTCGGAGGCAAGGAGGCTTCATCCGGCCTGGGAGGGCCATTGTGGGCGAAAGGCGAGAGCGTGTTTTCTGCGCAGAGTGATTCAATGGTGATATTCAAGGTAGCGGCATTCTGGGCAAGGGCGTCGAGGACGTTGAGTTGCACCAGCGTCTGCAGCGCAGTGGGCCGCGGCGCCGCCAACATGTAGTCCTGATAGGCTTGCTGAGCAAAATCTGTCAACCGGCTTATCGCTCCCGGGAGCTCTAAGTGGCAACGACGGCCTGGGGGGAAGCGTTCGTAAACGAGTCGCACGAGCTGAATCACGATCCCGTCCGGTGGATGTTGAAAATGTCGACTCTGATGTATTTTCTTCCCTGTAGCACATCATTAATCAGGCTGAGTAGCTCGGCTTAAGTGACGGAACAGACTCCAGTTTCTTTGGGCAAGGCGGTTCTGCATTCGCCTCCGTTCCTTAGGATCGGTTACCCCTGTCCAGTCATCCTCTGCATTAGACGCTCTCGCCTGCTGGGCCATCGGAGCTAAGACAACCGTAGCAGAACTGCTGCTGGCAGTGGAATCCTCAGCATCGTCATTCATTTTAAAAGCCAAACGAGCCTCTTGAGGGGCACCAAAGAGCAATCTGCAGGCATTTGGTAAGGTACTAGGCAGTAATGGAAGTGGGACAGCCTTCGGCAGTCGTCCGCTTTTAATGGAGGGGGCCACGGACGCGGGCCCCTTGCATGCTGCGATCAGACGTTCGGACGCTAGCCAGAACTAATTTGCTCTTGTAGGACCCACCTGATTGCAGAAGACCAAGGTGAAGGAACTGTTTGTGATAAATACACTGATAGAGAGTAGCCGTAACACGATCTACACTTGGCTCCATTCGTGTGAGCAGCGCCTGGGTAGACTCCAAGAACCCATCCAAAGCCCATACGAAGTCAGTGATATCAACCAATGAGGAGACAACGATCACCCAATAATCCTCAGGTAAACTTCACTTTCTCCATCTTCCTGTTCTTCCTACAAATTCTGTGCTCCAATCGCAAAGTCAAAGGGACGCAGACAAAAAATGCAACTCCCTTTCCGCGCAGCAGAGTTAGCAGTTTGGATTGTGCCACTCGTGCCACCGAACCGCTCCAAGAAATTCTGGATCATAGCTTGAGCCATGCTTATCAAGTCGTCGTAGTACTAAAATCAGCACACTCATTAAAGACGAGCTTCATGACTCTCTCGGAGCTGTTGGTGGGAAGCCTGCTCATCTGGCTGTATAAGTTGGGGATTTCTCCTTGAAAATGCACACAATCTTCCGGCAATACAGCGTTGCCGATATTTTGTGTTTTCAGCTTCTACTTCGCCTCGCAATGCCGTCAAGCAGTTGAAGAGAAGCGCGCCGCGCCTTTCTTTACCGTGTCATTGTGCGGCATCATAGCGTACCAGGCGCAGCCACGCCATGACTCATGGTTCTCGAAGCATCTGATACTCTTGTAAAATGAAGCTGTACCGGAGCATAGGCACGACATTCTTGAGTATGGAAAGACACAGCTGGATGAGTGTTTCAACTGTTTGCGGTTTTCCCCTTGGCCGGTGCAGATAAGATCTTTCTCTTTTTGCCATCTAGGCGAATCATGTACGATAAAACCTGCAAATCAAAGGGATGCGAGCTTCATCAAAACATGTCTGCTTGGTCATGCACAATGGGATTCCGCGAAATTCTTATATGCACGGGCGTCCGTGAGCCTATCGGAAGGCAGGGATTATTCAAAATTCGATGGTCATCGTACTCCCTCTCCTCCGTCAGTGAGTGATCTTGAGAGCCAAGTCTTGGCCCACGTTTCGACCCAAAAAGTATGCAGTTCTCTGGCTTGAGAGGGCAGTGACGGGTGATATGCCGCGTCACGCTTTTAAATCGGCTCTTGGAAACGGTAAAAGCCTGCCAAACACACTCAGATCGTCTCCTGAGAAAGGTGGAGTGCTAATTGAAGTTGGGTTGCCTTCGGGTTTAAGCATAATTCCACCTTACGAATTCTCTTAAGACCGATGTCACAGCCTCGTTCGCGACCAGGTATGGTGGACATGATAGAGAATCCGCGGTACTACTTCGGCAACTGCTATAGAGCGTATCAACGGCATATCTATCCGAACAATCCCTGAACTTCAGCTCGTAATTGTTGCAAGGTGGAACTGCAACATCAATAGTGACGCATTTATACATGATTCCCCGTAATTGTCATGTACCGCCTCTGATAACAAAATAGTCTATCCATCAACTGACTTCCCCGTTGGTCAGTTGATATTTCGGAAAAGATTCGTGTTCAGCATCTTGACCTATCGAGTGCAGATAGGGTAGGCTTGTGAGACCATACGGACTGTGTGAACCCGTAGTCAAGAAAACACTCTGTCGATCTTGGCAGTCGCAATATTTGCGTAGGTCTTCGCTGGACATCCCAACGCTGCAACACAGGCTGATCGCCAGCCCACTGGGGAGCAGCCTTGGGGCAACTTAGTCCAAATACATAAGTAACCAACAACCCATGGACTATCTGTAGAAAACGTTGTTCATGCATCTTTCCCAGAGCACCTACGTTCTTGTACAGAAACTATCCGAACATCTTCCACCATGCAGTCATTCATGCGTGCCGTCGCCTTGGTAGGCGCATACAATGTCACAGTCATTGATGTACCCAAACCGACGATTGTGAACGGCACAGACGCCATTGTGCGCATTGCAGCGTCAGCAATTTGTGGTAGTGATCTACACAACTACCACCGGGACTTAGGCTCGCCTGAGAGTCCTCTGCGGATTGGCCATGAGGCCATTGGCTACATTGAGGAAGTTGGCGACTCTGTTGAGACGCTGGAGGCTGGCGATTGGGTTGTCATTCCCTTCGCGTTCAACGATGGTCACTACCAATACGGACCCTCAGTCGATGCACCGTTGGCGTCTGAGACCGGCATGCAAGGTAAATATATCTATTTTGACCATCCTGCGTTTGTGGAAGTGGAAGCCGTATAGAACAGGCTGCTAAATGGTCTGTATCTACAGCCGAGTATGCGCGCATTCCATACGCAGACGACTCTTTGATGCCTGTGCCCATCAATGGTAGCGCTAATGCCTCGACAATCCACGACTATCTCTTCATGTCGGACATCCTCGCCACAGGCTGGACAGCACTCGACTTTGCCGGTCTGCTTCCCGGCGACACGATTGCTGTCTTCGGCGCGGGTCCTGTGGGACAGATGGCTGTGCTCTCTGCCGGCATACGCGGCGCCTCAAAAATTTATGTCGTCGACCACGTGCAGGACCGGTTAGACCTGGCTGCCGCCCACGGTGCTATTCCGATCAACTTTGTGTTAGAGGATCCGGTAGAGGCCCTACTCCGTCTCGAACCAGATGGCATTACTCGAGTCGTCGACTGCGTCGGTTGGGAGGCCGAGGATGTGCATGGAAACGTCAACAGCAGCATCGTTCTGCACCAGGCCGGGCAGCTAGTGGCGCCGCAAGGCGGTATTGGTATAGTCGGGGTCTATGGAACTGGGAATCAGGCGCAGACTGTCGACCTCAAGCCTCTCTTCATGAGTGGTTTTTCGGTGCGTGGCGGCGTTTCCGCGCCATTGCACCTCGGTACTGAGATGCTGAACCTCATCGCCGCCGGCAAGGTGCACCCGAGCTCTATCGTGAGCGCCGTCATTGATGTAGAGCAAGCACCTGAGTATTACGCGCGGTTCGACAGGCGGCAGGAGACTAAAGTCGTTATTGAGTTTCCATGAGATTTATTCCCTGGGAGGAACCCTAAGTAATTATTACAACCTAGCGGTGATATATCAAGTAAGCTAATGTTATTAGGCTGTATCTATATTTGGCTAACACATTTGTACAAATAATATTTCGCGTATTGAATAATTATTACTCAGAGTTTTTCGAAAAGAATACATGATTTATTGGTGTGTAATTACTCTAAATATCACTAAAATAGATCTTCAACATTATTAGGACTTCGAATTTAACAAGGAAAAAGCAGTTCATTAATGCCCGAGGTTCTACAGCGCATGAGACTTAGGAGGAGGAGGAAATTTGATAGATTTTGAGACAGGAAGGCATAATTTGAACTTTGTATATCTTTAACAGAAGACAAAGTGGCATCGACACAATCATCCATGCCACCACTGCTGGAGGCATGCTATGATTAGGGACATCAAATTGGCAGACTAAACTCAGCCCATGATCTCCTTCCAGAAACAGGGCATGGAAATGATAAGACTATGAAAATTATAAGATGATAAACTTCTTTAAAATCGGCCCCAGTTCGAGGCTTTCTCCCTTGCGAGATCCATGTGCCGTATTCATGGGGCATCTCATTCATTATGTGGTACAAAAATAACTCCATATCGTTTATCACGAGTATTTGCTTCGTCCGAATAGCTCCCAAACGCTTCATCCGCAGTCAGCCCTGGTGATGGATGCCGCGGAGTATGATCGTTCTTGTCTCCTGTAGCCGGACTTTCCAAAGCCTGAATCGACGATACGGGTTGACCAGATATCACAAACGCCTGTTGTTCTAGAGGGTCATCTCTGACACCAACTTTTTCTGTCTTGACTATGTGTTTCCATTCCTTGGGCAGTCCCTAAGAGGGTCAGTAAAGCACTTCGAGTACCCTATACCAGCATGAATGCTAGAAGACTGCTGGGTCCAAGACTTACGCTAAACTCTTGTGTGTCTGTGCTATAAACAATGTGCGTGACATGTACCGGATCCATAGGCGATGAAATGATAGGACGTCTTCTTGCATATCGCCCAAGAAGCTTAGTCCCATATCCTCTCCGTGATGATGTTGGTTGTTCTGGTAACCACCCGGGGTCAGGCACTGGGGCTGAGGGTGGTTGTGCTGTTGTATCTGACTGCAAGGCACCTTCTTCGCCGAAAATATAGCATTGGCTATTACTCAGGTCATTCGAGTAAATTGGAAGCGCGTAGAATGAGATATTCGAGAGCTGTGACAAGCTCAGCTTGGAGAACATTGATAGTGCCGTGGCGTGGAGCGCCGTGCTGGACGTGGATGCCATGGAATCCCGTTTGTTAGCATTATTGTATACTCTGGAGGTCTCCAGGTCTCGGTCAAAAGAGAATCGCAGAGAGAATCTAGTGTTCTGAGCGATCAAAGAAATTCCAGATAAAGCCCCGCTCCGATGCTCCCTCGAGGCAATTGATTGAGCTTCACTTTGGGCAATGATGGAGCCCTCGCGCTCGAGTCCGTCGATTTTTGCGGCTAGGTCTGGACTATGTCGTAAAATATGCTCTATCAATACGTAGAGACGCTGATTTGAGCTTTCGGCTTCTTGCATCGTCTGACTTGAAACGCAAAGGCTGTTAGAGAAGAGTGCACTGGATAGGGTCATACGTCCTGCAACTTACCACTGTAGGATGGTCAACATAAGCGTCAAGGACGACTTGTGATTCTGCAGTCGCCCAACAAGCGCTCCGATATCTGATTCCTCCCTCCACCACTGCACCTTTTGAAGCAATCCCATATTTGGGCTGGTCTCCAGATCATCCACCTTGATCTGAAGATCCGAGTACGTCGTGACGCATCCCGTGAGAGTAATCAAAATGTGCTCAAGTAAAATGAGATTCTCTCGCTCAGTAGATGCATCAGCTCTCCTATGCAGATAGTTTTGTATAAAGCCAAGGGCTGCAGTGATATCGTCAATCTCTTGAAGAATCTGTTTCGCTAGCCCTGGAGCATTTGACACGCCCATCACGGCCTTCGTCACCGCGTTAGTAATCTTGGCACCGGCTGCGAGAAGCCCGACGATGGACGCAGAAACGGATAATGGATCCATTCAACGCGAGTTCAATTCGGAGGTGGAAGGGACAGAATGAAATGATGCGTATTGAATTTTCGAATTGGCTGGCTATTTTAATGTTCTCCTTGGTTCCTCTCTGCATGATCTAGAAAAGCCGGGGCGAATTCGTGCAGATACGCAGCCACCACCACCTGCTGCGGACGCTTGGCTGTGTCACACAAGTCAGCCTATCGGCTTGGAAGGCGAATCATTTGAAGCTCCAATGATAACGAGGCTTGTCTAGTTCATGACATCGACGGGTCAGCTCTTGTTTTCAGCTTTCCCACCCACCACACTGGCTGTCGAATGATGTCAGAAAACCTACCTAGGTATCACAAATACCAGATTCTCATTTTTTGCCTGATACTTCCAAAAACCTATATTGTGTGCAACTGGCTCTTGGCTGCATCCTATACAAAAAGCCTGTGTCTTAGTGGTCGCCAACCGACTATCACTGGATGCAAACAATCACCAACTCCCTACGGTCTAGTGGCTATACATATTTCGTAAGACTGCGAGTTGCAGATGTTCATTGTGCATGATAGAGTTGAGGAGTAAGGCCTTATTGATACAATGCTTAGGGATCGTAGAGGGTGGCGTGGCGCTATGCGCGGACACTTAACTGTCAACTAACCACAATAAGTGATCTTTTAAATAGGTGAAGTATCTATAATAATAAAAGTACTATTAGGGTTACCCCTAAATAAAAAAGATTGTATAAATTTTAGCTAAAATATTTTTAACTATAAATAAAAGTAAAGAATTCGTTTTTAAATAGCTATTTATATTAAAGTTATATTTTTTTAAAATATTTAAAACTGTTTTTACTTTATTATTTAATTATTTATTATAAATATTTTTATTAATTTTAATATGATATAGCTGAAACAATAGTATTTTACTTTTAAATTTAAATTTAAATTATATATATTTGTGAGAGCGTGGGGCTGAACGCCAGCGGGGCCCTCTGGGCTGGGACCCACAGGGCCCTTATCGATAGGCTTATCTTATCAGCCCACCGCCATACTGTAAATAGCTTCCAAGGCGCGCGCGCAGCTACGCTGCCCTCGCCTTTCTTTTCGCTAGGCGAACCTTAACAGAAATCAACATATTTCTACAGCCAAATCGAGCCTTCGTGCCGTGACGACGTAGGGACCGTCTCAATATTCAAATATTAGCTTTATTTTCAAAATATTTTAAAATATTTAATTTTAGGTCAGTATATTGTAATTGTATTATATAAAATTTGTAAGTAGTTGCATATAATCAGTTTTTAGGTTGAAGAAGATAGAGGAATTGCTTAAAAGACTGGGAGGGTGTTATGAGTTATGGTATGGCGGCTTTGACCTTAGGAGTAGTGGGCTCTGGTTAAGCAAATGCAGCACGTTGCTTAAGGCACAGAGCTTTGCTGTTTTCATGTTCTCAGCATATTATAAATTTCTGCCAATATCACTGCTTTACTGATGTGAAGCCATGGGCAATTTGTTCAACGAGCCAGCTCTTGCGTTGTACCTAGATATGTCGCATGAGAGGAGCCAGGAAGTTCAAAGTGTTGCTCTGGACTGGAAGCGTCCTTTATGAAATCTTTCTTTCGCCTCCCTTCTACATCACCCCAACTGTATCCGCCCAGACGCCCACCACGACAAACACCCCATACACACATCCAAGCCCCATCGAGAAAGGGGAGGATGAGGAGGCCACGACACCGAACATCTCAGGAGAGGTCAACGATGTAAAGATGGATGCGGTTGGCGGCTACCCCCGCCACAATCACCAACGCGAGAACAGGGCCAATTGTAATTTTGAGGATAAATTCGCCCAAATCTCCATCGTTCCCAGATCTGTTGCTACCTTGAGTGGCCGCGTGTTAGTTGACCGTGAGGTGTGGGGGCACATTTAGGATCAAATTATGATCTCGAATTGATGTCGTTATTTTCTAGACCTCTCGTTCACCGACTCTTTGGTAGCCTTTGAAGACGAAGTGATTGTTCATTCGGAATTGATTTCTACGTACAACGGTGACGGAAGTTGTGGGCGGTTTGGCGGGCTGCTGTCGCGGGCTGCGCTCCTCGCCAGCGAGTGTTTAGGTAATGACTCAGGCCATTGGTTTCGTTGCGGCTTGAGAAGAATCTCGTAGATCGCAATGGCCCGCTGGTGGAGGTGCGGACGCGTTCGGCGCACCGGTTGCTGGTGCAAAGACCTGAGAGTGCTCTTGTCGCAGCTTGCAACATGTGTACACGCGTCAGCTCCATCCGCCCGTGGGCCCCGTCTCCCGTCTTGCCCGCAACACAATGCGTGTCTCAGGGGACTATTTTCGTGACAGGTTGAAATCAGATAACTCGGGACGTGCAGTATGTATCTATGTATGGTATTCTGGAACTATCTGCCGTGACCCACGAGAACGAGGCGCGAGTATATGCCCATGGGTGGGCAAGGCGGAGAGGGCGTCCGCAGGGCCGCGTACTATACACATCCTGGGCAATTTGTGGGTCGTTGCCAAGTCGGATCTGGACTCTGTGGTAACTGCATGTCTGGGGGATCGAGAAATTCCCCGGAGGGTTACTCAACCTGAAACTTGACAGCCAGCATCTACGGTAGATAGAATAAGCTTACTTCCTAGACTAACGGTTGTTTTGTGCCCGACTTGATGGCGGATTTGAAGTCTACGGACTAACTAGTGTAGAATATGCACCCATAGTCAACCATTCAAAACTGCATGGCGAATGTTGTCTGGTCGGGGCACATCATTGATTAACGTTAGTAAAGGCTCTGCTGCAAAAGGGGCCAAGACCACAAGTGGCCAGTTACTCAGCCCCACAGGGCCACCAGTGTTACTCGGAATGTAGGATCTCAATGACGATCTCCCATTTCAGACCATCTGCTCCACAGGGCTGATGCTAAGCCTCCGGTTGTCAGCACACTACGATCATAACGTTTGGGTTCCTATGTGGCATGAAAGCACTGAAACCAACGGGAGCATCCCGCATCCCTCCACATCCCACATCCCGACGCAGCTTGCCGTCGCATGGCGCTGCTGTTTACAGCAGCGGCACGATGGACCATACCCGCTTGGCCCAGTGACAGCAGCAAAGGTCCAGCCTCTTTGATGTTTCGATGTCAACTGGGCTGCTTACGACGACCTCCTCGGTGATCCCGTAGATCACGGTTGACGTGCTCACAATGACGGGAAGCGACAGTCACAGACAGGTGCCCACGAGCCCGACGACAAGCAGACCAGGAGACTTCGCCATGTTCTATAAAAGCCTCTCGATGGTCCTCAACTCAAAGGCTGGATGAAATTGTCATCATCTCCTCATCCTCGACATCACAACAACATCCTACTTCAACACACCTAATCAGACAACGAGTCCGCTCACTTAATTCCAATCCCTCAACATCCAACAAAATCATCATGAAGGCCTCCGTCGTCCTCGCTCTCACCGCTGCGCTGGCCGCATACGCCTCCCCCATTGCCCCCCAGGCACCAGTAAGTCTTATCTGTTGGGCTAGTATTAGTGAGAACCTACGCTGACTTTTCTCAAAGGGCCCTCAGCCGCCAGCTCCGGCTCCCGGGAACAACTTTGGCGCTCGTGACGCTCCTCCTCCCCCACCTCCTGCTCCTGAGCAGCCTCAGCCTCACAGGCGCGGCAACAGGCCAGCTCCTCCTCCCCCGGCTCCCCAGCCGGAGCAGCCTCGCAGGCGCGGCAATAAGCCTGCTCCCCCCCCTCCTGCTCCTCAGCCGGAGCAGCCTCACAAGCGCGACAACAAGCCGGCTCCTCCTCCCCCGGCTCCTCAGCAGCCAGAGCAGCCTCACAGGCGCGCCAACAAGCCGGCTCCCCCTCCCCCGGCTCCCCAGCCAGAGCAGCCTCACAGGCGCGGCGACAAGCCGGCTCCCCCTCCTCCGGCTCCTCAGCCGCCTCACAAGCGCGATGACAAGCCAGCTCCTCCTCCTCCCGCCCCTGAGCAGCCTGCTCCTGAGCAGCCGCACAAGCGCGACAACAAGCCGGCTCCTCCTCCTCCTGCTCCTCAGCAGCCCGCCCCTGAGCAGCCGCACAAGAGGGGTGACAAGCCAGCTCCTCCTCCTCCCGCCCCTGAGCAGCCCGCCCCTGAGCAGCCCGCCCCTGAGCAGCCTCACAAGCGCGACGACAAGCCGGCTCCTCCTCCTCCCGCCCCTCAGCAGCCTGCCCCTGAGCAGCCGCACAAGCGCGGTGACAAGCCGGCTCCTCCTCCTCCTGCTCCCCAGAAGCCTCAGCCTCGTGACAACGGAGCCAACCCGCCTCCCCCTCCTCCCCCCAAGCACCAGAACTAGATTGGAGACAATGGGCAAGAAGATAGATTTCGAAAGATTATGGTGATTCTGCCAAGGTCAGGAGTTGCTTGAATGGGTTTGCAAGAATATAGACTTAGAGATGGTGATGGACAGCTGGAGCATTCTTTTCACACCTGCAATCGTGCCTTTACTTTCATTTATATAGGCAGCCCTTAATACAATTAATTAACTATTCTCTTCCCAATCAATTTAAGCTCATTCACTTGATGTCGTTCTATCAGGGAAGGCCGAAACAGCTAAAATCCGACGAAAAGCCACAATGTGTGAGGATCACATGGACGACCTTGAACATTACATCTCGCTGGGACGCAGCTGCTGATGGTTTTGGAAAGCCACGTCGCTCGGCGGCTGTTAGCGAGTCAACTTAACGTGAGCCACTTATACGAGGAGCATTATGTCGGTTGCCTGCCTTGAGTCGATCCAGCATCAACTAACTCAGCACTCCTAGCCTTGACTCTCTACTTAATGAAACGGGACTTCGCCCATCAATGATAAAACGTGCATAGACTGCCAATCACTACACAGCGTCAATGTCTCTACCACCGCCATCACACCCTCCCTACGACTGGGAGGAAGACTGGGATTGCGAGCACATGTTAATTGAGGTACGGAGCTTTGGTAATATCCCCAGCGAACCGTGACTTCCAGCACCTATGACTGCTTTCTATTAGAGGTAGTGGAGAGTTCATTTCACAAAACAACTGCTTAAAAACTATTTCAAAACAACAAAGTATCAACCTTAGGGAACATGCATAGCGAATACCCCATCGAAGGTTAATTGTATATTGAAAATTATACGTTTCTTACATATAAACATTCTGTTTAATTCCCTTGCAAGCTTGTATTATTCGTTACGGTGACTTTTTGTATTGCACAAATTATATTTGATCCCGGCCTATTTAAAAGTTCGCCATTGCTCGCATCATGGTTCAGTACTTTCTCATTGCTGCAATTTTTCTCCTGCTTGACTCTCATAGCCGTAGGGTATGTAGATTTACATTCTATCTCAATGTCCTCAAGGCTCAAAAGCTTCGTCTTCGCTTCGCCTGGTGGGTTCCACATCTTCTTATTAGGTAATCGATGCACTTGATCACTACGTGGCTTCATAGTGCTACCGGCACAAGGTGTGGAGTGCAAACCCAACCCCGGGAGTTTGATCGAAGCTATTTTGCTTCTGGTGATTGCTGGCTTGCAATGTAGGTTTGTGAAGGAAGGGCTTGTAGAGGGTTGGTAAACGGGGATTGCTATGCAAATCATTGTAGTGGCGATTTTAATGCTTAAGTAGATAATGAAGCCAGTCGTATTTCCTGTAGTCAAAAAAGTTGTCAATGAGGTGTTACTATAAGAAATAATAAGCCCAAAAGAGAACGGAGCCTTGCAACAAACTTGTGTAATTAAGGCTTAACAGCTGAAGAACCTCAATTGTTCTCTTAATGCTAAATGCTTCGACTCTGATTTCAAACCACTAGTAGTTGCAGATATAGCTAATTTCGAGACATGTGTGGCGTGAAATAGCGAGTCGCAGAGCTCGATGTGGCTGATGGTACCGATAAAGAAAGCCGTCTGTCTTGAATAAGGGTCGAAATGGCCAGTGGAAGGAGGCCAACTTGGAGTCGAAAACCTCGATCCCGAATCGCACACGGAGCGGAGAGACGTTGAAAGACAAGGCTGCATTGAAAATCACATGGCATTGCTATCAATACGGACATAAACATGATACACATGACGACACAACCAGAGTCTCGCCACGCAGGTGTGATCAGACAGCCCTGGGCCAGCGGCAGAGTCACGCGGTGAAGACCTTCCATGCGCAAGCTGCCCGCAAGATCCAAAAAGTCACTCGATCCCCTAGGGAACAGTGTGAAAAGGGAAGGAAGAACAGGGGGTATAAGCGCAAAACAAACCACCGTTCAATACCCAATATACAGATAGACAAGGTGCTTTTGTTGGATTCAGAATACCTGCGCGAATCAACCTGACTGCTCCAGTCCCTTCTGCCTCCAGTGAACAGCAACACGCGACTGAGTTCCCCCTCATAATCTGGGCATTATCCATTATTCATCTCCAAAAAATGAAAACAAAGTCCAATTCAGTCTCGGCACGGGAGAGCATCACTCAGAATCAAACACGTCTTTAGCCCTCCTGGAGCGGCCACTAGCTCTCGTCGGAGCCTTGGCTGTCGCGGCGGCTGCCCTGCCTCGTGTAGGAAGAGCAGCTGCGGCCTTGCCTTTCGGCGCCGGCTTCTTGGAAGGTTCCGGCTTTGCCTTTGGGGCGGAATTTCTGCCACTGCGTCGTCCGTTCGTTGCAGGAGTCTCTTCTTCCTCGTTCTCTTCCTGCTCCACCTCAACCTCCTCTTCTGCTTCTGCTTCCTCGGAAGGTTCGGACAGTTCGCTGCCGTCATTCTCATTGGCCGCAGGTTCTTGCGCCTGCTCATCCTCGTCCATCGGCTCGGCTTCAACCTCAACCTCCTCTTCTTCCTCAACTTCCTCAGCCTCCTCATCGTCACTTCCCTCCTCTCCTTCCTCGCCTGATCCATAGTCCCACTCGGCGACACCTTCCAGCATCTCCTCGTCATCCTCGTCATCATCTCGCTCCACGTAGTTGGAGCTCCTCCTGGGAACGGCGCGGCCACTACGACGGCGTTCCGACTCGGGAATTTCTGGTGATGTTGCGCGGAGCTTTTTGGGCTTGGTCGACGTCCTTGCCTTTGGCGTCTTCTTGATGGTTGTCTGCTTCTTCGATTTGATGGCTCTTGGTTGAGCGGGCTTAGAGGTAGATCTAGCCTTCTTGGCAGGTGGTTGCCCACCATCGTCCATGGATTTGCGCTTCTGTTCGATATCAGTAATTGGTTCTATCTTGCCTTTGTTACATGTCCATCATGCGGGACATACCTTTTTGCGGTCCATCGACTGCAGGACTTTGTCCAGTCTCTGCTCGATGCCATCCGGAATGAACTGCTGCTCGGAGAGTTTCTGCGCAGCCTCGTGGTTCGGAAGGGCAAGGAATAAGCCCGTCGGTAATCCAGTCTTCTTGCTGTAGGCCTCGAAAGTCCAGCCCCGTTTCTCTTGCCATTTTCTGACAACAGCCAGCGCCAGGTCACACACCATGTAGAGATTCTCGCTCTTTTCAGGCTCAATGGCATCCTTTGTTTGCTTGACACGTTCTGCGTAGCGAGCTAGCAGACCCAGGTTGGATTCATTCGCCACGGTACTGACGTAGTACACAATGTAGCGGGAGTGGTCGACTAGATCATCTTCTGCAGGACCCAAATCTGGATGATGGGCCAGCAGAGACAACAGTCTGGGCATGATGGCTTCCATGACTGGTGTACCTGTTGTCTCATAATGATGGACTCTTGATCGGATCCACGTCTCCACTCTGGTCTTGAACTCTGTGACCGGCTCATATGCTGTGATAAAAATGATGGTGTAGAACCTTGTTCGAAGCTTACCCTGAACCAAGTATTTCTGAAGCTTCTCGATGAACGATCTCCGAGTCTGCGGATGGGCATCTTGCGCAACTAACGCAAGCGCATTGAAATCCTCTGGTGGAAGATGGTCATCAAGCTGCTTCTCCTTGCAGAGCTTGAGAACCAACTGACCCGCGAGGAGTCGTAATCGCGCTTTGTGATGGTTTGGTGTTTCCTTATTCTTGGACATCTCGCCATTCTTCGTGATAAGAGTCTTGAGCATCTTAAACACAGGCTTCGCCCTCTCCTTCAGACTTCCTTCGCCGTCTCCGCGATCCTGCTCCTCAGCACGCAGGCGGTTGACCAGAATCTTCAAAGCCAGACATTTCGCAATGCACTCCTCGTCCATGTCCGCATCACTGACCCAGTCCGGATCGCTGTCCTTAGCATCGGTGCGTACCTGCTTGAGAATGTCTTGGATCATTTCGAGGATGACCTGATCCTTATCGAGTGTGACCTTGGGCGTCAAGATCTCCAACTGAGAGACTATTGCCAGCTTGTTGAGGAAATGAGGAGCTCCATACTTCCACTGCTTCATAACTTCTTTGAACAGTCTGGTTGCATTCAGCAGACCAGTCTCGTCCTTTTTTGCTAGGAGAATATTGACCGCGTACTTGGCTGCCTTCCATGGCGTACCGTAGAGCGCAAAATTGACCATCATCTGGACAAAGTTCTTGTCCTTTGGGATCTCCGCGGGATATTTCCGCGCGTATGAAGCACAGGCCTTGAGGGTTTCGACAACCGAGGGTTCATTTGGCTGGGTTGCCGTAGGCGCCTTCTCTGCAAGGTCTTTACAGAGATCTCCAATGTGTGATTTGAAAAGGTCTGGTGTTCGCTGGGATATCTCATTCAGAATCTCATGCGCGGTGGCTCCAAAGCCATCCTGGTCGGTTCTGGAATAATCCAAGATGGTAGACAAATGGCTGCGGTTGAACATGAAGTAACCTGACCTGTAAAGCAAAGGAATCAGAACGTCAGCAACGCCAGATAGTTGCGCGCCCTGCAGACGCTTAACCAGCTCCTTTAATGCGTTTCTTGCCGTCTTGAAATCATGCTCCGGACCGGTGATGAATTTGACAAGCTGGTAATTCCGCGAATTGTTGGCCTTTGCGAATTTGAGCAGCTCAGACTTGACCTTTGCATCATCTGGTAAAAATCGTATGATGTAATCGATCGTATTCTTCAGATTCTTCGTCTTGCGTTCCTCATCCTGCTCCATGACACCACCATTGTAGGCGTCACATGCCTTGAGGAAAGTCTGGAGAATCGTGGCAAATTGTGGCTGGCGAGCTTGAATGGCGAAGAAAGCCTTTTTGGCGTTTTGGTCAAGTGAGCGAACGAGGAGTAGTATTCTCTCGCCTCTGACAGCGTCTTGATCGTAGCTGGCTGCTCCTTGCTGTGATTGCGACTGTGAGTTCCCATTCGCGCTTTTCGAGCCCTTCTTAGGAGGCGGGAACGACAAGGGAACTAGGCACTCGAAGACAACCCTGTCGAGAAGTACATTTACTTCCAGATCATTTGCGTAGAAGGAGCTGTAAATCTTTGAAGGGGCAGCAGACAAAGCGCCTACGACAACCTGGTTAGCGGCAAGAATCTCGCCTGTTGATATGGCCCAGAGCTTTCCCAGCAGCGCCATAGCATCAACGCGGACCTGCGGCCTTCTGTCGCGGCATCGATCGGCGAGGCTGGATAGGATCGAGTTCTCTTTCTCCAGGCCGCCGTCTGATGCCAGTTTGAGGATGAGGTCGCGGAAGCTGAAGGACTCGATTGCTTTCACGCCAGCCAAGCGGACCTTTTCATCGCTGTCATTGAGTTTCTCCCCTAATCCGCGGACGAGGGCTCTTTCATCTTCCCTGTTGAATCCGATTCCACCAGCATTCGTGGACAAAATGTACCCCACAGCCGTAGTCCAGGAGGCACGGATGATTGGAGACTTGTCGTTCTTGCGACTTAAGAAATTCAAATACGCTTGGTGGTATGTTTGGGCGAAGGACATTGGAGAAAAGGGAGTCGTCAGGGGATTTGAAGGGGCATCATCCATTTCGAAATCCGACATTCTGTACAGAGGGTATGCGGCAGGATCCAGAGCTGGTGGAGGCGGTGGGCCTGCTGCTCCAATGCCTGCAATGACATCTCCGAGGGCCTCTGTCGCCAGTTGGCGCAAGCTGATGTTGTCGGCTGACAGCTCCGCATCAAGCTGTGGGATAACATTCTGCAAGGATGCCGGCGCAGCTTTCCAAAGTTCCCGAATGAGCAGGTGAGCCTTCCGCAGCTCCTTCAGGTCTTCTTCTGATGGCCCAGCCGGGCCGTCCTCGTCATCCGAGTCTGCAGCTCGATGGCCGTTGCTGCCAGCCAAGCCCGAGGCTTCCATGATGACGTCGCTAAAGTACTGTCCTACAAATCTCGCCATCTTCTCCGGGTTCTCGACACAAACAGACCTCGCCATCTTGTAGGCCGCAGGTTCCTCCTTCAAGAGGAGTGTCGTTTGGTTCTCATCTCGACTTGCTTGTTCGGTCTTGTCCTTGACCGCTCCTGGAGCCGCGGCACGCAGGAATTGGGCCATGATGATGTCAATGACCTTGGAAGGGATGGTCGTGGCCTCGTCAATCAGCATCTCCAATATTTGTGTCATGTAGTGCTCGATATCCTTTCCGACAAGTTCGCCGGTCGGGGCTTTGGTCCCGGAGACGGTGTCGAAGAAGCCTGTGAACAAACGGACGAAGAGCTCATCGTTGTTCGGTATCTCATCAAGTAGGAGGATGCTCTGGACGTCGGAGAGAGAGATGAGGACATATCTGTGTTGATTGTTCCAAGTTGAGGAGGGGTCTTGTAAAGCAGGCAGAATCTGGTTGATGAAGAGGGCGAAGATGTCCTATCAGTCGCGTCAGCATGTCGTCGCAAGTTTCGCTCGGCCAGCTTTTCCAAGGCTTACCTTAAGCTGCGACGGGGTAAACGGGGCGTCGGGAGCGCAGATCTTAAGTATGTCCACCATGCAGCATGCAGCATACGCCTTGACGCCCTTGTCCTTGTGGCCGAGGATGTTGGCGGAGCACAGCTCTTTTGCGACCTTGGTCAACGAGTCCTTGTGTTCCCAGTCCTGATCCAATTCTGCCAATTCCTTGGCCAGCGTGTCGAGCCGTTTGTGCAGTTCGGTTGTCGGTATCGGCCTGCCAGCGCGCCATGACAATGGTTCGTTGAACTTCAGGCCGTCGTTGTCGCGCTCCTCCTCGGGCTGCTCTTCCTCTGGCGCAGGCTCAGCTGCTCTTCTCCGGCGGGACGACATGGTGCGCTAGTACACCCTCCCAATTGTCGCAGTGACGCTGATGAGGGCGTGATCGCAGTGCGAGCGATGCTCCTGAGCTCCGTGTTCGACGCTGGCTGGCAGCTGAAGAGGGTAGCACGGATCCGCCAGCTCTGGTGGAATCAAAACACCCAAAGTAGTCCGAGTGACGCCGAATGAGCGGCTAGGGCCTGTCGCGAAAACGGCCGCCCTTGACGTGGAATTGACACAGACACGGTCAGGATGGAGGATAAGGCTGCTGTTAAGTGGTGCAGAGCTTCGCGGAATGTGGATCGAGATGTGGAAGGCGTCGCCAGCTTGCAGGCCAAGGAAAGGTGGGTGGGTGGTGCGTGGGTGCGTGTTGCGTGGTCGTGGCAGCGTGGTCGCAGTCCCAAAATCCAAAGTCCCGCGCTGCTGCTGCCCAGCCTGAGCCTGTCCCGTCTCGTTACGCGACACTCGCTCTCCAAGCAACTGCAAGCGCGTGCTCCTCCACCCCCACAGGCAATTAAAAGTGGGTCCAATCGATAGCTCGGACGGGGGACGACGTCTCTTGCTTCATGCCTGTCTCGGCTCTCCATTTAACAGCCGCAAGCATTTGTTGATTGCCTTGGACCTGCACCCACATGTACCGTCGACCTCGAAATACACTGGCCTTTCTTTTCAAAATACGTCTTATTGATTCTCATCATTGCCTTACGCGACGCGTCGCATGGAGATAGACCCTCTGTCTGAGGAGACGGCAGCTCTCCAGTCTATTGTGAACACACCACTTCGATACTATGAACACTTCTTTTCCGTCCGAGATAGCTATGCTTACAATCAAATGATTCCTGGCTTGCATAATAGATTCCTATCAAATATTACACCGTTCTCTACCCTGGCGAGGCCTGCTCGTACGCGTCTACAGACAAGTGTCTGTGGGACCGACGATAGTGAGGATCACTGGGATCCTCATGACGGCACCGTCGCTGTCATGACGGAGCTCAGCACGACGGCCTTTCTTGCAGTCTGATTTCATAAGCCTCTATCTGAAAATTTCAGAGGGAACTTTGGCATAGGCCGTGACCTTGGGTCCAATTAAATGGCTTCCGTCTGCGTACGCTTCAAGTATTGCTGGATTCGGCATGGAACGTTGACCGCGTTGGATGTAGAAAGGTCTCATTTCAGGGCGCCTATGTGTATCGATCGACAGATCCATGCCATTTGGCTTCCTTCTATGCTACAAGAGGCCTGGCTGAACTGTCTGGGTCAAGCGACCCTGAGTTGACCCGAAGTCAGCTGGGCTTTGAGAGAGAAGCGACAAGGGCGGATTGGGCCGTCACTGGTCTTTTTGGACTCGGCTGTTGCCCCAGTCGTCCACCGGCCTTCATTTCTAGGTATTTGCCACGCATCTATCTGGTCAAGTTGAGTATGTAATTAGTTGTTCTGGGGCATGAGCTGTGCCTGTGAAACTGTTTTATTCCCAATGTCATGATCTATCCTTTGTCTCCCATTCGATGCTGGTCCTCGGGTCGTATCTTTCTCATACGGCTGCCCTTGCCGTTCTTTTCGGCCGAGAGTTGTATCTGATACCCACAGACCAGAACGCATGTACGTGTCAGCAGAATTGAAATGTACACAGGAAAATTTGGAGGGCAAGACGTGGCATATGTTTCTGCGAAAAGGGGCTCCCTGGCCTCTTGCAAACTCCCGAGTGGGAGCAGTTAGCTCAAACGGACGTTTCCATCTTGGCCGATGTTTCATCCGCTGTCATACAGCCCACAAAGGTGATTTTGCTGTATGGTGTAATGTCAGGTATACATCGCAACACGTCCACTGCCGTGTGTGCGCCCATGATCTTCATGGACGGACCCAATGGCCAGGATGGATGTAGGAACTGTCTGTGTGATGCACAGTGTGGAATCTTGACCCCTTGGGATGAAGAAAGCAGGAGTCGACTCTGGTCACGATGCGGGCGATTTATATTACCGCCTGCAGAGTGAAAAAGGAGAATCGCTGCAGGCAACATTGCCTGTGTTTCCGGCGGGACTAATGAGCGGGGAGGCACGCTGATGGTCATCAGTCATTGTCAGCCGAAGACAGATGGGGCACGACATGCAATTCTCTGTCGGGACCTATCCGTGTATTCTCGAAGCAGAAGGCCTGAAGCACAAGGAATGGTTGCTAGGTCGAAGAAGCCGCAAGCAAATGGCTGGGCAGCTGATAGCTTGTAGGAGCAGTGGTTTAGAGAGTGATTCACATGAACCTGATATTCTCTCTACGTGCATTTGACCTGTTCGAGGCTGTCTCCCACAACAAACATCAACAATACCAACACCAACCCATTAGACAATCCTGGACACTTCCCTTTCACAGCTGTCTAGGTGACCAACTGCCAGGCTCCTTTTTCTCCTACAAACCCGTCGCCGGCACCCGCCACACTTCTGTCTCTTTTCCCATCTCACCGACCACCGACTTTTCTGGCCATCAATCATCACTCCTCCTTCACCAACCATCCTCCATCTCGCACTGAACCTGTGTATCGTCACAGCAATCTCAACACCCATCCAATCGACCACCCTCAAATACCTTGGTATGCCCTATCCTCTCTTGTGATCTCTCCATTGACGTGACTCTCGATTGCCCATTACCACCTGGGTCGATCTTGAGTAACGTTGCTGCAAACACTTCCTCCTCAAACGGTGTCGCACAGCATCTCCTGTCTGTCCACTCTCCCTCGTCCAGATTGACCATTCATTTGTACGCACCACAACCTCATTACTCCCTCGTTGTGCGAATTTGCAGCCCTTCTTCCGTCCTTTTTCCTTCATCTTCCTGACTGCACCCTTTGCAAATATCCAACTTTCACCTTTTGCGTGTTGATACCCAGTCCACTGCAATCTTTTGTTTTCTCACCACGCCACCCTCTTTTTCAGCACCCACCACCAGCACTACACTCTTTAGTTTTGCACTCGTGACCACAGCAGCAACTGCCGTCTCCATCCTCACGCTCCTTACTTCTTCTAAAACCTAGAACTACATCACAGACAACGTATCTTACAATCTTTTCCTGACCCAGTCTCCTTCGAGCCATCGTCAGATATCAATCACCACCCATCAGTCATGAATGCCTCTGTTGAGAAGGGCGTCAACGCCCCAGAGAACTCCATCGCGACCCCTCACGTCGTCATCTCGTCATCTCGAGATTGGCGTCGTGAGCTCGATCGAGCTGCGAAGGCCGTTCTCATCTTGGTCGTCATTATCTTCTTGACGTGTATGTTCTTCATGAGCGAGATCTACAAGGGTATGTCATGCTCCCAATCTTGCAGTTCCCTGAATCTAAGTACTAACTAATACGCTTCGGACCAGACCGTGTCGTGATTGAGAAGCTCAAATATGAGCTGGCCAACGCACCTCATGTCCATGATGCGACTGTCGATGGTCGCATTAGCGATCGCATGTCATACCTGGAAGGCTTCAGTGGCATGATCGATGATGGCGACACTGTCGCCCTGGCCGCCCGCGCTGTCATGGTTTCTGGAGAGTCTTCCACTATCTCCTCCACTGTCGAGTTCACTGTCTCTTCCACTATCGAGTCCACCATTGCGTCCACTGGCACGTCAACTCTCGCGTCCATCGTCGCGTCCAGCACCAATGATTCTTCTGCCACTGAGTCCTGCCACACCGAGACTGAGGCTCCTACAACCACGGCAACCTTCTTCCCTGTCGACAATAGCACAACTGCCGCTGACAACTCCGCTACATCCACGTAAGTCCGGCTTTCCACCTGATTGAGCCTCATCCAAGACTGACATGGCATATCGCAGTGACACTACTCTGACTACTGTGCACACCATGATGACCACCACCATCTTTAGTAACAACACTGGCACCAGTGTCCTCTCAGGTGGCACAAGCACCCTCCCAGCTGGCAGCAGCCTCATCTCGGTAGACGCGCTCAGTGCCAGTAGCGACTCCTCCACAACCACTCTCACTGTTGTCCCGTTCATCACCACCACAACCAGCTCGATGTCAGATGCCACTCTCACGACGCCTGTGATTGTGCCTACTTCTTTCATGTCCTGTCTGGAGTACGGCGACGGCCGTGGCCCATGCGATCGCTCCTATGGTGCGCCCAACTCCCCACCCAGCTCGTTCCTCAGCCTGGAGTCTGCGCCTCCCACGTTCTCGACGGTGAGCCCCTCTCCGACCTTCGCCACCGTGCCTACTGCCTCCACAAGTGTCATCACTGGCTCTACGACCGCGGACACGGGCGCCGTCTCTGGAACGGGCATGGCGACCACAACTACGACCAGCAGCAGCAGCAGTATCACTGAGCCCGCCGTCTGCGTCCCTCCCACGACCATCTTCGTCACTATTAGCTCGGCAAACCCAACCATAGACAGCGGCCTGACCATCGAGTCCATCGGAACCGGCACCAGCATGAGCACCGGCCCCTCGACGCTGACCAGCACCAGCACCACGCTGATGACAACCATCACGTCGACCCTGCCACCCGCCGCCACGACCGAGACCGTCAGCACAGCGACCACCCTCGCCTCCGCCGGCAACTCCACCAGCAGCCTGTCGATGATTACGGCCACGGGCTTCACGCTGACCATGACGGCGCGCAACGGCACTTACACCCCGACCACCGGCCAACCGACCGTGGCCACGCTGCCTGCCAATAGCGGCGGCGAGAAGGCCGCTGGTGGCAAGCCCCTGGGCGCCAGCGGCAACGGCGGCACTGGCAACGGCATGTACTGCGTCGTCATGCTGGTCACCCTTCTCGCGCTGCTAATCTAGACGCGACGGTGTCGCGTTGTGGACGCGTTGCGCGTTATCCAGTTCCGCCTTTCATGTTTACCTTTGCCTCAGTGGAGGAAGCACCTTCGTTTTGCCCTTTCGTCTTTATTGTTCTGGAGACACATGGGCATGAGGGTGGGATGACACACCTCATCTTGGACCAAAGATCTCGGATTGGAATATGCCTTTCATTCCAATGAATAACCTCTTCTAATACTACCTTTCTACGCTCCTTCATCCTTTTGTTCACCTGTCTCTGGGAAGTTATTTTCAGGATCTCATCTTGAATCTGGAAGGAATGGAAGGAGTTGCCAGCAAGGGTTCGTTCTTTTCGAAGGCCATCTGGGATGGAAGGGTGTGGAATACATTCTGGTCTAACGGCGTTTCACGGTTCTATTGGTTTTCTTCGGTCTGGTCTTCACTGACTTATCTTTAATACGCCTTTCAACACTGGCAATCCGACTTTAAGACCTTCTGTGGGAGGCATCCAAAGACACACGTCTCTTGTACAATAGTATGGCAAAGGGTTTTACATGCAATTCATTGTTTGGGCCAGAGTAAAGGTCAAATCAACCATCAAAGATCACGCAACCAGACACTGGGGGCCTTTGTACGATAAGGGCACTTTGAGTGGTTCGTGGTCTACGGCTAGGCCTGATTTTCCGAGTGGGTGATTCTCACATCAGAGATCTTTGCTGGCATGGGGCTTCGACATACTTGGTCCTCAAGGCCTCACCTTTGAGACAGGATACTAATGCATGATACTACCCAATTACTCCGCTTCATCCTTGTTCTGTTATTGTGTGACGTGAGTGTGACAAATCTACATCGTGTAGGCTCTGGCGGCTAGTCTTTGCCGGGTCCGGTTTTTCTTTCTTTCTTTTCCACTAAATTGTAACCAATCAGGAACTTCTATTTCTGATTCAGAATGATGCATTTTGGTTCTACTTCCAGATCCTCAGCACGAGAACAAACGTGTTTAGTCAGAGCGCCACTGCTGGCCTGCGTTGAGGCTCTAGAGAACAGCTTACTGAAGCAGAGTTCTGTGAACAGAATTCCCTATACCTTTGAGTGTATACATTGGACCGAAGGCTAGAGCTTTTCTCACAATAGTACAAATCTGAGCGGCGAGGGCCATGGCTCATACCGACACATGGCTCATTGTGAGATATACTTCACTGTGAGGCATAGTTCACGCTGAGGCATGAGTCACACTGATACGTGACTAACTCCAAGGTATAGCTCATGAAGATACGTGAATCAAGGGGAATCATTGCTCATGATAAGACGGCGGGTCACATGGAATTATAATACACGAGGGGATACGGCTCATGCCGTAGAATACGTCATCAAAGACCACAAGTCACGAGGAAACATGAACCACGATGAAGAGCATTGTCACGGATACACGTTTTCATCTACCAAACATCACCTGTGGAGAGAGAATGATGAAAAAAGGCCGCAGGGCAGGATTTAGAACTCGTGAGAATTACTACCATAGGATATATCACACCGATACTCAAAAGAAAACACTCCACCCATCAGTATCGCCTTCTTTCGAAAGCACGCTCCTGAACGCCACAAACATTCGATGGAAACACCTTAGCGACTCCGTGCTCCTGATCCAATCCTTTCCGTTTTATTTCCGCCGCCTTTGGGGCAGCATTGAGTGCTTGGGATCTCAAAGACCCCCGCCTATTTCTTACCACGTTCCGTCGGGATCAATCTGTCTTCGGTCTGATCTCAGAGAATTATAGTCGTCATGACTGGGAGGCTAGTCGACAGCAAGAAAGCCTTCTGAGCCTTGTCTTCGATAGTCAGGCGAGATGTCATAGGCTTAACAACTCCTGTCGCTTTCTACAGCTCTGGCCAGAGATTTCAGCACAGCCAACCACCGATGAAGCCAGCTGTTGAGCCTCCTCCAAGCCAGGGATGACACCAGCTCAGGGCCGCAGGCCAGCAGTCGGCCACAAGCCCGCAATGCCACGACACATGGTCGATATCACTTAGTGCCTACGGGCAGCCTCTCGCGCCTTCCACTTGTCACGGATGGCGGGCCCCGCGTCCTCGAGCATCTGCTGTGTGACGGGGTTGTGGATGCTTTCGATAACCTTGTCGACGACGGTGATGTGGTTGGCATGCAGCTTGTCGTCGCGGAAGCGGTACATGCGCCAGCGGCCCTGCTCGTCTACGTAGCACTCGATGATGCGACCCACCAGCGGGTCGCCGAGGCCCTTGAGCGTCGTCCACTCCTCCTCCGTCAGGAACAGGTCCCCGTACTCGACGTACGGGTCCGTGCCGCGCTCGACTTGGCCCTGCGCGAAGATAAGCAGTTTCGCGGGTGGCACGCTCTCGTAGTCGATGTAGGGCTCGTTAATCCCCTCCGCGCGGTCCTGCTCGTCAGGTTCTACTGTCGGGAAGTTTAGTTGGAGCTTGAAGTCCACCGTGTTCTCGTCCGCAGGCTTCCACTTAAGGATGTGCTCGTCGGTGCCGCACTTGTATGGTGTCTCGCGGCAGGTGAAGATGAGCCCGTCGTTGCCGTGCGCCAGGTTCGGCAGGACCTCGCGGAACATCTTGACCATGCCGTAGGCCAATTGCATCTCTTTCATAACCATCTGGAACGCCTGAAACCGAGCCTCGTCGGGGTACTTCTTGAACACCTGGCGGTAGGGGGCGTAGATCTTCTGGTTGAAGTATGCAAGCCGCTTGTCGAGGGGCCGCTCCACGAGCGACATTCCGTCCAACGTAAGGCAGTCGAAGACGAGAAACTGGGGCTTTTCGCTTCCGTTCGGTTGCCGGCTCATGATCAGCTCGCCATCGATGATGGACTTGTCGTGCTGGCCGCCCTCATTCTCCGGTGTTGGGAAGTGCAGGTTGCGGTACTGCATGAACCAGAAGTCGTTCTTGCGGTCGATCAGGTAGGCGATTTCGTCGCCAACCTCGTCTGTGGTCAAATAGAGGAGATAGCGTATTCCGTCCGTCTTTTCGCAGACAAAGTAGCTGCGCCGCGGAAGAGACCAGGTTAGCCAGCCGTCGGAGGAGGCCTCGGTCCGACTGCAATGCGCGGGCGACTTACTCTTTGGTCATTAGCTCCTGAAGATGTCTCCTTGAGAAGCTCACCGGCTGTGCACCGGGGAAGCCGATCTGCGACCGCCCGAGAAGTCCAGCGACCTCTTGCCGCAGCTGCTGGAGTAGCTGGCCCTCGGCGCGGACGCCGGGCTCGTCGATCTTCCTGATGGGCGATGCGCTCGCGTCCATGGTGCTTGCGACAGTCGTTTTGCGACAATGATGCGCGTCCTTCCACTGGTCGAGGCGGCTACTTCAAAGACATAAATTCGATACGATGTTTCCAGTGCGTTCGAAGTAACATATCCTGTTCTAGTGTGGTTGGGTTAAAAAGCAACTGCAAAATGAATTAAACGAGATGGAGTGAAGTGAAGGTGAATTGATCAAAAGGGTCCATGGGCGAACTGAGAGAACGGGCAACAGGCAGTGAACAATGAGAGCTCGCTTCAGCGGTGCCTGCCGCCAACTTATCTGTTATCGGAGCTTAGCTCTCAGCCGATGGAGCATGGACCGCTTTGGCCTCAGACCGTTGCTACACATCGAATCGTAAGGGGGTCTGTCCTTTGAATCCTGCAAATTCGCAGTAAAGCTGGCTAGGTATCTACGAAGCCAGCACCCCAACAATACAGGCCTTCTAATGTTGATAATCCATTTTCTTCTGCTGCCAAGAACGCATGCCAGTCCACCCAACAAAGCAGACTGCGGAGAAGAAAGTGCCACACTGAACCTCTAAAGACTTTCCGCCTGCCGGGCTGTGGGCTCCGTGAATCATGCAGCAACTTATGTGCAGCTTTCATTATACAATTACAGCCCTGTCGTTGACCTCCCAGTCGCGTAAGGCATATTGGGCCGGTGGGCAGACTTAACGCAATCATGCATCCTTCATCCTCATCATCTCATCGTCGGGCATTGCTCGAGGCGCCTTTTCCGTCTGCCTGCTAAGACTCGTCGATCTTATCAACCTCGGCTCGCGCCTCCTCCCATGTCTCCTTGTTCTTCTTCGCCCACTCGATCTGGCTCTTTGCATAGGCGAGCTGGGAGCATGTTCATTAGCTGGTGCTGGTGCAGGTGGGGAAGGGTAGTCGAATGCGCAGTAAGGGTAGATACTCACCATGTAGCGTCTCAGGTCATCCTCCTTCTCCTTCTGGAATCGCTTCATGTCTTTCAGCACGCTGGCACTTGCATCCTTGACGTCTTGCGCGACCGCGACCTGCGCCTGCTCAAGTTGGGCGATCGATTCTCGGGTCCTGCCTATGGTGTCCCGCCGAGTCTTCTCCGGGTCAACATCAACAACCCCTTGCACGGCGTGGCGGATGGGGCCAAAGATCTTGTTCGTGATGGAGTTCCCGCTCGCTGCCTTCTTATGGCCCGGGCTGCTGTTGGATCGCTCAGGAGAACCAATCTTGGCTGATGGTGCCGAGGAGATGTCGCCGTGGGTAGGGGGAAAGTCCGAGTCAATAGAAGCCGTGTCTTCCTGGCTACCTTCCCTGCGATGCCGATTCGAAGAATCTTGCACACTTGTAGACCTCCGGGGCGGCTGAATCTGCTGGCTTCCACTAAGGTACTGGTCAATTCTACGGGCTTCCGCCTCACTCCTCTCGAGCTGGTCCAGTAGGAGTCTCTTCTTGTTGAGCTCATCGTTGGTGAGTTCTTGTTGTATCCGTTTCATGATCCGATATCGCAGAACGCTTCTGACCACACCAGCAAATTGCGCGTTTTCTCTCATGGGCTCCGCGAAGCTGGCCCCCAGAGAGGTCGAAAGCTCCTCAGTGGCAACGTAAGACATATCCGCGGCTTGTCCGATCCGCTCTATGACGGGGCCGAGCGTAGGGTCCTGCTCAGACAGCGCAAAGGCGTTGTACTTCGCACCGAGTTCTGACAGGTCCGTCGCCAGTAGAGAGTAGTGGCTGAGCGACCGTCTGTTGACCTTCTCCATAGGCCCCGAAAGCAGCTGTTCCAGTTCCTTGATGGATGACTCGAATGATGTGAAATAAGGATCCAGCTCCTGCTCGCTCAAGTTCGCATTCTCGGGCGGGAATCGGGACAATCCCGCGTTGTTTCCAGTGCCGAAAGCACCATCAACACCGGGGCCAATGGTCTGTTGCGACTTCAGCTTGCTGGAAGATGCTGGGATGGGCAGGTAGTTGTGGGCGGGTGTTGGGTTTGCAGGATCCAGCGGGGGTGCTTTGAAAATGGACTTTGGTATGGATGAGATCGGATGAGAATGGAGGACCTCGTTCTGCGAGCCTGTCAGTTAGCATTCACTCCTCATATGCTCTACTCCACAGGAAGATTCCATACCCAGCTCGCATTCGGGTCTAGGAAGCGCCACCACACGCCATCCGTCCGAATTTGCTGGTTTCTCCGACAGCGATTCAGAAACACCGCGAGCATGCGCTTCCGCAGGTCGATAATCTGCTGGTCCTGCTTCGCGTTGGTGGGGTTGGCCGCATAGTCGGCCATAGTGTGTTTCTCTGGGATCGGAGGGATAATGATGGTAGGGTGAAGTCGAATGAGCGCCTCGCGAAGCGAAGAGAACTCGGAATAACGTCTGCGAACCTCGAGATCCTAATGTTTCTGTCAGCTACCGGGAGCGACGGAAAGCCTCGCAAATGCTTACGCCTGTCCTGATTGTATAAACAATGTATCTGCCTCCGCTTTCCAAGCTCTTCCCAGCGTCTGTGATCAGGATAGGGAGCTCTGGGTTCTCGTAGAGGATCTGCTCAATGCGGCTGTCATAGCCGCCAGGCTTCCTTCGAGGAGCCAGCTGGGCTTGCGCGTCATCGTCATCGTCTTCATCGTCGCCGCTGTCTCGCGCGGCAGTCGCTGGCGCGTTGAAGCTTGATTGGTGAGCTTCCTCTGGGGGATGGGGGACGTCATACTGAGGATCTATGTGGTCCCAATCGGAGTCAGCATCGTCGTCAGACGAGTCAAGGGCGATATCCTGGAACATGTTGAACGCCCGCTGCACACAAAGCAAAGAAATCGCACGGTTAAGCGATACGCACACTCGTGAGAAGTTGGGGACGTGGGATTAGCTATGGACGAGGAAAACGAGTCCCTCCTGTCAAAGCTGTCCCCGTAGGGATTGTTGTCTTCGTCGTTCCACATGCTGCCCGTCTTTCAATTGATATCTAGCTCTCCCGGCCCAGGAGCGTTTTCTGTCTTATCCTGACGCAGGGTGTGTCCTGCTGATGCCGACAGGAGGCTGTCACGGAGGCGCTGGTGCTGATACTGGCGCAGCGGCCCGAAGGTGCACAGCGCAGGAGGCGGGGGTGGGGTACGACGGATGGAGCTCCTAGGATCTGCCACTGCACATGTAGAGCTTCCGGCACAGGGATTGCTAACAAGAATGCGATGGAAATCAAGCCATCCAATGCTGTTGGAGTGTTGCTTATGCAATAAGTGACTGGCGGTGTTGGGAGCAAGTTGGCATATGAAGGTGAGGATGATGTTGGGTGGAAGCTCGGCTGCTATCCTTGGCTAAGAGCTAGTCTAGTGAGCCGCGAGCAAGCAATGACGAAGCTGAGGACGCACGGACCATTCCACACTTGCAGGAGCCTTACATACCTTTACCTGCTCCACTGTCGTCTCCTCTTCCCTTGTTTTAGTACGAGGTTGGGTGTGGATCAACCCTCATGGTGGACACTACACCAAGGGTGAGTGTCTTCCTCACCTTGACGAAGCTTAAGACATGGTGGTGTCTATACTGTAGTGCACGTGGTATGACAAATGCAAGGTTTGCAGTCTGCAGGTCTAATATGAGTTTTTCATTGCATGGTGACACCGCAAGGAGTTTTTCCTTGTCTGGTTTGTCCCCTGCGGCTGTCCTTTGAACCTGCATAATTCTAGTGTCCTCGTGTGTCTGTCCAGCCAATTCTCTGGCCCCCAGACTCGCAGTCACCCGAAACCTGGTACTGCCTCTCTTCCTTCCTCTCTGTTGCAATTGGAAATGCATCATCATCATCTCTCTTCTCCCCATTTCATTCTCACTACCCCCATCTGCCTATACACGTGGCCAGCCCTTTTCCTGGAATAGTTGCAGGACTGAAGGGGGGCAAATCGCGGCCAACAGATGCCTGAAACTGAAAAGCAAGAACAAGTATTAAAAGAAAAAGCTGCCCCTTTGATGCAATGCCGCATGCGAGTTTGCGCATACATGAAACCCGGCAAAAACAGAACAGACAAATTCAATGAAGCTCCCCTGTTGCCGTTTTCCTCGGCCGGGGTATGGGAATTGCACATGCTGTTTGGTACTCCTTACTGAACATAACACATCGCTGAAGAAAGCCCAGTTATTCCTACAAAGTGACACTCGTCTTCGTGTTTGGGCTCATGTGGTACGAGCAATGAAGTGTTGTCCGGAATCTTGCTCCATCGTAGAGCGTGGTAGAATGTGGACAGCGGATGATAGTCGTAGAATGATTGAATGGATGTAGATTTTGCACTGAGATAATCGCTCCAGGCAGTCATAAGACATGTCATATGGTCTTAGTCCAACTCCATCCCATCCGCTGGAGACGTGGCCTGGTCTGGTACATTGGGCTCGGTCTCGGGCGTCTCTATGCCGCTTGTAGCGGGCTTGATATTGGTGACAGCTGGAGGCAGATCGTCACCGTCCTTGTTTGCTTCGGAGACTGGGGTGAGGGCGGAGTCAACGGCGGTCTGGGTAGCAGGCTCCTTGTCGATCCTTTTCTCGAGGTTCGAAGCCATGTCGGCAATGGTGTCGGTGGTAGATGTGGCATCGTTGCCGACGACGGACGACACAGCGGCGTTGACAATTTTCGAGACGACCTGCGTGACGCCGGAGTCATCGTCGTGATCGGCTTGTTGTTGGCCAGTAACAGGAGTGGAAGCACTATCTTCCGCGGCGGTTGTAGTCGGCTGAACTACAGACGATGCAGTGTGCTGCTGAGGTTCAGGACCGTCCATATTGGCAATGCCTTGGATCGTGTCGTCTGCACTCTGTCGTCTGTTGCCTGTGGTGGTAGGAGTGGGGCAGTCTCTTCCGTTCTGGGACATTCCGTCGAGGTGAGCTCTGGTAGATGTAGGACCAGCAGCTTCTGCTGCGTTCGAGTCAACATCGCCGCCATTGTCCTGCATATGTTGCTTTTTGTCGCGCTTCTTCAACTCGGAAATGATTCTGTCGTACATCTGGCGGGTCGCCTCCTTCATTGCCGCGAGCTCATCGACGCTAGCAAAATTCAAGGATTGATCAGTGACGTGCATCTTCTCCACAGATGCCACGCTCGTTATCTCCGTCGTTGATTTGGGATCAACCGGCTTCCCCTTGTGCCACACTAAGGGTTCTTGATTGAGCTGGAGTAGACTAAGAGCGGCCTTCGTTCGCTCCCTAACCTCGTCCTCGCGGAGCCTTCTGGGCTTTGTAACCGGCTTCCCAACAGCCTTGCGATGGCGAAGCATTCTGGGAAAGATAGTCAGCGTCCGATTTATAGATGTATACAGGTGCTCAACTTACTTGGACATGAAGTCTGCCTGCACGCCCTCAGAAGACAGGCGGTAAACGCGGCCGAAGCTTGGATCACGAAGGCCGCTGTGGCTTGCTGACTCCGAGTCGTCTTCAATCTCAATGTAGCCATTATTCACGTTGCCGCGGCGGTAGGCGTAGTAGATCTCGGACTGGCCCCTGATCTTCCGGAACTTGTGAGCCGGACCTAACGGGGCGACGTCCCTTAGAAGATCTTCAATGTGGCATGGGCATCTGAACAGGTTTGGATTTGGGGTGATGGCTCGCGGTGGATCCAAGCAGTCGGTGTGCCACCATAGACCACACAAAGAGCAAGGGAGAATCGGTCGGTCCCCTCTTGTGGCTTGCTGGCAGGAGTGACACAGAATCGGGACATTGTCCTTGTCGACGACTTGGTGATAGTCAAACTCCACCTTATCGACGACCTTTTGCCTCCTGTAACAACTTGTCAGCTGACATGTGGCGCAAGACGAGGAGCTGGTCGAGGATGGGGACTGAAGCTGCAGGCCATCGGCAAGTTGCAACATGCTCATAGACTCGGCTTGGTTTGTGATGTCGAGGAAAGGTATTACTTACTTTGTTCCCTTGGGCTGAGCAACGAAGTCTTCGTATTCTCCGTCGGGGCCCGTCTTGACCCCCTCGAAATACTCCCGGGTCTTCTTAGGCAGGCGGTAGCTCACTGCGTGCTTCTTATCAAGCGCAGTCATCAAGGGGCCCCATGGACCCTTATGCTGTTGGACGAGCCCTGGATCACGTTTAATGCTGCAGTCCCAACAGTACCACTCTTCATCCTCATCACTCAGGACGCTGTAGGGTATGAAAGGATCGTGGCACAATTGATGGAAAGCGCGAGTGCATCCATCACAGCAGACAATCTCGCCGTTGCCGCCGCAGGCCGAGCAGAAATCATCATTATCGACCTGTATCAACATGTTAGTTTGGCGTTGATAGAGAAGATCATTTGAGACGGTCCGATCAGATGCAGTTTTGAGACATCGAAGCAGGGAAAGCGTGGCGTTGTGTCCAGTGATGAGATGAGCAGGGATGACTCGCCCACACCTCACTAAACCGGGCGGCAGTGTCGGATCAACCGCTGGGGGCCTGCCACTGCCACAGCCACTGCACTTGTACCCGAGGCAGGGCCAGGGCCTGGGCCTGGAGGACCAAAACCCAAAACTTGGCTGACAACCCCCGGCAGCAGCGCAGCACGCAGAATCAACAGAAGAGAATAATGCACATCCAGCGCAACCAAAAGAAAAGGGTCGAGATGTTTGGCAGACTGGGGGTTGATACGCAGAACACGAGAAGGGAAGAGGCCGAGATAGATTTAAGAAAAATAATTGATGACCCTCATGAGAGTGAACGATGAGAACAGCAAAAATCGGACATACCTGCGCATTTGGATTGCCATTCATGGTTGGACTGGCACGATCAGCCCGCGCTCGAGGGTTTCCAGCCGCTGTTCCTGCTTTGTTCTTCACCGGCCTGTGAAAAAGCATCAGTACTAAGTCCACAAATAGCCTTCCTGAGAGAGTGGTGATGCTTGTGGAGGTTGGGATCTTGGTCATCAGCGACCTCGGTTCGCCGATGGCAAGGATTCATCCTGTGAAACCGATTCCTTCCATCGATAGCGATGCAGATCCGTGACAGTTTTGTCATGTCCAATAGTAGACGAAATGCCACGCCGAGGAGATGCAAATACGAGGCAGGAAGTATGAGGCAAGTCAAGGGCAGATGAAAGAAGACATGTACTTACGACACCTTAAGTCGCGGACCAGTACGAGCTCGTTTGGCAGGGCGGACAGGTGTTGCAGCCCGAGAGGTCACACCAGTGCTAGGCTCTCCGTGGGTAGCAAAGTCGGGCGACGTCGATGCAGCATCATCGCCTTCACGGTCTTCATGGTGACGCTTTGCAGCGCGGGTGGTCCTGCCACCTCGACCAGACTGGGTTGCAGCGGCAGGGGATGGACGTGGCTCCGGTTCTGGTTCTGGCTCCGGCTCCAGCTCCTCCACATCTGGCACCGAGGACAGGTCCGACTGCACAGACTGCTCCCGCACAAGTGAGCCTGGCATGAGTTCGGCTCTGACGTGGCTGTCGTCCTTGGATCGGGCGTCGTTGGTTAGACGATGGGTATTCTCCCTCGCCGCGCGTCTGCGCGTGGTCGTCAAGTCGTCCTCACTCAGCCTCTGAGTGGGGGTGAAGTCTGGAGCGCCACGGCGAGGGTTTCTGGAGCGCTGTAATCCTGGGCCTGGTGCCTCGCCGACAAGGTTGGTTGATGCTGCGTTTTGTTGACTGGCGTTGTTGGCGTTGGGTTCGGAAGGTGCATTTGCATTTGCATTTGCATTTGCACTTCGTCGCCCTCTAGCGGGTGCCCGCCTTGGGCGCGCCGTCATTGGCTGGAGCTCAGGACCAGGTCCTGGCTCTGCGCCGTTGGGTTTGGGGGCGCCCGCTGAGCTGGGACGCTCATTCTCGCCGGCGACAGCCTCGGCGGCGGAGGCGGCAGCGACGTCCATATCGCCGGCATCTTGCATCGGCTTGTCCTCGTCGGCTTCCTGGGGGGGTGAGAGCGGTGGGGACAAAGATTTGGCCGTCGACAGTGAGGAGTCACTAGCCACTGAGCCCGAGCGAGTCTTGCGTCGCGAGGGCGACGCGTTTGCACGGCCATTCATTCCGCGCGATGCAGATGCAGATGCAGTCTTGCGGCCGGCGGAGCGGCCGGTAGATGGTTCGCGAGTCTGCAATTTCTGCCTCTTGGAAGGGTGGGGCGGTGTGGCGACCGGCTCGGGCTCAACCTCAGCTGTCTCTAGCTTCACCTCTGACTGATCTGGACTCTGCCCTTCTTGCTGGGGCTGAGTTTCACTCTCGTCAGTAGTTTCGTCAGTGCTGTTGTCCTCGTTCCGCTTGCGTTTCTTGTGGTCGGCAAGTTCTTGCAGCCTTGACAGATCCAAGGTGACGAGATCCTTGTATGGGGCAGGCTGCGGCGGGTGGGGCACGTATTCTTTGTTTTCGCGCGCCTCTGCCTCAAAGTACTTGATAGCAGTCGCGTCTTTGTTTCCCTCGACTATCTTGGGGTTCAAATAGAGGCCAAAATTGAAGACCGAATCGGTACTGGCCGTTTGGCGGAAAATAGATTCCGCCAGTAGCAAGAAGCGCCCATTTCCCTGGTATTCTTCGTAGAGGGTCTGGTACGCGTACGCGACATCGTACCTGTGGTGTTTCAGGGCTTCGGCCACGGCGGATTCAAATGCCTTGGCCACCACTTCTTTCTGCGCAACGATGCGCTCGAGCTCCGACGCCGTGTAATGAGGCCCGTCGCGCCGTTTTGGCTGGGTGGGCGACTGAGGTGCAGATGGTCGGAGAGCAGGATTAGTCTGCTGAGGTGCGGCTGATTGCGCACGCGTAGCCGGCGCCATTTCGAAAATTGACGCGCTTTGCGCTGATGATTCACGCTTGAAGAAAGTGTCGTCAATGTCGTTGAGGGACGCGACGGATCGGGGTGTCGTAGGTAAGTGAGATGAGGAGAATGAGGGCAGTTCCTCGATTGACTGTTTGACTGGATCAGGCAGAAAGGGATTTGAAGAGTATGTCGGTGGGAACAACGCAGAGCGTGTTGCAAGAGCAGGCTGCGTCAATGGAGGCAATGTGGGTGGTATTGACTGCGACTGATGAGAAGGCGACGGTGAGCTCTGAGACACGCGCCGAGAGGTGGGTGAGTTGTGAGAGTCAGGTAGAGTGTGCGGTTGAGGGGTCGGTGTCAATTCTGAGGGAGGTTGGTCTTCAGAGTCAGGCTGGACGATGTCTGAAGTCGGTGGGATCGAGGCTGAAGCTTGGTGTTGTGCTGCAGCAGTAGAAGCAGTGGGGGTAGGTGAATTGTGCTCAAGAAGAGGGAGTGCAGGTTCAGATTCAGGTTCCTGTTCTGCTTCTGGTTCTGATTCCGCGTCTGGTCTTGCTTCTGCATCTGCTTCGTGGGCTTCAACTTCAGGTTCAAGACCGGCTTCAGGTGCAGGTGTTGAAGAAGGTCGAGGTGTGGCCACGGCTGTGGAGGGGGTAGGTGACTGCGTGCCCGACAGGTCGAATTGGCCGTTGGAGCTATTGTTCGCAGCACCACCACCATTCTTCTTCTTCAACACAATGCGTTTGCCCCCATTCTTGCGCGGCCCCAGCGTCAACGCACTCCCATCCTGCCCCGAGGAGCCCTCCCGGCCTCCCGACGCGCCGCCGCCGTGAAAAGGGCTGCTCGCCCCCAGCAGTTTCTTGAACATGGCCGGCTTTGGCCTCGTCCCCAACGGCTCCATCGTCTCCAGCACCCCCTGCCGTACGAGCCCGTCCTCCTGGAAGCTCGCGAGCCTGGCACGCTCGGGCTCTATCCATGCCTCCATAAACTGCCTCGATCGGTCTAGCGACGCCGCATCTCTGCTCTCCTTGTCCCTGCTGCTATCGTTGGAACCCCGGGATCCTACTCCTGTACCACCCACTGCCGGACTCGAGTATCGCGAGCGCGTGGCTCTCGTGGTGGGTGGTGCACCCATAGTCGCCGCCCTTGGGGTGCCTGGCGTGGGTTCGCCCCCCCTTATCGTCGAGGTGCTGCCTCTGGTCCAGCCGCGCTCCTTCTCGCGACCACTGGGGTTTGCGCCTGTGAACACCACCCTATATGATATATTAGTAATTATTCTCTTGAGGATCTGGAAGAGTATCTGGTTTACTTGTCTGTGTGTTCTTCAGTCCAGGCGCAAAGCCGCACTGTTTGGGTGGGGAGCTCGGTGCTGCAACGCGTTCCCGGAGGCGGAGATGCAGCTCTGGGAACGGAATGTTTGGAAAGGAGGTTCGAAATTTGAGAACGGACTGCCCTCTCCAAAAAAGAGCTCTGACCTCGCCTGGGCTGGGCTGCTGACAGAGAGCCAACAGGCTCGAGCTAGGGGGTCTTGACAGGTTTCGGAGGTGCGGGTTGGAGAGCCGATCCTCCTCTGTCAGGGGCTGCACAGGCGGCCGAGATCCTCTTCAGTGCTACCAAAACCGTCCAGGGCAGCATCAGCTTCTGCCCGCGAACAGCCGTGTCAAGGGTGCCCTTTAACAGCACGGAACGCTTCAATAATATGAGAAGAGCTCGGCCACTTGGTGACAGTCAAGTTGCAGTGATTACTATACTTTCCCATGCAGAGATCTCGGGGCGGAAATATTGTGACGCCACCCGTGTGTGCGCGCTCAGGGGCAGACGGGGGATCAGTGAAGCACGGCAGATGGCGTCAAAGCTATAGCCTTTGTTTACGCGCTTCCCCGGTCGTCGCGGCCTTTATTGCGTGGAGCCAACATCCAAGTCCCATCAAGAAGCTCCAAGGAAATTGTCAGGTCCAGTAAGACCGCGAACAGGAAGCAGCGACAGCTGTGCGCTGCCCAGATGACCTGGTGGCGTGGAGCCTGACGGGGGCTAAAGTTATCAACATCGCTCGCTCACTCATTGGCGCTCAAAGGGCAGTTGCAGCTCGCAACCAGGGCATGAACGAGAAAGAAGTGGCCCAGTCATGTGGCCTCGACATCGAGCCTGCTGCGAGCTCGCTCACATTTTTAACCGCATCATTTAACCTGCTCCCGGTTGTCGCATCCAATGCTGGTCTATTTTTTGTCTTTTCTGGAGCTTTTCCTACTTGCATGCGTTTTGGCGGTACCGTCCCTCCTCCCTGCTGACCCCTCGGGTCTCAAGGTTCCCACAATGTGCCGGTGCGTCCGCGTCGCAAGCCCGGCCACCTGCAGGCCAACTGCCACACCTTTTTTGCCCCCGCCTGGGAATGGGATCTTGTTGAGCCTGCAGCCTTCCATGGGCTGTGGTGTGCGTACCTCTGCTGACTTTTGAATACCTCGTGAATGCTAATCAAAAATCGCCCAAAACTCGCAATGCAGTCATGTGTCCAACCGGCGAAATTGCCGCTTCGATGCTTTCCTCTCTGGCGAGCAGCAAAAGCTTCAGGACAGCTTACGACTCGGTGGTCGTCTTCTTCTTCTTCTTGCCCTTGTTCTTGGCGAGGGGAAGCTCGAGGATCTTGAGGATCTCCTCATCCGTGATCTTCTTGTCGGTCTTGAACTTGGTCAAGTCCCAGGCGGACGGCCCTCCAAGCTTTGTGATGCCGTTCTTGGTGATGGCTGCGTGACTGGTCAGCGATGTTAATATTGACATTGCGCGTGAATCGCGCCTTACCGATGGTGGTCCACGTTCTGACAACGGGTGCGTTGTCCTTGTCGCCAACGAGCTCGTACTGGCGGAAGACACCGCTTCGCACGCACTCGACCACGCCGGTCTTAGCATCCTTCTCATCCTCGAGCTGCCTCAAGCTGAAGGGGAAGAAGCCGAACTTCTTCTGGGCCTCGGAGTAGATCTTGCGAGAAGTGGGCCGCTTCAGGCCATACTGCTGCGCAGTACGACGGTGCAAGGTGGACCGCTGCTCGATCTGCTTGACCTTGCCTGATCCCGAGCTCATGCCAATCTCGACGCCCCAGACCTCACCGACCTCGGGTGTGCCATCGCCCTTGGAGCCCTCGCCTGGCGCGAGCACGATCTTCTTCTTGTCCTCAATCTCGTTGCGGCTAAAAAGCCAGGAAGTGGTGCTCTCAACGATGTTGACCTCATAGCTTTTGGCGACCTTCTGGACCAGGTCGTTGATCTGAGCCTGAGTCTTGGGCTTGGCAGCCGCGGCCTTGGCCTTCTCCTCGTCTGTCCCAGTGGCCAGAGTTCCCGGGGGGAGCATCAGCCTGAGGAGCAACTCATTGGCGTAGTGGGTCGCCAGCATGAGATCGGCAGTCTTGCCCTCGATGACGTCGGTCTTCTTGTCCTTGGCAGGAACGATGATCGTGTCGCAGACAATCGAGGCGAATCCGTCGATCTGGGCGCCAAGCTGGATCTTGACAGGCTCGCCTTCCTGGAGCTCGATGACAGCCTCCTTCTCGTCGGTCTTCAGCGGGGTGTAAGGAGTGACATAGGAGCTAGGAGAGACGGTGGTGGGGTGAGCAAAGCCTGCGTTAGGCCGGTGTCAGCAGAGCCCATTCGTAAAGGCAAGCCTGGGAGGCTGCATTGGGAAGTCTTGTTACCCTTGGAGACCTTCTTTCCCCGCCAGACCTTGGAAATCTCGTCCTCGAGCAGCTGGTCGCCCTTGCCGCAGATGTCGGAGATCTTCTCGCCTGCAACGCACAGGTCCTTGACAGCAGCGAGGACCTTCTCGGAGATCTCGGCCGCGGTCTTGTACTTGGTCAAAGTGTCAGGGTTGTTGAGAGTGTAGTCTATATGGTCGGATCAGCACGTGGTCCGGCCCAGGTTTTGAAGAAGGAAATCCAAGCCATTGAGCATCGACGTAGGAACGATAGAGCTCCGTGGGTGATCTTGAGGGGTCATTGCAATGCTCCGAGTCTCGACACTGGCTGGCCATGGAAGGTAGAGCTCGAGTGCAAGCAAGGTGATGGTTGGCTGTGACGGCAGAGCTGCAGCTAGGGAAGGAGGAGGAGGAGGAGGTTGTTAGGAGGGGAGGGAGAGCTAACTAACCGATCTCCTTCTCTTCGGTCGCCATGATTGCAACTGTTTCCGATTGGGATCGGAGACGTCGTCGAGGTTGAGGGGGATTGGAAAGAATGTAAGTAAGGAGGGTCTAGACGAGTCTCCCGAGTACTTCGTACCTGGTGTGAGAAGAAGAGAGGGGGTGGGAACAAAGCTGGGGGGGGACTCGAGGAGGGAGGTAGGCAGGTGGTGGGCTCGTGATGTCTTGGGTAGCAGCTGCGAACGTAAGGTTCCAGTTGTGGCTCAGTGCAGGTGATTTTTTACCCCTCTACAGCATTTCAAGGTGGGGGAGGGGGCATTCTGTGGGCATTCCTGCCGTTGCCGTTCCAAGGTACGGTACGAGACGGGACAAATACGTAACGTTCGCTTCATTGGGCCTCACCCACGTATGACAGCATCCGGTTCTGCCAAATGCTGCTGCTTGCCAAGCCTGGCTTTGTTAAGCTCTGGCTGCTCTTGGGCTTGAGGCCCGCTTTCAGCAGGTAGCCAGCCAGCCAGGCTCAGGTACCACAGAGCCACAGGAGCATCCCATTGGGAGAGGGAGCTTGGGACAACACCAGCCAGCCCGTCACCAGCCCCCCCTCGTGTGGGTAGTAAATCGCACGGGCCCCCTGGGGACTTTCTCCCCTGGTGCAATCCTCATGCTTGGAACAGGTATTCCTACCCGTGACTATTGCACCCCCATCGTGTTGTGGCACCCTCCACCCTCTTTCCAGACCCTCACCTAGAAGTATATCTGGAACAATTGCGCTTCTGGACGATCCTCTCCAGACATCTGTATGTCCTAGTGGGGACCATCTTCTTTGTCGATGGCCTCAGACGAGATGCTCGGGTGAGAAAGGACATGGTGTCGATTTAAGGGAATGCGAGCCTCGTACCGCCGTACCTCACCTGGTCCGAGCGCTTTACAAGGTTCGCCAGGCCCCAAGCGTCTCCAGGGCTCTCTCCAGTCGCGACCGATCCCAGAAAGCGCGACAACGCGATAGAGACACATCGACGTTGAGCCCCATTGTCCTTCATCTTTGCCGTCAAGGGATCCAGCAAGTGACAGGGCCGACACAGTGAAATCCATCCCTCTCTGTACCGTGTCGCGGATCGCTGTCAACCGAAGCGGCACGTCGCCCACTTGCGACAGTCTGTCGCGATGGCATCTTCATCCGAGTCCTCAGCCCCAGCCTCTGCCTCTGCCTCTGCATCCGCATCCGCATCTGCATCAGCGTCTGCGCCGGTACCTACTACAAGCTCTGGCGACCCTTCATCGACTGTCCCCTCAGAATCTGCTCCACCTGCCCCGTCTTCTTCCACGCCGACGGCCGAGAATGGCGCCGCAGACGACCCAGCCTCCAAGAACCAGGCCTCCAAAGAGCCCACACCAGAAACCGAGGTACCCGTGCGTACCGAGGAATCTTTCAAGGCCTATCAGCTGGAGCGCATCATTGCACGGGATAAAATCGCCACTGCAGCCCTGAAGGAGAAGCAGGCGCGCCTCGAGGAGAACACGAAACGATGGAAACAAGAGATCGACGAGTACAAGCTGATCCAGACCCAACCCACTGCGCAATTCTTCCCTCCCTCCAGATTGTATGGTGAAGGTTACAACGGATTTGGCAATGGCCATACTGAGAATCGCGGTCCACCCCGTCTGATTTATCCCAAAGACAAGCCTCGCGCTGGCAAGCGAACTACACCAGCCTTGCCGAAGGCTAGCCGAAAGGACCTGAAGGAGCAGGCTGATCAGTATGAAGAACTAGTGCCTGTACGGCTCGATGTCGACTGGGACAAGCTCAAGCTGCGAGACACGCTCACATGGAACCTCCACGACCGTCTGGTACCAATCGATCTTTTCTCCGCACAGCTTGTCGAAGACATGGGCCTAAAAGCACCGCACGACCGGCCTGTCTACGAACAAATCCAACATCAGATCCGCGAACAGCTGCTCGACTTTTACCCCATGGTCTTTTCTAGAGAGGATGCTCTCGACCCCGAACTACCCTATTCCGCATACAAAAATGACGAGATGAGAATATTGATCAAGCTCAACATCACTATTGGCGCCGTCACACTAATCGACCAATTTGAATGGGAGATGAATGAGCCAGAAAATTCACCAGAAGATTTTGCCCGGGTCATGGCTCATGACCTGTCACTATCGGGCGAGTTCACTACGGCAATAGCACACTGCATCCGAGAGCAGACCCAGCTGTTCACAAGGACGTTGTATGGCATCGGGCATCCTTTCGACGGCAGGCCAATCGAAGAACCGGACCTTGCCGCGTCTTTCCTACCCTCGCCTTTGCCCAGTGTCTTCCGGCCCCAACAACAAGCCAAGGACTATGCGCCATATCTCTATGAATTGGGCGATGCCGACCTGGAGAGGAATGAAGTCATTTTCGCAAGGGAGCAGCGCAAGCAGAAGAGATCAGTAAACAGGCGTGGCGGTCCACAGCTGCCCGATCTCAAGGAGCGACAGAGGACAATACGAACAATGGTCGTCTCCTCAACTATCCCTGGAGCTGCAGACTCAATTGAGAAGACGGGGCTCTTCAAACGAGTTGCAGGCGCTGGCACTGGAAGGGGACGCGGTCGCGGCCAACATGACGGCACATTTTCAGACTCGGAGGAGAGTGAAGAATCAGCACCCGACTCTCCAGCTATGTCTCAACTCGCTGGAACTGCGCGGACTCGAGGCATGCGCGGCGCTGCTACTGTCGCGCAACAGAAGATGGCGCACATCGGTCGTTCCGAGACGCCTGAGGTCATCACATCACATCATCACGAAACTAGAACGTCAAGGCGCTTTGGTCGTGCCTTGGACGAAACACCTGACGAGCCTCGCAATCACTGGGTGGCTATCAAGGTACCACGCACATACGAGAGAGCCAGGAAAATGCTTTGGGATATTAAGATGGGCCGGCCGATCACGCGCCCTGACGCTGCTCAAACCCCCCGCCAGCCACGAGCTCCCAGCGCGTCACTTCCGCCAGGTAGCATGGGGCCACCTCTGACTCCTTCAGCACCACCCAAGCCACCTCTTGTAAAGAATGCAAGTAGCATGTCGCAGCCTGGCTCCTCGGCACCTGTGCCCCAAGTAGGCCGTGTACCGGCTCCTCCGCCACCCGGGGAAGGCCAACCTCCCCTCGAAATAGTGAGTCAGCTGCCTTTAAACATCCTTTCCCTCTTGTCACAACCACAGCTGCTTGCTTTTCGCATGTCGAATTCAGCTGACCATCTCATAGCCTCCACCACCAGAGTGGCTGGAAAAGTCACTTAATGACCTGCGCAAGTCCTGGCCTCATGACAACTTCGAGGCTACAATGCGGCACTGTGCCGTGCACGCCGACACAGAGACTACCATCATCCCGCCGCCACAGATCCCACGAGGCCAGCCGCTTCCCGATAATGTGAAGTACATGTTTCTCCCCCGGATTAGGTGTCCCGACTGCCCGGGCAAGCTCTACACGCCCGGCCCGGACATGACGGCGGCCAACTTCGAGGTGCACTTGCGTAATAAGCAGCACCGCGACAAGGTGAACAAACGCGCCGGCTTCGAGACGGACCCTGCCAAGGCGGCCTCATCCGCAGGCGGTTCATAGTAGGAGTGAGGGCTTGGCAGGCGAACACGAAGCCCGGGCCAGAGCTGTCTGGCAAGAAAGTAATGAAGCCCCGGGGCCAACTGAGGCTAGCACTGGAAGCAGACGCATCAGGCCTCTGGAGTCACGCCCCACTGGCAGGGCGCCCAGTAGACTTAAGGAGTAGGCCTAACGCGGAAAGAGGACAGGTACCCAAGGATTAGGAGGAACCGGGCGAGCTTTTCGAAACGAAAGAAAGCCTGGTGGCGTACACTCCCTAAATACAAAACCGGGCGAGGTACGGCGGGGGTAGAAAAAGGCGCATCGGGGGAGGCCGACTGGTCAAGCCGGCCTTTTTACTCTTTTCAGAAAGTGTCTTTTTTGTCTATTTGCTTTTTAGGACTAGGAAAGGCAGTGTAGATTAGTAGGGGCCTATGAGGATATACCAGATGACGATATTGTGTGTCAACCTGCTGCTGCTGCCGAAGCCCTGGACATTGAGTCCCGGGGTTCTGGGTGAGTATCGTCTAACTCTCCCGCCGACTGGTGGTTACGGCATGCTGTGTGCGTGAAGGTATTGATGGGTCTTGGGCGTGCCCGCCCTCCATCTATGGTTTTATGTGAGCAACTTAGGGCTATGGGCACGATGATAGAGTCTAGACGCGACCCCAAACACCATCCTCTCACACTTGGGCCACTCAGTCATCTCAGCCTTGTCTCACCCACGGCGCCCAAGAGGGTTATGTCTGACAGGAAGGGGAGTGAGGAGCGACTCAACGACTGGAGGGGTCAGCAATAATCCACTATGTAGTACCTGAACAGCGCACAATGGTCGGACAACCAGCCAGCGCCGTCAACCTAGGGGAGTTCAGATTCGTTCCACACTGTGTCGGACGGAGAATGATCGGTCGACAACGTAGGAGAGGACACCAGGTAAACACTTGAATGCCGCTACCATACATGCGCGCCGGTCCGCAAGATTGAGTTGGGAGGGGAGCGGGCGGTTCATATGGCCTCAGACACGATATAAAACAGACAGGGCACGTGGTAGGTATTCGTCTCGCCCTCTGCTACTCAAGAGACAACCCCGGCGGTAAAAGACCATTCAGGGCATCAACAACCCAGCGACGCGGTCACCAAAGTATGCGTAGACTGTCTGCTACGCAGGGTGTCGATGGCAGACCAAGGGACCGCCTGTCTCTCAGCGTCTCCTCTCCCAAGGCCCCATACAGCACTTCATCGGCCGGGGAGTAGGCAAAGGGAAGGAAGCGCACGCACACACAGTTGATTACACCGACTGCTTAATACCAAACTGATGTTGATGATGTTCACTCGATTCATACGACCCAATACCTTTCTACATACAATAAGACAAGAAAAACACAATAAACACAATGATGCTCGGTAACCTCTACTGCCTCCTTTTTCCCCTACCCGCCTCTGGCTGCCAATTCCAGGTCTCACTCAAGCCTGTCAAATTCGGAAAGACACAAAAACCACCTCGGCTTGCTCTTCTCTCCTGCCACTTAATAAGTAGATGGGGTAGAGACGCGTCCCATCACCATGACCCCTTCCATCCCAACGATCAAACAACCCCCCTCAGGAATCGAAGCCAAGCCAGGTAGGCTAGGTGGGTAGGTAGAGAAGGACAAAGAAGGAAGATGAAGAAGAAAAGTGTCTACAAGAAACGAAAACTGCTCAAATGCCATCAGCCTCCTTCCCGAGCCCCCTTTTCCTCCCCTCCCTCCCAGCAGTCGAAGGTATTTCACCGCGTGGGGTGGGCAAGACGGAAGGACGGACGGATGGCCTCTTTTCTCTTTTTAGTTCGTGGACATCAAGAACGCCGGAATCATGAAAAGTTTTTGGTCCCCTTTCGCACAAGAGATGAAATTTCCCATACACAAAGATTTAAAAGGCAGTAGCAAAAAGCGTTTCGTTCCTATTGTCGGTTTTCCTCTTTGTGGGTCCAGCCGCGAGAATGCTCTATATACCCTCCCAGGCCGCGTACGCGCGCGAGTCCCGTCCGATAAGCGAGCGTGTCGAAAATCATGAACATGAAGGGGGTCTTTCGAGAACCCAACGCGACGGCTGCTGTCGTCGACAAGGTGGAAGCGTGAAAAGTGAAAACGCCGTATCAAAACCAGAACTCCTATCCGTACAAGCACCTCATGAGAGTCTCCATATCACATTTTGTCTGCTCTGCGCTATTCATATGCGCCAGTCATACAGCTAAGAGAGTTCAAAGAGGCATTGTGCCTGAGTCGAAAGCGCCTCTTGCCGCAGCTGGAAGTCGGAAGAATATCCCACTATCAATATGGCCTAGGGCTCGCGGTGTTGTTCCGACCCTGACGGCCGACACGCCCGCCTCGACGCCCAGGTGCGCCTCCATTCATGCCGCCATCTGGCACGTTATACCCCGGACCGGGCATTCCGTAGCCGTAGCCTCCTGTTCCCATGGACATCGGCATCGGAAATCCCGGTGCGGCGTAGGGGCTCTGATTAGGAGCAGGCATACCGGGTTGAGGGACGGGGCTGCCGCGATACTGGTCGATTGAAGGGCTGGCGCTAGGGAAAGGAATGCCGGTCTGCATTGGGTAGTAACCACCCATTGGTGGAGTCCCACGCATCATGCTCTGCTGGTATTGCATTTGCTGAAAGTTCATAGCAGGCGTCATTGGGCCCTGCGATGCAAAAGAGTTGTATTGTTGGACGGAAGGATCAACGTTATCGCTTCGCGGGATGGCAAAACCTCCATCGTAGCCTGCGTTGGCACCAGCTGCGGCAGCATTGAGCGGGTTGTAGAACTGGCCATTGTTAGCGGCAGCATTGTACTGAGCGGCAGCCGCTTGTTGCGCTTGCTGCTGCTGCTGCGCCTGCTGCTGTTGCTGTTGCTGAGCTTGCTGCTGCTGCTGCTGCTGTTCGCGATGCTGCTGGTTGTTCGAGCTGTTGGCTCTAGGGGTTCCACGGTGTCGTTCCTGGTGGTTTCCTCCGTCACCTCGGGAAGCCCCGTTGCCATTGCGAGTTGACAAACCAACTTCGTCCATCAGGCGCTTGTAGCCCTTATCCGGTTGAGCCTTGATACGGGACAGCACAGATTTGACGTTCTCGACAACCTTGCTCCGCACGGTCTCGTCGAAGAATGGAGTTGTTATGACCTTGAAGATCAAAGTCGCGCCACACTGGGAGTCGCTGAGGATTGACTCCAGTGTCTGGTCGTTAGCGCTGAAGAACATGGCCTGTACGATCTTGTCCCGGGCTTCCGGTTCCGTCTTTTGGTTGATGACCTTGAGAACGGTCAAGTACGCAACCTTTTGAGTGCATAGGGTGACCAAGTAGGGGACGAGCTGAGGCGCCAACACCGTCCTACGGTGAGGGAAGGTGCATGTATCCAGGAACCAGGTGAGAAGTAGAGCTGCGTTGTGGTTGGTAGCCAACTGCACACTGTGAAGTGCAATTGCTGCAGCCAACAGCCTTTGCTGGTCTTTGGTGGCATGATGGCTCTCCAAGCAAGCCCGCATGCCGCGAGATCCAAACCGCCCCTGAGAAATCTGCCACATGCGATTCATCATGGTCTCAAAGATGAAATCAGTGTACGGGGCACCAAATCTCAGGCAACCCTGCAGAACGTAATTTCCGTACTGGTCCAAGAACAGGCAGACTGTGTAGGGACGCAAGTGGTCCCTAATAACGCCCATTTGATGTTCAGTCTTGCAAACACTGATGATCTTCTGGGCCGCCCAGGTGCCGTTCTTGTGCACACCGATCTCTGCTAGATGCGGCGCAATGAACTCCAACATGGCGTCACGAGTAGGGTCAGAGCACTGTTCAAACAGTTTCTGCACGACTGTGTTGCCAAGATAGTCCGAAGACAGCTCCGCAATCTCTGGCAACATATCGTGGGCAATGTTCTCGATCTCTGCTTGGGACAGAGCCGCATTGTCAATTCTCTTGCGAATGTCGCGAAGCTTAGGCGCATCGTACATCCTAGTGTGCGTTGGCTCTCCGATGGGAGGGATCTCCTCAACCAGTTTGTTGTATGTGATGGATTCCTGCAGATTGACGCTGATACGAGCGACATCATCCTCATTGGCACCGAAGTCTTTCACGATGTTCAAGATATCCGCGGTCATCTCCGACAGAGGCGGCACAGATGGTGTTCCCGGTCCAGCAGCTTCAATTCCAACAGCGGCTGGGGTTTGGGCACCATTCTGCCCTTGTGTGAATGGGATCGGGCTTGGGGAAGGCTGAGCTCCATCGTGTCCAGGCGTGTTTGACGCAGAGGGGGGTTTCGCGAAGTTGATCCTAACGGGACCAGCTCCAGGGAAGATCTCTTTGCCATTCAAGGCATTCTTGGCAGCCATCGCGCTGTCGATTCTCTCGAAGTTCACGAACCCGCAATTCTTATGTGTCAGGACTCTCGTGAAGAGGATCGGACCGAACTGCTTGAACATCTCCGTCAAAGTCGTAGTCGTGGTAGAGGTCGGGATACTGCCAAGCCAGAGAGCGCTGGTGGGACCGAGTTCCGGCTCGTCGGCAGACAACAGACCATTGTTTCGGCTGCTCGATCGACCCAGATTGATTCCGGCGATAGCTGGTGCGAGGTCGTCGGCGGACTGCGCCTTTTCATCTGCTAACCCGAGCTCTGCAGCCGTGATGGAGCTGTCTAGCCGGGAGGGTGTCGGGTAATAGCTCCGAAGAAGTCGAGATGGGTTCGGCGTGTCTAGGACCCCAGCTGTTCTCGCCCGAGGTCGGTTGATTGCCGCCTGGCTGGCAAACGCCTGAACAGCCAAATTGTGGTCACGGATGGCGGCCTGGGTCGCGGCAAGTCGTTGCTGGATCAGCTCGTACTGACTCTCTAGGGTCTCTTGCTCATAGCCATCTTCGTCGTTGTCATATTCATCCTCGTACGTATCCTTGTTGTTGACCGAGTATGACCGGAAGCGGCTCGCACTCGCCTGTCGAGCAAAGTCTGGCATCATCGTTTGAAGGTAAGGAGGGTCCATCTGTGATGGTTGGGGTTGAGGAGTGCCCATCAGGCCCAGATAATCCAGAGTCCTCGCGGGAACGTCATTTTCAGCGCCCCCTTCTCTCGAAATCTGGGACTGGGTGGGCGAGCTCGGCCCGTTCGTTGAGACGCTAGCTATGCTTGCCAACGTCGAACCCCTCTCGCGACCAACAGCGTTCCAGCTGCTGCTAAAGATATTCGGACCAAAGGGTGAGCTTGCGCCAGAGGGGTGTGGCGCAAATGGACTGCGCTGAGGCATGGAACCAGCTCGGAGGCGCGATAGCAAGGCTGATGGGTTGTTCGATGGCTCAGTTGGCTCGAGACCCGGCGACGGCGACTTGAAAGGACTGTGTGATGGCGAGGGCCGCGATGTTTTGAATGCCAAGGCCGGTATGCTGAGCAAGCCATTGGCGGGTCCCGTAGTTGATAGTCGAGAGGGCAAGGTGCCTGCCCGTGCACGGCGCGTCGAGATGGGAGAATCTTGAGAGGAGATTTGGGTGAAGTCGGGGAAACCGTCCGTCGGCGACTCTGGGATGTTTTCGCGCAGAGGCGTAGAGTTTCCGCTGGTTGGCGGGCCGCCCCAGGGATTCAGGGGCAGACTGGTCACGCCCTCCTGAGCTTGGATTTCTCGAGCTCTGGTAGAAAGGAGAATCGTTAGCAAATCCATTTCTCGGTTGACTCTGCACCGTTCCGGCGTGACACCATTGGGATAGCAGATAGAAACTCAGCCATTAAGTATACGCACCTCTTGCTGGATAAGAAACGACCGCTACCGGGAGGAGCTAGCGGGTCGTGCGAAGGAGAGCCGGCCCCTGATCGCGTGGCCGAAGTCATCTTTGCTCCTGGGGTCAGGCCGGAGGTTGTTGGGAGGCCAAAAGGCGAGCGAATTGGGGCACTTCCCCCAGACGATGGCTCGTTCGGGGAGGTGCTGGCGCTGGCGGGGTTCGACAGGGACTGGCCAAGGCCAGGCGGTGGCGCAAACTTGCCAATTGTCAAGTGTTCTGGTCTAGAAGTGGACATTATGGATTAAATTCAATCCGAACCTCATCAGACGGGTGTTCGTTCGTTCGTAGGCTGTGTTAATAGGGCTTCGCCGGTTGGAAGCCAATATTAGGAAAGCTGTATATTCCGTGGGGTGTGCAAAAAGTCTCGGGTCGAGCAATCGGATGACGATAGACTGGACTTAATTGCACAGCACGACAAATGCGTCTGCAGTTCTCGGTCGAGAGAAGTGGATAACTCGAGTCGTGGAAAATGACGACAGTGCCACTGCAACCGTTCCAGATTACAGATCTCCGCTGGCCCAAGCTACCTCGAAGCAAGTGGATGGGTGAGGAAGCTGAGGATTCTCGGCGGCCGGACAACCCAGGTCGTGTCAGGAGCTCGACAGACGGCGGCGTCAATGCAGGGAAAAGTCCAAGGTGTTGCTGTCGCGTTCCCAATCCAGGACCCACTCAAGGGACGTCAGAGAGGTAGTGAGAGACAGGCAGACAGGAATCTTGCCGTAAGGAAGGTTGTCGGGCTGGCCCTGATGAAGCTTTGGCCCGTGACGTGACAAGCAGAGAAGTCGCGGGTACGAGGCGGTGTGCTGTGGCAGAGGGCGAGGATTACAAAGGTCGACAGACTGGCTGCAGGCGACGGCGGAATCGGTCAAGAGGTGTAGTCGCAGGAGCGTCCAGGTCTTGTCGAGTCAAGGGCTCGAACGGAGAAAAAGTTGCTCGTCGGCTAGAAGGGGACGCAGTTGTGGGGTCGAGAAGTGAAACTTGGCAGCGGACGAGCTGTGTGCTGCAGAAAAAAGGAGAGTCGTGTCTCTTGTCGTGGGTTTCGTTGGTCTAACCCTCTAGGACTGGCCTCCAACCTCCAAACGTTCCTGCTATCGCTCAAGCGCTGTTGGCCGAAATGCAGTGAGGACCTTGTGCAGCTCTCGCGCGTGTGCTCGGAGTGGTTTAATATCACCATGCGATGCAGTAGACACGGGTAGGGAGTGAAGTGCAACGGGCGGCGGATGCGCGGGGCAAGGGATTGACCGAAGAAAACGCAAGGTCGAAATGACAAGAGGCAATCAACGAATCAACTCAATACACAGGCTTCATTAGACGGCTTTTTAGGCGACGAAGCCTGGAGAAGAGGAGGAGGGGGAAATATGCTGGTAGAGATGACCAAAGGCGAAGAGGTCAAGATGAGGTTGGCGAAGGGGGTCGAGATGGAAAAAGGTAGGTAGGTAAGGTAGGTAGGTATGTAGGGGTAGGCAGACTTGGATTGGATCAGGCAGGCCGGTAGTCTACTCTCTACTATTACTGATACTCCTGCTGCTGCTTGCTCCAGGGCTGTACTAAAGTCGGACCAGCTCCCAAGGGACACGCGCACATAGATGGATCGCTGCCGGGGGGGAGGGGTGGGATGGCTGAACCTGATGATGGACGGATGGCTGGCCAGAGATCGGAGGAGGGTGGTGCTTGGACAGAGTCGTGCATGTCTTGCCCCAGCCAGCTGCCACCAGAGAGACACAGCACAAGACAGCAGCCATTGGCCATGACGGCTGATTCCAGGAGGAGGGGAGGGCAAGGAGATCCAGCAGAGCAGCAGGGGGCGGGCGTCAAGCAACAAGGGTCAGGGCAGTGTCAGTTGGCCAAGCCAGGACGGATGAAACACCCAGGAATAAGGGGGCGGCAGGTACCAAGTACCTACTTCGGGAGCGGCGGTACGGTGCAAGGTGCGAGGTGAAGGTGACGGTGGCAGTAGCTTCATCTATCCCGCGCAGGCATGGCGTATGCGCCATCTAGAAGCATTGAGAACTACTTTCTATGAGGACGACGGCCCCTACTTTGGGCTTAAGGTTCCAGGGTTCCAAGCTGAGCTGATTTTGAGATGGATTGAATGGCCGACCCTGACGTTGACGTTGACGTTGCCGTTGCCTACCGTTGCCCGTACCGTTACCGTTGCGGTGTCCCTACTTGGTTCCTACCTTGCGAGTGAGTGAGTGAAGTGGTGGTGGAAGAACGGGCAGGTACGAATCGAGCATGGTCACCATCCAATTGAGCACCTTTTTCCTTAGCTGACGGCCAGGTGGTGATGGCAGACAGGCCTTGGGGGTCATCTATGTAGTGAGGTACAGTAGACACAAATAATGGGGGTGGTCGTTTTGGCTTCTATCTTTGGTAAGTATTTTTGGGTGCTGTGTGGTGCTGGGCAGGGCAGGACAGGACAGGGCAGGGCTGTAGATCCAGGGGATCATGAGATCTGACGTCGGGGCGTCGTCGTTTTCCTCTGTACTAGTGCGACTCTGTGCACTGGCGCAGATCCACGATGGGTCGACTCATCTACGTGCCACTACCGAATGCTGCCAGACTGCCAAAATGCCAGGACTGCCTGTTCAAATAAGCGATGTTCAATGCCCACCAACAGGCAATTGAATTCCGAGCGCAGGGCACGGAGAGAGAAAGAAGGAAAAAAAGGGGAGGGGGGGCCGAGGTGAAGCGCTTCCAACCATCCAGCCAGCCTTGCCAGCCAGCCAGCCAGCCCACCAGCTTGGGCATATGGAGCAGCCTGGGCGTTACAGTGTCAGGCGCAATCTATCTGATGCTCGGGCTGCCTGCGTTTGACCAGTCGGCCGTTGGCGACGAGCTCTCGTCTGGGCCCTCCCCAAACACTTCCCCACACTGCTGGGACTAGGGATCGCCCACCAAGGACATGCACGCATTCCCTCCCCTCATCAGGTCGCCCTCCAAAAGAGAGTCGCTGGTTCTATCTGGTCTGGTCTCGGCCATTGGTTGTTCCTCCCAACACCGAGCAAGCTCTCGAGGGACTTTATGCCTTGGACAGGCTGGCGTAAACCACCACGTTTCTAGCTCCAGGAATAACGCACTCATCCCTGGGACTGCGGCGCAGGTGCAAACGCAAACCCACCTTAGCAGCCCTGTTATGATCTCTCCCAGGTCGGCGCTGATCTATTGTCCTTCGCCTCAGAGCGCTCGCCATATGGAGGGAGCACCGCAGATACTGGAAGCTGTATCAACAGCTAAGTCTGATCATTCAAGCAGTGTCGGGCTCCCCGACAACAACCTTGGAGGTCGTGTCTACCTGGGTGTAACCCGGCTGGCCCCAAAGTCAAAAGCCCCCAAATTGACAGGTCTCGGGAATCGAGTGCGACTCTGCCTGTCTTTCCTCCCGGTACAGTCTCCTCACAAGATCGGACAAGTTCAACGTCAAACCTCAACACGTCGGATTGGATTGCTTTGTGAACCATCCCGTTTTCCGCTGGCTCACCGCTGCTGCCCACAGTCGCAGGACATCGGCAGCCCGGTCCCAGATCCGTTCTGGCCGACCGACGGGATACACGCGCATCCGCAGTAACATCTGGCAAGTTCAACTAGTCAAGAAGCCAGCTGCCTGGCACCACAGGCTCAAGGGGAGGTCGGCGATTCCATCGTGACGGCCGGAAGCAGTCGCACAGCCCATGGCCGCGCAACCGTACTAGGGTGCAGGCGGCCAATGCCGTGTCATGGAGCAGGTCAATGCAAGCATGATCACCAACCAAGCAGCGCCAGTGATTCAAGCGCAGGGCATCCGAACTCCTCTCGGGTCAGTGTGTGCATGCATCAGGTACGAGGGCCTGTCCAAGGGGCCCACCGCGGCGCAAACAGGTCCTTTCTCCACCCATGTGACGAGCTTCAAGAGCTTCAAGCACACATATGCAGGTCGGGACCGCGAGCAGCTCTTCTTCCAGGCTGTCTTTTCGGATTCGCTCTTCCAGGCAGATAAGGCACGCTGCAGTCACTTCGGTATGCTAGCGGGCAGGCCTTTCCCCAAGCCTGGTTGCCCTGCAGCTAAGAGATCTGAAACAAAGCAACAGCTGCAACCTCAGCTGCAAGCCGAAATGGTGGCTTTCTGTTTTTGGCGGCGGCTCCCAGCCCCGACTGGTCGCATATGCACGCGGCGGTTCTGAGGAATCGCGGCGAGCTTGCAGTGCGACATGCTCGTAGATAACTGAGATGAGCCAGCCTGTCCTGCCGCGCTTTTTCGTCCAATTTTTTTTTTCAAGCCCAGAGTCGCATAGATACTAAGTTTGCAGAGGTTCTGCGCACGCAATGCCTTGACGTGGGGCGCAGCTCCAAATCTGGACGTGCGGCATGAATAGGAGTTGGAAAGGGTCCACGTACGTGATGCACTAGGACGCTTTTCAAAATCCAAATCGTTGGAGTGGCTGTATCTCTTCGGTAGCGCGCCCTCTACTGCATCCAGTACGACGCCTTGCCGCGGACAATTGACTACCTCCGGACCTCCAGGAGTATTGTACCTTTGTCGGCGACCCAGCGACAACGACACACCTCCCATCGATCATTATCTAGTTCGTTGGACGGCTTAGGTAATGCATTGTCAGTCCAGGCCCGTGTCCACAGAGCTGTCAGACAATGAAGACTGCTTCTATTTTTACACGGCCATGAACCTTTTCGTAACATTCCCCGACAGACGCAGATCCCGGGGCGCCGCACCGATACGTCGCAGCGTTTGCTCGCCTCCGCACCGACAGATGTGAGCACACCGAGACCAATAGGCATCGGTATCAAAGAAAAGATATCACATCTAGACTCCGAGACAGCGTCGTCGACCAATGGCACCCGTCAAGACAGCATGTAGCACAAACCCCCATCATCAACTAGGCTTAAAAGATCTCGTGTAGAAACTATCATCTCACCGACGCACCCGTTTTACAAGATCATCTCATCATGACAAGATCCAATCGCCTCGGCGTCACGCCTCTTGTCCATGGTAGAATCTGACTGAAAAGGTCGAAGGAGGAGTCGTTATATTCATAGACCCAGAATAGACTCGTCGCGCTTGCGGGGTGTTGCATCAGGAGCCGCTCTCTCGCCCCCAGGAGAAACATCACACACAACGCACGAACGGGACAAGTCGGGCTTCCAAACAGTCCAGGTTTCTAGAAGCAGCGCCGTTTCGTAGCCGAGTGCTCGTTGAAACGAGGTGTGGAGGGCAGTGGAAACCTCCGATGGGGAAGATGCTCGGCCGCCGGCTCTTGTCATCAGCGGGCTCTAAGCCACGCACGTGTCTGGAGGCGCCCGGCGGCGCTTGGCCAAGCTGTCATTGACGATGTCGTAAATGATGTGGCGGGCACTACTTGGACATTTGGCTTTATACATGAGCTATCGCCCAGACATGGCCAGCACTGGCTGGATGCCTGGCTGAGATGCCGAGATATCTCGTCGAATCTGGAACACACCAAGACGAGCGAGGACACATCGGTATTCTGTTCCTGCGAGCACAATTCCCATGGCATGTAAGTCGTCCTGAGGTCGGCGCCAGTGTCTGTGCTGTCTACAGACTTTGAGCCTCCCGCCTCGGCGCGGCACGATACCAGCTATAGAACAGGGCATGTCACATATGGGCGGCCCTACCTGCCTTTCCACGCCTCCCTGACGACCAGCTCGACAGGTCCCGCAGCACTCGCCCACACAATTACGCAAACTCAGCACTGTGCGTCCCAACTATATGGTACACAATGCACGTCGATGAGGAACCATTAGACCCAGCGCAGCGGTGTAACAGCTGTATCCTCATGCCTTGAGCTTGACGTCTGATCAAACAAACACGCTGACTCGCCTTGTCAGAGGTTGGCCCAGGTCTCGAACGATGTCTCTCTGTTGCGATGGAAAGTCAAGAGGAGACATAACTTAACGTGTCCCCTTTGCCTTCCTCTTGTTGGATGACAGCTCTGGGGTACTGCTGTATCTGCTGCTTGTCCCGGCGTCCAGAACCGCAGCGTGGCCCCAAGCAGGCAAACATGCCCGGATAGAGTTGGTGATCTACCCTGTCAGCGCCGATGAGCTCCGGGGTCAGGAAGTAATCTATGTGTGCCCTGCCCATGCTGTGCTCTGCTCTGCTCTGTGTGGTCTGCTCTACGTTTTTCCCTTCTTTTTCCGCGTGTACAACCAGTACAATCCCCAACAGGCTGCTTGGCAGGACCCAACAAACAACATGCATCATGCATCCCCACAGGAAGAGACAGCATCATTAAAGCTTCTGTCATCGTTGTGCGGTTCATCTCTGCTTCTGCTGCCCACGCTGTCGAGACATGATGTATGCTTACTAAGGCGGTTTGCTCTGTGCTAATACAGGGATGGGTGGCTAAAATTAAGCGGCGGCCCACCCGCGGACCGCCTCCAGACTACTGCGGCCGTCTCGATGCTCCTTTCTGGCCCCGGCCGACGCGTGTCTAGTCCGAGATAGACTTCAGAGGACGATGCCCCCAATTGTTTCACCACGACTCCCACATGGAGGCGAAATGCTTACAGCCCTAGCCCTCAGTCCTACTTCCAAGCAGTCGGGAAAAGCCCCTCCAACCCTCGATTCGGTCATCAACTCCGAGCCTGGCGGCGTGCCAGCATCTAGGATATCCGCCTGAGTAGACTTCGAAGCGAAGCTACAGTGCAGCTTCAAGTTACCCCTGTCTTCAACGTTGGACTGGCGAGTCCAGCCTGGTCCCCGACTCGGTTTAGCAAAGCACATGCAAACTGTTGCCCGCGCGACCTCGCCTCCATCCGAGACTGTGTCCTGCGCCCGCCTTACCGAGGAGTAGCACGACTTGCCGACTTGCGACAACCTGCATCTCCTGTCCGGACGGTGACGTGAGGTGCTGCTTGACCCCCCTGCTCTAGCACCCGCAGGCTCGGCCTACGGCTGTTCCATATATCGACGTCGGAATACCTGCGAAGTTGGACATGCCATGGCTCTAGGCGGCTCATATGCGTCCAAACAGACGGTCGTCATCGGCGCCGTCCTGTTCATGTTCCTCTGGTACATCGGCTTCAATAGCCAGGCAGTCCCACCAAGTGCAATTGTAAGTCATATGTCTCTGATGTCCGCCGTTCTTGACCTAGTTTTGACTCCTCCACCACATGTTCACAAGCCAGACTAACCAGCCGTCAACACCAGAGCAAGACGGAAACATTACGGGTCGACTCATCACAGCCTGATGGACCCCTCGAGCTTGATGGGTCCCGTCCCGATGAAGAGCCCGAGCTCCCTATGCCGACCAAGCCAGTCAAGCCCATCAACCCCTACATCACCGAAGGGCAACTCAACCCCTCCGGCCGCCAGTCCAAGGGACCACTGTCCCCTCCCGCCGACGACCCATGGCGGCCCCTGATCCTCTACGCCTTCTCCGACTCGCCCGTATCGCGCGACAACCTGCGCTTCTTCCTCCACCACGGCCTGCACGCCGCAGCCGACTTCATCTTCATCCTCAACGGCATGAACAACGAGACGGCCCAGGAGCTGCAGATCCCTCAGGGCGCGTCCAACATCCGCACCGTCTACCGGCCAAACACGTGCTACGACCTGGGCGCATACGGCGAGGTGCTCAGGGGGGATAAGATCCATTTGGGCATGGGACCTGGGCGGCTGGAGCTGTACAAGCGGTACAAGCGGTTCGTGATGCTCAACTCGAGTGTGCGGGGCCCATTCCTGCCGCTCTGGGGCCAAGGCGCCTGCTGGAGCGACATCTTCCTAGCGAAAGTCAACATCCAGACCAAGCTGGTGGGCATGACGGCCAACTGCTGGCCGCACTTCCACGTGCAGTCCGAGGTGTGGGCGACCGACTTCGTGGGCATGGAGCTGCTGATGCACCCGCCGCCGCCCGACGCCAACGCGACCAACGTCGACGCCTTCGCGGGGCGCGAGGAGCCCGTCGGGCTCGCCGGCTGCTACCCGGACCTCAACAGGGCGCTGCACGCGGAGCTGGGCGCCACGCGCGTCATGCTCGACGCCGGCCACCGCGTCGACCTGCTCATGACCGCCTACCACGGCATCGCCAACTACTCGGCCGTCTGCGACCCGGACCAGCACGGCGACCTGCTGTGGAACGGCAAGTACTTCGGCACAAACGTCCACCCCTACGAGACCGTCTTCGCCAAAACCAACCGCGACGTCGACCCCGTGCTCATCGACCGGCTCAGCCAGTGGCAGTGGGCTTCTGGCTGGAGGAGCTGGGATAGCTGCGGCGCGTGGTCGACCTGGTGAGGGTCCTGATGTAGTTGTTTTTCCTCTGAGATGGGAAAACGAGTCCAGAGACATGTCACTCTGGGGCTGTGTATATATGCTGGTTGCTGTCGACATAGCGGGAGAATCCGCTGTCTTTTTGCATGGCGTTGATGGCTGTTTTGAATTTGGGTTGTGTTTGCTTATGTCATTCTTGGTCATAGTGATGGGACAAATTCCATGGCTAGACTATAATAAAAGTGCCTCTCAAAATATGTGCTAGCTTCAATGAACGATAGTATACGAGTGAGATCACCACGCAGCACCAGCAAGGCTTGCGAACAAGATCATGTCTTGTCGGTCCACCCATGATTCCTCCTTCGCACATGACGTGACCGCGACGTCGTCTCATACCGGAATGGCAGTCGCAAATGAGATAGTTCTCGACATTCATGCGACTGCTGTCCGTACGTGGTTCCATCACTTTCATCAGCTAGGTTTCGTTGGGCCCGGCGCAGGATCAACGTCTCCTCTGGGCTGTTGTCTCACTGTCCTTACAAGCCGACCAGGAACGTATATATACATTTCTAACGCCTACTTTTAACTCGCAGTTCGCGCCACAATGGCACTACTCACCTGGGTGCTGCCTTTGATGAAATTCGAAACAGCCGATTTTCGAGTGGCGGCGATTCTCTTCTTGTTCTCTTTTCTTCTCTCCAATAAAAAAAAGCGACGCTGGTGTCTACATCGACTACTCTGGCAGCCTCTCATGACAAGGATCATAATTTGCGCCGAAGAAAGACCTGATGTGAGGTTGTGACATGGAATACCTCGTTGTACGTGCCATCGGGTGTTGTATTGCTCAAAATATTTCACTGTCGAAATCTCCTAAGGCTCGTGGCCTTATTGAGAAGGGAGAGGGGGGTCAGGTGCACTGCGAATATAATTAAGCTAGGGGCTTGTTCACGGAGGGAGCACAGTCTTCGGCTATGTTGACAAATATATGTGCTTCGAGTAACAAATTCATTCTATCTTTCCGTCGGTCTGCCACTCTGAACCTCGCTCATTAAATGATTTGCCCGCTTTCGCTCAATTGAGGTGTCACACAAATTGTGTTCACACCCTTGGTTCAACGGGGAATTATTCAGACTATATGACATCTTTCTCGAATTTCATCTGGCTCAGGTGTCTACAAGGAATAAGTAGGTCACATAATCCAGACCTGCTAGAAAGCGGCTAACCAACCACAACATAACAACGCTTACGCAGAGCCTGCCCAATTCATGGTACACACCAGTGGCAGCAAATCAAACTAATTCCGCCTCATGGAACCACAAATATATATTGAGAGCGTGATGGTTGTTGTCTCAGCTTGTATCGACTGCTTGAAACTCTTGAGGGGATAAACCACTACATGGGAGGTGCGTACTAGGGGAAAGACAGGCCACATTGTTCGAGAATAATGCACACAGGAAGAAGTGCACTAGGCTACGGGCTGAGGATGAAGTGGAAATCAATTCAAAATCCACCCATCGTATGTATAAGGTTGTGTCTTGGTTAACATCCGATCAGGCTGGCAGCCAGTTGAAGCAGCCGCGGTGAGTACAACTGGGCATTTCTCAGTTGTCTCCGTCTGCGGAACTAATTCAGCAGGTATTGAAGTATCACGAGATGTTCCGTCTTCGGCCACAACGAAGCGTCCGTAGAGGTGGGATGAGACCTGACACTCATGTGACAGAGAGTCTTCTTTTATTCGCCACGATCTCGCCGGCATACTCACTCGGCTCGTCAAAGTTTGGGATGCAATCACATTCCTGAGTATGAAGGACTCGTATTGATGAACATCAATTTCACATTAATATTTTGGCAAACAATCACGATTTACAATAGACATCTATGGGTGGCACGGGCACAAGAACATGGGCAGAAGATGTAATCTCAAATTATGCTGATGAGTAGCTTTCACAACGTAACTCATTTACCAGGCTTCCTTTTCCTCCTCTCGCCCTCGTGTTCCTCTTTCTTGTGACGGGGGACATAGTCCTCTCGCTCAAACTCCTTTTGGCAGATGTCACATTTACCACTAATAGTGGGATAATTCGTTTGCGTTGCCCATTTTCTATGCATCTTCCAGACATGCCGTCTTTTCTCCTTTCCATTTTTGGATTCTGACGCACAGCTACCTGTCGGACATTTTCTGTGCTGCAGTATGTGCTCTCTAGATAGTAGGAAATGTTAGCATGTTGACAATCAATCTTGGAAGAAAGGCCGCTCACTCCATGTCGTCCCTGCTCGAAGCTTTGAAGGCACATTCTTTCCAGTTACAACGATTTCGTTTCCTTACTTTTGTAGTCGAAGAAGACTTCATGGCAGGAGGAGCCGGTAAGACGGTGGATAATGTCTGATCAAGGCTCGTGGGAGAGAAGATTGACTGTGTAGTGATTCTGGGAGGTATTTGGGGCGAAAGTGGGCTTTTCGAGCTTGCTAACACCATCTGCTCCGCATTCTCACCATAGAAAAATGCATTCTGGTGAAGCGGTGACAACTCACCAGCACCTCAAGAATGCTGGGAGGGTGCTGAAGGCTCTGGAAGACGAGTGGGCTGTGGACTGGAAGCATCAAACGAGAGTTCAAATGCAGGGTCAATTCCCATGGGAAGTGCGGGAGGTAACTCTACTGCATCTGTCATCATCGAGTCTGATGGGGAATCTTGTGTTTGTGAAGAGTGGATCCAAGGAATAGGATCATGGTCGCCCCAGAGCAGAGGATCTCGTGCTCCAGGACGAAATGCTGGGGTGGAGTTTGAGTTTGTAGTCATGGTGTGATTATTGTCATTGAGGGCTTGCCTCTGGCGTAAGTCCTTGATGAGCTCCCTGCTCGTGTCGAAAGAAATCCTCGAGAAGGCATAAATCAGATCATCAAGAAGAAAAATTATGCTGGGAAGATAACTCGCAGTTAGAGGAAGGGCGCAAGGTTGCGGGACTGTATGTCTTTTATATTCTTCAAAAGCACTTGCGTGGAGTGCCCAGCCTTCGTCCACATCCCACAAATTCCAGCTGCGAAACCAGTTCCAAGACCAATATCAAGGCGATATTTGCGATACTCACTTCCGGGACACTAGTGACGTGTCTGGGAGGATAATTTTCCTTTTTCTGTTGCTTTCAGAGATGGAATTGGTGCACATGTGAATCTTGTTGGTAGCCGGCATGGTCAGCGTGCATCAAAGTGCACATCCCCCCACCTGCGCCCTCAGACCTCTGTTCCTGGGCCTATCATATTTGTGTGGCCTCCCACAGGAAGCTAGGGGCCTTAGACTGGCCATTTTTGCCCAAATGGTCTGCGGAGGAAGCGAAATACGAGGCATCAGGCTCTGGCATTTTGTTATTTTGCAACCTTCGGAGTCACTCATCCCTTTCCTGTGACTCCCCCTTCCCTGTCTCAACTCCCTTGGAATCATGGTCTTGAAAGTCTTGACGACGGGCTCCATCGCTGGTCCTGTTCCTTCCCACTACGATGCAAGTACTACAAAAGGAGCAGAACCTACGGGACAATATGAAGGGGCCAACAACAAAGCACCAGCCCGTGTCTCTGGTGAAGCTCACAAGCGTTTCGTGGTTGTCACGACTTTGCTCAGTCTGATTGACCCGGTACGCGGTGAACCAACCACACACAGTCTCGATAGGCATCCTCATGATGACTCTTGGAGGCATACGCAACTTCAGAAGAAGTTTCTGGACTCTTTCGCCCTGATATCCTCAACTTCAAGGACAGGCGGTGACACTGCTTCAGCAGTTTGTCTGGAGCAAGGCCATCCTAGCGGGACTATCTTGCGTCTTGCCCGGAATCGTGGTATTCCCGAGAAGCTTGTGAACCAGCTTCAGGAAGTTCTGGATGATCTTACCACGATTGCCTTGGGAGGTATCATTCTACCGATAAACACGAGACTTTCAGGATAAGATGCTGATTTGAGCCGCTTGCTAGAGAAGACAGCAAGAGACCTGGAGTACGGCATCCTGCGCAAGGTCATCATCTTAACTGAGGACAAGATTTGGTCTGTCTTGGAGAAGCTTCACCACCCAGAAGTCCTCGACACCATCCAATGTGCGACTGATAGGATGTTGGAGAAAATTTCAGCCTCGAATGATGCTGAGGAAATGACTTTCAAGCAATGGGTCTCTAACCTACCTTTGTTGGTGTCTCTCGACCTCAGTTCAGATCCTGATGAGCTCATCCCACATATCAAATGGGCATCACAAGCCAGATGGGTCTATTCGGAAGAATTGGAGAATTTCTTCGGATGCGAGGATGGGGAATTGCCTCTCTGGCTTAAGCACATCTATAAGATTGGGCGATATTACGCAGCAACGAAGGCGATGCTCAAATTGGCCAGAAAGCAGCCGGCTGTATTCACTCGCATTCATGTTGAGCCTGTAGATGCTCCCGAACCAGAGAAATTTTCACTAGGGAACGAGAGAACTCCTCTTCTTACCGTGCTGAAGAAGATCACCAAGGCTGACCCCGAAAAGCTCAAGGAGAAGTTAGGCAAAACCTGGTTCACGGATGATCCGGAGACCAGACTACGCCGAGCTTGCCGCATGACACTCACTGTGCATGCCGAGATGCAGCTCCTCAGTTTTTACGACCACAGACCTCATTTGACACCTCGGCTGGTATTCATGGGTACCAGCAAGAAAGCATGCTACCTCTGCCACGAGTTCATGTCCCGCCATCCGCTCACCATCGGTGTTTCTGCAACCCACCAGAAGCTGTACCCGACTTGGATGCCTGCTCCGTGCTCTTCGGCCGTGCGGAAGAAGCACAAAGTCCTTCTTTGGGAATTCAGTCGACACCTCGAACAAACGACTGCGCGTGATCTTGAGACCAGACTGGGGATTCAGCGGCCGGCGACCATGGATTCTACGGCTGGACCATCACTGACAACGACTGGGACGGTTTCGACGGACTTCTGGTTTCAAAATTTGTCTCTGGTTGCTCGCGATGGGAGCGAGAATGCTGCTTTCGAAGAGTCCGACAAGGAGTAGAGTAAAGTGACACTGGGGAATACATTCGAGCTTACATGGACCCAGCCTCAACTTCGAATTCTTTGCATCTAAGTGCAGTTCTCTTTTTGGCGCTTCTGTTGATCCGTTGTGGGGATAAATGCTGAGATGATACCGACTAAATTGTGAATCGCTTTCAAAATACTCAATTCTCCTGTTTCAGGGCCTTTTGTGTGCAATGGTATATGTAGGCCAGAAGCGATGAGTCGTCCGCCGTCAAGGGAGCTTAATCTTAGGTTATAAAATATAGATGCCATTCTGCAACCGCTGTGCGTTTTAGGTAGGACGTCATCTTTTCACACTCTCCTGAAGTCTCGCTTACACTCTGAGGCTTCTCATACCGGACATAAACGTTTAGAAGTCCCAAAGCTGTCTCAGTTCTTTCGATTGAGTACCGTAGACATTGTCATCCAGGGACAGAGGGACACTTTTATGAAGTCGTGTCCTATAGATTGTAGAAGACCTGCAACAAGTATCTGGCACGCTGTCCAACAAGTGGATTCAGAGCTTCGGGAATACGGAAAATTTGATTTTTCTTTTTCGAGATCCTTCACCGTTTAATGTGCATTGTTTGGAAGCAGCTGAAAGCCTTGCCTGTGTGATTCTCATCCATGTGGAGACTTAATGACTTAGTTGTCTGGCCTAATTCTCATTATTCCGACTCTGCTCGTCGCCATAAGCTCTTTCTCAGGAAGACTATGGGAGGCTGCCCTTGTCTTATTGCTGACAAGGTGCAGTTAGGTAAAAGAACAAGCGAAGCTTGTCGGCTGTAGAGATGATGGCCTTCCATGCAATGGCCCAATATTCGGATTGTAATAGGATCGGACGAAGACCAGCGGAGGACAGAAACACATATCTAACCCTAAGGTTTGGTGGCAGTCAAACCGATGGAATATTCAAATCTTGTGATATTAAAAATAAGAATTATAATCGTTAGGTATGAATCTCATGGTTCTGTCGTTGAGCCATTTCTGATTGTCTTTAACGTAGCCGACCGCATTCAAAGCCACCGATATCATCCTTCCCCTCGAAAATAGGCCTGTCAACAATCTTGAGGAAGTCATTTTACCTTTAGCACGGCATCTGGTCATACCGCGACGAATTTACCCTTCAAGTTCAGCGACAAAGCCATCCCTTCTCAGATCCTGCTCGGCTCTCTGCTTCGCCCATCGTCCTACATCCTCTGGCCGCTCTGGCCTCTCCGGATGGTCTGCGCTTTGTTTGAAGGCTGACCGCAAGTCTTTCGAAGACAGCGATTTTTGAGTCGGACTCTTTATGCTGCTTGGAGAATCGACCAAAGTTGGGCTCGGGGTTGCGCTCTGGGGCATCCCCTCAACTCGGTCCCTGAAACTCATGAATCGCAAAGGGCCAGTGGACTTCCGGTAGTCGGCGCTATGCCGCTCAACTCTGATGCGAGGTGGCGACGCTTTGGCTCAGTCTTCACTTAGCTTCCGCAGGAGACTTTCGGGACTACTGCAAGTGTGGAAGAAGGCTGACCTACCGTGGTTCTTCGTATCCTCTGTGACCAACTCGCGGGGGAAGCCGCTGATGGGCAGGAAAGAATTGACTGAGGAGGGATATGAATCCTCCGTTAGGCATAGGGAGATGGTGGTCATGGCCAGCTCTTTCGAGACGAATACGTGTACTCTGTTCAGCTTGAAAGACCCGCGCAAGCACATGTCTGTTATCAAGTTCTCTCCCACCGGAAGCCTGATTTCTTCGACATTCTTTGTCCCGTCTTCTTGTACGATGAAATATGGTGAAAAGTCGTTGCGGAGACAATTGCGTAGAAATTCTCCGAGAGCCTTCATCTCATCAGACCCATTCGCGAATCTGCAAAAGATTGCTCCTGTATTTGTGAGAATCGTCAGTGGGTAGTCCGCCTCCTGAGTACCGCGAGGTTCTGAAGAGATAATCCCTACCGGAGCATTCGAAACCGCCCTTAGGAACGGAGCGTACAGAGCTCTTGTCTTTCTCGAAAAAGAACGTGCTCGCAATCAGTCGGTGGGCAATCTCTTTAATTTTGCAACTTGGAGGACTCTGTCTCAGGTATTGATTGGCGGCTTTCTCCAAGTGCCTCATCTCGTCCACATCATCCAGTGCTGGTACTTTGCCACGCAAATCGGGGTCGATCCGGATAAGACGGCGATGGCCCCCTAGACGGCCATGACGGGACATCGAGGTTTCGGTAACGTACCCGTTCCAGATCTCGTGGCACTTCATCAGACTTCCCAGGCGGTCCATCACAGTCTTCCATAGCTCCATTGGGAAGAAGCTCCTAGTTTTCTGCGGCTTTGGCTTCGTAGTGGGTATCTCATCGGCCACCATATAAGACGTGTTAGATCGACGAGGAAGTCCGCTTTCTCCATCGCGAAAGTCAGTGCCAGTGCCTATAGAAAGGAGGATATCGGGCATAGCATCTGCGACGTCAACCCAGATCCGTCGTCTTTCATCGTGGGCTACCCAGACAGGACAGTTATGGTAGAGCGCTCCGTCGAGATAGCTGTTCTTTGTGTCTTCCTTAAGGAACTGTTTGAAGAATGGCGGCGCTGCGGAAGTAGCCCGAGCTCTTTTCAAGTGATTTATATAATTAGTGTCAAGCTCCCTCAATAGGAGAGCCGGAACTTACGCTTCCCAGATCCTGAATTCCTTTGCCGGTCCTTGAGCTCGCAGGAACTCATAACGCGATGAGTCTGGCCATGTTAAACGCGTGCCCAACATTCTTGCATAAAGTTATACATACCGTGGCTCAAAGTCTCTGGCCTGTTGTAATTTGCCAAGACAACTGGATGTTGCTGGATTGCAGTGGTCGATGTTACGGCTACTTTCGTGAACATCTCGCCGAGGTCATTCTGTCCTCCAAAAAGCGGCCACTCCTCAAATGCCTCTTTCAAGGCCTTATCGAATGGTTTCGTCTTATACTTGCTTCTATGGCTCATCATGGCTAGCTGCTCAAGCAAGGGAATGCCGTTGAATTCACGTGGAGTGAACGCCTTGGGACATAACTCTTTGAATTTCTGGGTGCATTGATCCACACTCCAATTCTTCACTCCGAGACCCAAGGCAATGATTCCTCCGGTACTGAATGAAGCTCGTAAGTCAGAGAGACACGTTTGGACTGACCAACTCGACGGTATAGACTCACCTCGTTCCAACGATGAGATCGAAGAACAACTGCAACTGGAGCTTGCCACCAAGACAGTTCTCTATAGCTTTGAGCACTTGCAGTTCGACTATGCCTCGCACTCCACCGCTTCTAGGCATTAGCTACTTTCGGGAAGAATGGTAACATAGGCAACAATGGGGTAAGAGGGGGGGGGGGGGGTTTGTGAGATGACTTACCCATCGAGGCATAGCATTCGCACGCCTGCATACGGTGGCTTGACAAATACATTCCAGGGCGGATCCCAAAGCATCTCACGTTGATGCAATGGACACCTGCTCATCACAATTGATTGTTTGGAAGCTCCCGGACGGCCATATGCTTTGACGCACGGTAAACAAAGAACATGACCACAAGGCAGGGCATGCTCAGGGAGCTCTCTTAAACATGAGAAGCAGGTTGAGTAGCTTACATGTCGCGAGGAGTCCCCAAGCAACCGGTAAAATTCGTTCAGACAGTTCAGGTGAAGCTCAGCAGCAATTTCCTGGTCCGATCTTTCACGGAGGGTGTGGGTCAGGTTGGAGAATTGGCTCTGAAGATGCTGGAGTTCATTCTTTATCTGGTGCACCCATGTATCGAAGAACTCATCTGGGTCGAATGGGTACTGGTAGCCCCCTGCGTCGATGATCCTTCCATCTTTGTTTTGGTGGCCTTTCGGGTCGTGTCCAGATCTCACGTTGCAACAGCTTCCGTGGCGCGGGTTGTGATAAGCGCAAGGTGCGTAGAGGTGGATGAATTGGTCGAGAGCAAACTTGCAGTATTCGACATAGGCATCGTTCAAAAGCTGGACGGTAGTTCCTATTAATATGAGTTAGCATCCAGGCCAGGAATGGTTTTAAGACCGTCACTAACCCATCAGATTCTGTCGCACAGAATCCAGCATGATGCACGATGCAATCATCGGCGCCATCTGGTCGAAGATTCTTGCAGAGTTTCCCGCTGTGGTTTCAATAGCATTTTTCTGAATTGAAATCGCCAAATTTAGGATGTTTCCCCCAAAGTCTCGCGGAATAGGATTGTGCTTCAGGGCCTCTTTGATGAAGTCAAAGGGCGTGTCAAGATTTCTGGAGAAGTGATCGTAGGCAGCCTGGAGGTAAACCTGGAGCTTCTCAGCGGTGGCCAACATGCGTGATCTCTTCTTGGCTAGCAGCGAACTCTCGCTCTTATTGCGCACGACCATGAAGAGTTTCTCCACCTGCTGGTCCATGAGCATGTATCTCCCCCGCGCGGGAATTCGGACGGTCGTGATCGACGCATAGTAGCATTCTAGTAAATCTTTTGTCGTCTCGATCTTCTTACCATTTTCTCTCCAGAAACGTGCCTGATCCTCGAACCTTGGTTCACGGAAGATGGCTCCACGAATACCATCGAGAAGATGTTGAGTTGCCTTTTCGTTGTCCCACTCACTTTCGTCCACGTTCTCAGTGGCGTTGAGAACAATGATGGCATGGGGAAGTGCTGGTTGATTTAGAGATTTGTTTATTGAACTCGCACCCCACTCCAACAGCTTCTCAAGGACAGTGGACTCAAATGCCCTAGAATATGTCAGATGCTATATCTCGAAGCGCTCCAATGAGTGATCTTGCCTACCTTGGATTTCTAAGTACGAATACGACGACGTCTGAGAAGGTGTAGAGCAGCCTTGGGTAAAGTTTCTTGACGGCGTATTCGCGTTTCTTAGTCTCGGGAGTAACAGCCCAAGCTATGTCTCTCTGTGTGCTGTGACGGTTCCTCCGAGCTCGCCTGCTTGTTCTTTCAATGAACCCGGAGGTGCGACTTGAAGGTCGTGGCGAGCGCCCTATCCCAGCTCCAAGTGAAGCTGTGATATCGGTCTTCGAGTTTTGATTAGATCGATGACGGATCCCTCGTGGAGTGGCTTCTCCCCCATCAAGCCCTTCGCAATCCGCGTATAATATTGGCGACTTGCTGCGATATGTACAAGGGTCTGCGTATAAATGAACATCGCCCGTAGTGGGAAGTAGATCGTTATTAGTCGATGTGACGGGGGATGGAAACTTGTAGGTAGAATCGCGGTCTGAAGCTTCAAGTCGTTCAATAAGCATCTTGATCAATGTGCTCTTTCCGGCCCCTTTTGACAGATTAATAACAGCACTTGACCGTAGAGAGACTATTAGTCATGCGAGATGGTCCTTACCAGTCTGACCTATAAAAGAGACAAGCGACGGGAACCTCTCGCCCACTTCTTGGGTCTGGCTCTCACTCAAAAGCGTCGCAAAGCGGCCATAATCTTGTAGCACAGGCTGATTTGAGGCATCCCGTCCAACTCCAAACCATGTAGTATCCTCATCGGCTTGGTGCTCGTTGTCGACATCCGAGTCAGAACGGACAGGTTCGAGGATTTGGCGGAGGATTCGGACGACGTTAGGGTCGGACTTTTCGTGTGGTCGACCGTCATAGCCTACTGCACCGGGTCTATGCAGTATCCATTCCGACCAGCAGTCGTCGCAGAATGCCAAGTTGTTGCACTGTATGCAGCTGAAGGTCTGATTACTCGTCGAATGACACTGGTGACAGCCTTGACTCTGTGTGTTGGAAGACATGTTGGGGTATAGTCAATTGCAGATGATCATTCCGCACATAAACAGTTGAAAACAGTCCATGTGCGTCTGAGTGGGCATGGGAAGCCCTTATACTCAAGTGTCACCGACTCCGATCAGGCTCGTGCAACCCACCTAGGGACGACGGAAACAAGCGCGTCCAAAAGGCTAATGCAGCTGGAGATGAGCGAGGCGCCCAAGGGGGTCTTAGATCAAGCCACAACGAGACCGGCGGCTATCACAGCCTTATTTTCTCCGGTGCTATATCGATCGCGAAGACATAAGAGCAGTGCGCTGGGAGGGCAGTGCGCTCCAGTGGCTAAGCCTGTGTCTTGTAAGCCTGCCATACCGAAACAGGTCCTTCTCCTGTTGCCCAAAAGGTGTGTGACTTTTTTCAAGTCGATTCCATTGATTCGTGGCCTGATGATGTGAAGGTTGCCTCCAACTTCACAATATTGCCAAGTTTGGCGATGGATTTTCAGCTGTGACGCGCTTGCCCTTTCGCTCTATAATCGTGGAGGGCCAGCCAGGCTCTGCGCATTGGCGTCTACTGCATCTATGGTCTCACTCAGTATGTCACACCTGAAATGCTCGCGTGTACGGTCGGCCAATACGTTTATCACTCCTGCCGAGGAGCTGTGGTGGAACAATGAGGGCCTCCATGACTGACCATGCGGTCGCTTACACTCAAGGACGCCTCAACTCGTTATAGCAGGACTGAAATAGTAGCGTAGCGGCTCAGTCCACACAATGTCTGCCTGCTATTTCCGCTGTCATATGTTTTGACTTCCCAGAACAACGCTCAAAAGCTGCAACTCCTGCTCAGTCTCCGTCACCAATATGACTTGTTGGCTAGCAGGTCTAATCAGTCACTATCTGTGCTACAGGCAGCCTTGTGTTGGTTGCGGCGGTCTCCATCCTATCTTATCTAAGCAGTATAGGGTTAGGGTCTTGTTCTTCAGACTTGCTACTTCTGAATGGTTTCAATGCTGTGCTCTGTCACTTCATACCTCCACTCGGTGTCAACATTAAACACGTCTGCGACTTTCGTTCTCCTGTCCGCACCTGCGGCGAAGAATTCAAGGCCAATCACTGGTCCTATCATGCTTCGCTTTCCCTCATAGGCCCTCGGCCCATATGTTCGCACTGCGCTGGAAATCAGGAGTTCAACCACCTGCTTGATCAAATCGGTTGCCTAGGGACGCAGGCTTCTTCGAGAGAGCCTACGATCTACAAGTTGCAAGATCTCATCAAAAAGCCAACACATCAGTCATCAGGTGCAAACTTAAGTTAGGGGCTTCATGTACATGAAGGCATCGGCAACCAGCCAGACCAGGTTGAAAGTGAGATCTCTCGAATGAAACGCCCGTGGCTAAATGATGAGATCCACGATGTCAGTTGTCTCCCAAATGAAACCGTCTGCATTCAACGATACTACTACCTTTGGTATAAATCTAACCTCTGCAAAGCCGATCCCGTTACTAACTAGCACCGCAAACATGCCGCATTCGGATCAAATGGCCCTGGGGGATGGCCAACAGCTTGTTGAGATAAGGCACACCGGGTTTAAAAAATATCATGACTACAATCTCTCCTCACAAGCGATCAGATCTCGAGCCATTGCAAATCTCTTGCGAGGCTACGAGGCGAACTTGTTCAATCAAGTCTTACTCCCCACTTCGAACATCCTCATCGAGTTTGTGAAAGCTTTCGACTCCAACTATCGGATGACTAAACAAAATATCAGTAATATCAAAAAAAGGCCATTCGTATACCATTAATTGCCTATAACAAAGGATTCTTTGGATTTCGTTGGCCATGTCAAGAAGTTCTTCCCCCGTTTCGACGGGGACGAACTCTACGCCTTATCTGGTACATATGTCATGTATAACAGGATAGTGCTGGTACGCCGACCATATGACCTATTGGATGCTTGGGAATATGCTAGAATGAATGCTGGAACGGATTCCTCTCGCATGGAAGAAGAAATGGAACCTTAAATCAACAGAAACTGCGCAAAACAATTCATTCAATAACTGAACTTGGCCTTTATTGCGCACGAGTACCGGCCCTCATGACCATTTGCCTTCGGCCGCGGCCGTTTCCAGATCCAAAATGCCATCCGGCACAAAATGTGTATAAAATCCACTTGGCCCCCAAGGTACCAGCTCCTGCGCTCCCGACCTGAGGTTTTCTAGGCTATAGGCGGGTACGTGTATCCGTGACTTGGGCGTGATATGCCCCTCGTAAGCTCGCTAGGTTGCCTCTCGGGGCTGCCACTTGACGAGGAGGCAGGTGCCGAACCGGGCGTTTCGAGCCTTTTCCGTCGTGATGGTAATGGCTTTCTCCTCGGGGTGATTGTCCAGCCAGTTCAGGCCCTCTTCCCAGCGTTCGGTCACGCAGCTGATGACCAGGGTGCCCCAGGCATGCCACTCGTCACAGAGGAGCTCGGGAAGGAACCGTGATTTGGCCACTGCCGCGTCCTTTATCACCAGGCGGCTCGCTCACTCCTCCTCGTAGTGGCGGATGCAAGGCGTGGTGCGCTCGGGATCCACCACCTCAGACCCTGGCTGCGCCTCGGGCTGCGGGAAGACGACAACCTCGACCTTGCCCGAGTCGTTTTTTCTGTCCCTTGCTGTAGTTCTGGGTGCGTTCAAAGATGGCGAGTGCCATCTTCTCAGCGCGAGACGGGTTGGCGTCTGGCGTAACATCGTATATGAGTAGATCGTAAGGGGGCGGCTTGGCTATGTATACGGCGGGCTGAGTAGTCTCATGGACAGAGTACGCGGCAAAAGTAGGCCTGTCGTCGTGGCTTGGTGCGGACTCGACCACCGTCATTCTCTTCGGGGCAATGCTTGCCATTTGCTGGTAGGGTAGCTGTGGCCCTGAGGCCTCTTCCTCTTCTTCATCATCATTTTTCTGTTCATCTGACCATTCCTCATACAATCGAGGTATTCCCAGACGGTCGCAGGCAAAGCACATTTCGGGGCTTGAGTGAAGGAGTACAGTTGTGTGACAAGATCGGAGAGTTCAAAAAGTTCAACCGCTTACCATCAGGTGGCGTCTGCCTGATTTGCTTGACTCTTCCGAGCCAAGCAGAAAAAGACCAACATATTACTGTGGCAAGATTGTGTTAAGGCCCACTGATGCAGTTTTGATTTGCAGTATGGTTATGTTTTCTCGAATATACCCCATCCCAGTCGTTTTGAACTTTCTACATCGGAACACGGGAAAAGAAGTTTGCATCAAGAAATCTACCTAAGCAAGGGCACACATGCTACGCTTCAAGTGATCACAACTCCATCTAACCTTGTGAAAGCTTTATTCAAGCAAGCGATAGGATGAGTTTTGCTATGTGGGACTCATCGTAGAAAGCAGAAGAACAGGTATGAACGTGTTTTACTAGATGCATGACGACGTTTTTGGCAGAGACCATATCTGTCTTAATAGCTGCTTTCTGCAAGCGGAGTTGATGATCGCAAGCCAGAAATATAAATAACCAAAGGGACAGAGCGATGAGGTAATGATTGGATGGAACATAAAGCCGTGAGGAATTGACCAGCTAGCTTATTCATGTGTGCTCTTGATAACAAACCTCTGCCTATCCACAGTCCCAAGGACTCAGTTGGCCCCAAACCATTGGCTGTTTCATATGAGTATAACCATGATGGCCTGAAATATGAGAATCTCCCATGGTATTCAATGAGGCTTTTCACGCTAGTCATGAAAAGCATACCGGAGGATGAGGCTCCCAGTTAAAGGACCAGACAAGCATGAAACAGTTTAGCCTAGCGTCTCAAGTATATTTCCAGGAGACCGACAGGACCGGTGGCGTGGACCTGGCTGACCTCGTAACGTAAGTCGGCCTCCGCTAGCAAGACTTTGAATTCAGCCAGTGTGCGCTGCTTCGCCCCGAAGCTGATCATCATAATCATATCGATCTCGCGGACTTCGCGCTCGTCGAGGCGTCCCCAAGTATTTGGCTCAGGCATGACGATGTCGTTGACCAGAAGAGGTGTCGACGGTTTCGAGCCCTCGAGGCCCGGTACTACGGCCTTGAACATGTTCACAACGTCCTTGTCGGCCCAGTTGTGCGTACACTGCCGAAGCAGGAATGCCGCGGCGCCGCGGTAAGGCTGGGGTTCGAAGAAGCTCTGCTGTACGAACGAGACGCGATCGCGCACGTCATCCGTCAGCAGTTTCTGACCCTCATCCAGCATTCCGCTGCCCAAATCCTGCACGACGAAGCTCAGGTGGGGAAACAGGCGGGCTAGAGCCATCGAGATGTGCCCGCTGCCTCCACCGATGTCGACCACGGTGCCTTGGAGATTTCCCCTGCTGACCAACCTGCTCATTCCGGGCCTCTTGGCAGCGGCTCCGGACTTGCACGTCGTCAGTGTCTCTAGCCACGGCTCCCGCGTCTTCCCCTTACGCTCGACAACTGGAACTTCGGGATTGGCAAGATAAAACACCCCTAGATCGCCTTTAGCCACGCAACTACAGTCCAGCTCCTGTTCAACATCGCGCTCATCAACAAATTCCGGGGCCGTGGCGTGACTAGCTCCTCGCTGCAACTGGGAAAAGACTTCGCGACCGGCCTATCGAACTATCTCAAGCGAGAAAATTCTGGACACGTGTCTGAGATCGCTATTCGCGGGTCGGGTATCGAATGGTATTTCGAGTCGTCTGCGCAGAGAAATTTGACCCGAGACGCTGCCACCCACCTGTCTGTGGCCCTTGACCCGGACACAGCTGCCAAGTCGCCCGTTCATCTCACCGACTGCGAGGTTCAGGAGCCTCTGGCGTATGCAACTAGTCCAAAGAACGTGGAGACGCCGCGGGCGCTCACTTAGTAACTAGCTAAGCAGGACCGAAATTTTCCCTGGGTGAGAAACCAGTCAATATATGCTTACTTAGTGCTTGTGCCTGGTTATCCGAATGATTTGAGCTGTACGAGAGTCTATTTAGATGACCAGCTGAGGAAGAAATACCCGATCCACCATCCTATTTTCCACTTTCTTGGGTCTACATTGGTGATATTGTATCTGAACTTCCCGCTCCTCGACAGTGGGTAAGTCATTGTAAGTCTTTTTGACAATATCCACTAGGACCGTCATTAACAGGACCTTCATAGTTGCTGACAGCACAGGTCAAATAAATGTGATCTGAGGTCGCCACATTATGCATGTCCTTGAAACACTGCGTCAACAGTGTCCCCCAACTTATGAGATATGGGCAGGCTGATCTCACCGGCTTGTCTATCGGAAGCTCACCAGACTGAGCGGAATCAATAAATTGTTTTCGATACTTGGTTTAGGGTTGAACTGAAAATGAGTTCACTATATACTGAGGCCATATGTACAATCAATTGATGCTATCCAGACAGAGTCTCTCACCTTCAAGAATATTTACTGAGCCTGCTGGGCCGGGATGTTGATGGTGCTGAAGTTCCAGGTCTTGCCACCGTCGGGGGACGTCATGGCTCCACCAGTGGCACCGTGTGCCCAGCTGCCACTATGCTTAAAGCTCTCATCTGCCTCACTAAGTACGACAGAGACATCCTCCCAGCCTGTTTGTCATGTTAAATCTCGCTCATTGTGTCGAAGGTGTCATTGAGGCAACATACTGTGGGCCGGATGCTGGGCGCATGAACCGGAAGCGCACTCGATGGAGATATAGAAGATATCTCCATGCTCTCCCTTGCCTACACACGTGTCATTAGATTCCGAGCTGTTGAATGGTGAAATATAGTCTTTAAAACGCACTAGTTGAAACGGAAGAGACTAGTTTGTCATCGATATAGACGTTCTGGTCCCAAAGCTGAGTTGAGGAATTCAGCTTGTCTGGATGGTCTATTAGTCAAGATATCCCTGGAATAATGAGACAATGGCTCGACTTACAGTTTGTCCGGACTGTAGACCCAGGCGAAGCGGTTACAGCCTTGCCGACAGTGGGGTCTGAGCCTGGAGTGACATAAATGAATCAGCGATCGTTAAGCAATTAATTGATTCAACAATAGCACCAAGCCCACAACTAACCAACTAAAGTGTATGCAAAGTTGCACCAGTTCTTCCCACCATCGTTGCAGTACGATCTGCGAAAAGAATGTTAGTCATGAATCGCGCTGTGACTACTACGTAATTTCAGGCACTGTACCCAGTAGGGGAGTTCGAAGTAACTCCTTGCAGGAACGATGACTGATTCTCCATGTATATAGCGCTCCAGATGGCAACATCTCCAGACACTGAGCTAGGAAGTTTGGGGAGAACAAGGGTGGCGCTAGCCTCCTGGATGTACGCGCCGCCATTGGTGTAAAGAGTGACAATGTCGGAGTTCGCTTGGGCCAGGCCGACGAGCGTGGCAAGGACGACGCCAATGGTCGATTGAACTCCCTTCATGCCGCAGAGTCCGGGGGGTGTAAGCGCTGGATAGAGTTCGCGGGTACGAATTGATACTATGAGAAGAGGAAGTGAAAGTATGAAGAGGATGCGTAGATATAAATCACCGCCCATCCCCACCAATATGTTAGAGGGGTGGAGGATCAAGCTCGTGACTATTAGTATTGAACGGGCCACAGGTGTATATTCGAAACCACTTTTATTGGCAAAGGTGCACCTAGTCCCCTCCGCCCGGAGTCTGTGGCTCCACAAATCATCGCCCAAAATTTCCCCAACAAGTAAATATCGTAATGCCGATACGTTAATGGCTTGAAGAATCCAAGCTCTTAGACCTTGCGACTCTTCTGGCTCGCCTGTCCCCCTTCTTCCAAATTAAGAAGTCTAAATGTGGCGACTACGGACTACTAAGCCGAGCCCCAACCCTCATTTCTTCTCCCCTCCCCTCCCTCTGCCGCCCAGCCGTGTCCTGTCGCATTTTCAACCGGTGGGTGGGAGGCGGGGGTGAGCCACCCTTTGAGTTATAGACTTCCAACCCGTCATATATCCGCGTACAAAAGTATTAAAGACTTTATCATGATTATGTTAAATAACTATCGTTATAGTTCGTATATTTTTATTTAATCGTGTGCAACAATAGGTTTATATGGTATTTGGACTTCAACTATGACTAAATCGGTATTTGAAGCACTGTTATAGCTATAGCCGGACTACATGCCCTCACACTAGTCCTAGGTACTGCTCTGCCCCATTGGGCCCGTCGGGTTATTAGTCTCGACGAGCTCAATGCCCCATCTGAGCTCTCCATCGGCTCCATTAAACCAACCCAGCTTGGCAAGACTCTCAGGGCCGCTCTTGAGCTGCCTGTCATGCCGTAGGTCCCTCTGCCTCGCCAGCTCGAGAAGTCTCTCGCTCCCGGCAACCAGTACGGCCACGTCGGCGATGCTACTGATTTCAACGGGCAGCAGCTTATTGTACCTGCGCGCCGCGATGACCAGGATTACGGAGGTGACAATTAGATAAGCCAGGATGCTCATGCAAACAATGGCAGCGGTCGTGCTCATCCGCAGAATCTCGACCTCGCTCCTCACCTCCACTGTGGCCGTGTCAGGAATATCAGTTGTAGTAGCAGCAGAGGCCATCTCCGAATCTTCTTGGCGACGGCCACGAGTCTTCGACGTTGCTGTCGCGGTGGGCCCATCGATGTCGGCCGGAAGGGACTCGCTGGGGCTCTGATAAACATTGCCGCCGCTCTTCTTGTCGAGGTCACTCTGGGCAAAATGTTGGAACATGACCTCGAAAGTCCTCTGTGCCGTACTCTCCAGCAATAGGGGATCGAGCAGCGCCTCATGACTGCCGTTCGCCAGTGACAACATGGCATAGCTCATGTAGTCAACATTGAGCCCTGGGCCCCGCATATTGAACGCCTGGTCATGAAGGTCCTCATTAAAGATTCCTTGGACACTGGACTTGCCGTTGACCTCAAAGTTTCTTATGCTCGCAGCCCCCAATAGGGCCGTCATGAAGAGCACGCCGTAGCTGACCGTGATATTGGCGTACCCGTACATATTGTGCGCCAAGTCGCTCGACGGGTAGTACTGGTGCACAGCGAAGTTATCAGACCACGCCGCAGCGTCGGGCTGGGGCTCGTCCAGGATGCGCAGACTGATGACACGGCCCGAGGGGGCTTCGACGGTGACGCTCGCGTTGGCGCTCTCGATGGTCGGGAGACAGCTCATCGCGGCAATTTGCGGCTGCTCGGCCCAGATGAGCCGCTTGTCGTTGTCCGACTTGCCCGTGTACAATGGATTTGTCGTGTTGCGGCGGTAACCTTCTACGGGCCTTCCGTGGATCCACTTGATGGTGAAGTTGTTGGGCCAGGTATCTGAGATGTAGGGGTAGGTGTATGAGGAGTCGCACCGGATGTTAGGGGACCAATACCCAATGGAGGCTGAGTGTATCTGACCGTCCGAGCTGGTGTTTTGGCAGCAGATGAGCCGGTCTGTGTCGACAAAGAATGGGGTCATGGGTCCTGGAAGCCAGCTACCGTTGTAGTTACCTGCGTCCTTAAGCAACTGCTCATGACTGTCCAAGAACAGAGCTGTACTACAGGAATCGGTCATGTTGTAAGTCGCGTAGCCGAGCTCGTACCCGTGATCGAGAGTACTGGGACTTTCTGATATGTTCCAGTATGTCTCGTCCGTGAGATTCCACTCTGTCAACCACAATGGAGTCTCATCAAGAAAGTCGTATGGTGTGCATTGTAGACGAGCTCGAACAGCCGACGTGTGCATTGTGACGTTGACAGACTGTACCGACAAACAGGCCGTGTCGTTTCCGCACCTCTGTTGCTGTGCCTCGGAATCTGGGAGTGCCGAGAGATCCCTTGGTACCAAGCTCCAGCCATCCGAGCTCCAAGAGGGCTCAGATCCATTGAGCGAGAGCTGTACAGTAGCGCTATACATCCACGAAGTGCCCGTATCACCAAAAGCCTGCCACAGGGGAAAGGTCGCGGGGTCAGAGGCACCAGTCGACTGCCTCAATCGACCCGGCTCTACGCGCGGGACGTGGCGGAGTTCTAGTTCTGCGAGCAGTTTGGCTGTCGATGGTAGCTCGCCAGGCTCTCTTGTCCATAAGGATGACATGGCGACGGTGACTATTGAGTTATCTTAGCAGCAGCGTAGAGCAAGCGTTGGGGTATTTGGTACTGACAAATCTGCGTGAAGAAAGCGCCGGTACACACCGACGATAACACCCAATGTCCCCTCCTGGCGGCCCTCTGAGCAGCCCAGAGCAGATATGATGACCCATACGACACGAAAATCCCCTTCCATCCACGTACAGGCTCGCTTGCAAGGGCGAGAAAAGGCTGATACCGACGAAATGTTGAATCCAATGACCCCCACCATAAGCTCACACATACACCCAGGAGCGTGGTGATGATAGAAGCTGGATTGACCTGCCCGTAGCTCTTGCCGTTGACCTCGATGTCGAGAGCGAAGACAAATGCTGATTGGTAAAGGCTGCGTTTCCTCGAGTAGGCGTACAAAGTAGCAATGGCAGCTAGAATTGACAGCAGCAGCACAACCAACGCTAGCAGGCCAAGGATTGAGAACACAACGGGTTTGGCTTGCTTTCGACCATCATAGACGTCTGGCTTTTCTTTTCCCTCACTCTCTGGCGCGACTCCAGCTCCCTTACTGACCAGAATAATGTCACCCTCGATTAGTCGGTATGTCTGGTCCGATAGACTTTTCTCGAGAGTCTTGGGAGCACCACCTGCGCTCCCGTCCCTGATAGACTGCAAGGCGGCCCGGTCGTTTGCCAGAAGTCCGGCCACATCCACTGCAGGCGCGGGATTTGTGTATAGTCCCATTGGCCGCCGTGATAGTCTTGTGATTCTTAGAATAGTAGCCAGCAGGATAAGCTGGATGCCTATGACAACCTCGAGAGTAATTGCGACTGCTTGCACAACTACGAGTCGACGCCTGTTCGTGATGACATCTCCTGATATTCGTTGTGGGACTGTGTCCGTGTTGTTGTTGAACGCATCTCGGAGTAGTTCTGCGAAGAAGCGATTCTCCGTTCTCTGCATGTTCTCCGCCAAGTTTGGGCTGCCCAGCGCCTCAGTGGGCGAGGTTCCGTATAAGGGATTGAGCAGATTCATCGGCCCCAGAAAACTGGTAGACAAGGATCCAGTCGAATCGAAGGTGGCGACATAGGTTGGCCAGTCCATGCTGAAGAAGACTTCCCGAAAACGATGCATATCTGCTGTGTCATTGGATAAAGGCGCGCGGGATGAGTTATACTTCGCCTCATCTATGCTGACAATGGATTCCTCCGCCTCGAGGGTGACCTCCACGGGGACAGACTCAGCCATGTAGGGGGTTGTCTGGCACACTTGACCGCCTGCTGTGAAGTTCTCAGCCAGGGGCTCAGACACTTGGGAAGGCAAGGCGCTCATCATGACGATGATTTCATCCTGAGATTCGCATGACACAAAACTGACGTTGCCAACCACGTATTGCGCTGCTCCGGCAGCGATGTCGAAACGTTGACTCAAGGTCTGGTCAACTACTGTGGTCCAGGCTGAGGCCCCCGTGGTGTAAAAATCTGAGTTACCAAGTATAAGCCGATATTCCGCAGTACAGCCGGAAGGCGACGAGAGTGTGATGATACTGGCTTCCACGGTCTCATCTTGTAGGTGGTTCGTGAAATTGCCATAAGCAAAGTGTTCAAAAGTTAATGGCTCGCAGTAAAGCTCTATGCCGAATACTGTGGCCGCAGATCTCCACGTCGCGCTGTCGCTAGAGAGTACTGGTCCCAGAGGTGCCACTCCGAGCCCCTCGGGCCATGCAGGTAAGATTGCATACTTATCAGTAATCCATGCCGAGGTCGAAACATTCTGTAGGATGTTGCTGACTGTTCTGAAGTACGTCGTTGACAGCGGGTTGACCTGCAATGGCAAGCTGTCATTGATGTCCAGCAGGGAGAAATCGGTCCTCTGAGTGAAGACGACGTTCTGGGGCACCAACAAGGTTGAAGAGAGAGGTGATACAACTAGAGATCCCAGCATAAAAGCGAAGGCACTCCAGAACATAGCCCAGCTCGTCCTGAGACCACCATGTCGACCTGGAAAGCTCCTGCTAAGTGCAGTCCACCATGGGCCAGCTTTCCACGTCAAGGACTTGTTGGCTGGTGCACCTGCTGCTGAGGCGAGACGAGCGAAGGGCTCAGTGCGCTTGACATCGTCGAGAAGCACGGAGAGAGACAGCACGTAAAGGACTGCCAGTAGGGTTGGGAGGAATTTCGATGGGAGCAGGATGCTATTAGACCCATCCAAGTCGACCAGGCCGGAATTTTGTACCGAAATCGCATGGAGAATCACAATTACAAGCTCAAGCCCCAAGGGAAAAGCTATGATAAGTGATAGCCATGGCCAGCGTAATGTGTAAGGCAACCATCTGGGCTCCGACTCGTGATGTGCTGGATGACTGGGACTTGATTCAGGAATGGGGCTTGGGCTGCGACTTAAATCGGACACATGATCAGAGTCGTTGTCCTCTATCGGCGAAGGGCTCCGTGAAGGAGCTAGTAACTCAGACCGTTGGTGCTGATGCTCGTCGCCATCGGGTTGTTCGAGGTGCTGGATAGGATGGTATGGCTGCTGGGATTGCAGCCCTGATCTGCTGCTACGTAGCGATGCAGTGTCATGTATCGCCGGCTGCATATTCAATTTGAATGCGATAGGATGAGCCAGCTGTGAGAATGATTAAGAGAAGGCTCTTGATCGATCGGCCTACGAATTAACAGCTAGATATTCAGCTGGTTGTGGCGACCCACAGTGCCATGGCGAGGCAACCATAATGCTACACCGAAACGTCGTGAGACATGGTTGATTGGGGGTCTCGGCTCTTGTTAGAGCAGAGCATTGATCTGATTTGTCAAAATCGAGAAACTGGCCCGCCCAGAGTTGATCGATTGGTGACAGTGCTTAGTTGATGTTTCCTGAAGGATTCAATTCTCCGCTTTGCACAAGGGGTTCCGCTATAACGCAGCTGCAGCGGCTCGCAAAACCGCCTTGAAGAATTCAACACAGCTTAAAAATAATATCACTAAGCTTAGAGTGAGATTTAATTTTATTTTCAATTATCTGATAAACCGAAATGCCTTATTCTGTTCACTTGATATTGAGGGGGGATATCTGAATTTGAGTTATCTCAACATGTCACAAAGCCAAAAGTCATGCCTGCTTGATCGCCCGCACAATTGGATCAGGCAATCTTCACATAACGGCGGCTATTTGCAGGTCGTCGTTGCACTGCTCGAAACCTGCATAGTTCTAGAACACCGAGGGAAATCAACTGAGGGAAAATGGATGCACCCGCACCCCTCGGTGTGGATTTGGCCCTCATACAGTGTCTTCCTGGATTCAACAATAGTACTTGAAGTATGTTTACATTACGTGCTTGGGACCTCTCATTTGTCGCAGGCTCCGAATCCCGCGTCTCCCTTGCCACGCATCTTAGCGCACCAGGGGATTCACATTCAGCCGCAATTTTGGCTGAGCTGCACATCAACTAGCGAAAAATCTGCAAAAGCTTTTTTGTACGTATTGAGATGTGTTTCTTCGCTGTATCTGGTAGCGATGTGCTGAAGACGATTTCCACTACATGGAGAGCCCATCTGCTATCGCCACCTCGCATGCTGATAACCTATACGCGATTACGCATTGCGTATGTGACACTTCAGTACTTAAGTAATTAGCCTAGGGCGGAGGGTGAGACGAAACGAGGTGAAAGGGCCATAATCGCCAACTAGAATTGTGAGCGCACCAAGAAAATGCGCACTTGGATCTCTTTTGCTCTTAGTTCACAAACTGCAGTGCTCTGCCTCTTCATGCTATTTGCTTCATCTGTAATGCCTGTAATGCAGTTCGCACTGATGCTTTTGTGATTTCTACTGTGCCACGCTAGTAGCCTCATAAGTTTGATAAATTGGTACTTTAATCGACTATTAAGATAAATAATTAACATTATACATATTATATATTTTAACTTGGCGCATGCACTGCAAAGTCACTTATAAAGGATGCAACACAAATTCGGTCTAAGGTGAGCTCGAACTCGCAACCTAGTGCGTTTTTCGATTACGCATACGCGTATTTGCTATATACCTATATACGTGCTTGGTAGGCGTGTCTAAATATACATATTCAATCTCTACCCTGTGCCAGCACGTATCAAACGCATTCCTGCTTGTCTCTCTGCAAAGTCCAAACACTTCAAAGATCTGACACAGCTCAGGTGGTGCTGACGGCCGTGACAACTAGCAGATTAAGCCTTGACCAAGGTGAGGCCGTAGGTCGACAGAATCTCATTGACGGGCTGGAAGTAGGTCGTGCCGCCGGAGCTGCAGTCGCCGGATCCTCCCGAGGTGACGCCCTGGGCCTGGGCGCCGGTGTAAAAGGAGCCGCCCGAGTCGCCGGGCTCGGCGCACACATTGGTCTGGGTGAGACCGGTGACACGTCCTTCGGAGTAGTTGACAGTGGCCCCTAGGGCGCGGACTGTGCCGCAGTGGACACCGGTGGTGGAGCCGGAGCGGCAGATACTAGCGCCGGTGGCTGACGCGGTGCTGCCTGACACGGGCAGGTTACCCGAGCCGTATCCGTCGATGTAGCCCGAGAGGGTAGTTCCGCTGACAGTGCGGATGTAGCTCATGTCGGCGCTGCCTGGGAAGACCGAGCTCGAGAAGGTTCCCAGCGATGCACCGCTGCTGGTGGTGGCAGAACTGCCTGCGGTGCCACAGTGGCCAGCCGAAACGAAGCCAGTTGTGACCGAGAAGCCAATGGAGCACCGAGCAGCACGGTTGATATAGTAGGCGTCACCGCCAAGGACCGTGGCGAAGGTGGTCGGCATCGTCTCAACAGTCCGCACCTCGAACTCGGATGCCACGAGCCCGACCTGCGCAGCCAGCTCCTCGGCGTGGGCGGTACTGCCGGCGAGCGCCTCGAGGACGAGCTTGTTGGCGGCGACGTCGACGTAATACGCCGCGATGCCCGTGTCGGCCGAGTCCGTGGCGAGGGTGCTGGGTTGCTCGATTTCGATGTTGTCAAGCGCCAGCTTAGCCTCTTCAAGCTTGGAGATGCTGTTGGCCACGATAGCCGGTGTGGCGCCAGCAGCGGTCACCTCGGCGGCCAAGGCTTCGTCAGTGACGCCGACGTTGAGCGTGGTGCCGTCCTCGGCGATCCAAGCGCCGCCGAACGAGTTACCCGTGGAGGTGCGCAGCTGCTCGATGACAGTGGCGGCCGAGACGTCCCTGGCGACACGAGCAGTGGCCTGCTCGGCGTCCAGCCCCAAGTCGCGCTTCATGGCGGCTAGGATTTCCGGGTGGACGCTGTTCGCGGCTTGCGTGGGGGCACCGTAGGCGACGGGCAGGACGGCTGCCAGGAAGGCGAGGAATCCGAGAAGCTCCATGTCTAGCGTTTTGAAGACAACACGTAGGGGAAAGAGGCGTCGATTTTGCAGAGGCTACTAGTAGGTAGTAGGCAAGATGAGTCTATGCTGCTGCTGCAAACTACTAGACATACCAGACAAGACGAGGACATGCGTACGCTTTTATACTTATCCCGACTCCAGTATCGTGACTGGCATTACGCTCGTGTTGTCGCTGTCTAAAGCAGGGCCCTACATCAATCTGGCTGCCGCCAAATTTCTCCTTCCCAATCTGCCCCAATCCGCTCACCGCGATGTTACCCAGGTTTCGATAGCATCGGCGAGGATCGTCTGAAGCACTACAAAAGAAATCCACCCGGCGATGTAACAGCACAGTAGGTATGGCAGTCCTTGAAAGGAACCTTTGAAGATATCGTATACTCCCTGCGCGACAAGACGGTATATAGCCTAATGGGAAGGAGGAAGAGGGAGCCAAGGGACTAGACGGAAGCTTTTGATAGATAAGGTGGTGCAACTCAAGGCCGGCACATTGGCAGGTTTGCGCAACTTCCTTTATTAGCATCATGGAGGGACCTGTCAGGTCAGCCGATGTGGAAAGGGTCACATTAGTCTCAGCGAGCTCAGAGCCAAGACCGTCAAAGAGACAGGAGGGGGTGTGATGAAGCTTGCTGGAAAAGGGAGGTAAGAAGGGGAGTGGTGGAGGTGTTGAAGTATTAAGAGTCACATCAGTAGCGGGCATCTAGACGGAGAACATCTAATGTTTGCCCGAACATCAGAGGTCTAAAGAAGCATCAGATATTTGGTTACAGCTGGCAGCAGCTAGTCTATACGGCAGCCAGCAAACAGCGGCTTGGCACATAGATAGCAGAGGTGACCTTCCTTAAGAGGCAGGGAAGTCTTGCCTTGGCGTTCCTATCTCCGCAGTCTCCATAGCATGCCACCTCGTTTATAGCCAAGCCAGTAAACTCCGCGTAAATAAATGAGCGTGGGGCGAGTTGGCTGTATCGCCCGTACGCTTAGCGTGTTTTCTTTACGCAGGTACTGCAACAAGCCGTGGGTGGCGCCAGCTAGCTGCCAGCTATAATCAAACATCGAATATTCTACAAACATGCAACATATCCTTATTCAGTAAAACTTCAAGACATCAGAGGTTCGACAAGCCTGTGAGGTTTCGCTTCCTATTTTCCCAGCGCGATGACAAGATGACATATTGCCTATATCAAGCCTGAAATTCCCCTCCTGGGTATGAGGGTCACCAAAGACCTGTCACTGTGAGCTTTCAACTGAGTTTGTTAAACTAAGGCTATTCTGCTACCATCTGTGTGCAGAACCCATTGTAATAGTCGACTGGGTGAATCCTCCTAGGGAGCTTTCTAATGGTCTTCTTGTCCTGCTTTGTGATCTGTGTAGTCTTGTTGTTTATCCTTGATTTGAGATCTAACCAGATTTCAATTTGCCTGGCATAGATCTCATGTCTTTCGAGCGTAATCACAAACGCGTTAATCATTTGGGCTACTGATGGGCTTTTGACTTGCTTGTTGTAGTCGAAGTCCATTTCTGTGGCTGCAGCTTGTCAGCCCAGCTTATCCACAGCCGCTCAAAGCAATGGGGGCGTGATTATCTTATCAGGTTGTCTGTTCTGGTTGCAGCTGGAAAACGCTCAATAGGGCGTCAAACGCGTACACTGGGTCGAGCTGTATTGTGATGTCGGTCTCGGTGGCAACCACGACAGGCCGAATGACTATTCTTGAATAGTCTTGCAACGCAGAGTGATAAGGCTGTAATTGTTTACTATTTGCAAAGCCATATCTTGTACTCTGGGATATCCTAGCTTTGAAATTGTCCATTTGGGGTATTTTGAAGGCCAAGTCCTCAGCATTTTCACTTTCTGTTAATGAGTAACGGAGGGCACGTCTGCTGAGCCTTAGTTACCGATTGACGCAACACGGGTTTGCACATAAAACCAATGATAAGTCCTTGTTACTACTTCCTCAACATCTTTGGCCATCAGACAACTCAAATATCTTCAAAGTGTTGATCCCTCGGCCACCAGCTGAGCCATGCTGTGGCTCATTCAAGCATACGTATGATTTGATCATAAAGGAGTGACTGTGCTACGGTCTCCATTATCACGTAGTAATGTCGGTACTATTTCCCACTGATTAAGGGCCCACAGATTCTTCCTGAGCTCGGCATTGGTCGTCCTTACTAGATACGAGTATTTCAAGCTGAACCTAAGGAGCTGCCAGCAAGACCCCTTATCTTATAAGAGAGGGACACTAGAAATCTTTTCCAATGACTATCAGATAACTTCTCGCAGAAACATACCCACCGTTTCTTCATGCTTTTAAGATAGCCCTTATGCCTATTGGAAAGCTTAGAAACCAGGAGCTTTTGCTAATTATTATGTGATATTAGCTGTTAGAGTTTGCTGGAGGTGATAGTCTTAAGTATATAACCATTGAGTACCTGAGCCTAGTTCATCTAGTACAGTGTGATATGGGCCTTTATCGTAGTAATAAGAGAATAAGATCTAATGTGGCGGAATAGCGTTTATGAAGGAAAAGTTATCAAATGAGTTAATAGTATTACTTTTAAAATGTAAGGGGTTGATATTTATAAATGCCTCTTCCTATTCTATATTGTCTAATAGCTTAGCTACTATAAGTTGCCTTGTTTCACTGTGCCTGAATCATGGATGGGGTATTAAAGGAGTGGTATAAAAGTACTTTAGGCCTGTTAATACGGCCAGTTTCGGGTGTGTTACTCTTTAATGGCTTACTTATCAGATAACACACCTAAAACTCTCTCGACTCTTAGTATTGTGTTGTAGATCGCCAACAAAGCTGTCTTGATGTCATGTCAAGGTCGGTGTGAATAAACATGCTCCGAGAAGCTACTGAGTATTTACTCATTGAAGAGCCAAAGCGCTCCCAGCCTCGATTATCGTCGTGAGATTTAAGCCAATAATCACATTCCTGAGCACCAAGTCGATCAAGCAGCTATCAACGTAGCCATTCATCTCCTCAGGTTTCAACATATAACCCAATATCTGCTATCCCTCTCGCTCAGAACTAATCTCTGTCACGGAAGGGGTTAACGCAATTCTATTGCCATTTATACCCTAGCTCAACAACACCAATCAACCAGATCCGTGGGGTGTTTCCCCGAAATCCGATCATTTATATAGGCTAATAATTATCCAGGAAACCGTCTCTTGAGTACTCTCTACTTCCAAACGACGCATACAGCGCACTTTCTCATCTTCGTCGATTACTGACTGAACACATCTCCCTCAGAAATATAAGCGACTATGAAAAGGCAGTCACCATCCTCGAAGTCTCGGCTGTGCAAATAGGTAATGCTAATGTCGAGGAAATAAAGCATGGCAAATTTGAGCACGAATCAAGGAAGCCGGTCTAGCTGATGAAAATGGGCTAATAAGTCAGATAAATACCGCGAATATTCGCAGATACAGTGGGTAGGGGACGAATTCTAATGAACATGTTGTACCATGGACCAAGATAAATATGCAAAAGATTAAAAGGTGGAGTAAATTTTCAAGGATGAATCGTGACAGTTCCAGTCTGTCAACAGCAAGAGAAGCACGCGTGGTAGTATGAGGATGCTTGTATACCCTACCTAAATACGTACAGCACTTCAGTCTGCTAATGTATGGGTCGGTAAATATCGCGCTGAACACTGTCTTTGATTCTGTTTTACTCGCTGTATACAAGGTGTTGAATTTCCTAGGCGAGTGGGCATGTTTCAAATAAAGGTTCGGCGTTTTATTCAGCTCGTCAATAGTCCCCTGAGCTCAGCCTCGCACAACGTCTGGAGTGCCTCATCGCAGTCTTGTTATTTTTAGATGCACACCCTGAGCGGCTGATTATCGCCCCTCAGAACGAGCGCGGGGGCTGGTCAGCGAAACCAGGTGGTGCAAAGTTTCCATCGTCTTGGGTAGCAGAGAAACGTCCCTTTGGTGAAAAGTGTGGCTGAGCGCCAGCCACGCGTGCACTTTGCCTGTCGTGGCGTTTTATGTATATGTGTTTATGACTTGTCCCTTGAGAAACAAATTAGACTATGGGCTGCCACACAAAATCAGAGCTGGCCATCCTCTCAAAACATTGAGTGAACATTGCGTAGGGGCCGTCGGAGCCGCCCCCAAGTTGCCTTCAACAATTCACCAGCACACTCGAATTACAGATCGAACTCATTACTTTTAAGCAGCTCGCGAAGACTTTGTTGTATCTCAAGATGAGACATAGAACAATCAGCTCTCAAATAGATGCGACCGACCTTAAATGTTCCATTTGCTCTGCCTATACAATCGTGGCAAATATACTCTGATTTCTTTATATTCAATAACAATTGAATTCCTGTCAGCTGCGGGATAAGAGATGCTTTTCACAGTTCTCCCTCCACTGCTCCAAAGCCAGTCCACCGATTTCACGGACTGGGTCTCGCTTATCACCCTTTGTCTTGCGCCCCTGATCGCACACCTTGCAGCTGGTGCGCCGCAACCTTCATATCTGACGCCCGTCTCTCCCCGGTGGCATGACCGCCTCTGCCACTACATTCCGACGTCAATCATGTGGCGCTACGCGGCCATCACTGATCGAAGAATCAGGTCTTTCGGCTGGGACATCCAAACCATAGCCGCCGCCAACGCCTTGTTCTGGACGCCTCGAGGATGGGATGGGTCCGAACAGATGGCGGCTTGCAGCCTCGAGTACTGTACTTATCTCCCTGAAACTGCGAGGGTTGAGATGCTGTCCTGGGATATGGCCAAGACGTTGATCACCACGCTACAGGGAGTTCAAGCTATCTATGACCTAGGAGGCAATCCCTCCCTGAATGGACCTATGAGAGTCGCGGTCAACACCATCTTCAGCCCCCTTGCCATCCTTGGTCTCTATCGGCTCTCTGCAGCATTGTGGTTAACAACCCATTTCAATTTCGCACCGCGAAGCCAGGTTCTGGCTCTAGGCTTCACGCGGAGGCTGTCCCTGGACAGTCTGCTCGAAGAACCCGAAAAGCCGCCCACTCCTGTACACTATTACCGGGCTACATCGTATCTGCCCAGCAGAGTATTTCGGTCGATATTTTCCCTTCCTATGTTAATCCTCTGGTTGCTGCTACTGTTCCATACATTTGGGTCCCCAATAACAAGCACGCAAAGTTTCAGCTTCTTGATTTGCAACATTTTATACCATCTCATCCTTGCGCCTTCTTTAGTAATCATTGGCTACTACTTCGCACGAGGAATGACGACTACCACTATCATCCCTTGCATTTCCGCCACCTGGTATAAAATCTATTCCGTGACAGTGATGGGTCTGATGCTGGGTCTTATTGCCGTCTCCAGCGTCGAGACGCGAAAGACACCATGTGGCACTTGGACAGCCACTAGTGGATTTAACGGAGATTACTGGACATGCAAATCGAGGACTTCAGAATTCATTCGTGTGGATCCAGGACTTGGAGGGAATGCTTTCGGAATTGCGTCAACTTACTCCAACACCACTGCAGGATCCATGCTAGAAGCGGGCCAGTTTTGGGTTGATAATTTTACGGGGTCGTGTATTGGGACCTGGTCGAGCCAGAGGCGTGTGCGTGGTACGATACTAGACACGGTTCAGGCCGAGGGCTTAGTGTGGCCTAGTCCGTGAACCGCGCTTTCCGATGTAAATGGAGCAACACGATCTGTGATAATCTAAGAGGAGCTTGGAAGTGAGATAGATGAAGGAAGAGCCATCTCCAAATATGCGAAACGTTACTGCTACCTCATACTAGGTCCTAGAATCAGGGAGATAGCAACACAATCGATAAAGGATCAAGCAATATAACAAGAGCTGTTGAGAAACAGTATCAGCATTCACACTATAATGGCAAGTCATAAGGCCAGACGGCTAGCCCATCTCTTAGTGAGCAAAGAAACTACTTGAATTGAGGCTTGGTACCCTACGGATCCGACTCTAATTGTGTATAAGCATTCGGAACTATTGAATAGATGGCAGAAAGTGTGAAGATGCTCGCCCCTTCATTCAATCTCGAAAGGAATATCATAAATCAAGGCAGCTCACAAGTAGACGGTTGCTATGCGACTACGTATCACAAGTAACAGTGTCAGGTGTGTGGCCGGCAATACGCAAGATAGCGCTCTCTAGCGGCCTATTAGCTCGAACAAGCTCTTGCCACCGTTCCACTGCCGTCCACGCTTGAGTTCTTCTCTTTCTTGGACAGAGAGACGAAGGTTCCAGTCCTGTGGCGAGGTGAACCCATCTTTCTTCTCACTGAGTCATCACTTCCCGAATTGCCGGTTGATGTAACATACCTCTCCTTCCGAGTGAGGGCGGGCCTTTGTTTATATTTCCCTTTGGTTCGAGCCTGACTAGATCACATTACCACGCTTATGTTATAATTACAACCCATCAGAGCCGGAGCAAGGCATTGCCAATTTGACCCAGTAGTTATCGGTAGGGAACACCATGATCATATGGCTGAACCTCAGCTCTCGATACTCCCAACCCGGCGCCTAGAACATAGAGCACAGGAATTGGCGGCATGGGTACGCGATCGTGTGTTCCTGGATACATCAAAGCGACAAAGACGATTGATTAATGATCAGAGGCTGGTGCGATATGACTTCACTCTCTGAGGCACCGTATTTGGTTTAGACGATGAATAAGACCAAGACGTAACCTCAAAGATCAATTACTGTTGGTCTTTCATTCCAAGCGAGTTCAGCATGCATGGTGTTAACAGGGAAGACACAGAAGGTGTCGGTTGTTAACCGGTCGTTGCCCATCAGGTCCAAATGCATCTCAGTGTTTGTGAAAGCCTCACCTCCTTATTAATCTTGGCCTCTCGAAAGAGAACCTCTCGAAAGAGAGCTAGAAGTAACAGTGTCATGGAATTATTAGAATGTTGAAGCCGAATATCTCGACGTCAGCCATGCTTGATCAGCTTCGTGGAACAAACGACGGATCTGAGGAAACTTCGCAGCCAAATAACCAAGGACTAAGCCATCTCCACATGGTCCAAAACAAGCAATGAAGATGTAAGTGCCTACGTAAAGCCAAGTCGATTGTGGAAAGTGCTAAGATGATAGCCAAGTCTTGCCTGCGCTGCCGAATGGGGCAGAGCGTTTCTAGGCATGATGTGTGACACAATGTCGGTGCCTGCATTTTGACGTTGTGCAATGGTGAGACTGTCATGACGGAGACACAACATGGAAGGCTGTCGAAATTCTTTGAGTCGTTGAGCGCACACCCTGAATCCTAAGTCCGCCACTTTGATTGCGTAACGGGCGAATGCTAGATTTGGGTTGCGGTCACACCGACCCACCAGCCCAATGTTCGAACAGCAGACCGCTGCTGAGCCGCAACTTGCAACGTTTAGTCTGCTTAGATAGTCTATATCGAGCACCAATTATTTGAAGCTGACTCAAGTCTTCGTAGCCTTGCTTCGACGTCTTCAAAACCTGTGTTCAGATACCTCGGCGAGCTCGATAGACGATGATCCCACTAGCTGGTTGAAGTTATTGCAAATCCTCCCCACGCCAAGGTGCACCTGACTACCGCTCCGGCATCTTAACAAGGTATGTAATTCCATGTCACCGATGATGGTTGGATGGTCGAGAGGGGTCACGAGGCAAGGATTCAGATCCATCGGTGAAAATACGGCAATCCTTGGACGGAGAACGATGGCTTCAGGCGTGAATGTGCCCGGTAGGCTGCGACTGTCTGCCGAAGCGTGCCAGGGTTTACTCATGCGGATTCTGGGGAGCCATTTTGTGGCGTGATGCTGCGGCGCGGCCCTCCGATTCCCGCAGGAGCTTGCGGGGGCTACTGCCGTGAAGGAGTGCACCCCTGAGCCCGGGAGTTGAGGACGGCCAGGTGTAAAAGGTCTGTCTGATATATGCGGTGTAGAATGTGTTGTCTGTTGTATGCACTTGCAGTTCTCACATCAGCCATCATCAACAGATTTTATATGCCTCAGCTACAGCTACTCCAGCTTGTTCAGATTTTGCAACAATATCTGACCGATGTCACATTGGCGACTATCAACGCATTCCAAGGCGACTGATGAAAGTTCAAGGCCGTCCGGTATGATCTTCGGGCAGGGATCTTGGATGAGCTTATCCGATGGACTTCGGTGAGGTACGACCGGGGTCTATTCCTCTTCCTTGATTTTCCCCTTTTTTTGGACCACATTCTCAGGCAGTGTTTGGCTGCAGTCAGCATCGCAGCGTCGTAACCAACACGCAGGTATCGGACGTGGAGCCCAGAGATTCGTGGCATCAAGTTAAGTGGGCAGGTAGCCAGCCAAATGTGTACTGTACTGCAGCCTATATGCCGAGTCTCCAAGGACCCAGCACCTTAGTGTCCTCAAGGAGATCTACTTACTTCCCCTGTGCGTTTGCGTGCAGACAAAGGTAAAGTAAATACTTCCAGGGTCTCGAATGGATCATTCAAGCTTTGGCATTCGTATCCACCATACGGCGGGCACTAATCTGTGGATCCCCGGGGGAACCAGGGGTAATGCACCCTGCGTCTTTTAGCGCGAACTGCCAAGCCGTCTTTGATACTGCAGTTCCATCGTAGGATGCTGGCGCACACCGAAGAACTAGCCGCCAACGAGAGTATGCAGGCAGCGTGGGCAAAATTGAGACTTTTTGGACGTCTCCGGCCAGAGTCTATGGCGGGTTGAGTGCATCATCCGATAGAATCATCTGGCCCCCTCGCACGAGATCACTCATCCCCTAACAAGACAGCAGCCATATCTGTGCCAATCAAGCATCTATGTTTGAAAAGCAACGTAGTATTGATCTTTCTGATAGTGCCAAGCGGTATTTGCATTTATTGCAAGCGTGGCTCATAAAGGATGGCTACAGCTTCAAAAGCTTCAAGGATTTGCTTTCTGAAGAAAAAAAAGGGAGGGAAAAAAGAAGAGAATAGAAAGAATTCGGGTTGAAACCGAGGTCATTGTTACACAGGCAGGTGAAGTGCACAGATCAATTTGCTTGAGTCTCCACCTGAGACTGAGATTTGTAAAGAGTGTATTAAATTGATTGTGTCCAGTATCTATTCGTCATGCCGTTATCTACATGAGCAGTCTACTGATAGCCCTCCAGAAAGGCTGTACCCCTCCTGAGCTGGCACAATATTCCCGGACTAGACCTGATTGCGTAATTAGCCGCCCCAGCCGTTGCCATATAGGGCGCGAGGCCGAAAATTTATATCCACTACTGCACTTGAATCCTTCTTGTGTCACACCAGCAGCATGTTGGTATACGCGGAGTAGACAGCGATTCGGTGTAGTCGGGGTCTACTGTTAGGTTCTGCCACAGCGCGTCATTACAGTTCATGCTTACCATCCGTACAGCCCTCAAGTAACTCAAGATCTAAATATCCAGATAGCATATAAAAGCACTCTGAACAAAACTTTAGAAAATTCGAGCTAAATTCAGACTACAAAGGGATTGAGAGTCATTATCGGCTTCCCAGTACCGGGAATCGAAACGGGATGGAATCGACGAGAGTTGTCCCGACCCACCGCCACGATCTTGGCTAACTTGCTGACCTGCATACGATGTCTGTCCCTCCGTTGATCTCTTCCCTATCGGTGAACCGTTTCTGGACGGCGTTGTCCCTCAAATGCCGCTGCAGCGAAGGCTCCATAGGGAGTCCAGTTCCGGCATATCCCCAAGCGACCTGAGTCCGTAACGCATCCTATCAAGGGCTAGCTTCAAGTACGAAGAGTGTAGCGGCTTGTATTGCTGTGATGTCTGAAGTGTCTGATCTGTCACTGTATTTCGCCGTGTGTTATCAATTTATGCAGTATGCAGCAACGAATCCTTCGTCTCCAGGGCAGTATGGCACCATTTCAAGAAGGCTGGCCTGAGATCCCTATGACGGATCAAACTGCCAAATACTCGCCATCTCTTTATCTTTCTACTTTGAACTTGAGGTCCTCATATTTCGAATGATATGAGAAAACATTACCTTTCAAGTAAATCAAGCTTATGTTAGACCTACATCCGGAATCCAAACTCCGTATAGCCCATATCTTCGTAAACGATGGAGAAGGATCAAGCTCGAACAAGCCGGAAGATAGTTAGACGGAGAGGCGCATGTGGAAGTTGCAAGGCGAGGAAAGTCCGATGTATGCGCACTCCCGCCCAGATTCCCTCCTCTTTTTATATTTACACGTATACATGCCTGATTAAAACAGATCGTTGACTAAGTAGGTGACGGCAAAACGCCCACCTGCTCTGTTTGTGAGGTAATAAAAAACATTACTACCATGATATTGAACAAAATAGCTGACACTTTGGGCACGATGCAGAAGCAAGGTACAAGATGTCTGTACTCAGATGCGAAAAGAAAGCACAGCTCAGTCAACGATGCAAGTGGTGAGTATTACTACTACTTGAAAATTGAACATTCTTTTCTGATGTGTGCCCATTCATCCATCAGTCGGATCTCCACCATCAAGTCAATGCTCCCTTCCCGTTTCGAGTACGGACACTGTCGCCAACGTCTCTGGACACTATCAGTTCTTGGATGCGCAGAGTACTGTAGATGAACTTGACTACGGGTTCCCTTCTTATCCTCTTTCCATCGTTGATGATATCAACCTCTCAGGGGTCCTTCCCCTGGACATGAGTCTTTTTGGAGAGGGTCCAAATTGGATAAAAGATCCAACAGACAACCAGAATCAGCGTTGGCCACGTCAACTCAGTCTTCCCAGCTCCTATCGAGAAGTACTGAGTCCATTAGAAAGCTTGTTTCCGTACGCAGATCAAGCATTGAAAGGAGATCCAACCGAAACTGTTACCGTTCAAGAGGTTAGGCCATCCAACCATCAATTCCGAGAAATCTATCTTGCATTCATGTGCAAGAGAAAGAATACTCAAGGAAAGTAGAAAAGAGCAACATTAATGTGCTAACTGATTTTTAAGGAAGGAGATACGTATGCTAGTGAGACTTCCCATGCATCATGGCTTGAGTAAAAGGGGTAACATTTGACTGAAGGTTGCAGATGAATCATCAACATTGGCGAGTATTGTGTGTTCCAATCTGCACGATATCGCCGACAATCTGCATCAGTCTTCAATCCGTACGCTTTTGCAGGAAGTTGCTGCCAAAGCACTTGATGCTACAGTCTTCCCGATCATTTCAAATGAAGATGTTTCGGTACCAGCTTTGCATCAACCATGCTACGAGCGCCACGTTGTCCAGGAATATGTCAATAGTATGTACTGCCTTCAAATTTCTGTTTCGAGATTGTCACTGACGCCCAAGTGCAGCATACTTTGATCGATTTTATCAGTATGTACATCGTGGCCGAAATACTCACAGTGTGCATGCTGATAGTCGTAGGAGGTTTCCATTCATGCTCAAAGATCAGTTACAATCTTCAACGGAGGCGTTGCTCACAGGAAAGCTTCCAGAGAATAACCCTGCAGTCCCTCTAATTAATGCAGTTCTCGCTCTTGGGTGCCGTCTCGTCCAAAAGCGCGGAATAGGCGATTCCAATTCAGCTGATCAAGAAGCTCGGAATTACTTCGCGGTGGCTCTCAGAGCCCGTGGCAATTTAGCAGGAGCACAAGCTCAAGCTTCAATTACTGCAGTGCAGGTAGGTAGTATCAGTTCCAGGGGGCCGACACATTCACTGCTAATGTAACCAATATTTAGGCCCTCGTTACAATGGTAAAGTCGACCTGATGCGGGCATTTAAAAGATGGTGAACTAAGTATTTCGTAGACCATTTATCTCCAGGCCGGGGGCCTTCAGACAGCCACACTGGCTCTATCTTTAATCTCAACAGCAGTGCAACACTGCTTGACACTGAAATTAAACCGAATCAGTAGTGTTCGAGCTTTAGCAAGCTCGCAACAGGAGTACCAGCTTCTGTTACGGTTATTCTGGGTGGTTTACTCTTTAGAAAAGCCTCTGACAATGAGACTAGGACGGTTCTCAGTAAGGTCTACAGATGAGTCTAGATTCGCTGGCAGCTGCTAATTGAACCCCCAGTCTATTGATGATGATTTAATTGACTATTCTCCGCGAATGGCTCAACCTCTCTCTGAAGATGACACCAACGGCCAGTCGGGCCTTTTTCTTCATTTTTGCGAGTATGCAAAGTTATGCTCCATGGTCGTCAAACAGCTCTACGGAATTACAAAGTCCAGAGCACGACGCAACGAGATCCAGGACATGTTTCACTCGCTGGACACGCTCCTACAATCATGGAAGGATCAAAGTGGGCCGATCCCGACGGACGCCGATTTTTCTGTGCCTGACAGAACGACACTACAGAGTTCCCAGTCCGAAAATAACGTTGAATTGTACCTACGATGGCACGAATTAAAAGTCACCATTTTTCACAAGTAATGGAAATCCCCCTTGGCAAACATGGTACCTTCGCTGACCGAAAACACAGAGGCAAGCCATGCGTGCAGTCGGCACGCGAAGTCCTCTCTCAAGCCCACTTGTTGGAGCCCAGCGCGACGTACTCAGACTGGTGAGATCCAAGACCCCAGTCAAGCTCACACCGCCGTCATAATACTACTGCTGACCTCCCACCTCCCAATCCTTGCAGGCTGATTGTGCAAGTACCGATTATGGCCTGCTGTGTGCTCCTCATCGACATCTTTAGCAAGGACCGGTCGGAGGATTTCAGGAGCAACATGGCCTTTCTTGGAATGGCGAGCGGGTGGCTCGGCCGCCTTGCCACCGCGAACAGAGATAGTGCCCATGGCATCGCCTTCAACAAGATCATGGAGCTGATTGCACTGGCGCAGCAGCAGTGCAAAGTATGAAGCTTTAATTGTGTGGAAGGATCACTCTACTTGAATGTTTACTTGCAGGGAACTCCATGAGAATCTCTCATGCACATTCCTCAATCTACTGGGAAGAATTCTCAGTCATCTATGTACATCAGAATTGTGCTATCCTCCATCACCCACACAATGTGATTCCAAAAGCCCAGACCTATCAGTAAATGTAGTATTAGATATTTAGCCCTACATAGATCAAGCATTATATACAAATCTACATCCTCGCCTTCAGCTTCCACCCTGTTCTTGAGATCCTCGCCGCAACCAGCATGATCCCTCCGATCATCAGCAACGAGGCAGCAAACATCTCCATGCTCAGGTAGCGGCCACCGTTAGAACTAATCAGCGCGCCGGCGATGGGCGTACCGGTCAGGGTGGCGAAGCTGATGACGGTATAGACCATACCCATGCGCACCCCCATCTTGGTCATGTCGGTAGTCAACGCAGAAAGGGCGGTGGGGAAAAGGCTGTTGACACCCGAGCTGAAGAGCCCGTAGATGGTGGCGAAGGCCCATAGCCCGCTCTGGGTATAGATGGCTGCCCAGCAGTAGAGCGAGATGGCAGAGAGCACCACGAAGGGGATCATCATGTTGGTTGGGCCGGTCCACCGGTCAGACAGGTAAGGGGGCAGCAGCCGGCCGACGATGCCAATGCCATTCATGATGATGAGTAGGTTGATCGAGTCGCCCTGGGAGACACCAATGACGCTGCTTGCGTACTCGCCGACATAGTAGTAGGCAGGATATATACCCCAGAAGCAGAAGAAGACGCCAATGGCGAAGAACAGATAGGGCATCTCCGTGAAGGCTGAGAATTCCACCAGAGGCCCAACGGTCCGGGGAGGGACCCGAGTCCGCGACAGAACCAAGCAAAGCACCTGGAAGACCAGCATGATGAAGCCGAGCACGCGCAGGGTCCATCCGAATCCTACGCGGGGCAGCAGGGCCTCAAAGATACCAGGGATGATCATGCCCCCCGTGGTGGTTCCCGAGGCAGCAAGCCCGACCGCCATGGCCCTCCTCTTGCTGAAGTATGTAGGGAGGATAGCCAGGGTGGGGCAGAACAGGAGGCCATTGCCAATACCAGTGCAGATTCCCTGGGCAAGAAAAAGCTGCCAGTACTCGGTACATATCGATGTCATGAAGACGCCGAGCAGGATGAGCACCGTTCCGATGACGAATGTGTGCCGGAAGTAGCCAGCGTCGGTTGCGCGACCGGAAAAGGTTCCTATGAAGAAGAGCAGAAAGACCTGGACGGAGCCAATCCACGAGATTTGCGAGGGCGACTGGTCGAGAGTGCTAAGGTAGTAGGTCTGGAACACACCAAACGAATTGATGTACCCCCAGGTGTTGAAGATGACCAGGTGGGCGATGAGCACTTGCAGCCAGGCCTGAAGACCCCCATCCGGCGGAGGGCCTGGCACAACTTTGGTCGCACTACCGCCACTCTCGACATCTGATGATGGCTGCTCGGGTTCACCTGGTACTGGTAGGGTCATGAGAGTGGATTCGCCCATGGTCTTGCTAGTCGAGGTGGATGCGTCGTAGACATTTTCCTCATCTCTTTCGGCCGTCTTTTCGAAATCTGGAATATTGGTGGCAGTGGCACTGCCATTGTTATTGGTTTTGGGCGTGACGAGATCGGTAGGCTGTGTCGTGAGAGCCATGACGGGCGCAGAAAATGCTCTGGTACGACTGGAGGAGGATGGGATTGAGATTGATGTCGAGCAAACCGACGAGCGTATGATGCTGAGAAAATGATTCTAGTCTACATGTGTGACTAGTGCGTGGTAGAGATGGTGTAGCAAGGTGACTCAGTGGGAGCAGAGCAGCTCGGGAATATTTTCAAAAACAGAGTATTACAAACCAACAAACCCACCCTTCAACCAACAAGGTGCCAGCCACCCTGGCCGCCCAAAGGTCCCTACACCCGCTTTCCCCTATGCGGTATCTAACATCTACAGGGTCAATCCATTTGTTATCACAACCACAAGGCTACTACCTGCTCGCGCTACTTGTGGCACAGCGGCCCGTCTGTCACATCCCGCGCTATAGTGTGAGCCCTAGTCTAAAATCGAAACACTGCGCCGAACCTCCTGCAGCCGCTTTACCGGTATGGAGTATATGCACAGAACTGGGGACTGATCCATACATATCCGCACCATATCCGTCTTGGTCACCCAAAATTGCCAGGCCATATCTCGGAATCCATTCCCCGGTTCTCTTTTACCCCCATGCCCCCATCGATGCAGCAATGTTGATCCCTCGGACTTGTGCCAGATCCCAACTCTGTCACCGACATCGGCCAAACTTCATTCGATGGATCGTGACCCTGGCACGCTCGGTTCAATGCTTGTTTTGCGAAGCTTGAATCCGAATGAGATGCAATTGAGATGCGTCTGCTAGAAAATTCCGAAATGGTACGGAGTCTAATACAGCCTTGGACACAAAAGGTTCTGCAGGCAGAGCACGCCTCGGAACCGCAACATAATCAAAACCGAATTATACGTGGCCATCATTGTACCGAAATCAATGCTCAAGGCACTGAACCGAGCATCTCTTCGCAACGATCAGTGTACCAGGTCAAAGGGTCAACCCGAACTTCAGATCGGCCTCCAGTTCGATGCATACGCAAGTCCGTACTCCATCCTAGTGGCGACTTTTCGCAGCCTCTATCAACCGGAGCCATATGCATGTGTACTATCCGCCGTTGAGGCAGCTCGGTAATGCTGTTGAGTACTCTGGGAATTCCTGGTCATGCTCGCTCAACCGTTCACCCAGCTCGGTAATGTGCTTGCGTGCTCCTAAATCGCTGCTCATGATTCCTCAGCCGTCAAGATAGCTCGGTATTGTGCTTGCGTGCTCCCGAATCCGTTGTTGTGATCACCCAGCCGGTAGGATACCATCTCTTTATCCAAGCAGTTTCATAGAAACCGACCATGACGGGCCAGTATAACATAAAGGAGAGGACCAGCCTTACTATTGCCTCCTCAATAGCTAGTCAACCATTCGAGAACCACAGTCTACTCGGCCACCTGCGCTCTTTCTACATCTTTGCAACAACCCAGCAACCGCCACCATGAAGTTCAACTCCGTTGTTGCTTACGCAACCTTGGCCGCTAGCCTTGGCTACTCCCTTCCCACTGAGAAGAGGAACGTTGCGACTTCTGGAGATATATCCACCAGCGATGGTCTCCCGGCGAAGCGCTACGTGGCTTCCCACAACGTCTTGCCCCTGATCAAGCGCAATGTCGCCACGAGCGAGGCCGAGAAGCGCAATGTTGTAAGTTCGGGGAGATAATCGCTCCTGTCCCCCAAATTCCGACAATGAAAATGAGTTCTAAACAGTAAATAGGCTACTAGCGATGTTGAGGCCCGGAACGTTGCTACATCCGATAAGCGCAATGTTGCTACCTCTGACAAGAGGAATGTAGCCACCTCTGATGTTGAGGCTCGAAACGTTGCCACATCTGACAAGCGCAATGTTGCTACCAGCGACGTCGAGGCCCGGAACGTCGCTACCTCTGACAAGAGGAATGTCGCTACTAGCGATGTCGAGGCTCGAAATGTTGCCACATCCGACAAGCGCAATGTTGCTACCAGCGATGTCGAGGCTCGCAATGTGGCTACCTCGGACAAGAGGAACGTTGCCACATCCGACAAGCGCAATGTTGCTACCAGCGATGTCGAGGCTCGCAATGTGGCTACCTCGGACAAGAGGAACGTTGCCACATCCGACAAGCGCAATGTTGCTACCAGCGATGTCGAGGCTCGCAATGTAGCTACCTCGGACAAGAGGAACGTCGCTACCTCAGACAAGAGGAACGTTGCCACCTCAGACAAGAGGAATGTGGCTACCAGCGATGTAGAGGCCCGCAATGTTGCGACTAGCGATGTTGAGGCCCGTAATGTTGCGACCAGCGACGTCGAGGCCAGAAACGTGGCTACCAGCGATGTTGAGAC